GTATAAAGTTTTTTTTTTTTTTTTTTTTTTTTTTCTTTTTTTTTATACCCTCTTGGGTCTGTCTTTTTTAGGTGTTAGACAGAAACACCAGTTTTGGCGCTGAAGTTGATGGTCTCTACATGTTGTCGTCTCATGTATCGAACTCCGGGAACGGGTTTTGATCTGTTCAGAAGAAATCAAATGGCAGACGTACTCACGCTTCGAAAGTGAAGGTCTTGTCGCATTCTTTGAGCCTCATCTTGATATCTGGTATTCCACGTGGATTTAGTCTCGTAACCCTATGCTAGCTTAACGTCCTGGCTGGGAGACTATAACCGTTGAACACTCTACTTGTGCATATGATAGTGAAATTAAAAATTGACAAGGCGATTATTTCTTGGCTCTAAATAATGACACCTAAGAGGCTTTTCAATGCTAAAACCGGGAGCGAGCCAAAAATGAGACATTAGGGACAACTATCTCTGTCTGACGCTCGTGTGGCTCGTGCAAGATATGAAACATCCATTAAGACATCTGATAGCAACTAATGGTATCTGAACTCCGGCTGTAATGCGCCGCCGCTCATCTATGTAACCTTTCTATAGCCTATTGGCTTCAAGTTGACGAAGGCAGCAACTAGCTGGAACGAGATAGTAGCAGCACCGTACACATTCAACGTACTGGAACGAGGGCGATAACATGACTCGCACCGTTCTTGATATGGATTCATCAACATGCATGAGTGAGAAACAATTACGGGATATCGCTAGACAGAGAGAGGAAGTTGCGGCCGAGTGAGTTGTCAGAATAGATACCGACGAGGCCGTTGTTACAGGGTCGACAACCCCTTCGCTATTGATGGATCGTATGTGCCTCCCCAGACTTTTCGCCAACCCGGCGGTACATGATATCAGTCCTCATGGTGTATTTGGTTCCCTTGAGCACATCTTCGCCGCTATGCACAAGATCATGATGTTGGAAAATCAGGCAAGCGCCGGGGGACGGATCGACGTCATACTCGTTAACATGGCCCGGCTGGTCTTCGCCAAAGAATCGCGTTGCGCCACCCCTGAGGTCCGGACTCCCTCGAAGATACAAATGTACGGTCAAAAACGAGACTTCGGACTCGTCTGGCGTCACGTAAAACCCGTCACTGTGCTGACGGAAATACATGCCAGGCTGGTATCGCAGGAACCGCAGCCGGTCGTTCAGTCGAGACATGCGCCATGTGCCAGAACTCCACACTGGATCGTCGCTAGTAATGTGAGGCGAGTTTTCCAGCGTCGCAATATTGGACGGAATATGCGGCTGGATTCGTGCGAGCAAGGCCTCGGCGAGCTGGGGATTGTCCCACATGATGCGATCGCAATGACGCACATCGCTGGCCATGACCATTTGTCCACCAGCGTTAATGAGTGCCGCATCCCACCGTCCTTGTGCGACGACTTCGGCGGCGTTACGGATCTCGTCGCATTCCTCGGGTGTTAGTAGGTCGTGAATGACGAGTGCAAAAGCATCTTCGTGCTCAGAGAAGCCCAGCGCCTTGAAGTCGACTCGCTCTGTCCGGCATGTCGAAGGTGAAGGTCGTTGTAGGCTTTCAAGAAGTGGGAGGGGCGGTTGGGCATTAAACGCCATAAGTTTGCTTTTTTTATTATTTCTGAGGAAGAGAGTTCTCGGATGTCAGAGTTGCTATAGCAAGTCTAGAGCAGTAATAAGAGAAATGTGTTGTTATTATTTCATTTGACTTGCCGAATGATTCATCTCAGCTGAGCTTGCTGCCTAGCAGCATATTATTAGTCTAATTTATGCAAAGCTACGTAAAAGTATGCAGCCTTTGGCATGACTGCCAAACCGTACCGATTTGAGTAAGCCGCTAGCAGGCTGACTCAGGGCTAAGAACTCGCTGCGACCAAAGGCTTATATCTTCACCCTTCAAACCTTGGCAGCAACTTGTGATAGAAGTTCCGCTGTGTTTTGCAATGTGATTGGATTATCCAGAGTATGCAAGCCACATCTTAGCTAACAAGTGGGGTTGCTCTCCTGCTCCCCCCCAAACCCGCCCTGAGCTCTTGCCTCGCTCAATTCTATAGGATAGATTTTGTCCTAGTTTGCCTTCACATCTGGCGTAGTAGGAGCCATCCCATTCCAGCCCAAAGTTCGTCCGTAGCCCAACAACTATAGCTGAACAGAGAAACGCTCGGTTTCAGATATAAATAGAATAGGCTGGCGTTCTATAGCAATGTCTCTCGTTTGTTCCATCAAATCAGGAACTACAACTGATTATACGTCCTGGTTTTTCTGGCGGTGCTCATGATAACATGAATTTGTGATAGCCTCTTTACAATTCCAGGTCGCGACGGGCACACCATTGCAAGGCACAAGATGGCTCAGGATAGGCTCCTCTATAACCTCCCGACGAGGTTGGCGATGCTTCTTGGTATTACAATATATATGTCTGCGGCCTCGGAATACTTGTTGAGATCAAGACTTTATCCTCAGTTCTTTCATGCAAATAAGCCTATGCAAAAACTTCTGTTCCAGGGCAAGGCTGTAGCCTCACAAAGCTGTATGATATGTCGGATTCGTTGACGGCCTTCTGTTGATACAAGAAGGGATATCGCACATTAACTATCTCCCCACGTGGACAAAGAAGTGCCAACGACTATGATTCGTCTTGGTGTGGACGCAACTAAGTCAACGACCTGCTAAGAAGAGCAATACGTCAAAATCCTTAAGCTTCGCATGCATAAACAACCGCTGCGATCTGGTCATGCGCCCCTAGATCATGCGCAGACGCAAAAGAGGAGATGGAGTTAATAAAAGCGGTCTTGGGTCAATTAGCACGCAGATGCGTTTCGCCTTCTTGCTCTTGCTTGCAGCTCCCATATGTATGCAACCCAACCCAAGGCGCCGATCGTCATACGCCAATGGCGCTTTACTGAAGAATTGGGCTTAACTCTAAACTAGTGTATAGTGGACGCTGAAGCTACAATTTGGACAGGAACCGGCGCGACGCAAATTGTCTCCCAAACCTGCTGCTATGCGGAACTACGAGTCATTTGTGCTCAACTGTATTTCTGAATTCGAAAAGATCCAGTACAGGTCTAGTGGAGGAGTTGCAAGCGACCATTCACCGGTTGGCAATGTCCCGGGGGCCAAGTCGCCAAGCAAGGGGTCGAGACAGCCTCTCCAATCAGGTTGCGCCCCAGTTCCGGCTATACAAGAGCGATCCACCGCCGCTACTACAACCCCGCAGAGCCCTCTTCCCCGGATTCTGGATTCCGTTTCGTGGAATAACTGCAAGGACATTGCAATTAGCCATAACTACCCAGTGGAACGCTAATCCCGAAAGCCTGGTCCATGTTTACCTAGGTAAATGTTAGTGATGTCACGTACATCGCGGTGAGAGCCATATAAGAGCGGTCATGAATGTCGTGTAATGCCTTGTGATATGTGTACCGTAGTTCTGCCCATGTCAAAGGAACAAGTCGTCGGTGTGTTGCGTAACAATGGGGTTGCATACTCGTCTTCTCGCTGCATTGAGCGTTCTGCTCCTCAGCAGTCAAGGTCCCGCCATTGCGGAAGCTTCGGCCATTCCACATGAACCGCACACGCAAGGCCGGGAACGCATCAGCATCAACAGCGAATGGCGGTTCCTGCGCTCAGAAAATAACACAGATGGGATCGTGTACGACATTCGTAATGACACGTCCGGCAACCCACAGGTGCTGAAGTCATGGATCCTTCCTTCTGCGAATGATTTCATCAAAGACCCTGCGGGACGCCACGAGCGGCCTGCCAGTGATCCATCGAGTATTCCTAGCCTGGCAGAGAAGTCACTCGATGATAGTGCGTGGGAAGATGTCACGCTGCCACACGACTGGGCTATCAAGGGCCCATTTTACACGGGAGACAACCCTGTCGTTCCTGGTACTATGGGAAGACTGCCTGTGCACGGAGTTGGCTGGTACCGCCGGAAAATCAATGTATCGAGTGCCGATGAAGCGGAGTCTATTTTTCTGGATATTGACGGAGCCCAGTCATATGCCATGGTTTGGCTCAACGACAAGCTCGTTGGAGGGTGGCCTTATGGGTACAATTCTTTCCGACTGGATCTGACACCTTATCTGGTCCCTGGCGACGACAACTTGCTGGCCATTCGCATAGACAACCCGAACCACTCGTCTCGTTGGTATCCTGGAGGCGGCATTTACCGCAATGTCTGGCTCACCAAGGTTGACTCGACTCATGTTGGGCAGTGGGGAACGTATATCACATCAAGAAGCGTGTCTGCTGAGTCCGCCTGTCTCGATTTGTCTGTACAAATCGAGAACACCGCAACGACTGAGAGTGAACGGACGGTCCAGGCAAGCACAGACGTATTCCTGTGGGACCCTAAGACAGGGACCAAGGGACATAAGGTAGCAAGCTTCCCGCCTGTGACTGTGAGTGTCTCTGCGGGAGACAAGCAGACTGTGAACAGCACCGTCACGGTGGCAAAGCCGCAGTTGTGGACGCCGCGAAACCCGAGCCTTTACGTCGCAGTGACAAGTCTCTTTTCTGACTCAAAAGGGCATCCAATTGACACCTATGAAACTCAATTCGGTATTCGTTCTGTTACCTATGATCCCAACCAGGGCCTATTGGTCAACGGCGAGCATGTGTACGTTCAGGGGGTTAACAACCACCACGATCTGGGCGCGTTGGGTGCTGCATTCAACGTTCGAGCAGCCGAGAGACAACTCGAGATACTGCAGGAGATGGGCTGCAATGCGATCCGGATGTCGCACAACCCTCCCGCACCCGAGCTGTTAGAACTGACAGACCGCATGGGTTTCTTGGTCATGGATGAAGTCTTCGACTCCTGGCAAAAGAACAAGACACCCAACGACTTCCACCTCATCTTCGACGACTGGCATGAGGCCGATCTCCGGGCCATGGTCCGCCGCGACCGGAACCACCCGTCAATCGTGGCATGGAGTTACGGAAACGAGGTTGGCGAGCAGGCTTCCGGACAAGCCGGAGCCGATATCTCGACCAGTCTGCGTGCCATCGTGGCCGAAGAGGACCCCACCCGACCTTCGACGGCCTCGGTCAACTCAGCCATGCCCGGGCAGCCTTTCCCCGGCGCGTTGGAGATCATCAGTCTGAACTACCAGGGCGCAGGCATCAGGAATACCAACCCTTACTCGAACCTTAACGGCATTCGAACGCAACCGCTGTATCCCACGTACCACTCATTGTATCCCGATAAGATGATCTGGACCTCCGAGTCGGCTTCGGCCCTGAGCACGAGAGGCACTTACATCTTCCCAGTGAGCAGCGAGATCAGCGCGCCCGTCAACGACACATCCGGCGGCGATCCCAAGGCGCTGCAAGTCAGCGCGTACGAGCTGTACTCGGCCGGGTTCGGCTCGTCTGTGGACAAGGTCTTCGGGTCGCAGGAGGCGAACCCGTTCGTGGCCGGCGAGTTCGTCTGGACCGGGTGGGACTACATCGGCGAGCCGACGCCGTACGACCTCGCGCGGTCGTCGTACTCGGGCATCATCGACCTGGCCGGCTTCAAGAAGGACCGCTTCTACGCCTACCAGTCCCAGTGGCGGCCCGACCTGCGCATGGCGCACATCCTGCCCCATTGGACCTGGCCCGACCGCGTCGGCAAGGTCACCCCCGTGCACGTCTTCTCGGCCGCCGACGAGGCTGAGCTCTTCCTCAACGGCGAGTCGCTCGGCAAGAAGACGAAGCGCCCCGGCATCGACTACAGGTTCCGCTGGGACGACGTGGTCTACCAGCCCGGCGAGCTCACAGTCAAGACCTACAAGGACGGCCAGCCCTGGGCGGACAAGACAGTCAAGACCGTCGGGGCAGCCGCCGGCATCCGACTGACTGCGGACCGAGCCATACTCAAGGCCGGCGATTCGACGGATCTCTCGTTCATCACGGCTGAGGTCATTGACAGCGAGGGCAACGTAGTGCCACAGGCCGACAACGCTATCACGTTCTCTCTAGACGGGCCGGGCGAGGTGGTGGCCACGGATAACGGCGACCCAGGCAGCATGGTGGCGTTCCCGTCCAAGGAGAGGAAGGCGTACAGCGGTCTTGCTTTGGCGATTGTTCGCGCGAGCGGCCCGGTCATCCTCAAAGCTACGGGCGAGGGGCTTGCGGGATCGGAGTTGAGTATCAGCGTGCTGTAGACTGTTTCATAAGTGTCAATTTGGAAGACTATATCGACTTGCACACAATGTACGTATATGGTGAAGCCATCATAATGATGCACCAGGTTAAGATCACGACCCTAGCTTCGTGAGGAGTGTTGCAGCCAGGAGAGCACAAGATGATAGAGAAAACATGAGTTATAGAGTTAGCTGTATTCCAAATATAATACAGGAAGATATCCCTGAAAGCTTGAAACTAGGTATACACCAAAAAATGTTGCCCCTAGTCTCAGGAATCCCACCAGGTGACTTGTGTCTATGAAGGGTGTGGCAACCTGATGTCCGGCAGTGAAAGATGTGGAACTAGGCCTATTTTTACAACACTCCCTGAAACGGAGCAAGTTGCCAATGAATTGGTTGTGTTCTAAGTTGAAAATGTTCGTCTTCTAGCCGTCTGTTGTTCCGAGAAGCCTCGAGATTTCCACGGTGATATCACAGTATCCTGATTCAATGTATTGATACAAGTGGTGCCCAAAGCGCTCTCCTGTCCGCTTTGTACGCCTGTGCCAAAAGAGCCTATTGTCTCTGCGGACACCAAAGTCACCGATAGCAGAAGAGCCTGTTCAGTACCAGATGCTCCTCGTTCGGTGGTGTGGCATGGTCTCCTTGCCTTGCTCCTCGAGCTGCTTCATGGTATCATACAAGAAGAAATCTATCAAGATGGCGTTCACCTTGGCGTCTGGGTGCTCTCGCTTGATCTCTCTTCTGATCAGCTCGACACACCAAATGCTGCACGCTACATAGGGTCAGTAACAGTTGGATGGGCGGCTGAGCGGATGTTTGGGTAAAGTTACCTCGAAGCTGCAATTCGGACCTGCTTCCACTCTCAATCATGGAGCCACTGCTGACTAGGGCTTGCAACGGGGGGCTGTACCCGATGCATCCTAATGTGGCCAGGATTTGAGGCACGCGGTAATCGGCAAACATGGTTATCTTGTCGATGTCGTAAAATTCGCCCCAGTTCTCCCCATTGAAGCATGCCCATAGGTCTGCCACGAAGATCTGGGCCCGCTTGAGGAGGCGAACAGGCTTGCGTCGGCCATCGAAGTGGTGTTCATCTCTGAAGCACAAGAAGTCGGTGGCAAGGGTGTTGACAAGCCGGGCTGCGGAACCACGTGCCGAGGAGATAAGATTTGTGACGCTGCACGAATATTTCTGTAGGTACCCGAACTATGTGTTGGCTCACGGACAGACGGCCGGGTGCGGCGAAAAGTGCGGGCGGTTCCTCGGACTTACTTCGTAGAGAACCTGCCCTGCTTCTCTCAAGCAAGACAGTCGTGATTCCAGGAGGGGAATCTCCTCGTCTGTGCAGGACCTGAAGACATGCCGCAATGACTCCACATTGCACTCCTCCTCATCTTGCCAGTAATGAGGGTCAAGAATGGGAATGCCTTTAAGAGAACAATTAATTCCAGACACGATATATTGGTACTGAGAAAGCAATTTCAAGTCGATGAAGAATATGATAACGGGTTACTGGCGGTTGGGAGAACATGACTCACCCTCATCCAAGGCCCGTTGCAATGAGGCAACAAGGCTCCAGTAGCCAGTCCATCTTCGATCTCGGTACTCAACCGCAAAACGATCCTCCTCGGGCCTTAACGACCAGAAAGAGAAGTTGAGGAGATCCATAACAAAGATGAAGGCGACAGTCGTTTCGTCTTTGGACTTGGGATGCAGCTCGTGCTCGGACCAGGTGCCCGTCGAATACTCCTTTTCCTGCATCTGGGAGTGAATCAAGGCGGCGGCATTCTTGGTGGCACGCATATCCAGAGCGACGTCAATCGAGTTGTCGTAGACATACTCGGCACCTTCGAGGACCCCTGTCTCAGGCTCGTCGTTGATGTTGAGCTTTCCCTGCAGATGCTGACGAAGTAGAGCAAGCAGCTCGGGATCAGCCTCTTCGTCCGACATTTCTGGGAGTGCGCGGCTGGCCGGAAGGCTGACTTAGACTGCAGGATTTGCAGTGTGATGCGCGACCTGGTTGTGGTGTCGTCGAGTTTTGGCTAAAGGTCTTAGACAAGCCGGGGAATTGATAACGGCCTGGATGAAATCAGGGGCAGGCCCCGAAAGAAGTGAGTGCTGGTGGACGAAAACTGTTTGTGGAGCAAGTAGCCCGATGCCAGAATCCTCACCAGACGGAGACTTTCTAGGCTTGCAATTGAGGGTTTGACCAAGAAAATCCCTGGTAACTTCTCCCGCTCGTCCTGAATGAGATATCGCAGATTGGGCCCTTCTCAATGTTGGAACAGACCACCAGGGCAGGGGTCGCAGGATTCATTGGCACACTGAGGGGTGAAGTCGCATGCGCAGGGCCATCTCAGGCACAGACCAGTCGTGCAAGTACAGCCCTCCCTCCTGTGGTGCACTGCACCACGGCTATCGCTAGGCTAACCGCTGAGAGCGCTGGAGGCCAATGGCGTCTAGTGCCGGGCTCCCGCTGCAACCAGAGGCCCCACTCCACCACCATGCTCAGCTGTGAGAAGCACCCGCACGCCGCCATCCCTCCAGTCCAGTGCGTGCCAGGTAGGAGCCCGAGCTCCAGCTTGCCAGCTTAGGTGCCGCAATGCAATCCTGGCACGACCGCGGAGTACTGCCGCTGCCGTTGCCGCCTCGCGGGCTCGCGGGCTCGCCTGGCAGTCTCCCAGGGTTACATGTAACTGAGTACGGTGGCTCCCCAAGCTCCCCAGGTATACCTACTTCAGGACCTTAGGGTGGTAGTCACTTGCGCACGTCGCCGGCCAGCCAACAGCGTCAGCAGAGGTACCAACCAAGGCACGCAGTCACCTTTCCCACCTTCACGGCATCCGAATCGCGTCTTGCCTGTCTCATCTTCGAATCATCCCGCGCGCTTGAAGCCAATTGAAGCTTCAACCCGACAAAACCAGTCAATCTCCCCTCAAGGCAGCTGGCTCGCGGAAGGATCCAGTACTTACAGACGAGTTACCTCACCTGTGTGCACCGTACCTTTACCTACACCCCGGCCGACCACCCAGCTTTAGGTGGCCCAAGTTACGTAGTTAGTTCCGTCACGGCTTCCTGAGTCCACCACCACCCAAGGTCTCGTCGTCGTCTCGTTACCTGGGGCTCCATCTCGCAGCCTCAACCCGCACGGCAGCCTCGCGCCGTCTTCCATCCCCCTCCCGCCCTGTCGGTATCTATTCGACCCGACTCGATCGCGGATCGCAAACCTCGTTCTTCCAGCAAACCCGTATGCATCTTCGAGGCGCGGGATCGTGACGATTGCACGATGGCGGCGACCACTTCTTCTACCCTCACGCGGGACAGCTACAACCGCCAGTCCCTGGGTGCCAACCTCAACGTCAACGTCAAGAAGGTACGTCGCACACTCCCGGCACGGCCTCCGGGCCTGCGCATGTGCAGGCGCGTTTGCAGGCCTCTCTAGGGCGCCTCTTTGTCCACGTTGCGATATGAATTCTCCATGTTCCCTTCCACTCGGCTTTTTTGCGCCAGCCTGTTCCCTCCGCTGCATTACATTCCTGTCTCCCGCCACGTCCAGCACCTATACCTCTCACTATTCGCCAGCCTTTCTTGCCAGTTATGGTGGGAGAGACGAGGGGCAACAGACGCAATGGCGCAATTCGCAACGACAGAACCTAGCTCACTACTGACGCATGCGAAACAGGCCAAGGTCCTCATGGTAGGCGCTGGAGGCATTGGATGCGAACTCCTCAAGAACCTCGTCCTCACAGGCTTCGGCGAAGTACACGTCGTCGACCTCGATACCATTGACCTGAGCAACTTGAATCGCCAGTTTCTGTTCCGCCACGAGCACATCAAGAAGTCCAAGGCCGAGGTATGACGCAATCACGGCAACACGTTGCGCATACGAGCCAGCACGCTGACGGAATCACAGGTGGCCAAAGAAGCAGCGCAAGTCTTCAATCCGAACGTCAAGATCGAGTCCTATTTCGCGAATATCAAGGATACCCAGTTCAACATTGCCTGGTTCCGCGGCTTTCAGCTGGTCTTCAATGCCCTCGACAACCTCGATGCCAGACGCCACGTGAACCGCATGTGCCTGGCCGCCAATGTCCCTCTGATCGAAAGTGGCACGACAGGCTTCAATGGACAAGTCCAGGTCATCAAGAAAGGTGTCACTGCCTGCTACGACTGCACAACGAAGGACGTCCCCAAGTCGTTTCCCGTCTGCACGATCAGAAGTACCCCGAGCCAGCCGATCCACTGCATAGTCTGGGCCAAGAGCTACCTGCTGAACGAGGTCTTCGGCGTGAGCGAGGACGAGGCGGCCTTCGACCACTCGGAAGACGCGGATAACGCGCACGAGATCGAGGAACTGAAGAAGGAGGCTGAGGCGCTGAAACAGATCAGGGAGTCGGTCGGAACCGCAGACTTTGCGCAGAAGCTGTTTGACAAGGTCTTTAATGCAGATATTCAGAGGCTCTGTTCCATGGAGGAGATGTGGAACTCGCGAGAGAAGCCGAGGCCTCTGGAATATCAGACCCTCAAGCCTACCATGCCCACAATCGACGATGCCTTCTTGCAGGACGGCCAGAAGAACTGGTCCGTTGAGGAGAACTTGGCTGTCTTGGAAAGCAGCTTGGATCGACTGAGCAAACGCATAGCCGAGATGAAGAAGGAGCAGGAGACAGGCCAAACCACAGTCACTCCCTCGATATCTTTTGACAAGGACGACGAGGACACCCTAGATTTTGTTGCAGCAGCCGCCAACATACGTGCGCACATTTTTGGTATTGATCTGAAGACACGGTTTGACGTCAAGCAGATGGCTGGCAACATCATCCCCGCCATTGCGACGACAAACGCCATTGTCGCCGGCCTGTGTGTCCTGGAGGCTTTCAAGGTCCTAAAGGGCGATTATAACGACGCAAAGGAGGTGAGTCCCAACAAAAGGCCTCCGCACAGGCTTGGATACTAAACGTGCAGGTCTTCTTGTCACCATTCGCCAACCAAAGATTACTGGCGCCGGACCGCCCACGGCCACAAAATCCGACATGCCCGATATGCACCTCGTATTACACCGGCGTGTATGCCGACCTAGCTCGCGCGACACTGAACGATCTAGTCGAGGACTTCATTAAGGCGCATCTGGGCTATGGTGACCGGGAGTTCTCTATTACAAGCGACAGGGGTCTCCTCTATGACCCTGATGAAACCGACCAACTTCCCAAGAAACTCACCGATCTGGGTATGTAAACCGTGATGACTTTTCTCTCTTCTTCTACAACCCAACTAACCATTTGCAGGCCTCCAGCATGGCGGGTTCCTGACAATTGTGGACGAGTCTGACGAAGATGTATTTGTGAACGTTGTTCTTGACATCTTGGAAGCGTAAGTGCAGCCCTTTTGTGGAAAAGCATGCAAGATCTTGTCGGCTCATTTGTTTCGTGATTATAGTAAGGAACCGCTTGAAGACAAGCCTGTCAAGGCTGTTGTAGAGCCTGACAAGACCCCGGAGATACAGCGCAAACCCAAGAAGGCGCCCGTCGCCGAGAGCAATGGTGTCACTCAAACGAATGGCAAGCATGCTATAGAAACAGCATCTCCTTCCAAGGACCTCAAACGCGCTAGAGAAGAGGAGACTGAGGCTTCTGCTTCCGTGAAGAAGGCAAAATTGACTCAAACGGGTGACAGCGATGTCGTGCTTGTGGACGACGAGGCCGGTTCTGGGGCTATTTTGATTGACGATGACTGAGACTCCCCTGCTTGAGAGGAGATATATCCTGGATCTCAAGCTGCACTCAGACCTCCGTCCAGGTTTAAGACGGCGTTGTGTGCATACGGATTCTTGACGAGGAATGCTGCAGCATCGGCGACTTCCTCCGCAGTCCCCAATCGACGCAGTGGGATGGATGCGGACAGGTTGCCTTTTTCGTCCATGACTACATGGATAGCTGTACATTAATGATCTTGTACCATACAGTTTTGGCAGTTGGGGAAAACGGCTTGCGTTCAGGATGCATGGACGTGATGAGAAAAGGGCGAAAGGGGGGAATGGAGACGAACTTACGTTTCGTCATGTCAGTTTGAATATAGCCGGGCAAGAGAACGTTGACCCGGACGCCGAATCTGCCGACCTCTAGGGCAAACGACCGCGTTAGACCTAGATTGATGCGCATTAGATACCTCAAGCAAATGAGAGATGTATATGACCTGCCACTCTACGTACCCACGATACCCGCTTTTGACGCAGCATACACGCTGGCCCCTAACCCTCCTTGCACCGCCAGCAGACTCGAAATGTTGACGATACAACCTGGATATGCGTGAGCTGGGTCGAGAAAAAGAAATGAATGACTAGATAGAACATATTCAGGAATGCATACCACTCTTCTGTCGAATCATCTGTTGGCTTACTGACTGGCAGCCAAAGATGGTTCCCATCAGGTTTGTGTTGATGATGCGCTGGTTCTCAGCGGGGTCTGACTTGTACAGCAAGGACTGCTGTGTTATGCCAGCAGCGTTGACAAGAATATCAACGTTCTGTTGCGTCTGTCAAAATGCACACATGTTAGACTGATACTTATGGCTGGTGGATATAGCTTCCGCAAGAAAAGGGGGGTTATATTCGGTCAATACAAGATATACAACGCCAAAGGAAGCCCTTACGAACCTGCTTCATGTCGTTGAGCATGCCGGTCCATCCGTCTATACTGCTCACGTCGAAGGCATACGAGTTGTGGCGCGCCGGCGGCTGATGGTGGTGCTGCTGCTCTCCGGCCGACAAGCTGTCCAAGGCGGAGCTCAGGCGCGCCTCGTCCCGGCCGACCAGCGTCACCGAGGTGCCCTCGGAGGCAAACAGCCGCGCGATGGCCAGGCCGATGCCCCGGCTGCCGCCGGTGATGATGGCGCGTTTGTTGGCCAGGCTGCGCATCTTGTGGGGACGGCGGCAAGAAGCTCTAGAGACTCGGCCGCATCCAAGTCCAATATACAATACGATCTATACACAGCACGGGCGCGCGCAGTCTACGCAGCTGATGAAAGCCCCAGCCAACAGGACTCGAAAGAGAGCGAGAGAGCCTGGAGAGCGCAGGCGCCAAGCGGTTGAGGCGGGCAGGCTTGCCCGTTGAGGGCGAGCTAAACGGAACCCCCGGAAATTTGGCCGGGCGCTGATTTGCTGGGCGGGCGGCGGGCTCTTAGCGATTTCCAGGGGTGTGGGCTCGAGATTTTAGCGCTGTGGCACGGCTATTTCAACGACACTCGATGGGGGTCCAAGTGGGAAGGAGGGACTGGCCCTGGGACTGGAAGCGAGCGGTCCACCGAGGCTTCCAAGGTTGTTCCAAGGTTTCCCAAGGCTTGCTTCCAACCAATTCTCTTATCAGACGAAGGGTCCAGAAAGAGAAAGAGAGAGAGAGAGACACTGAGGGCGACACGGCGCGCGCATTCGGCGAAACGCAAAAAGTGACAACAGGATCGAACCCCAGCGACGACGACACGGAATCAATTGGTTCCTCGCTCGGTGCGCTCCTCGCCCGCAGTCCTCCAGATCTGACCCAAGTTACTGCTGCTGCTGCTGCTGCTGCGCGCAAACACGCCTCCGACGACGACCCGCCGCCGCGCACCGAGGCCCTCGAGCTACGAACGAAAGTCCGCCCGTCTCTCGAGCGCCGAACCTCCATGCGTCCAGCGCCCGCCGCGCCCCAGGTCGTCCAGGTCCCGGTCCAGGCCCAGCACATGCCGACGACGCCTCGCCCGACGTCCGCGCGACACGACAGCTGCTACCACATCCAATGACTCTCTCCCACGCCGCCAATGGCGCTGCCGCCGCCCCCGGCTCCCCGTCCGAGTTCCCCAAGCTCGACACCTCGGTCGCCGCTGCCACCGCGGCCGATGCGCAAGGCGAGAAGAAGGCGCCCGTCATAGACGCGGGGCTGAGGAGTCTTGATCACTGTACGTCTTTTTTCCTGTTGCGCACTACTCCTCTGGCGGGTGTGCAATTGGGCGGGCCATGTGGGCGCGAGCAAGAGAGGGAGGGGGAAAAAAGCAAGCGCGCGGCTGGCTTGAGTGAGACTCGAGGTCGCACGAGAGTATACAGCCGGCACCATCTATTTCTCCCTTCTGTCTGCTCGCTCGCCAACCCTCATATGCCAGATATAGTTTGCAGGAAAAGGCGAGCAGGGAAACAATGGCTAACGTATTGTGTCTATAACAGACAAGAGAGCGCTCCCCAAATGGCGGTACGACCTCCGTCAGCAACTGTTGCCCCTCATAAGATGGGAGACGCCGTATCTGGCGTGGCTGCAGGACACGCTGCGGACGCCCGCGCTGGATAGCTACTTCGCCATCACGGCGAACCTGGGCACGCACACGTTCTTCATGATTGGGCTGCCGATCCTGTTCTGGTGCGGATATGCGTCTTTCGGGAAAGGGTAGGCTTCTCCTTTCCGCCCCAAGTAGCACGTGCCCATCTCCAGATAGATGGCCACAGGTCAAGACAGAATAGCTGACGGGCGAACAGACTGGTGCATATCCTCGCTGCCGGCGTGTTCTTCACCGGCTTTGTGAAGGACTTCTTCTCGCTCCCAAGGCCGCTCTCGCCTCCCCTGCAGAGAATCACCATGTCCGGCTCGGCGGCCTTGGAGTATGGTTTCCCATCGACACACTCCGCCAACGCCGTCTCGGTCGCGGTGTACGGCATACTCATATTGCACTCACCGGAAAACACACTCCCGCCCAGCGTGCAGCTGGGTCTCGAGGTGTTGGCTTACTTTTACGCTGCGAGTATCATCTTCGGCCGCTTGTACTGCGGTATGCATGGTTTCCTGGATGTCATCGTTGGGTCTGTCATGGGCGCTGCCATTTCGCTCGTCGAGTTCTATTACGGCCCCAGCATGGATCTGTACCTCCACGAGCAGACGGCGTCGGCAGTGTTGATAGTGGCACTTGTGATCATCGTCCTCGTCCGGGTGCACCCCGAGCCCGCGGACGACTGCCCCTGCTTTGACGACAGTGTCGCCTTTGCGGGCGTCGTGATCGGAGTTGAGCTCGGCACATGGCACTTTGGGCGCTCACCTTTTGCGTCCATCGTCTTTGATCTGGAGGCTCTTGGCTGGCCCATGGTCATTGTGCGTATCCTCGTGGGCGTCCTTGCCGTGTTCGCGTGGCGCGAGATGGCCAAGCCGGCCCTGCTCAAGGGGCTACCGCACCTGTTCCGTGTCATCGAGACCTGGGGCCTGGCCTTGCCCCGGCGCTTCTTCATGCCTGCCTCGGAGTACAAGAACATCCCGCTTAGGTTGCGGGTTGACAACGTGTTGCCCAACGTGAGCGACCTGCCCAACTTCGTCAACAACATCCGCAAGGGCCGGCGTGGCAGGTCCGTTAGTATCGGCCCGCAGAGCGCTGCGGATGCGTACGAGACCCTGGCGTACCGGGAGCGCCGCCGGCGCGAGAGCATCGGCAGCAACGGGAGCATGCGCAGCAAGCCGAGCATCGCAGACCTGCGGGCGGGCTCCCCGCTGCTGAACACGCCCGAGGAGCAGACGGGGCGCAGCAGTGCCGTGGCTGGTGGCAAGCTCAGCGAATACGAGCGCATGATGGGCGAGGGGACCGTGCTGGTGTCGCCGAGCGATGAGAGGGATGGCGACGAGCCCACCGTCTACGTCGAGTCGCAGGATGAGCTGGGCGAGAAGGAGGTCTTCGCCTTGCTGATCAAGCCCAGAGTGCGGTACGATGTCGAGGTCGTGACAAAGCTGGTTGTCTACACTGGTAAGTCGTGCTCCGTCTTTCATGCCGTGATGAACGTCGTGGGTTTTACTACCATGGGATGCGTCAACAGTTGCTACCCCTGATTTATTCTTATCACGTGCCATAACATGAACGAGATGTGCAGACTTGCTAACACCGAATTACAGGCATCGGCTTAGTCGCCGTCGACGTCGTGCCCATTATGTTCGAGTTCATCGGCTTGGGTGCCGGCCACCTGCAATGACACTAGCCGATACGATTTCTCAAAAAGCAAGGCATGGCCATCTTTCCCAAGCTCCAGTGGCTCAAGGACTGCCCGTCTGCCGATAGCACGAATATAATGATACGGGATTTTTATTACTTTCTTCTTCTACTTCTACTACTTTTCTACCTTTTTGGAATGACGGATGGGACATGAGGTGGCTTTCTTGTATATAGTAGAGTTTTTTTTTTCCCTTTCTTTGCATACGAAGGTTTCGCACGCGCTCTCTCTGTAGACCCTTGTATAGAAGAGTGGCTTTGAAAAGACACGATGATGACACGAGGTCGTGCTGGATCTGTGATACGGTTCCTTCTGCCTGTCGAACATGTGAACACGAATCCATTCCGTCTAACCAACCCGAGTCGAAAGTGTTGCGTGGTCGGTCTCTGTATCTATAGGTCATGTACGTTGCCCAGTGGCACGGCCTGTTTGTTCACATGGCGATTTTCTTTAACCCAGTAATTCCAAGTCCAGCCTATAGCGACCCGTTGAGTTGCGAGACATAACGCAAGAAAAACATGTGAATCGGAGATAATCATCAAGTATCAATAGAGGATAGAGGCCCTGACGCGGGCAGTACCAGCCGACGGCGGACGACAAACTCTTCCGGGGTGCAAAATCGAAGCACATGCTATGGTACAAAGCGTCCTGAACTCCCCAGCCAATGCCGTTTTCTCTCTCATTTGAGCTGTTCATCGTTTCTTCTCTCTCTCTCTCTCTCTCGCTTACAACCACCGCCGAACCTGGCTGGACACACGCACGCCACATATACGACCCCAGCTTTCCTCGTCCGTCCATCCATCCATTTATTATCAATCAAGCAGATCCGCAGGAAGCTCCCCGTCTCTGCCACCATACACACACACACACACACACACACACACAGATTCCGCCGGCAAGATCTACGCGCCCAGGCCGTCGAAGCTGACGCCCGTCTCCTCGCGCAGGATGTCGTCGAGGAAAGTCCCGTCCCTAAGGTAGACCCAGCCGCCGGTGGCCGTGTCCTGCTTGGCGTCCTGGCCCTCGCTCGTGACGACCCAGTCGTAGCGCTTGGGGCCCGACAGCGGCGACGACAGCCAGATCTGCCGGTTGGGCGGCTGCTTGTTGATTACGTAGTCGCCGTGCGGGTACTTGATCGTCATGACGCCGGACTGCGCCTGGCGCGTTAGCCAACCTGCCTGCGGGGAGAGTGGGGGAGACAAGGTATCATCCGGGGTGGTGGTGCTGGTGCTGGTGCGAGGAAAAACTCACGCTGTACTCGACGTCGATCTCGCCCTTGGCGTCCTGCTCCTCCTCGTACTTGGCCAGGATGCCCTCGATGTACTCGTCGGCCAGCTGGTGGTACTGGCTGTCGGTGAGCTCGGCGGGCTTGGCCGTCTTCAGGACGTCCGGGGGCAGCGGCTTCGCGAGCCCGGCGCTGGTCGAGAAGAAGGTCGCACGCGGGAGCTTCGGCACGGCGGCGGCGGCGTGCTGCGGAAGGGGGAGAGCTCGGCTGGCGCTCAGGGGTCGCACGGCATGGTGGGCTGCTACGGCGCTGCGGCTCTGTAGGGCGCGGTGCGCGGCTCGCCCGAGTTTTGCGAGGTTGCTTCCCGTCATGGTGATCTGGAGGTGCCGGGGGGGTTTTGGGGAGGAGAGGAACTGTCAAGGTGGAGGACGAGCTTCCGTTTCTTGGTACGTTGCCGGATGGCGCTTGAGTCGACGGACGGTCGTGGATGTCAAAAAGGACAAAAAAAACAAGTGAGGCAGAGGAGCGCAGAGCTCTCTATGGCAATGGTTCACTGCATGCCGTGGGGAGCGTGGCGTCCGGTTCGATTGTTGGTCCAGAAGCTGCGACTTGGTCAATCAAAATCGCGGTTCACTATCTGGAGGGCGCGATTAGCTTTCGTCATGCCGCACCGCCGGGGCACACGGGCGGTAATTAAGTGACAGGCCAACAGCTGGAGCTTGGACGGGGAGCTTCCCACCCCCCACCAACTGCCGGAACGCAACTAAATAGTGGAGTTCGGTACGTTAGAATTTACATGGATCAGTGGGTGTTCCTGGTTTGGTTGCGGATACACAACATAGAGATCATATAGTACAGGAACAAAATCAAGATTTAGTTTCCAGATATAGTCAAAGACCTATTGTATCTAGAAGCGACGCCTGGTCAAGCATAGTGAACCATTGCAAATGCCAAAGCGGACTATCCAGGCTGGCCAGGTGACTACAGTGAGCCAGATATTGAGGAGTATACCCACCGATTCATGCAGCAACTCTATCTGCTCAAAGCCGGTATAGTCGACTGATAAGACAGTGGGAGCCCGTGTTTCTTCGACAGCCATACGCGACTTGAATTGGAGAGTGCAGCAAAGGCGTCAATCAGTCACTTCACAGCCCATAGTGGCTTGTGCCAAAGGAGAGCAGGTCGGCATGGTAGATTGTAGGCAAGATGTAGCTCTTCATATTGAGGTGTGCAGTTGTCCTATACAGAAATACGAGAAACCCTCTCAAATGGTTCCATCCATGACCACGTTCAATGATCCCCATAGCCGTAGAGACTGATGACGCTGCCAATGTCGGGCAAATCAAAATAGCACCCATCAAAACTCCCTCCAATTAACGCCAGTCCCAGTCTTTTTGGTAATACCGAACGCCTTCGCCCAAATGCAAGGGTATCCTCATCTGCCGTCATCATAATACATTCGTGTCAGTACATAAAAGCAAAAAAAGAGCCTCCTGTCTGTCCTGGGTAGTCAAGTAGACCAAGAGAAAGTTGTCCTTCAGATCAATCTTCAAAATGAATCAACACCCTGGGCAACCGAGAGACAAGATGTCAGCCTCCAGAACCTCAAGCTGACATCGGAAAACTGGATCGAAGGCCCCACTCCTGAAATAGGGAAGGGTCCTGTTCGGCCTGGAACTTGCTGAAGCGGCCGGTGAGGACCCCACGGGTTGCCTCGAGCCGCGCGAGCTGCTCGGACCATTCCGGCGACAACCGAGTGAGGTCGTCGATCATCTGCAAGATGCTTCGCCCGTCGCAGTTTCGCACATGCAGGTTCGCCCCGTGTTCGACAAGGACTTTGACGGCGAATTTCTGGCCGAGTCTTGCGGCTACCTGCAGCACGGTCTCGCCGCTGCGGTTGCGGGCCTCGAGTTTGGCGCCGGCCTGGATAAGTCGCTTGATCAACTGTTCGAGATCCTTGTCGTCTTTGCCGTCGGCAATGTGGGTTATGAACGACATGAGAACAGTGTCTCCACGAGCGTTGTAGTGGTTGACATCGACGTTCGCCACCAGGACCGTTTCGAGAAACTCTAGTCGCTGGCTTAGAGGACAGTGCAATGAGACTGGCTCGTCTGTCACATCCAACTTCCGTTTGGGAGCCCGCGTGCTGTTGGTTGGGTCCTGTATCGTTGCGTAGCCCAAGATCACCTCGGCGAGACAGTGAAGAGCGTTGCGTCCCTGGGTGTCTTCCGTTGCATGCCCATTTAACGTTTGGGTTGCTCCGTTCACTATCTTCAAGAGCGCCGTGTGATGCTCAATTCGTTCCTGGTTTCTGTCTGTAGTCGGGATGGTCAGCGATGCCGGGCGCTCTCTGGTCGCTGTCATGGTCGTGGCTCGCCCAATCATGGGTCGAACTCCGAACGCATCGCGTGTGTTATATCTCTTGATATCAAAATACGGCGTGAAATCCCTCATGTCTCCGGGGTCTGCCAGTTTTTGACGAAGCAGATGGAAGAACGATCGCCCATAGACATCGGCGGCGTAGAAGTTGAACTGCGTGGTCCGCAACGTGTTGACGAGATCTTTGAGTAACGCCGGCTCGCTAAACCAGTCGTCATGTAACACGTGCAGGAATGTCTGTCCACCAGTATTGGTAGCATTGAGGGTTGGGTCCTGGGCGCGCGAACGTTCCGAAACCAAGTCGATGAGCTGCCTTTCACAGCCTGCACTGATGGCAAGTTCATGATATATCGTATTGCCAAATTGGTCCATTCCTGTTGCCGGATTATGTGAAGCAGCATTGGTGTGAATGAAGTCACAGGGAAGTGGGTACTGAACAATACGCGGGGTCGTAGTCCCTTCTTCTTGATATTGTGCGAAGTCGATGTTGGGGGATGCACGTGGATGCATGGCCGACTCGTTGGGCGAGTAATTGGCGTGGCCAGCGTCCGGCTCATTTGATATAGTGAACCGCTTCAACAGTCTGAACACGTCTTTGATGTCAGAGCGTCCAATACCGTTGACTCCCCTGAGCTTCTCCTGGAGCGACCGATACGCTTCCCGGCTGCTTCCGACACTGAAGTTGGTCGAAGTCGTCATTTGGGTTCCCTGTCGGCTGCGTATCTTCGGCATGAAACGGCCCAGTGATGTATACGAGGGGTTGTGCATGGTCCCCAGGTCGTGAGCCGGACCATGCTGTGGTGGAACGGCATAGCCGTTATGCATTCCTTGTGAGTCGGTGCCGAGAACGAAAAGATCCCTCTTTTCCATCGACGACCCGGAGGATCGCGACAGCATTGCGCTGTCCATGGTGTCGCTCCTGGATACATCCTGGAATCTGTCGCCCTGCGGCGCGTGCATGGGGTGAGGGGAAAACTGATTGGGACAGGCACATTTCGGTGATGGTCTTGCGCGTTCGCTGCCCTTCAGGCCTGCCACACGTTGACGTGCTTCACCCCAGTCCTTCGGTCGCATCCAGCGCGGGTCCTTCCCAAGAAGGTGATTCAGGTGCTTGTTGGCGGCTTCCTTGCTGTAGAGCTGCGGGTCAGCATCGCCGTCGCCATTGGGTGCCGTCAGCTTTGGGGAACATACCCAGGAGACCAGGCCTTGTCTTCCAGAACCTCGAGTATCTTGTCGACTTTGAGGGCGGTATAGACGTAGAGCCGTGTTAGTCGGCGGGTGCGCGGGTCGGTCCATTCCTTGGGACGGCCGCCGCGGTTCGTGCGGTTCGTCGCCGAGCTAGTGGCCGGCGACAGCTGCTCGTGGGCCATCATGGCGGCGATCAGATCAGCGGGTTGCGACAGTGAGATCAGCTTGCGCGAGGCGAGGCCAGCTGCGTTGTTGCTGGTCCGTGGATGGAACAGGACAAATTGAGGCCCCGAGAACAGTGGTTTCTGCCTCTGAGAGGAAACGCCCAAGAGACGCCAGGGACCAGACCATCACAGACGAGGCTGCGGCTGGCTTTAAGAAGGGGAGCCCGCCGAAGCGAGGAGGGTGGGCGCGACCTGTGTTGGCGAGGGGCACGGCGCTGCATGGGTCGAGAATCCGTGGATGTACACTGGCGGATGACGGGAGGGTCCTGGAGGGAGCTTGTAGGGGTCTATTGGGCCGCTTCCACTGTCCTCGAGGCTAGTTTCGCCAGCCCGCACACAATCAATTGTTAGAGCGCTACTTCTGCTCCATGATACTACACGACTGACACGGATGCCAGGCCGTATAGGCCGATTATAGGTCCCCCTGCAGACAAGTCAGTCGCGATATGTCGCATCCTACAGTATATCGTGCAGCCGCGCTCAAATTGTTGCGGATTTTGTCACGGTCGGCACCGAATCGTTGATCTCACCCAGATCACAGACTTGCCTGGTCTAGATGTCCACGATCCCGGACAGGGTATAGCTAGCGCCACTCCTCGAAGCATGACCCGCCATCACGGCGCCAACCCGCGTCCCGTCGCGAAATTTCAACAGTCATCATTTCACGGGCTTCCATCACGGAATCTCGATCTCGTAAGATAGGATAATACACATTCGCCGACTGGGTCGTGCTGTGCTCACTTTGTGGGTGATGTCAAGCTGCCATCGTAAGTGTTATCCGGAACGGTGGCTGTGTTGCTGCGCAGAAGGCCTGCGGCTAGTTGTGCTGCAGATGTACTGCATCAACGGAGGCTGTGTTCGAGGACCACCGCCCAAGCCCATGTGTAAAAATGCCCCCAAGGCCGACCACCCGGCCGCTTTGGAACTTGGAGACGCCAAGATCTCAGCATTCTGGGGAGCCAAGTTTGTTTCATAGCCCCGTTCTGTTCTTTCCCATTCGGCAACCTCCTGTCAGCGGGACGAACGTTTCGGCCTGGGCCGCGACCACGGCCTGCACATGAGTCCAGCGTTCAGCCCACTGACGCGATCACTCGATCACTCGGCAATGTTTGACCAAGTGTTTGACATGGCTGACAAGAGCTTGAATCGGGACCGACCAGTTTACCGGGCATGCCTACACTCTGTGGAACGCCAAAGTAGATCTGAAAGACGGGATCGAAGAACCACCAGGTCAAGTCACGATGCGCCAGCCCATTCCCGCAGATGAATGATCTCTGGCTGCTCTCAATACAATGGTCTCCAGGCTGGTCTCCAGGGTGTATATTTCCCAGAGTTTTTACAATTGCTTGCGCTCCCACTGCGCTAAGAAAGCAGTGCCCAGCCTCCACACGCTGCAACACACATTATCTGCATCTCTAGCCTGGCAATGGCTGCCACCCACGGAGTCTCTCGCCAATCACCCTAGGGTGACAACCACTGCCTACGTACGCCTTACCTGACTTTGCCTAAGTGGCATTCGTCCTAATGCGGAATCTCACACAAGAATCCAGGCACAAGCCACACATGCCGTGATGTGCACCGATCCCGTTGCATAGTTCGACATGAAAGCTTGCCAACTGTGAAAGCGGAACCGCATTGGTGCTATGGTATGTGACCAACCCCCACAAGGTGACGCCCTGTTCAATCCACAAATCCGGTCTCCGCCCGGAGGGAAAGTTGTAGATGGCCCACATTACCACATGGCATCCGATCGTGACCTCTCCGCCCTAAGTCCTTCTTTCGTCCGAACCCCTAAATCCTCTCTCACCCTAACATAGAATACACCCTATCCAAGAGCCCATTCGTAATGTTCACGATGTGGCAATCTACATCGTGGACCACCCTATTCTACGCCCTAGATTATTCCATCTCAGTAGCCAGCTAGTATTAAATGCCAGCCAAAGCATTCACTATGGCAGTACTCATCCATAAGCCCAGCTTGGCTACCCTAGCTTTTCATACACAATTTTGATTCCAAGCCTTATCGAGCTGTAACTAGCCGCATTATATCAGTTGCGTTGCGTAAGGTCAACTATTGCACGCAGAGGCTCGTGTTCCCCATCCGACCCAGCCAAGATGCCAACAGGACATTCTTCAGACCAATCTTCTGGGTACGTCACTTCTCGGGTACAGTTTATGCTGCCATACAATAAGGCTCAAGTGTAACCAGTCAGTCATCGAACCTCACCGCCAAGGGCTACTATGCGACCTGCGATGCGAAGGGTGGAGTGCCGGGCCGCATGGACCAGTTCCTGACACAGCGTGACACGATGGAACGATTCTGGGTTACCGGGCAGCCAACTGGCAAGTCAAAAGCGTCAAAGGCACAGGACTTGAAAGCATGGGACCGCCAGTGGGCAAGTTTGCAGCGAAAGGATAAGCCGTAATGCCTTTGTAGGATGTGATGTGATACATGTACCACCTTGCATCATTACGGTCTGGTGGCATATGTAGGAGAAGCTAGACAGGCTAAGAAGGCTCTTAATTCAAATCAAAGATAAGTTCTTCCAAGGCTGTATATTTTGAAGCGTGACCATGTGACCTAGAGATTCCAATGAGAGTAGGATACTTCTTTTCCCTGGGTCCTCTAGCCCTCAGTAGTCCTCTCCTTGAAACCCGTCAGCCTCCATATCAATCCACCCGCTTAATTGTAAGTATGTGCACAATGGTTATGAGGGGAAGAAGAACTGGGTTGACTTGAAGACGGTCATCAAGGTTCTGGTCATGGTGGTATTTTTAGCCAAGACCCTGGATTCTTCGCATTTCGTTTCTTGATGCGGGTTGCGAATGTAAGCGAGGAGCACTGGGGAGATTCTATAGAGATTTGATTCGTAGAAGCTATAAAAGTGGATGTGATTGTTGGCTTGTGCCAATGCGCTAGATTACAATGTTCCGCTGTTTCGTCTGAACTTCTACATCCCCCACAGCCCACTAACACACTACCAAAAGACTATGAGACCACTCAGTCAGCATTCAGAGCCCAGATGAAGTCATTATACTCACATAATTACACGGTATATAACCTCGATCGCTCCTCACTAGCTGTCAATTACCTCGATGGGGCAGACTTTGAGCCAACGTTGTCATTAGGGCTGCCATTCGTTCGCGGGATTGCTCTTCACTTGTCGCACTACGGGTCCACAGAGGCTCTCTCAGAGTTCTGTCGTCGACATGGCCTTGGGAGTTGGTGAACCGAGAAGTACTGTAACTCAAGTCTTGGGTGACGTTAATTCTTGGGCGTTCTTGAGCGACTGTTGCAGCATCCTGCCTGAAGCTGTGATGATGACGTATTGTTAGTCCGGGCACGTGGTCATCCAAGCCTCTGTGTGAAGCAGGATGAGAGTCTTCATAAATTGCGACCGTAGTTTGGAAATTAATTCCAGGCTCCAGCCTCTTTAGCTTCTCCTGGAAAGTGTTATAAAATGCATACTCAAGGTAACAAACTGCACGTGTAGATGCATTGTCTATACTCCTAGCGTCATTGCTAGCCATGTTGGATAAATTTAACTACTGTAGCGGGGGTTTAGCGTTCCAAAGCACTGGGACGGCTGTTGGTTGGTATCGGTTATTTCCGCTGGCAGGGAAGTTGACGTAAAACCCAGTGACTTTAGCGAGATCTGGTCGAGTGGGCAGCAAGTTGCAACCAGGTAGAAAGATGAGATCAAGTGGCTTGCTGTAGATGCATTCGATAACGCTTGAGTGCATCGGCGTTGTCGATCGAGCTTTCTGCTGGGAACCTGAGTCTTTATAAACAGGTTTCTGGAAGATCTACGAGATAGAACTCTCGTTGGTAGCTGAAGGCTGCCATCAGCGCGTACCAAGCCAACTCAAGCTTTGCATGCTGGGAGTAGTCCGCCTGACGGATGCTCTGCCAGCAAACAAGGCACTTATTGCGGGTACGGCCGCCTCTTTGGGATGTTTACCTGCGTTATTTGAGGTTATATTACGCCGTTGCGATGATGTCAATGGATGTTCTAGACCTCAAGTCAAACCTGAGGCCTGCAGGCTCACCTGAGACTACAGGGCAGCCAAGCCTCCCATCAATCAGCCATTCACAGCGTCTAACTGCCACAGCTCAGAAATCAGTATTCATGCCACTTCTCGAACATGGGCTACTGTTTTACCATTGGACAGAGAAATGCAGTAAATCTATCTCTCCTGGGGAAATTGTGTTTCATGAGTGCGTTTAAACAGCAGTGAAGAGTGTTTGGTCACCAGTCGGTGGATCATAGCTTCCGACGGGGCATTTGAACGCTGATCCCCCGCCGTTCCCGCTCTCAATTCGGGGGTACACAACGCTCTTCACCGGGCCGTACTTCCACTGTCGATATCTTACAGACGAAGTTGAATTTCTCGTGTTTTGCAGTATCCTTCCTCATTTTCCCGGGTCAGCCTTCAGAACCAATGTCACAGCGTCGACCATCACGATTTCTTCCGCCGGCGCTCCCCGGTTCGTCCGCGTGACACTGGCAATTATTGAATTATCGAGCCCACGGTCCAGAAATAGCTGCCGCCTTCGACAACTAGACGCCGATCTTCTTATGATATGGATCCTCGTGACATGAATGCCCTCGATATGCTCCGAGCGTGGCGAATTCTTTGCCCATCCTATGCGAGAATGGGGAAGTGACAACTCTACAACTACACTAACGTCGCTCACCGAACTGATGTCGCGATTCTTGACGTAGTTCGAAGAATGACGTATCTGTAGCATCCGTCAGACGCCGAAGTGCTCTCATCCTGTCCCTAGAACCACAGTGGTGATTTCGGGCCGTACGTTCTCCTGTTGAATATGTTACGACGCGGTCCAGCCGCAGGGCTGTGCAACATAATGAGGCCAGAGGCCATGCTTTGAGGACCACAGTGAAGAGAAAAGATCTAGACCGCAAGATTTAAGAAGCCAGCTTCGAATTGGACGCGTAGCGAAGACAGTACGTCATTGTTGGTATTGTAGAACATTGGGCTGTCGACTCAGCCTCCCCCAGTTGTGACGCTCAGTCCCGGCAGGGGTCCGTAGCCAAACTGGCCAGACCCGGCCAGACTAGTGAGAGGACCCCTAAAATGAGGTCATGGGAATCTGAGGCCACCATGGCATTCTCGCGAAATCCCCTCACCTGGAAAATCGTGGGAATTTGCCTTGCTTGCTCACACGCAAAAGGTCTGCCAAGACCACCAATTAATTCCAATGACTCGGCGAGATTGAAAGATCGGCATGTTCCCAGATTGCAGTTGAAAGTCAGGAGTTTCTTGCGTGGCTGGCGAACCATCATTTGGTTCGCATCCCAGGAATATCGGGGTTCTCATTGCTCCCTCCTCACTCGAAGAGTCGGCCTGGGCTGCCCAGGTGGCTGTACCAGCTTAAGATATGATTAGATGAGAAACAAGTGTGTGAGCTTACCGCAACTGCACTCTAATTACATACATTCTTGACCCCAAGGTCACCACATCAATTAGCCATTCCGCTTGACCTCAGCACGCAGCCAATGACCAACATACATCAAACGTCTGACATACTCGTTTCCAGCATTCCACCATTTCACGGTACCACTTTGATCTGCTCCGCTAGACCAGCTGCCACGTCGCGCGTAGTACTGTAGCACTGTTTATGAACTCCACGAAATCCTTTACCAGTGTTCCGTATTCAATGACCTTAATAACTATCGTGTACTCACGTTTACCTATCTAAGACAAGGGATATCTAATTGTAAAGAGCTCACACGCCTATGACACGCATTTTGTGCCTGCACGCTTTCCGTGATTTATACTCTTATAGCTTACACTTCCTGTAGTATTCCCCGGTTTACGGACCCGGAACTCCACCTATTGTCTCAAAATCATGCCTGGATTCCGACATGGGATGGCCATGGTATATGCCCGACTGCAGATACCCAGTTCTTGACCTGGCTGTTCTCTGATTTGCACGAAAGGGTGGCCAAGCCAGATACCATAGACACCAAGACTATTTTAACACCTGCTGTAAATCATGGCGTTCCAACACCCGCCTAGGTTACATTATAATCGTCTCAATATCTAGGTCTCTCTTTCAAGCGTACGCGCTATGTTTATTGCAGCCGCAGCTGAACGAATCACGCTGGCGTGCACGACTCTTCTTATAACATGTTGGAAGAGGGACTGGTCTCTTGCACCCCGCTCGCGCCGCTTCAAAGTTATCCCTTACCTCGCCCACCACTAACTCGGTCCTCTTTTTCACCTCTTCAGACTTCCCGGACGCTCATCGTCGGCCTAGTTCCTGTCTATCATATTTTCTCCCTACACCGGTTCTTACCTACATGGATTCAAACCCATCTTTTATCATTGTAGGGGGTGGCTTGGCCGGACTTGTCATAGCAGCACGTCTCACGGAGGATCCAAACACGTCGGTCATCGTTCTTGAGGCTGGGAACGACAACAGATCAGACCCTCGCATACAAACGCCTGCTCTGTGGCCTTCGGTACTCGGACAGGCGGAGTTTGACTGGAATTACCATAGTACTCCCCTGGTAAAAAGACTGCAATCACATGATATCTGCACCAGCTGATACGAAAGGCTTTGAAAAGAAAGGTTTAGACGGCAAGGTCGTCCCTTTCTCTCAAGGCAGGACCCTAGGAGGTTCAAGTGCTATTAACGGGCAAGTGTTTGTCGCTAACTCCAAAACCCATGTTGTGCTTGGGCAGAGTTTGGCAACGAGGGCTGGGACTGGAAGACTCTGGCGCCTTATTACCGAAAGTTCTACACACTGACGCGCCCATCACCTGAGGCTTGCAAGCACCTGCGTCTCGAGTATATCGACGATGCTGTACATGCCACCAATGGGCCAGTACAGGCCAGCTTCCCTGAGGAGGCCGAAGAACCCTTACCTACTGCTTGGGTGGACACATTTGCCGCCCTGGGATACCCGGCTTCAGGTGATCCCTTTTCTGGAGAGATGTGTGGTGGGTACATCAATGCTATGAGTATCGATCCTAAGTCGAGGACTCGCAGTTATGCGGTGACTGCATACCTTGAACCTGCCGAGACTCGTCCCAATCTACGAGTCATTACGGGTGCTATTGTCGAACAGATTATATTCGATACATCGGGTGCTATCCCGAAGGCTGTTGGTGTCCAGGTTGAGGTAGACGGAAGCACAACTACCATCACGGTAACTAAGGAGGTGATTCTAGCAGCCGGCGCGTTTGGTACTCCCAAGGTTCTAGAGCTCTCAGTTGTTGGGCCACGCAGGCACCTTGAGTCTCTTGGGATAAATGTTGCTGTGGATAACCCTAACGTGGGTGAAAACCCACAAGACCACCCTAATACCAGCATTAGTTTCGAGGTGGCGGATGGCGTGAAGACGTTGGACCCGTTGAGTCGTCAGGAGCCTGAGGCGCTTGAGGCAGCCATGACGGCGTATACAACCGAAAAGGCTGGCCCATTCGCAACTAGCGGGACCTTTGTTGGTTCCCTGATTCCTTTGCCCGACTTCGTAGGGCCCGACGGCGAGGACACGTTGAGGCAGGTGCAGTCCCTTGTCGAAGACGATGCCATGTCAGGCCTCTTTTCACCTTATCATGCCTCATTCGTAAAGCGAGCTCTTGCCAATCCTTGTGAAGGCGTCGGTCAGGTCTTCACATACCCTTCGTGCAATAACGTCAACCCAGAGGGTGCAGGTGTCAATATCCTCCACCACGGCGACAGGAGTACCCAGGAAAACTTTTGCACCCTGGTTGCAACCATTCTCTACCCACTCAGTCGCGGCAGCGTCCATATCACATCAGCAGACCCTAAGGCCAAGCCTGCCATCGATCCGCGCTATCTCGAGCACCCGGTTGATCTAGAAATACTGGCGCGGTTCCTGCAATACTTCGAGAAGATTATCAGCACTGAACCGCTGAGTAAGCTGATCAAACGAAACGGATCGCGCAATGGCGCGCCGCTGGACCTAAGCGATCTTGAAGTAGCCAAAACGTATACGAAAAGGTCCTGTCTGAGTTGCTGGCATGCAACTAGCTCGTGTGCTATGCTCCCACGAGAGCGCGGTGGTGTGGTCAACAGCGATTTACTCGTTTATGGAACCACGGGACTGCGGATTGTGGATTCCAGTGTCATTCTATCAGCAACGCGTGGAAACACGCAAACAACGGTCTATGCAGTTGCAGAGCGGGCTGCGGATATGATCAAAGCCAGTCATGGAATAGCAACCAACTAGCTTTGTTTTGTTTCTCACACTATATAGTTCACGGGTTTGGTCCAGACTGCGCGGAGAATTCCTGACTGGCTGGGGACTCAGACTCACATGAACAGTAGCATCAATTTAACGGTTTTCATGTCCTATAAAATCTCAAATATTAATCAATGATGTGTTATCAAAAATATACTTAATGACTAATTAGTAAGAGCACGGTTAGTCATGCTTCTCAGCAGTAAGAACCAGTCAGAAAAGAGGAGTAAGAGAGACGCCTTCCACCCGGTTGTTTTGAGGTCGGTGAATACGAACGAAAGATCCTGATGTTGCCCAAGGTTTGCATCATTGTGGCGCATCAGCTTTGAAAGTCTTTTCAATCACTCAAATGAGGAATTGGAATCCAACCAAATGGGAAGCGAGGTTCAGCGAAAGAGACACATAACGACCTGCAGACTTTCTTGTTTGGGATCAGAGAAAACTATTATATTTAGTTTCAAGAACAAAACAATAAACCGGTCTGTTCTGCCAGGGTGTGGAATGGTCACCTAGTTTATTTATGGAAGAGCGGACCACATCTTGAGTTCTCGAGGAAGTTGGTCGCATGTTACATGCACGCTGTGTATCCAAAATTGTATACAGAACCAGCCGCCGTCGTTGCAACTTCATCATTTTCATATCCTTGCTTCCTTTTGTGAACAAAGTGTATGCATACAGTATCGAATATCTGCAGGTGACCTCAAGGCGGCATCCCTCACAGTCCAAACCACTCTTCACTGGCGGTCAAGTTGGCGGGAACACTATGCCCTACCCCCTGGGCATAAATGCCCTGAACACTCGGCCCATAATCATCAGTTGTGTACTGATTCTGCGGGTAATTCTTCCGCTCGCTCGTCGGCGTCTGGCTGACCTCAAAGACGCCCGTCCACTGCTTGATCGTCTCCTGGTAGTTCTGCGGCGCGAGCGTGCTATCAGCACTCCCGTGCCAGATCTGCATCTTCGGCCGCGGTCCACTGTAGGAGGGGTACATGTCGAGCACGACTTTCTTCCATTGGTCCGACGACGCCTTTACCTGGCCGCCTGAGCACGAGTTGTTCCATTGGTCAACGCCGCCGGAGGAGCTGACGAAACATCCAGCGGGCACTCCAGAGTACAGCGAGACGGCCTTGATGAGTTCGGGGTACGTCGCTGCAAGAACATTGGACATCATCGCCCCGGAGCTCCCACCGGTGACATAGACCCGTGTTGGATCGGCCTTGTATTTGTCAATGGCATATAGTATCATGTTGGCGATAGCCTGGGAGTCGCCGCCACCCAAATGGGAAAGCGACTTCTTCGAAGAGACATCCCAGCAAGTCCCCGAGTTCGGGGACGATGGCCAAACTGTGATGTATCCTTTCTTGTCCGATCCTTGCTTCCACGGTATCTTGCTGTTCTGAAAATACGACTGGGCGGTTGATTGGCAGGAGTGGATGACTACGACCAGGGGCGGGTTGGTCACCACCTTGTCCGGAACGTAGACCCACCTAGGACCAGTAAGTAAAAGTCTCAAGGGAGTCTTGGGTGCTATAAGCTGGCGTACTTACATCTGGGCCTTTGAAGTTGCATTGTTATTGTAGTTTGAGACTTGTGTAAGTGAAGCTGCCGAAGTAAGCGACGCTATAAGGCCATGTACAAAGATTGAAAACCGCATCACGAAGTGATCGAACCTCACACTTTTTGGTAGACGGTACAGAACAGTTCCAGAGCATGACGGAGTATTTCATGCACTGCAGGATGGAAATTAGCCAAGACTTTATAGTGTTGTGACCGCGGCGGTAAGTTCTTCGGGGCAATACATGGGCAATCACGGCAATCCTATTTCCCCACTCTTCGCTTTTCGGAAGAGTCCCAAGCTTATGAGATCAGCGTTGAGGCAAGATATTAAGTTAACCCCGGCTAAATTTGAAATGATAAAGGCACGAACAAGGTACCTCATTGGGCGTCGGCCAGGAGCTTGTATAACCCTCGGGGGTTTCACTCCACGGTCTGATCGGGCCTTACGAGAGGTGACCAGCCAGAATGTCAGTTCCCGTTTGCAACGAATGGAGTCGCGCTGAACTCCCAATTCCTTCCATATCCCATCATTGCTCAAACTTTATGTTGGCAAATGGCCTTGGTGAATTAAGAAAGCTGGAATGTCAACAATTGGAACCCCTGCTCAAAGCAAAGCAAACATTATGAGCAAACATGTTGGAGGTGTAAAGAATAAAAGCAACAAGCCCAAGCTCTTTCCGGAGGCTGTAGGTATCCAATTGTAACCAGCACCATGGTTGAGCAAAATATAGGACAGAGTTCGGTTCATCAGTCGGTTCCGAATACTAACCCGGTTTTGGAGTATAGCTTGGTCGCACAAGCGCTCAGTTCCTAGACTGAGACCATGCTGTGCGGTATGGATCAACGTCTTAGAGATTTTAGCTTGATATTTTGTCTTGTTTTAACTGGAGTACCCTAGCACATCATTGTAGAGGTACTTGTTGTCACGTAAACATCAAAGACCCTGGAGAGTCCCCACTATGGGAATACGCGAGCCAACATCGAGGCGCACATTGCTCCTTCACATAAGAGTTTGACGCAAATGAGGCCCATGCTTTGGATGCAAACGTCAAATTGAAGGTTATTTGGACCCTGGTGGCACTAATTCTCTTCTCATGTGATTCCGTGGTTCGTATTCGTGTCGACGTTCTTTCCTACGAGACTCCTTTAGCAGCGTTGTTCCAGGAACTTGATCATTAAGCTGACAGTTAATACCTGTGACATTCACTACCAACCTGAATGTTAGCTACCCACTCATCTGAAAGGATGGTATCAATGCCCAGTCCGATGTTCGCAATGTTGGACCTGTCGTCTGCAATTTTCCAACGCCCGGCTTGAGTGGAAACCATTGCGCAATTACAGAAACCAACCTTCATTTTTCTTTGTTCACTGCCATTTAAAAATGAAGCTTGGGTAGAGGAAGGTAGCACTTGTTTCCTCACTTTCATATCATCAGATCTTCCATCGTTTTGAAGACTATTGTGCCACTATGCCGTGTACTCTGCAAGATCGGAAGACATTACTACGCAAACTCACCGAAAAGGGATCATCTTTCGACGTGCCACGTAGCAAAAAAAATAAAGCGATCTACGAATGCAGCGACGGAACTTGCATTTTTTTCGTGGAGCACACACAGGCTACGGATGATCATGTGAAAATCCACTTCAAAGATGTTGGCCCCACTCTTCTTCGTGAACTCGCACCGCTAGCAGTTAAAACGAAGTACAACTTTGAGGGTGTCAACTATTGGATTGTTGACTTCGACTCTACTCCACCGGATACGCCCAATGGCAATTAGGACGACGAACAAACTACACATAGCAACAATCACAACAACAGACCATACATTCATGGTTGTTCCTGCTCGGTTCAGACAAGAGATACTCAGGTTGGCAGATTTTGGAGTTGGACTTGGAGGATGGCATTATGCTTGGCGTTGTTCATGAGGAAATTCCTCGGCTGCAGACCTCGATTTCCCCTCGCAGCCGACCATTCTTTTGGTTTTGGTTTGTCTCCCATTAAATAGGACTCCAGTAATAAGCCCTATGTTCAGTCGCTACCGAGTTACTCTACATCCCGTTGGGAGATCGAAATTGTTCCATTGCAGTCCACGGTGACCAGGTACTGAGGTATGAATTTTGAAAGGGATGTGTGTCCCAGAGCCGCCACGAGTAGACCAGGCAAGAGCTTCTTCGTCACTGAACTTCGTTTTACTACCAACATATAGACACCGGGTGATCATGAGTCACGAGCCGGTTATCCAACGATTCTCCTCTCATCATTTTCTCAAAAGCGTTCCAAGGGAGATAATCTTACTCAAGCCTTTGTCTCATCCTCGGCTCGCTTTTGTTGCTGGGTGATGCGGTCTGCCTGTTCCCTCTGTGCTTCTTCGGTACCCTCGACCAGATCCTCGATCTTTGTAGATGCAAACTTGCGAGCAGGAATCTTGTTCTCGAACAGAATATCTATCTCAGCGAACGTCCGCCCCTTGGTTTCAGCTTCGTATTGCCGTTAGCCTGACCATAGCGTGAATGCAAGAATTTGTGATCACTCACGAAGTCGGAAAAAAATATAGGTTGTGAACACAGCGTTGATCCCAGCCCAAAGAAAAGCAGCCTTGGGACCTAGGTTCCATTCGTTTGGGTTCAGCTGTCTGTAGGAAACCACGTTGACGAACGCGATGTTGATGGCGTTGTATGCGTTGCGCCCCAGGATGATGGACTTGGCTCGCAGTCGGCTGGATGGGAGCTCGGAGACGATCGTGTAAACGACAGGGCCAACAGAGAAATTGGAGACGGCGGACAGGAGAACTACCATGCTCCCAGCGGCCCATATTTCTGCTGTAGATGGCGAGCTTGGGATACCCAGGAAGCCAGTGATCCTGCGCCGCCATTGGTGTTTCGTTCTGAGCAGTATTAAAAGGGCAGGGGGATTGAAACTCACATGAGCAGCATAAACATTACGCACATACCGCCTAACATTAGAGACTTCCTGCCGACTTTCTCGAGGATGAACCAACTGCTGATGGTGCCCACAGCACCCAGGGCATTCTGGCCCCAGCCAAGCTTGAAGGAGTCGAGATCGCTGATACCGGCCTGCTGGAAGAAGAAGGCGCTAAGGCCGCCGACCGCGCTGCCGGACATGGTCTGCGAAATCCAGGTCATGCAGACGATCTCGGTGCGGCGGAGCTCGATGCCCCGGAAGCAGTCCCGGTATGTGGTCCCCTTGGACACCTGCTTCTCCATCTCGTCCGTGTAAATCATCAGCGCCATTGTGGCGTCGAGGTCCCGCTGGCTGAAGCCCGAGGTCCGCGCCAGCCGCTTCAGAGATCGTTCGGCCTGCTTCTTGCGCCCTTTGCGGATGCACCACCAGGGCGACTCCGGCGCCAGGAGGCACCCGATGCCCAGGGGAATGGGCCATGCCCATTGTAGCGCGAAGGGGATCTTGTAACTATGCGGCATGTGAGTCCTGTATTCTTGAAGGTTTCGATAGGGGAGGAAACCATGCGTACCCCCAATCGTCAGTTCTGTGTTCTAAACCGACCAGGACACCACTGGAAATAAATCCTCCGATGATCCAGCAGAGGTTGACGAAGATCGTCAGATAGTGCCTCAGCGCTAAGGGGCACACCTCGGCCGCATAGGCCACCGTCATCGTCTGGAACACACCCCACGCGATACCCTGGAAGAACTCGCCGACGAGAAACACTGTCAGGGATGATGCAAAGAAGGGGAAGAAGATGAAGCCCGTGATAGCCACCAGTGCAGACAGGATAGTATAGCGGTAGCCATAGCGTTCCGATACCCAGCCCGCTATCTGCAGATAATTGGTTCAGTAATAGCCCATGACTCCATTGCCGTGGTTAGTTCTTGGCTCAATATTTAACTTACTTGAAGCCCAATGATCTCGCCAACGTTTATCGCCCCTGATATCCCGTTTTGCCAATCTGAGGGGATCGTAATTTTCCCCGAGGGACCGAGGGTGCCAAACTTGTCTCTGAAAGCAGGGTATGCGGTATCTGTGATGGGGATATTCGAATCAATCAGATGCACCTTGTCTATCATATCGTACTCAGTTTGGCCACTTACACGAGCCTATGATTGAGGTGTCGTAGCCCTCCATAATCAGGCAAGCAGACAAGATCATACTCCACGCAATGGCCTTTGGGTACGTCTTGAACGCCGTCGAGAGCTTCATACCCTTCTCTCTCTCATTGGCCTCATTGGCCTCGCTCACGAGCGTCTATCTCAACAATCAGCCATTTCATTCTTATAATGGCAGTTGGGTCTGGGAAGCAGTGTGAGAAAATCCAGCTTACCATGAAGTCGTCGACGTTGGCCGCGATCTTGCTCGCAATCGCGGCGTCGACATGGGTATACTGGCCCTGCCTGTTCGCCCTGTCATCGTGTTTCCCCAGGTCGGCCTTCTCACTCGCTGTAGTTGTCTGGCGGGCCAGACCTTGGGGCTCAATGTCCTTCTCACCAGTGCGGCTCGCCGCCGCATCCTCGCTACTGGCCATAACTGACTGGCTAGCCTGCCGCTTCTTGGGTCGGGTCGACTTGAACTCGGTGGCACAACAGTAATCAATTCTATTGAAGACGAGGGTGGTGCTCAACAAAGAAGCCCGCTCCAAACCCTAATTCAAGGGGCTACTGTTTTCTCCCTCATGAAATTGTATGTGAGAGAGTATCAATGACTGACCCATGAGAGTCGGCCGCCTGGAGATGACTGTCATATGACCGATAAGCCAACGTGTTTGCTGCCCGCAGTTGCTGGCTACTGCCACTTACACAGCACATAGCATGCTGTGACCCCGAAACGCTGCGTGATAGAGCTCCGCAAGGGGCAGTGATTGGCAGGCTAATATGCAGACACACCTTCGATGCTGGGCCCCCCTTGACAATGCGGGGTATGAGCATGTACCGGACGCCATCAGCCACTCCCGCGAGCCCTCGAAGGCAAAGGCGTTGAGCCCTTCCCGAACAAGGCAGGTGGATGGGCGGTATGGTTTGGGACAGGACACGAGTGAGCATGTTGTCGTGGAGTGAGGGTCGGGCTTGTCGGGGGTTGCCATCAAATGCCCCCGGCCCGGCATTGTACATTGTAAGCTGCTCGCCCAATGGACAGTTGACACTGGATTCAGCGAGCCACCTTGAAGCTACAGTATAGAAAGCACGTCAGAGACACGTTGATTGTTGCGAGGAACCAAGTGTTTGGATTTCCACCCCACGCGTGTTGACACTCCAAGACAGCAAGGGAGGGTATAAAACGGTACAGCAAGGAAAATCGGACAAGACTCTCACATGAAAGAAAGATCTAAGAAACCCAGAGGCCAAACAATTGTGTCGCACTCCGGGAATGGTGTAGTTTGGATGAAGTCATTTTGTACATTCCCTAAGCCTAGTATAACACAATCAAACCCAAGCCGACGCCAGAGCGCCAGGCAGCCTATGCAGTCTTACACTAGAACTTGTACTTCTTCCGCTCGTCTCGCTTCTCCTCATCGCGCTTGAGCCTCTTCCGGCTCTCATTCGCGATCATCTCGTCGAGGCCTTCTTCCCGCCTCCACTGAGCTCCGGGACCTTCTTCGCGTCTTCCCTCTTCGTACCTCCTCCGGACCTCATCCTTATCGATGCCGTCGCCGCTCATCAGGGCGTCCGGGTCCAGGGCAACATCAACGTCGCCCGGCTTCTTTCGCTTCTGGCCGCGGTCATCATCCTGGCCCAGCACGCGCATGTCGCCGTGGCCGCCTGCCTTGCTGAGGTCATAAGTCCGGTCACTGCCGAAGAAACCTTCCGCCCGTGCTTGGCGCTCTGGAATAACTGTGTAGGCCGAGCGAGGGTGTGTGCTTTCCTCTGTCTCGTAGCCGCGGCGGCTCTTTCGAAGATCCATCTCGCCGGCGATGGACTCGGTTTGCGTGCCATATTCTGTTGGTACACTGCTCGCCATACCGCCGGGTGTCTCCATGCCGGACGGCGTCTGCAAGCCTGCACCATCCTCTTCTTCGTCTTCATCTTCGTCCTCATCCTCGTCCTCCTCTTCTTCTGATTCCTCTTCTGGTGGCTGAAGCTCGCCCCACAGTGTGCGTTCGACAGGCTCTCCGGGAGCAGGCGCAGCCTGCGAAGGCTGCATGATTCCGAAGATATCACCGCCGAAGAGAGGACGATTGTACTCATCAACGGGAGGCTTGCCCCAACAACCTGGGTTGAATCCCCATTGCGCGCCCGGTGGGATAGGGGCGTTAAGGCCGGGTATACGGAGGGAAGGGTATGAGGGAGGAGGTCCGAATCGTTGTTGGTGGATGAGCCATGGCGGAGGAGCTCCCGGGGGGATACTCAGCGAGTCCTTGAGAGTATCACTCATCTCGCCAGGCCTCAAATGTCTCAGGTCTGTCTCGTACTCCTTGCCTTCGTAGTAAACCTCACCGAACCGTGTAAGTGTAGGCTTCTCCTGGAATCTGAAGAAAGCATCATAGAGCTTCTGGTAGTCGATGTCAAGCTTTCCCAGCTTGCCCTGGACCCTCTCGCGCTGCTTCTGCTTGAGACTTTGTTCTGCTTGCTTCTCCAGGACGGCATCCCTCATCTCGGTGATACCCGTGTCCGCAATGAACTTAGGGAGCTTGAAGGCCGACTTTTCGATACCTCGCTTCGACGAAAGGTATTCGCGCTTCAGGTTCCAATGCGCCGGCACGGGCACCACGTTCCGCTGAGCCTTGATCTGGACCAGTAACCGCGGGTCTGAAGACGAGGTATCGTGCCATTCGACGACTTCGGGCTTTCTGACCAGCGCCTTCAGCTCGGCGACCGAGAGCTTGTTCAGCATCTTCTTCTTTTTCTTGGAGAGCTTTGGGGGGCCCGTCTCCTCCGACTCGTCGGGAATGTCATCGTCATCGTCGAAGAAGACCTCGCCCTGGTTGCCGGCGTTGGCCTCCTTTGCGATATCATCCTCTTCGGTTGATGCGCCGAACTTGGCGAAGATGTGCTTGTACATAGCAAAGGCAGGGTCGTCATTGTCGAAGTCGATCTCGACGGGGCCGTCGGGTTCGGCCTTTGCGGGTAGGGAAGCATCCTTCTTGACCTCGAGGCCATCGGTCGCGCCCTCATCGGCGAGCTTCTCAGACGCGTCGGCGCCCGTGTCGGCTTCTGAGTTGTCGCCGTTCTGCGCCGGCTCCTGTGGGCTGTTAGCGACCTTGTGGTGGATGCGAGGTTGGCGACAACGTACCTCTGGCTTCGCCTTCTGCTCTGCCTTTTCTGCCTTCTTCTTCGCCCGCCGCCTCTGATTCTTGCTCATCTGTGGTGCCGCCATGTCGCAGGTAGAGGCAAACCCGATGGTTGCGATGCTCACAGGTCTTCGATGTGGCAAGGCTGACGGACACACAGGATGCTGGTCGAGTCGCGACTGGCAGAAAAGTTGAGGTCTGGCAGCCTTGGAACTTTTGGGTGTGGCTGAAGCTTTGCGCGGGTTGGCTGGGCGGGCGTGGCTGGGCGGCCTACCACAGTACCACAGTGGGTGCTGGCTAGGCTACTTCCAGCGCTGGAAATAGGACACCCAGTTGCACACCCAGCTGCAGGTTTAGAACTTGACGCCAATCCTTCTAGAACGTCTTTCCAGGACGTAGTAGTGGTTTTACTGAGGTAATAAGAAACTCCATTCTATCAATTGCAACCCACCTCGGGACATTGCCTGGATCTGCCATGAACAGAGATGCTCGATCAAATGACAAACCCGTGAAAGGCTCTTCTAGATAACTGATGGCAATATTTCCATGTGTCCTATGCAAGCATCGTCTGGTCGACCTTGTGACGGCGCCGCGTGCCCGGCAGCCACCTGCATGGGGCGCAAAGCTGTGTCCCGGAGTCCTGGCCGCTGACCAATTAATGCAAGACGCTGGGGGGGTTCGCATTGAATCGCGCGCCAGCGGTTAAGATGTTGCTTGAGTTGCGTAGCAGGGGTTGGACACGCGGCAGTGCGAGACCACCGCTGCAGCTTGGTTGCTTGGATGTACTCCGTAGTTAGCATCTCCAGAATTTGTCGGCTCTAACTCGTATCAACTAACGCACATGCAATCTACCGACGACGTCGACTGACTGCGCTACTTTGCGACATCATCGCTTGCTCCCTTGAGATCCAAACCCCGTCGGTCGCACGATACCCACCATCGCACCACGACACACTATCTCACCCGAACCGTCATCAGTCCGCAAGAGACCTACAGCAATGATCCAGTGAAAGCCAAAAGTCAGCTTGGTCTCCTTCTCCCTGGCCTGCCCCCTTGCATTGCTTCTCTGAAGTCCGTCGCTCGCTACATCCCACCCCAAAGTCCGAGTCGCCATGCCGCACTCGACAAACTCCGGCTCCTACTCGCGGGAGCCGTCCGTGTCGCGCGGCACCAACAAGTCCGGCGCCGACAGGGACCGGGACAGAGAAAGCGACTCGGGGCTCGAGAAGTTCCCCGACCACATCGATGCGCCCATGTTCGCCAACAATGGCTGGCGCGAGTCGAGCCCGGCCCGTGGCTACGCCAATGGCACCAACGCAGGAGCCCTGCCGTCGACGGACCGCTGGCAGCCCAGGAGAGACAGTCTCCAGGCGAGGGGTGTAAGATGGGGACAGATGGGATCTTCGGTCAACCCCTCCCGCGCACAGGGACACGCACACTCGCATTCGCGGCAGAAGAGCATCACCGAGGCATTTCGAACCATAAGAGGACGAAACGGCAGCGTCAGCCAGAACGCGCACGAGATCGCGGACGCTCTCAAGGCCCCGCTGTCTTGGCAGCTTGTTGTATGTGGTCCTATATCACCTTGCTCGTCGGACTGTACATGCTGACCGATCCGCGCTTCCCAGACCCTGTGTGTCATGTGGTATACCTCGTCTGCCTTGACCAACACCTCGTCCAAGTCGATCCTGAACGCGTTTGACAAGCCCGCCACGCTGACGCTGATACAATTCTTCCTGGTGGCGTTCTACTGCATAACGTCCTCATGGCTCGCCTCGATCTTCCCCAAGCTGCGAACGTCGATACCCGCCTTGAAGAATCCGATCCGCCAGCCTTCGCGCGACGTCATAAGAACCACGCTTCCGCTGGCGGCTTTCCAGATTGGCGGCCATCTGTTGAGCGCTTCGGCCACCTCCAAGATTCCCGTGTCACTAGTACACACGGTCAAGGGGCTGTCCCCACTATTCACAGTCCTCGCCTACCGACTCATTTTCGACATACGATATCCCATGGCGACGTACTACTCGCTCATCCCGTTGACAATGGGAGTGATGCTAGCTTGTTCGGGGAAGCATTCGTTCGGGGGTGAGATGCTGGGTCTGCTATACGCCTTTCTGGCCACCATGTTGTTCGTGACCCAGAACATCATCTCCAAGAGGCTGTTCAACGAAGCAGCCAGGGCGGAGGCTGATGGCCATGCAGCCAAGTCCCGGAAGCTTGACAAGCTGAACCTGCTGTGCTACTCATCGGGCATGGCTTTCATACTTACAACGCCCATCTGGTTCTGGAGCGAGGGCATCGGCCTGCTCAGGGATTTCCTCAGCGATGGCGCGCTGGATCTGACGGGCAAGGCGAACAGCATGGACCACGGACGGCTATTTGTGGAGTTCCTCTTCAACGGAACGTTCCATTTTGGCCAGAACATCCTGGCATTTGTCCTCCTGTCGATGGTCTCGCCAGTCACGTACTCGGTTGCCTCGCTGATCAAGCGTGTGTTCGTGATCGTGGTTGCCATTATCTGGTTCCGCAATACAACGACCAAGGTCCAGGCCGTGGGCATTGCGCTGACCTTTGTCGGCCTGTACCTGTATGATCGCTCGAGCGAGAGCAACAAGGCGGACCGGCGTGCCCGCATGCTCAGCCAGAGCCATGTCACCAATCAACCGCTGTTGCCTCTCAACACGCAGGGGGCATTTACGGCAAGCCAGAATGCACCGGTCTTTGAGAGTCCTGCGGCTGTGTCCGCAGGGCCGAACGCGCACGCGTATACGAATGGCCATGCAGCACTTGCCAACGGCGGCGGCGACGATTCTAAGAAGAACGACGACAGCGGGCCGGGGCGGCAAAGGGGCAGCAGCAACGCGTCCTGGCTGCCGCCGGGCACGAGGCAGGAAGACACCTGGCGGTTTCAGGATAGGATACAACGGCCCCAACGTGTCAACTAGATGTTTGGAGCACGCGGACTGGTTATGAACACATGAACGATGCAATTTATAGAGAGACGGGAACACGATGCTTCGATGACGAAGCGATGTACTTTTTTTGACCAAGCGTCCTCTGTTTTGTGACGTGACACATAGAATATTTCTGGGGGGGACGCCCCCAGTCGAGGACCGCACCACCAAGACGGTATAAAGCGAATTGGAGTTCTAGGGTTTTTGGCCTTGGTCTTGGTCTTGGGCTTGATCTCGGTGGGGGGTTTTTTTTTGATCTGGTATCATGTACTGTAGGAGTAGTATCTTGCATCTGCCCGATGGATACCATGTCCTGTTGTAATTGGGATATTTTGCATATACAGGGGGTGTTTGAATACCTTGCATGGAAGCTGAGAACCATGGAGTATCAAGCTTGAAAACTTGTAGCCAGTTGATGGTATGTGTACGAGTTATGTGAGAGAGAGCCAGTCCATGTGAGTGAAAATGGGTCACATCGGAATAGGTTGCGCATGCCAACGGTGGGAGGGGGAGTACCCGGAATGTCCGTTACATGGTCGGATCTCACAAGCTTGGCTGGCTCGTTGGTTGCCCAGCCCAGGTCCGTAGACACCTCGTTACTTACATGCAGACGACATGAGCTTTTTCTCACGGGCCTGCCTATACGGTATCCATTCCATTGACCTGTCTGCATTTTTGCCCCATGGAGACCCCATCTTCTAACTACAGTACTAGGTGATTATTCTCTGGCGCCCCCCTGCTGCTCCGTCGTCATCCGCACTCGGTGACAGCTGGGGAGGTCAGAAGTTGCCGGTACGCGGTAGGGGACCGAGCGAGGGTGGGAAGAGGGAAGAGGGAGAGAGGGAGAAAAAACCATCGCAGACCCACTCAACCATTTCCCATGCAGCAACCCAGACCCAGAGATGATGGGACCCGCTCTGGCCATGTTTACCCGAAGACAATTTCGATTGGCTCCCGTCACGTGAGCTGAGCTTGGGCCAACCCGGAGCTTCTCGGCAAGGAGGAAAGAGACTTGCCCAGCTTGATTGAGGTTTTTGTCGTGGACCTCACCTCTTCAAGTTTTCACTCCCCATAATCCATCACCACCTTCCACCCCATCCTCAATCGCTGCTTGTCATCTCTCAAGATGTTCAAGAGGTACGTAGAAGCCCCCCGATCGACTTTTTTCGATGGCCTCCCGCCCCCTTGCTGCCAATTGAGCTGACCCGAGCCCTCCCAACCGACAGCGGCATTTCCTCCTTCTCCCGAGCCGCCGCTCGCTCGCCCTTCGTCGCGGGCTCGCGCCGCGTCGCCAGGCCCTCGGCCTTCAGATACCCCGTCAGCAGCCGGTTTGCCAGCACACAGGGTGTCGGCGATGGCAAGGTTTACCAGGTGAGTCCGCATCCCATCCCGACGCCTGCTGCCCGCCTCCCCGCGCCTCGCACCCGACCCGAGCTGACACGTCTTGAACTCTCCAGGTTATCGGTGCCGTCGTAGATGGTCAGTTGGCATCAGCCTCGCCCCCTCCAACGCTCAACGCCGCGGAGAGAGGCACGTCGAGAAGCAAGAAACCGCTACTGACACCCCGTTCCAGTCAAGTTCGATACTGCCAAGCTGCCCCCTATCCTGAACGCCCTGAACGTCGAGAACAACGGCCAGAAGCTCGTCCTTGAGGTCTCAGTAAGTTGACAGCTCGGCCTCCAAACGCGCACGCGACGCTCTGCTAACCGCCACACAGCAACATCTGGGTGAAAATGTCGTCCGTTGCATTGCCATGGACGGTAAATAATCCCCCGACCCTGCGAAATTTTTGGGGCGCGACGCTAAACATGACATCAACAGGTACTGAGGGTCTTACCCGTGGCCAGAAGGCTGCCGACACTGGTGCCCCCATCACCATCCCCGTCGGTCCCGCCACCCTCGGCCGTATCCTGAACGTCACCGGTGACCCGATCGATGAGCGTGGACCCGTCAAGACCGACAAGTACCTGCCCATCCACGCCGACCCCCCGGAGTTCGTCGAGCAGTCCACCACTGCCGAGATTCTGGTTACTGGTATCAAGGTCGTCGACCTGCTCGCCCCCTACGCCCGTGGTGGTAAGATTGGTCTGTTCGGTGGTGCCGGTGTCGGAAAGACCGTCTTCATTCAGGAGCTTATCAACAACATCGCCAAGGCCCACGGTGGTTACTCCGTCTTCACTGGTGTCGGTGAGCGTACCCGTGAGGGTAACGATCTGTACCACGAGATGCAGGAGACTTCCGTCATTCAGCTTGATGGCGAGTCCAAGGTCGCCCTGGTCTTCGGTCAGATGAACGAGCCCCCGGGAGCCCGTGCCCGTGTCGCTCTTACTGGTCTGACCATTGCCGAGTACTTCCGTGATGCTGAGGGTCAGGATGGTATGTCTACTCTCCCCTTGATTCCAATGTTGATCCCTCTCGAGCACCAGAAAAAGGAACCTAACATCTTCCAGTGCTTCTCTTCATCGACAACATCTTCCGTTTCACTCAGGCCGGTTCCGAGGTGTCTGCCCTGCTGGGTCGTATCCCCTCTGCCGTCGGTTACCAGCCCACCCTCGCCATTGATATGGGTGGTATGCAGGAGCGTATTACCACCACCCAGAAGGGTTCCATTACCTCCGTCCAGGCCGTCTACGTCCCTGCTGACGATTTGACTGATCCTGCCCCTGCCACCACCTTCGCTCACTTGGACGCCACCACTGTCTTGTCCCGTGGTATCTCCGAGTTGGGTATCTACCCCGCTGTCGACCCTCTCGACTCCAAGTCCCGTATGCTCGACCCCCGTATCGTCGGTCAGGAGCACTACGACACCGCTTCCCGCGTCCAGCAGATCCTCCAGGAGTACAAGTCCCTCCAGGATATCATTGCCATTCTGGGTATGGACGAGCTGTCGGAAGCCGACAAGCTTACCGTCGAGCGTGCCCGTAAGATCCAGCGTTTCCTGAGCCAGCCTTTCACTGTCGCCCAGGTCTTCACTGGTATCGAGGGTAAGCTGGTTGACCTGAAGGAGACCATTGCCTCCTTCAAGGCCATCCTGAGCGGTGAGGGTGACAGCCTTCCCGAGGGTGCTTTCTACATGGTTGGTGACTTTGCTTCCGCCAAGGAGAAGGGTGAGAAGATCATGGCCGAGCTCGAGAAGTCTTCGTAAAGCATTAGAAGGGTTCCGGCTGTTAAATAGAGAGCGTGGCTGCTGGGGATGCAAGGTTGGTGGCCTGTGTATATCTAGAAAAGGAGAACAGTGCGGTTGAGGAGTTGTTCCCTAGCTCAATCGATTCCTTTTGTTTGCTGTATACCACGAATCCACCATAATTTACCCTTGACTTGATGATTCGATCTGTATTATTATGCTACTAACCCTACGCAACCGAAAAGCGAAGCTGCCGTTGATGTCATTCACGTCCGGAATATTAACCCCAGCTGTAGATCGGCCTCGCCAGGGCACGATGTCCACCGACGTACTTGATGATTTCATGAGAGGTACAAGTGAGCATGGCCCGGAAGTATCCGAAGCTCGACACTCGTTCTATGTACTATCTGCGTTACAAATAAAGGAAACGACTGAAGGCAAGTAAGCTTGTTTCCTTCGAGAGCCGAGCACGCCAGGCCTATGTTGTAGGCTTTCGGCTCGGAAGTATTGCCTGAGTGAAGAGTGCCGTGGTAGGCTCCGATGGCTGGACAACGCAATCATTTTGATGGGAGCATATGTTCTTGTAGTTCGGTACCCTGCGTTCCCAGTGCCTGAGACCTGTATGGCTGCCTACGTTGCGCCGCAAACCTCTGCTCGGCTACCGCTTAGTTCCCTAGAGGAGTCGGTTCTCCGGCTTGCATATCGGTTTGTCAAGTATTATTTCATGTCTCCTTATTTGGAACACTTGACGATGTCCTCGGGGGAGCCTTGGGCCTGGAGGCAGGGCACTTTATCCTCGTGGCCGTCTCGGAGAAAAAGGCATGGCTTCCGCTTGGCGACAGGTGCGAGAAGGACATCTCCTTCCAGACCAGGCTGTGCTGGTCATTGCGTGCGCACTGCCACGAGATGTGCGCATCCTTGATGAAAGAGTTCACGAACGCCTGTTCAGTAGCCGACCCGATGACGCGAGAGAGGTTTCGGTAAGTCTGCCGGTTTGAAAGCAGCTCGTATGTGGGCCCCGAGGTGAGGACGTCGCTGAGGATCTTGGTCCATATCTCGATTGGTAGGCGCGTGTTTGTGTCGCCATGTGCTTGGGCTACTTGCTGCACGCTGGGGATCGGTTAGTGAAAATCACGGGAGACGAGCAATGACGGCGAGAGAGAGATGGAGGCGAGAAGCGCGTGGGGTTTATTTTCCTGATGTAGAGAGTTAGATATTATTTTATCTTGTTTACTCATCGCATGGCGCTTTGCGATGATGTCGAGAAGTAGAGAAGAAAACGTGGCCAACGTCAAGGACAAGAAAAAAGTTGTAGGGACAAAAGACATGGCAGGAGTGTCATGAGTTGCAAACGGAGCATTCTGGTTTTCAGCGTTATTTATTGAGGGCCACGGATGCTCTTTCCTTGCTTTAACGAAATATAATCTCTTCAATCTATGGTCCGAAGAGCCCATTCTCAATCCACCAAATCCTTACTCACGTCGTCTTTTAGAAACCAAGCCGCGCAAAACCAGTGTCAACCCCCACCATATTTGCGTGGATCAATCATGATGGCCACAAGCTTTCCCAAGTCGTACGAGACCTCGAGGTTCTCCCTATCAATTGTTGCGCCGGCAATGGATAGAGGGTCTCCAGGGTTCCAATCCCAAGGTTCCTCCATGAGGATCAGGTCGTAGTAGGGGTGGTCCGCGATATCGCGGCAGAACTCAAACCTGATAGGCCATATTGGCCTGTTGCATATGGAATCGTTGACACTGGCCGGCCGGCGTGAAGCATGCTTTGCCCTGGTGGCATTCTCGCTGAAGATCACACGCTGTCGGTCTGTCGATATCCGGTCGAAGGCCAAGACTTTGCGGATGAACCATGGTCTACAGCCCCCCTGACAGTAATTCGCTGGGGATTCTAGACACTGGTAGAGCCTGCCTGGGGATTCGTTCTCCCCCAGATACCAGTTGATGTACATATTCCTCAAGAAGCGGGCCGCGAACGCCTGCTCGATGATGGTTTTGAATGTGCGAGAGACTCTGCGGTAGTCTCTCCACATGGCCACTGTCTCACTGCTGCAAAATGAATTGTCGGACAGGCTCTGGCTGAGTATCTGGATCCAGAGTTCCTGAGGCAGCTGTAGCACCCTCTGTCGTGCCGCCTGCTGGGAGCATCGTCGTGCTTCAATGACGCGCTGAGCGACCGCAGCTACTGCAAGAAGCATACAAATGGACGCCAAACCTAGGTGAACCCACATCTTGCTTGGTCGATGTGCTTCGTGGGACGGGGTTTCGCGGTTCGGATGTTTGTAGGATGTTGTTCCGGTGTTGAAATAGGCTGCATTGAGGATCTTTAGAAGTAACCTACTAGCCGGAAGCTCTGCAATAGTTTTGAGTTGGCCTGTTTGAGTTACAAAGTTGCTGATTGTCACATACGCAATGTTCTTTCCCGTAGATTAAGTATTGGCGCATCAGACAATCAGCTCCCACATTCTATGGTAGTTACTACTTCCACGGGAGAAATTGATAGTCCCTGGCTTGGTCTTCTGTGTGATAAAATCACAACAAATAATCCGCGGTTGGCTTGGTGATAAATCGATTCCACCGGGCCTAGAATACACTGCGGTCGTCAGAACTTGACTGTACAAGTGATTGACTTCGATGATCTCAGTTATCCAACCACTGTTAGGCGTATGCCGGAAAACCGAAGATAGGAATCACAATGTACGCGACATTCAAGTGAACATGTGGGTATAGTGACATTCACTACCTTTGTAATCATGAAATGACTGGCGAAGACTGACTGTTTCTACGGCCGCCGGGACCACCGATGTAGTTGGATCCCCTAAAGCAGTCACGGGCTCATACTCATCATTTTTGCTGCGCGTCATCTACCACTGGGAGTTGTTGATATGTGCAACTGAAAATTGGGAGCCTAGACGTTTATTACTGTAACGAGATTACACTTCAATCACCTGGGGGTATTGAGAGTCAAGATATTGTACGATGGCTTCTCATGATGGCAAACAGACCTAGAAATTCCTCGAAACAGAGAAACAGGTCTGAGGCTGCTTACCGGGCGGCGCTTCTTTCTGCTACCGAAATTTAAGACGTCGTCAGGTCGCCGGTTTCAATAAGAATCTCCTCTCTTCTTCTTTTAGAAAGTACAATAACTGGGAAGCATGAAACACAATATTCATTAGCCATTAGGGGCTCTTTGTAATAAATACATCTCAAGTGACTCATTTAATCATCGTTTCCACATTGGTAAATCGGTTCCTTCGCATCTCGGGGGTCTCTATAGCAATGTGGTGTAGTCTCGGTGTATGGATGGTAATCGTGGTGAGACGCTCGGACCAGGCTGAGGCGAGCTCGGGAAAGCTCGAAAACCGGGACTTCGAAATATTTTGCGAGTAAGCGGCCTCAGTAAAGGCAAGCATTCGCCCGCTCTTTTCGAGCGCCAATTCTTCGAATGTATGCTCCCTGGACACGTGCCTTTCGCGCGGCGGTACCTCACGCACCGAGAACCCGTGTAGCGACGCGTCCGGGCCGACACTTCCACGTCTCGACCGCGGCCAGAGCAGCAGTTGCCGACAACAGCCCCGACGACCCGCCCAAGGATGGCAACGACAAGCCTGGCGGCGACGGTCGCGAGCCTGGCGACCGCGAGGATGCCAAAGACGAGAATCTGTTCGGCGAGAAGGCCTTGAGCGAGGCCGAACAGTCGCGAGGACGCCAGCGACGCTCCAACGGCGCTTCGTCAAGAACTCGCAACGTGAAGAGCCGCGCTCCGGAGGAGCTACCGCCTGTTCAGCTACCAGAAGACTTTCAGAAAACCAACGTTTACCAGCATGATGATCTGGCAGTGGCTGATGCCGTGTTGCGGCAAATACTGTTCCCTCGTTCTGTGCCGGCTCTATCGGCCTTATACACCGATCAGATCGAGAGGATGCTAGATGTGGTCCGTATCAGACACCTGTCCGGACGAGGGGCCACATACCTGAGCATATACAACGCGCTTGCTTACGACAAATCCGACATTGACAGGCTGTTGGTGGACTTGCGGTCGGATGATCTCGATCATTTCTGCTTCCAATCGGCTGTCACAGTCAACGCCGCCGCGGATAGCGTATTGCACCTAGCACCGCGTGCGATTTTCGGTAACTCCGATGCAAAGGAGGTAATGGCGAAGCTATTTAAGCACCGGGACGAGGTTCGATGTCAATCTCGTTCTTATGATTTAGCGAAGTATAAGGAGATGGAACATTACCTATTAATGAAGATTTCGATATCCTTGGACTCTAAGAAATCCGTTGCATCGGCCCTGCGGAACATTTTCCGCTCGAAACTGCCCTTCCGGCAACCCCTAGGAATACTACATCACGATCTGGCAGTCGAGGCTGCAGCTTCGATAAGGGCCGACTTCGCAATAAACCCGCCTCAACACATCAAACCCGGCGATCTGAAACGTCCCATAACGATCCTCAACTTTGACTACTATTCTGGATCCTGGTGGCCAAAGTTAGTTGTCAAAAACCTGGGGAGCGAGCTTGGAGCCAACGTTATCCATATTACGGCCCAGGACATTGCTGAAATCGTTGGATCATATCTTGGCCAGGATACCACCCACGCTCCCGGGCCCATCTCTTTGCTAGGGTACAAGGCAGCTGAAAATACTGGCCGGCTGCACGGTGCGACTGCAGACGCTTCTGAGTCTCCATTTGGCGCACAAATGCCCTTCTCGATCGTTTTGCCCAACGAGAAGCCGAGGAAAGAGGCCAAGAAGAAAATGACGATCATGGATTACATTCTGCCACAGCCAAACCGAGGCAAGTCGGACGAGATGTGGGTCGACCTGAAGATGAACGCTGTGTTGGAGGAGATCATCCATGCAGCGGACTCCAACTGTAGTGAACAGCGGCCTCTGATCATCCACATCCACGATATCAACGCAATCAACATGGACGACGAATGTGGCTCTGCCCTTTTGGGTAGATTGCGTAAAGCAATAGACAATCTATGGGTCGAGGGGCGAAAAATCGTCCTCGTGGGGACTTGCGCGAGTCTTAATGCACCTGCACATTATTCGTCCGCTCTCAAAGAGCTCGAGAGTAATGAACGAGTCATAACATTTCACGAGTACGACCCATCGAATGAGCCATATCCCACGATCGCGAAAAGGGACAAGAATAGCGCTAACCTGGCCAAACACTTCCAAAAGCGCATCGCAGGAGTTCAAAAGGATGAGTACCTTGATGAGAACGCGAGAAACATTAAGAGTATGCTGAAAACATTGTTGGGAATCAGCCATGACTCTCGAGACCCTCGGGTTGACTTGAAATTCCATGCGATGGACGAAAAATACCAATTTGAGTCATTATCTGAGTCCATTCTACCAGTGACTGAAGTATATCGCATAGTCAAGACCATGATAGGGTTTCCAAGGCAGCAATCTGATCATTTCGACCAAGGCGTTCTGCAGGAAGCTCTTCACCTCATAAAGCACGTGGATGCTGCCAAGGATCGTATCGCCAAGACCAAAGACACGCCATCAAATGAGGTCAAGCGGAACGTCATGGGCGGGAATGGCCCTCCAGGCGGCAATCTTGCAGACTATGAGGAGCGCTTCAAGTCAGCGCTGGTCAACCCTGAGAATATTAGGACTACGTTTGGCGACGTTCATGTGCCTCGCGAGACTATTGACTCGATCAAAATGCTCACTCAATTGTCACTTCTGCGACCTGAAGCCTTTGCATACGGTGTATTAGCTACGGACAGAATTCCTGGTTGCCTGCTCTATGGGCCACCTGGAACGGGCAAGACATTACTTGCCAAGGCGGTTGCCAAGGAGAGTGGTGCCAACATGGTAGAGGTCTCAGGCGCCAGCATCAACCAAATGTACGTGGGCGAGAGTGAGAAGAACATTCGTGGTCTATTCAGTTTGGCCAAGAAAAAGGAGCCTCTCGTCATCTTCATTGACGAGGCAGATGCGCTGCTCGGCGCCAGAGGCCGGCGCAATGACGGCGGCGGTCGACGGGATGTCATCAACCAGTTCCTCCGCGAATGGGATGGCATGGACACTTCCAAAGCCTTCATCATGGTAGCCACAAATCGCCCTTTCGACCTCGACGAGGCTGTCTTGCGCCGGCTTCCGAGAAAGCTTCTGGTTGACCTCCCGCTTGAAGAGGATCGCGCTGCGATTCTCAAGATTCACCTGAAAGGCGAGGCACTCGATGATACCGTATCCATTGAGAAGATGGCGAAGGACACGCCCCTCTACTCTGGTTCCGATCTGAAGAACGTGTGTGTAGCTGCCGCAATGGCCGCCGTCAAGGAGGAGCTGGAGGCGTCCGAGAAGCACACCGGGCCAAAGCCTTACGTCTGGCCGGAGAAGCGGATCCTGAACCACCGCCATTTCGAAAAGGCCCTGGCTGAGATCCCTGCCAGCGTTAACGAGGACATGGCTACCCTCAGTGCCATCAAGAAGTTCGATGAGCGGTACGGAGAGAAGAAGGCAAGACGCAAGCGTCGTGGCATGGGTTTCGAGGTCGTACCAGAGGCCACCGACTCTCACGAGGCGAGGGTCAGAGGGGACAGGTAGATGACGTGTACATAGCTGCTGTATCACCAATTTGCTTCTGTACACTAGACTGGTTTACATCTGTACATTATGCATGGCGCGCTGTTGTGCAAAGCGCACTTCAAAAGGCATGCCCGGGCACGCCCGGTTTCAGGGCACAGGAGGAGGGAAGCGTTGGTTTGCATAGAAATAGGGTGTTAAGGTGCCATTGCAGCCTTGCCATAGAAACAGGGCGGAAGGTGGCGTCCAATGACAAGCTGTTCTACCGATACCCATCATCGACTTCTTCCACCCTATGTGTGATGTACCTTTTGTTATGGGACTTCAGGCCCGTTCTGCTCATCTCTCGCGCAAAGACAAAGTCTCCCTGTCCCCCACTGTCAGAGGACCCGACAGCTTCGCAGCCGTTACGCTCGACACACGCATCGGAACACAGCACTTCAACCAATCACCACTCACAGCCCCCTCTACCCAATCACCAACAGTTACAACCCCTTAACAGGATCTACTTCCAACCATGTCCGATTTTGTCTCCGACTTTGACTTCTCTGCCTTCTTGGCCGCCGATGAAACCACCTTCGACGTCAACTGGCAGCCTCCGATTGGTGACGACTTCGACTTCTCGGCTTTACTTGCCCTTGGCGATGGAACCCTTGACCCCAGCCTGCCTCTCCAGCCCATGCTTCCCTGGGGCGAGGCAACCGACTTTCCCACCCTGTTGCCTGCAGGTGACTTGGATCTCGGCCAATCGTGAGGATTTTTTTTTTTAGCAGTTGCTAACAAAAAGGGTGTTAAGGGACTGCGTGGGATCGCCGCATGCAATCCAGGGAGCCCAGTAAGTTTTGAAACACGCAAGTAGTGTAAGGATGTGCTGACATACACTAGGCCAGCCGAAGCTGAAGTCGCTATTTCTCAACCTGCCAATGAGCTGGTGGACAATGAAGCGACTGTAACCGAAAACATACAGCGTGGCAGGATGATTGCGATTGAGCAGTGCCAGAAGTGTGAGAAGGAGTTTCATAATTACCATGAGATCTATTCTCATGCAAAAGAATCTGGGCACTATCACAAATTTTGTCCTGAGTGCTCTGAGGGGTTTTATTTCTCCAGTCAACTCGAGTGGCATGCGGTCGAAACGGGCCATAGAGCCTTTCCTTGCAATGTTCTCGGCTGTCGTCAAGCGTTCATCCGGGAAAGTCACCTGCAGGGCCATGCAAGCCATGCTCACGTCCCTGACCACTATCAAGTCGAAGCAAACCATCCAAATGAGTGTGCCGAATGCGGCAAAATCTATCCCACTCGTTTTCAATTGCAGGTACATTCCATCGAAATGCAACACAGGCCTTTCCAGTGTGCCTGCGGTGTTAAATTCTCCAGGCTAGATGTGCTTCACCGTCATATCGATTCATACGCCAATGCCATGCCGAAGTTCCCTTGTTCTTTCTGCAAGCTCCATCGTGGAAGGCACGGTTTTCGCCGCCGGGATCACCTGGTTCAACACCTTCGTGGCTACCACCAATTTGACTCAGAGGAGATCAATCAAGCAGTTCCTGCTGCCAGGAGCCCTACCACAAATTGGGTGCACCCAGTTTGCCCACACAGCGGATGCGAGCACCATCGAGGCGAATCGTTTTATGAACTATCTCAACAGGAGCAAATTCAACAGAGGCCATTTGGCAAGCGCTCGGAGTTGACGAAACATTTGAAGGATGATCATGGTGAAACCCCATTCCCGTGTGACGTTCCCGGATGCGACAAGATCGGTGCCAAGGGCTATGTTCGAGAAAAAGACTGCATGAAGCACCGAGTCGCCAAACATCCGGATGCCGGCCCGTATGTCCCTGCGGCACGAATCTCACGAATTAAGTGCAATATTCCCGGTTGTGGAAAGACATTCAAGTCCTCGCAGTCGCTTGGAAGTCACAGATCCTGGGTTCACTACGGGTACAGAAAGGAGATTGATCCGTTCGTCTGACAGAAAGTTGTTAAAAGGTGGAAACAATTCACTTTTATTATATTTGCAACTTCTATATCAAACTCATGCCCTACTGCACAACATCATAAGCCTTTGCTGGATATAAAGTGGCACCTTTCTCGCCTTGAAAACAAACTTATATGGTTCAAGCGGAATTTAAAGTTGCAATGATGTAATTTGGGTAGACTTTTACTTGTCTTACTATAGTTCACATATAAGGAATACACAAGGACATCGTGGGCTTATCCGGCATTGTTAAATTTATATGCATGATGTTTTCATTACATCGCGATACCTGCCAGTAGTGACATCTCAGCTTTGTTACATTATCTAGTATTATATATGCTTCCGTGAATTGTTAGAGTGCAAGTGTTTCAAGCGAAGTGTTATCCCACAATCAGCTCTATCACGTTTATACGATATTGAATGCCCGCGTTTTCAACTTGCTTAAAAAGTGAGTTTTTGGCACATGTTGCAAAGAAGCACAGAAGGATGTGTGCACAATTTTCTATGCCCCAAACCTCGAGAAGTCCTCCAAATATTTCAACTTGACAAAAGTTCATCTTTCGCTATGCTGGTTAGAGTTGCACCTTTCTGATCCGAGTCTGGGTCTATTCGTAAATTCTGCCATAATACCATGTCCATGGCTAACCATGATCTGATATACATACCTCAGCGAGTATGGGCACCGTGATAGCCTCCAGTCAAATGCAGAAATTCTATCAAACAGTCTTCATTACCAAGTCAAAGCCCAATGACACAGCCACGAAAATTTCCATATCTGAATAAGTTATAGGAAAGCACTAACTCTCAAATAAGTGAACAGCCTATGTGGTCTGAAGCTCTGGTGCTGTTGACGTGGAAGATTTTATTTCTGATCATAAATCCCTAATCCATCGAAAACCCCACAAGAAGTCTATGCCTATTTCCAGATTACCAATATTGGAGCCACAGTGACTTATGATGATTCCGCGGCACCACCATGGTGCGTAATCGACGAGATGACATGACACGTACGTCATTGTGTATTCTTTCTCAATATGTCCGTATGGCTTCCCAAAGCCATTACAATGTTGCAAGGCTTAGATCTTGGTTCCACAACAGACAGCGTGCGCGGTACAAAGCTTGCGGCGCTTGGGTGCATTTAGTCACAATCATTATACAGCTTCAGTGCTGCATTGCAACAACGCCCCATCACGCAATTTCATGGTGGAAAAGCTGACTTCGACTTGTCCTGATCTGAAATCCAGGTAGACATCAATCATCCCATTCACAGTCCCGTCGTTATGGATCAGTTAGCTTTCTACTTCTGGTGCGCATGCGGCTTCACGGGCAGAACCTTGGGGTGGAGGCGACTTCACTCTTTACCCAGTGACTTGCTACAAAACGACCCAACAGCACATTTCGCATGCGTGTGCCATCAGCCCTGGACGTGTAGCTAAATGGATAGCAACGCATTATAGCCCCTTAAGGCTGCTACTTATATTACGTTATTACACGAGCGGGAATTGAGGGAAAATTTTAGATACTGCCCACAATACTGCACGCCCGGTAAGACATGTATAGATCCTTCACCTCACAAGAGAATGGGCACTCTGGGGCTTTCGACATTAAGTACAATTATTTGCATGTGTCTTCAATATGTAAATCTTCGATGGTGCTAAAAACCGAGGCGCCAATCGCCGGGCCTCCCCGTCTTTGAGTGAAGCTCCCTTTCGAACCTCTGTCGCCGAGAGTTCCCGGCCGCGGGGACTCCCATTCGTCCTCGTCATCCTCATTAGGGCGTAGGCGGAGTATCGTCATTCGCTTTGCTTGGTTGGGCATCCCGTGCTGCCTGCCGTTCAAGAGCGCCTGTCCTACATTGCCGCCGCTTGTCGGCAGCAATCGTTGCAGCGCCAATGCCGGCTCTCTACCGGCATCTTCGCGTCCTCCCGGATACAATCCTTGTGATATAGATAGGCATCGCATTCCTGCCATGGGTTAGCCAAAAAATGCGCACTTGACAAGAAAACTCGGGGACTTACTAAGTTTGAGCAGATCAGCTGGTTCGGGCCCGGGACCGGCTGACCACAAACCGTACATCCCGATCTCGAAGTCCGCGTATCTGGTTTTGATAAAGCTGCAATCGCTTCGGGCTCGTGCCGGGCCTGGATCCTGGCATTCCTCAGGATGGCCAATGCTTTCGTGATGGTGCTCTCCTTGAGTGTATCGCGTGCTTTCAAATACGCCAAATGTTTCATGACCTCGTTCATACGATTTTGCGACGATGCCAACCATAGCGCCTTCTCCTCTATGAAATCGAGGTAGATGCCCTGCAATTGTGGTGCAAGAGTTGCCTTGTGCGTCAGAGAAAATGCATCCCATTCCGATACATACTCCTTTTCATCTGGATGAACGTCGGTGTAATCCTTGATGATGTCCCGGTGTTTTTGCAACAGCCATGAGTTATCTACTTGAGGCTCATCAACGCGGGAATTCGGCTCAAGCAGGGCCTTGCTGATACGATCAAACATGGGTTGCTTGTTGTTGGGAATGATTTGTTTATTTTCTTTCGGCTTGGCGGACAAGGTACGTTTCTGAGTTGCGTCAACAATAGCTTCACGATATAGGAGGGAATTTACTCACGGTCGCCAATTTCGGACGCTGTCGCGGGGCCGGCTTTTCTGGGGTTACCTCAGCCGGAGAGTCTTCTTCATGATCATCCGGGCTAGGTGGTTCCAAGAAGTCCTGTGTTCTGTCGACTCGAGGCGTCTCTTGCCCATGCCGAGATATGGCAATTCGCCATCCACCTCTAGGTGTAAAGTCTATAGTGAATTTGAACTCATCATGGTCGCTGATGTGTGCCTTCAGCTGATCAAAGGACGAATGCGCTGCGAAACAGCGCAGACAAGACCAGTTATCAGTTGTTGATCGGCCGCTAACAGGGAGAATCCATGTAACTTGACCGAGCTCCGCCGCTTTTCCTGCATCCTTCCGCTTCTTTCTTTCTTTCAGCTCTTTGCCGCGTGCTTTATCGCTCAACAGCTTCAGATTGTAGCTCTGAGGCTTGTCCCTCATCCGGAGAGACCTGCTCGGAGTTACAGCTTCGCCATTGGGATCCTCGTCATCGTCCATAACACTAGGATCATCGTGATTCCCGTGTCCATTGACCAAGGTTTCGGTCCGGCCATTAACATGCCCGTTTGTAAGGGGCTCCAGAACACCATTGACGCGCGGCACTTTCAACTCCGAGGGCGTGCTTTCCGCCGAAAGCTGCCCCGCACTGATTGCCGTGGTGATGCTTGACCACCGCAAATCCGTATCCATCATCAAATCCGTGGGGACATCGTCGCCTGTGGTTTTCCTGAGCCTGACAGACGTTGACATTCGGGGTTTGACATATTTGTAGACGAATCGCGATGAAAGCACCCATTGTCGTGGCGAACTGGAGGAGGGCCTGTTGTAGTCCTCACCCTGCAGCAGGTCCAACGGTGGCCAGCGGGGATCTCCAGCAGACTCTAGTTCTGTCTGAATCAGATAGTCATCGGCCAGTCTGAAGCCTTGTCCGTCGTCGTGCTCAATGCAAACTTTGTCCGCGGCTATGTGGAACGGTTGTTGTAGATAGACCCTGGCCGTCCGGCAAACGCCGTCGGGGTCGCGAAAAACCTTGAGGTCGCACGTCTGGCTGTCGCAATAGAGGACCTTCATTTCCACCTTGGGCCTGAAGCGAAAGATGGTGAGTCTGCATCGCGCCCTGACGACGACATCAAGGTTGTCTTTCTTGACGGGAGAGCCATTTCCATTCAACAAGCCGTTTGCATCTCGGCTCAAGTGTTCCTCCCGGCCAATCCTGAGCACCTCAACCCTGAGAGCGCGATCGAAGCCCTCGGACGGGTCACGAAAAAGAGGACCAACTGCAGCCACAGCGCCGGGGTCCAGTGAGTCCTCAGTGATGCGGCGACGTTTGGTAGCTCTGTGGGTGTGGTCAGCTGAAACGGGCCTGTCGCCGTTGGTTGCTGACAGGCCCTCGACCACGGAGTGTACGCTCTTGGCCACGGAGTGCGCACTTTCCGTCGCACTTTTCCACATTCGATGGAGAAACGGTGATTCGCGTTTGTACGGGGTTGATGCCGACATATCTGAGGGAATACATGAGTGCAGATCGCCACACCACTGCGGCTCCCTGCTCGGAGGTGATGAGCGTGAGTAAACAGGCCAGCCAAGAGAGAGCGCCGACCCAATGAACGCAAGCAAGAGAGTCTCAACAATGATACATGGTCCTAGTATACAGGCGCGATGACGGAGATGCAGAGAAGTGCGCAGGCAGCGGAAAACAAGGCGGCTTGCGGTGGATCAACAAGGCGCAGTAATAGGCAAGTCAGGCGAATAGTGAGATGAGACCGGGTGGATGAGATGTGATTTCCAGGGTGAGTGAGCTTTGGAAAGTCCAATGGCAGCGGATGAGAGGCGAGCAAGCGCGGAACACAGCCTGGGCCCGCGCGATTGAGCCCAGAGAGCGCAGTGGTGAATGCGACCAGAGGGCGGGTGAGGTATAGGAGTGTCAGGATGTGGGTGGACACATGTGATGCGTGGTGTCTTGTCGTGTGCGTGTGTGCAGCGAGGAAAGAAAGAGACGCGTACCGTGCCAAAGGGCCCATCCAGCAGACAGAGCGGACCAGGGTCGGGGGAGTGCATTGGCGGTGCCCCGTGCTGCCCAGTGCCCGTTCGAGAGCGCCAACCATGCGCCAATCAGAACTGCTCGACGTCCGAGTCACGTGGCAGCTGGCGCTGGACTATTTTTCTCGCTTTGAGTTGCCCTTGGGCTAAATATTAATAACACGACTCAAGCTTCACCATAACCACGTTGGGTCCGAGGCGTCCGGGGGGTAGTGCTTGCCCTCTTGAGTTCTCTTGTATGAGGCATCGGAAATTCAAAGAGTGTTGAACAAAACAAGTCCTTGGGATTGGTCCATAAAAGTTTCACATCCTGCAGAAGTAAGGCTCAATCTGAACAGTACCTATGTGGTCAAGACGAAAGTTCGGACGCGACTGCTCGAACTCATATATAGCCAACTGTCGCGTATACTCAAATTTGCGTATTGCAAACATGACAACACCGTGCTTTGCAATTGATAGCTTGTGATGGTTTTTCCTGATGCAGAAGTGCCGGGTGCCTGCTGTATGGGACTGCATTCCCACCCCCTAACCCCTAACCCCCCCAAGGTCTTTCCGATCGCAGTTGATTTGAACACCCGTGTTGGAAAGTTGATTCTACCATTCCGGCCCTTACACGAGCCCTCTTCGTTCCACTGACCAGCCATGTTCCACTCGGATATTTCAGGATGTTGTTGCACCACTTTCCAACGACTTGTCCCGTTATTGGCTCGTGCTGGGCATAACTACCCGCGCTAGTGGCACACACGACTGGCCTATGTTTCCCGTTGTCTCTACCAGTACAGATTGGGCGTCCGTGCCTTGGGCGCCAAGGTGCTCTGCTTCACTCACTTCCCCGTACCCTCCAGCTGATTTATCCAGAGCTTTCTCAACTCGCACATGAGAACGCAGCACGCCACATAAACACACACCTTGACCTACTGAGCTCCTACCTTCATATAGGTGAGGGCGATTGTCCCTTTCTTTCAAGGTGCAACGACTTATGCTGACCTTTTATCAGTTTCACGACCCGTCGAATTGGACGTGGCTCGATGATTGCAGCAAACGGAACTGCGGTCAGACTCATTGAAACCCAGGTGGACAGGTTGAGCTGTCCATTTCTGGGGGCTTCACAGCAACTCGCCTCCCAAACGGAACTTTTGACCGACTGGCGAAAGGCAACAAAGTGGCAGAAGTATCCAGAGCACCAGTGAGGCCCTGCGCCGTTGAATTCATGCTCGATGCAATGGCCAGCGCTGCCCGAGAAGAACGGCGGGGTAGCCCTGATGGTATCGGAACAGACCTCACCTTCTACTACAACAAAGGCATAGCGGGGAGGGGCTGCCTTGCTTGAAGAAAGGAACAACTTTCGCAAAGACGCCTTTGATATGCTTCTGCCAGCGTTCCACGGTAATAGCGCAGCAGTTGAACCGATTTGGGACCTCGCAAACCTGAGTTAAGGCCCATGGGATATTCTGGACGAGCCTCGAAGAGTCGAGGGTCCCTAGTCCGATGCGGTTGGGTCTTCCAATGCAGAGGTGATGTCCTCAAGTTCACTCCAAGGACTCTGTTGCTCCATTGATACCACTTGCGCATACGCTGGCAAGCAGTCCGGCGACATGGACGTCTTATGGTTTGGCTGGCCGGCCTCACGCGGCCGGGGAGTGGAAGAAAGGTGGGTCCCTGTCCAGGGGCTGCCGGCCGGACTCGCCTTACTCAGCCAACCTGCCACTGCCCGCCCCGCTTATCAGATCTCGGCCGAATCGATAAGGACATTTTAGCGCAGGTCTGCAAGGTCGGGAGCGCAGCTGCGAGCTACTCACGATCCACATCGTCATTGCCCGGGCGAGTTCACCATTGCGACAAGCGACAAGCGACAAGCTGCACTCCATACGCAGAACCAACAAGCCAGCACTTGACACGCCACTCTTCTTTGACTCGCCATTGTTCTCCCGTGCACTAAAATCGCCTGCGCCAGCACCACTTGGAGCCATGCGAGCCGGGTAACCACGATTGTTCACGGCTTGCCGCTCCGATTGTGAACGCCGGTGTTGTCGGCGCAAGTCGTTGGCTTGCTCTTTCTCGGCGACACGACACCTGCGGGAGGAACGGCTGCGGTCTCCATTCCTGTTCCTTCCTGCCCTGTGCCCGCCGGCGTCGACAGAACAGAACTTGTCTCGCGACAGCCTCGATATCGTATGGGCTATCCAGACTCGGTGCCTACACACGCCGGTAGTTTTGGTGTGTAGTTGCTGTCGTCCGCTCCTGCACGCATTCACTTCTCGCCTTCCGCCTTCCACTCCCACCTTCCACATCCTACCCTTTCCCCTTCACAGCGCTCAGTCATTTGTCCCCGTCTGACGACATCATGGACTGGGATTCGGACAGCGCCAGTTCGGCAAGCCCCTCGCAGCCGACTCGGCACATGCCTAGACGTGCTGCTAAGCTCAAAGAACCGGCCAGGGTGACTCGCTCCTCTGCCGCACACCCTTCAGCTTCGGACCGCGACGGCGCGCCGTCTTTTGCTGGCCTGAGTGACGCTGAGGAGGATAGTGACAGCGACAGTGAGGGGGATGGCGACGAATCTAGGAACTTTGTCGCCCACCATGGCGGCCGGAAGCGTGGACCTGTTGACAACGAGACCCTTGCGTCCAAACGCCCTCGCCGGAATCCTCGCCGACACACGCAGGCCCCCACCACACCCCGTCGCTCAGCGCACAAGGCATCCGCCAGGTCATCGGCAAAGAAGGCTGCCCCTGTGACCATAGAGGCCCAGGTTGTGTTGGCGGGCAATTGGGTCATGCTGCCGTATATGGTCTGGTAAGTCGCCCCTGTTGTGGAGGATGGCCGAGCGTTAGAGACTAACGATATTTCCCACAGGCTTAACATATTCGAGCATGTTGCTGCCCCGATCCGAGACCCGTCTGCCCGCGCCGAGGACATCACAGTCGCTTCGAGAACACTTCTCAATGCATCACGCAGTGCCAAGACGCTCTCAGAGCCTGCTTTGACTTCCCTATACAGATTTGCGGATCTTACACCCGCCGGTGCTCTCGTGTTGAGCAAGTTGCTGGCTGTCCCCAAGGACTCCGTCGCGTTTAACTACTGGCCCAAGATTGAGACCCTACGCATCGAGGTCGGCGACACGCTTGTCAAGAAAGTGCAAGGCAATTATGTCAGCCTGCCTGCGCTGGTCCAGTCCCTTCCTCGGTTGAAGGCTGTCCTCCTGCATCATTCTCTCGACAAGGAACCGTATCGCGACTTGGATGCTCATATTCGCTGGAGATATCCCCAAGAACTCTTCGACGCATATTCGTTCGTTCCCCAAGGAGAACTAGGCCCTACCGATAAGCGCAAGCCCACGGAGTTGAGAAGTTGGGTGTGGAACGCGCGCTTTGCTGGTGACCAATGCTGCCTGGATAAGCTGCCACTCATCCACCAGAGTCTGAGCTTCTGCACGCTGCGAAAGGTGTCTTTCGTCAACTATCAGGTGCCCTCCCTTAACACTAAGCTGTCAGACGAGGCCGCAGTTTTGGAGATGGATCTGCCCGAGATCCGAAACTTGGCAGCCGCTATTGCCGCATTGCCTCGTCTTGAGCACTTGGTTTTTGAGTCTTCGACCATGGTTAATGGCCATCTGTTGAACATGCTGCCCGACAATCTGAAACATTTGCAACTGATCAACTGTTGGGACGTCACAGCGGAGGCCCTGCAGGATTACTTGCTCACTCATGGCAGCAGCATGCGAAAACTGACATTTGATCACTGCCAGGCTCTGAATCTCGCATTCTTGCCAGTTCTTGGTGTGGCTTGCCCCAGGTTGACTCATTTGAGCATGAACATGAAGTATTTTCGAGCCTTGGAGAGCAGTGGCTCAGCTGATCCGTACTATGAGTCTCTGCTTGAAGAGGGTCAGGTTCCAACATGGCCATCGTCTTTGCAACACCTCGATATACAGCATATGAGGTTTCGTGGAGAATCACCTGTTCCGGTTGCAACCACGTTCTTCAAGAGTTTGGTCGATAGTGCCTCGAACTTACCAGACTTGCGTCGACTAACATTGAATGCGAAGCTCCAGGCTTCGTGGAAAGAGCGCTCCAAGTTCCGCAACAAGTGGGAACACAAACTGGCAGATATCTTCAAGAGATCGTGGGATGAGCCAAGAGCGACGCCCCAGCGGCGATATGTGCCCCCTGCAAAGCCTCTTCGCCGTGATTCCGATGCAAAGGAGCGGTTGAATATCTCCACAACTCCAGTTCGTCGGAGTACTCGAATTGCTGAGCAGCCGCCTACGCCTCCCACGCCCACTGATGAAGTGCCAACCCAGAGCGAGAGAGAACGGGCCAATGTCAGGCGGGTGCGCAAGGAGACGCTCAAACTCGCCATACCAGGACGAGGTTATCGTGCCGATGACGAAGATAGTGAAGACGAACTGTCAGCAGCCGTCGACACCCCCGAAAACCTCCCCATCTTTAAGCAGCGTCTTTGCGATGTTGTGGCCGTCAGCATAGATGACCAGAAGATTGGCGAGTATCAGTTTGATGCCGATGACTTTCTAGATGACCCTCCCTCTGACGACGATGCAGAGTGGGATGGCAATGATATGGAGTTTGACTAGGCAAACGAGCCGAATGGACCGGATAAACCAGCATTTCCACGCGGCTCTATTCGACAAGGAAGAAGACAACGATATTTGATTTTGCGGGCGTCCAGGACACATCATTTGATATCACACTTATATTTGGCCGAGAGAGAGCCGCACTTATACCCACCTGCATTCAGGACAAGGCGTTTGGCTCATTGCATCCATGGCTATGGCACGTATGGAGGTGATTAAGGGAGAATTAGGGAAATATGGACGGAATTAACCACGTGTATGTAGCTTTAGAGCATCTGTCAGCGACGAGACTCACGTCGCCTGGACGGACACAAATGAACCGATGCTTAGACCAATGCAATGTGCCTGATTTAAACAAGACAGACGATGTGATGCTAGAGCATCCCCAAAATCCGGTAGTAGTAAATATCTCGGCATAGCGAGCAGCGGAAGTGTTGGGCCGTCCACCTCAGCATCAATTACCCCTTTGTATAAATCTTCCCTCTGGATGCTGTTTTCGTTTACTCGCGATGATCCCTGTAGTCCGAAGTAGGACAATGTGTTTGTTTGGGCTTACGCCGCACAAGACATCCTCAGCTAATTGACAAAGGCTTTGTTCTGCTCTTTGATGCAAGCTTCCAGTCGAATACATAACATAAGCTGCACCCGTGCCTTGACAAGCTCGGGGTTCGGCTGACTGAATCTTCGCCGCCTTGCTATCACAATGGCCGCATCAGAGATTTTCGAGAGTTCAGATGAGTGCCAAGTCTCCCCATTCGTTCCTGCCGTCCTTTCAGCTCTCGATAACCCTGCACAGCAGCCTGTCAATGTGGCCTGCACCATCTGCCACCGAATACTCGACATCTCGGAGAGCGTCAAGCATCTGGTCGCGGATTTCCTGGCCGCAGGCGGGCAAGCCAACTCGCACTCGACGTTCTACAAGGATAACGACATCGAGCAGGCCGCCGTGCTTATCTGTGGACACCTCATAGGCTACGAATGTTACAAGCAGTTATACACCATCCGTAGACAGATGCTGGAGGACGACCCGGGGGCCGAATGCCCGGATCCGGCAGCCTGTCCAATCTGTCGCCAGGTGCTTCGTTTTACGGATTGTAAGTGTCCCATTGACGTGAAGGGCGTCCTAGCGCTGACCTACCCACTAGAGAAGAACTCTTACGATCTCATGAAGGGTTTCAACGAGAACGTTCCTCTAACCCTCACGGAAGGAGCCCAGTTGCCTCGCCTGTGCAAGCAGTGCGGGGATGGGTATCTCGAAGGCTACGAGCTCTCGGTCTGGGGGCGGCGCTGCTTCGTGTGCCTGCATGGAACCGAAATCGACATCATCCACGACAACGTGGCCGAAGCCCTCACCTCCAACCACACCTACTTCTGGCGGCTGTACCTCGACACGGCGTTCCCGGAGCAGGTCCGCGAGGCGGCCACGTTCGTCTTCCCGGAGTGCGTGGCCCGGGAGGCGCAGACGCGCGCCAGAGTGACTGGGCAGTTCGACGTCGGGCGCTTCAACTTCACGTGCGACCGCCTGTGCGACGAGTTCGAGGCCCACGTGTGGTCTTCATGCGCGGTGCGCAACCCCGTGGAGTTCCGTGCCACTCGCAACATCGTCGACCGGCACCGCAGCTCGCAGGCACAGCGGGCGCGGGCGCTGCGCTCGATGGGCCCGCATTGGTTCGATCGGAATCGGGTCGAGGAGTCACTGGAGGAATAAATTCTATGAGCCTAGGGGTAGGAATGTGGTGCCGCGCCTGGTACGTATCAAGGTGGCTTCACAGTGAGATAGCTTTATTGATCAACTAGAAACGCTTGCAAGTCCTGAGCGCGCCTCTGTAAGTATACCTAGTTCAGGATAGCAAGTGTTCTCATACAATACGGAATATAAAAAGAACGAGCATGTGCCAATAGTCCCGAGCAAAGTGCCATCTCATATGCAGAGCGAGCTTGGTAGCAAAGTGTGACAACGCATATCCTCATTTCAGATTGATAACGACTATTGACAACCCTTACATGCTCAAGGATTTGAGTAGAGCAGGGTTTCAATGGCGGACTTTGAAGCTTACAGGATAGAGAGATGCACGAAGCAAAAGCAAGAACAAGATAGCAGCGAAGTTAGAAATGGAGAGGGGCCGTAAAGAAGGGATGCCATGATTGCTCGCCCTTTACAATTCCGATAACCCAGCGTATAAATCCGCCCAAGCTTTTGTTAAATCGAAACAGTGCTCTTGCCTCCATTTAATCTTACTCATTGATGCAGTTCGTGCTGGATGCAGACCTTGACAGGATGAGAGGCTGCAGTACGCGCGGCCATTGACTGCTGATCCAATGAAAGTCTGCATTATATCCCACAGACTCCTTTCAAGTTGTCACGATATGTAAGGTCGTATCGCTTGGCAACTACGGATCACCACCTTACGTGGGGCAAGAAACGCGGTCCGTCAGTGTTCCTGACGATCATAGGGTGGGCGTTTGGGAGCGCATATGCACCGAGCGTTTGCAAGACTTGGCAGGCACGGTGTTCATTCCGTCATTTTTGTGGTGAGCTACAGATGAAACCCACAGATGCAGTCTGACTAAACGGCTGACGGAGCATCGCGGCTCCAGATAGGATGTCTTGGCTTCCGGGGTTGGAGCGGCGGCCCTTGTCGATTCCCCGGACTGACGCGTCATGCCGAATGGGCGGTTATTAATCTCCGGCAGATCTTTCGGGCTGCCGTAGCATTCTGCCGGATGTCTTGAGGTTCTTCATTATCGCTCCCACCAATATGCCTGCCGCCAAGATGCAGGTTGAGCCTCAATGCTTGCTCATTCGCACGCACGCACATGCTGGTACGCAGTGACTTATAGACCTTCTCCTTGGAGCTCCTCTCCGATGTGATGAAGATGGTATGGCCGCCAGCCATTGTTGAATCTGAGTTGAAATGGACGGATATAAATATGATACGACCCTCCTACAAATATGGGTATCTTCTCTCTTGATCAGTAGCAACATTCGACATAGAGACACATCTAGGAGACTGTCCCGGTTGCAAATATGAGATTTGCAATGATCTTCACCGCTTCCGCGGCAGCAGCTTCAATACTGCCAGGAAAACGAGATGCGTCTGTTTGCACAGAGATTCGACCTCGGGTTCCATGGTAAGCCTACTTAGGCGTCTAGAGACGGTAAATATCCCTTCAATGACTGACACCTCCAGGACAAACCTCACGAGCGGAGAGAAGTCGGCTTACATTCAGGCTGATCTTTGTCTGATCAATGCGCCATCCAAGTCAGGTTTCCCAGGTGCCGTGACGCGGTGGGATGATCTCCAGTGGCCACATGTTGTTCAGTCGGCGACCGTCCACAATGTCGGCGCATTCCTTCCATTCCATCGATACTACATGACGGCACACGAGCGCCTCATCAAGGATGAGTGTGGCTATACAGGACGTATGCCGTATGTTGACAGCACCAGAGCACAAAGACGTGGAGAAAGTGCTGCATTGGTAGTGAAGTGGCTAACAGTATCTTCTGAGGTATTGGGACGAACTTGCCGATCAAGAAAACATGTCCTCCTCGGAGATGTGGAGTACGGAATACTTCGGTGGCAACGGAACAGCAGAGAACTACTGCGTCGTAGATGGGCCCTTTGCGAATCTGACCCTTCGCTGGTTGGCTGACGGCTCCATCGAGGATCACTGCTTGACCCGTATCATGAACGACAACTCGCTAAGTAGGACCAGCCAAGAAGAGATCGACGCATGCAACGCTATCACAAACTATACATCGGCTTGGGAGTGTTTCAATGGCGGTCCACACGGCGGTGGTCATGCTGCGGTTGGCGGGATCATGCTCGACGGCACCCTGAGCCCTGGCGACCCTGTTTTCTACCTCCACCACTCATGGCTCGACAAGCTCTTCTGGGACTGGCAGAAGCTTGACCTCCCTGCACGCCTCGCGGACATTGGTGGCCCGAACATTCCAGCTTCGCGTGGAACGCAGCCAGGGGGACCGGATGGACCGAACGGAACTGCCGTAAGGAGTGGCACGGGCGTCCCCGAAAATCCATCTGGGGTCATTGGTGGCACAGGATCCGAGTTTGTTGACTACTTTGGTGACAATGGTACGGTAACGACTCTGAATCACAGGATCTACATGGCCGAGATCTACCCCAACGTCACCATTGGCGACCTCATGGATCTGAACGGCGCCGTCATTTGCTCCGAGTACATTGACGTTTAGGTCGCCCCAAGTCCTTGACACAAATTTAGCCGGGAGAGGGAAAAAGACAAAAAGGAGAAACGCATAGAGAACCAGTCCTTCTGGGATTCGAACCCTTACCGCGTTTGCGAAGTTGTAGCAGCATTAATGAGGAGGCATTACTGGCTGAGAAGGGCCTGCACGACACCCGAAGGTGACGGAGCTCGCTAACCGCTAACTCTACCACCACACCAACACAGCAACGACGGACTGTCTGTTTGTTGGATTTCTGTTGCCTTATTGCTATTCATATTGCCAGCCCATGTCATTCCTCAAACAATCACCAGACAATTGCCACCCTCACCTCGACGAGCCACCACCTTGATTAGCGGATATGGTCCATTATTCAATATGGTGCTCCACATGGCCCTGAAAAGGTTGACCTGCATTTTATCTTCCGCTTTGTGAACTGAGTCTCAGACAGTCTAACCCTCATTCGACTTTCCAGGCTGAGGTACGAATATAAATGCTGAATTCAGTCCTCCAGGTGTTTGTTTGCACGCATGCATATGTGACTGTGGTGATTTAGATGCAGGGTCTTCATGCGTTTGGCAGCTCATTCCATACCTTCGGAGCAGGAGCACCTCTCCGCGCCGTCTAACTAAGGCTACATTCTGCCAGCCCTTGCGTCGTACATTGGTAGCTGGTGGTTTTAGATAGAAGATCCACCACGGATACCGCTGAATCCACAGGGTATTTCGACTAGGAATAAGGTTGCCACTCGGGCTGGCTTCGAAGTCAGCTATCTAGGCGTAACCAGGGGTCATCACTCCACATTGAAATTTTTACGTGGACACATCAGGCTCGCCAAAAGGGTTCTGTGTCACCTTGGTCAACCTTTGATGCGTCTCTAAGTAATTGAAAGATTTCTAGTGATTTCGAGGAATTCTAAAGCTTTGAATATCCAATTTGTCCTTTTTATACAGAGACTTGGATCGATGTGGTGAAAATCATGACCTTGCATAAGCGCTCAACAACGCCATTTGTATCGTCTGAATGGGTTTGGAATATTCAAACATCCAATAACCCAATTAGCGTGCCCATCCCTTGCACTCCCAGGCCCGAGGACCCGGGTGAAAGTTTCACAACGCAGGGTTGTCAAAGCGACTGTATAGCCCCACTTAATGCACCCATCCAGGCCTTTCCCCAGATCTCGTGTGCCCTCGACCGGCGACTTCAGAAGATCCCGAGTCTCGGCCCCTTGTTTGTCAGTGTGAGCGCCAAATAGGATTCTGCATGGCACCATGTGGCAATTCAGGAACAGGGCCCATGCTTGTGTGTTGCAGGTCGCATCTTGCAGAACCCTTGAAATTATGACAAGGCTAACCTGGCACAGGTTTGCTTCGAACGCCACAGTTGCTTTGAACCATTTGCCAGGGAATAGCACAAACAAATTACAGCCCGTCGACAGGACGGGGAGGTTCAATATCTGCGTGCGCTCAGCGGATCACACCGGCGGCCTTGTTGACCTTTATTTCTATGGTCGCTTTTAATGCAAGATCTTCGAGGCCAAGCGCGCTACTACGTTCTAGCCCACCAAAGTGGTATGATTTCCAGATGGTCAGTCCTCTTTCTTAATGTTTGCTTGCCTATAAATGACCTACAAGCGGGAAAATCTGCCTTGGTATGAACTGGGCGACTTGCAGAACTACTGCACTTCTTTGCCATTTTCTGGGCGTAACCAATGAACAGTTGCGGGCGACTTCCTGGCGCCGTGGAGGCTTCAAATCGCAAGTTTGAAAGGTCCGCATCTCGAGGCAACAAGCGGTATCCTAGTAAAATAAGCGATGATCCAGCTTGCTTGAAACCTGGCGCCATACGCGCGTGTGCGTAAATGGGGGAGGGCTCGGCGTAGGTTGCTTTTCTCCTGAGGCATAGCTGAAGCTGCACGTAGCCGTTGACTAGCTGTTTAGTTATAAATGTCTCGATATCAGACCGTTTCTTTTCTGCTCAACCATGAATTCATCAGCTCTCCATCTCTTAAAAGTGCTGCTGCACATAGCAAAGTCTTTGTTCTGGGTTTCATCACGCTACTTCCTATCACCATTATATATTGTCCTTTCTGCTACAATGGTCACTGTTACGAACGGCTTCGATAATCGTATCGTTGATCTTTACCCTAACGACCCACCTGTTGTACACGGGTTCGACGATCATGTCACTGATCCTGTCATTGATGGTCACGTCCTCGATGTCCTTATTGCTAACAAGGAAACCGATTTCGCTGTGGACGCATCCATACTAAAGACACCGACCGATCTTGGAGCTGTCTTGCCGGCCCTCGTGAAATTGAATGCAGGTTTGGCATCGCTGACTTCTCAGAATGACGACGCCCGGTCCCAGGTTCTGAGAGAAGCTTGGAAGCTCGTCCAATCCCTTGAGACACCACGTGAAACCATGATCAGGCACTGCTGGGCTCAAGTAAGTCACAACGTACACCAAAAATGATTTTTCTCAATTGATAATGTGGTCTTAGTCGGGGACTATTGCTGCCCTTAATACTGGGACTGTGTCAGGTCTGTGGACTACGATGGCCAAGAATGGCGACCGGCCTCAAAAGATTGACGAGCTCGCCGCAGCGACCAGGGTTGACGAAGTGCTGCTCAGTATGTTGAAGCCTGTAGCCCACGCAACTGTTCTGACCGAGGCCAGGCCGGCTCATGCGCCACCTTGCTGCTATGCAATACATCGTGGAGACTGGTAATGACGAGTACAAGACGACCAACTTTACCAAGGCAATGGCCCATCCATTCATCGCGGACAGTCATCTCGCCATGTAAGTGCAGACAAATGACAACATGTGACCGGAACAAGTCGCTGAGAAAATACCCTGCAGGTGCTCAGGTACAAGTGCCGGTGCCTACCAATTCCACGAGTTCGCCGAGGAGAACAAATTCCAGAATCCCATAGACTCCTTTGATACCTCCATGCAGCGAGCCTACAGAACGGAGAAGGACATGTTCCAATGGCTTCAGACCATTGGTTACGGCGAACATTTCAACCATCACATGCAGGCCTACGGCCAGGGTCGTATCCCATGGATGGATCCTTCATTGTACCCTGTCCAGGACAGGCTCATCAATGGCGCAGACAGGAGTTCCGAGGCGCCTTTCATTGTTGATATCGCTGGAAGTGTAGGCCACGACCTTGCCACATTCCTGAAATACCATCCCGACCACCCTGGGAAGCTGATCCTTCAAGACCTCCCTAAGGTGATTGGGCAAATCGAGCATCTTGACTCTACCATTGAGCGAATGGAATATGACTTCCACACACCCCAGCCTGTCGAGGGCGCTCGAGCCTACTTCCTACACTCGGTACTGCACGACTGGCCTGACAAGGTCTGCAACTCGATCCTGGGCAATATCACCAAGGCCATGAAACCCGGCTACAGCAAGCTGCTGATCAACGAGAACGTCATCCCGAGGACCAATGCCCATTGGGAAATGACTTCCCTAGATATGGTGATGCTGACTCTTTTCTCCTCGAGAGAGCGCACCGAGGACGACTGGAAGATCTTGTTGAAAGCGAATGGGTTGGAGATAGTCGGGATCTGGCAGGGTAGCAAAGCGTGGGAGAGCTTGATCGAATGTGAGTTGTTGACCGAGACCTAGGTGAGGAATTGTGTCAGCTTATCTATCATATCATCCATTTCTGGCTTCGGCGAAGGTAGAAATTACCTGTTGTGATTTGGATACCTAGCTAGTATGTATTATCAAGAGTTTTTGCCATCTTGACTGCTCAAACCACTGAAGTTGGTTGATCTGAAGTGAGGTATTCGTAGGCCACTATGAAGTGAATATCCATTGCTACAATGTAAATTGACCCGTTGCTAAGGGACACTGCCCTTGAAGTAACCGGCAAAATGATGTGGCAGCTTGACGACTGCCTGGCTTTAAAGATAGGAGTCCAAAGAGCTTTTAGCAGCCATCAGCGCGTTCCAAAAGGGCAAGGTAGGTAGGGGACAGGGGACACACGTAGAGTGGGAGGCAAAAGGACAGAAGGGAAAAGAAAGAAAGGAAAGTCCGGAGCAAACGCGGGATTGAACAGGAAGCCTGGAAAGCAATGAGGAATGGAAGAAAAAAAAAGAAGCCCCTTTACCGCTTGGCCAGAGCGCTACCAGTTTATTCGTCATGGCCCCTAACCGCTACCTGGACGTGCGCATCCACGGGCGTCCCCGTGGAGTACGGAAAACTGGTCACCTATTTAGAACTATCTACTTCTACTTTGCCTGTGTGCCAATCAGAAGAAGCGTGCCAGGCAACGGCCAATGAGTGCCTTAGGTCCTGAGATTGTCGTACATAGTATCTTCCCACGTACCCACACCTTGCGGACTGGCATTCCGGGAAGCCACCTAGGGGTCCTCGTTCGTTCGGCGGACAGGCGCGCAACACACCACGCTGTTTTTCATTGCAATAATCCTCATGTATTATCAATCTACGCATGGGAAGATGTTCAAGCGCCTCCTTTCACACACGATGAATCAACGTGGCTCGTAGCATGGTCTCCTCATCTTTGACAGCTCACTTTACTCAAGTGCACAACCTTCCTGTTTTCCTCGTTTCATTTGTCCAGCCCTTCATTCGTCGTTATGATGGTGATGATCAAAGATTTCTTATTTCCACCATCAGCATTCATGAACAAGTACCCCAAAATAACTGCATTTTTTTCTGCCCCTTTTTCATGTGCTGCTGGCGGTAGCCACCTCCCACGTTTCATCGTCCTCGGATCATGGCGCCCAAATTTGATACTACCTTTCGAGGACCTGTTTGGTACCATTGGGAATTTAGCAATGGCGCGGTGAGAATGTGACAACTTATTTCCGTCAATCATCAGCGCTACTTCTGCGGTGAGAGGCAAGCACAGCTGGTATACCAACTCTAGATCATGCCCCGTCCTTTGGTTGGACATTTCATGCGCCTGCGTCACAAAATACATTAGTGCTCCGGCCGGAAGCCGGGCCCCTGAGCACCATTTATTTCAGTCATCAAAGCCCAGAGATATGTAGGCAGCCTTATGGATGGCATAACGTTAGCTAATGAGGTAGCAAATATTGCTCCGTCGCTGATCCTACAGTTGGCTTACTATTGCGGTTGTGCCAGAGGCTGGCGGGTAGATTTTCAGAGTTTTTCAACGATGTTTGAATTGCAGCTCCACGAGTCTCGTTGGCACAAGATGCTCATCAGTGTAGAACGTGTTCAGATCGAAGGGAAAACTGCAAATGTTTGGCTGAAACATCTCATTTATGATATTTGCAAGTCTAAGTCCATATGCCGCGCCTCATCTTCTCTATCTTGCAGACCCAGCGAACACGCTAACCAAACCGAATACCCTTCGTAGGGTCCCATGTTCCCCCGGCTGCGGGATTATTGGCAGTGGACGAGGCTGGCGTCGGTGAGCCGGCGAACTTGATGCCCGCGTCTGGGTTCCACATTGCTTGCATGGGGTTCGCCCTGGGTTGCTGTGGCTGAGGGGCGACCGTCTCGGCGGGCGGTGCCCAGCTCTGGATATGTGCCTCCGCCGGGCTTTGGACGGGCTGTCTGGCCGGCTGTTGTGGTTGTTGCCGAGGGCTAAAATAACCCTGTGGCGGCTGTTGCGGAGCTTGGCCTGGTATCTGGCCGTAGTTCTGGGCACCTTGGTCCAGGCTCAGGTTATGCAGCGGCGGCATAGACAGCTCGTCCTCCAACATCCGGGCTTCACGCCTACGTTCCGTGACCCAGCTCCTGGCTCCGTCTCTGAAGCCCCCAACGATGCGACTGAGGTCGTTGTAAAATTTTCTACCAACCTCGACGTTGCTGATGAGCTCCTTGTACTTGTAGTATGCATTCTCCAGCTTCTGCAATGCCTGCTCGCGCTCGCGGTTGCCTCTGTCGCCGACCACCTTCTTTTGACTCTCAAATTCGCGATTCACCCGGATCAAGTCGTTTATCAGCTTCTCCTGCTCTGCACCTTCTTTTTGAACTAACTCCATGTCCGGCTCGTAGAGTGAGTCTAGTCGCTTCTCGAAGAAATCCTCAAAATGTGCGGGGACGATGGCAGTAGCGACTGCCTGACTACGCTCAAGTCGCGCAGCCTCACCCAAGATATCCGACTTGATGTCATCGCTCTTGGCTTTCTCCCGCAGCGCTTCGGCTTTTCGACGTCGCCGGCTCTCAAGGCGTGTGACGTCGTTGTAGACGCTTCTCAGGCGGCCAATGGCGGGTTTCAGAGTTTCTGGGATCTCCGTGCGTCGCGACGATGGTACAAAGTCCATCATGCCCCTGTCCGGGCCAGCGAGCACGGCTAGAAGAGGCTCAACAGCATAGAACTTTTCACGAACAAGAGCATCGCTACTTCCACTGTTGCTGAACCAGCCTGCCGCTTCGCCGACCTGGTTCCACAATTTGGCACCTTGTACGGGATCAGAACGGCTATCGGGCCGAGCCCATCGCTCAGTACCAAATCTTTGACGCAGTCGCGTGTCTTCTTCTTCCTCGGCCTGTAAAAGACCCTTGCCCTCCTCAAAAACGGCAATGTCGGCAGCTCTGAGCTTTTCGATATCAGAGAAGCTGCGCTGGAGTCTGTTGATTGCGTCCGCTTGCCGAATCTCTTCAGCATGCTGAACAAGAGTACCAGGTAGCCCCAAGGGCTTCTCAAATGACTGAATAGAACCCGGGAGGTTGAGTGACGACATGATCTCATGGATTCTTTCATTCAAAACCTCAAGCTCTGCGATGATATTTTGGTTGATAAGACGATCGCGACGCTCCTCGTAGATAGACACAGCAATGTGTACCGAGTAGGGCACAAGCTTCGTGAATAGAGCTGGACCAAACTCCTCCTTGTCACCCAAGTGGTCGAGGGGGGCTGATACCGGAGGAGGAACCTTGGCTATTGCCATGTTCGCCCGGTCAAGTATCTTCAGTTCAGATTTAGGGGGAACAACGTCTGAAAATTGTCAGCCTCATGTAGATTTGTAGGCTGGGGTATCTGAGCATGCTTACTCAGGTAAATCAGGTCGTTGTCTTTCTCGGCCCTCTTCAGATCTTCTTCCACACGCCTCTTTAATCCGTTGAGATCGTCAACCACAATTTTGTTCAGGTAGCCTCCTCTACTCTCCTTTAAGCCCTCGTTCACGCAGGCAACGGCATCTTGTAGTCTGGCAACTTCTTCGCCATACTTGCGCTTTTCTAGACAGTCGCACGCAGCCCGGTACTGCGCGGCGGCGGCGAAGTGGTGGTGTTTGGCGCTCATGTGGTGTATCCAGCTGCTGCTTATGGCCTCGGATCGCATGGCAGCTTCGCCAGCTGTATTGTACAGGTCACTGACCCGCGCAGCAAGCTTGGCTATCGATGCGTCCTTGTAGCCGTCCATAACGGCCTTCTGCCAGTAACACTCCTGGCTCTGGGCGAGCTGGAGCTGCAGCAGCGATTCGAGGGTGTGCTCATCCATGTCTTCGGGCGGCGTGGTACGGAGTTCCGGTATGATCTGTTCTTTGACATGCTTCAACACGCCTGCTGACTGGTTGAAGTAGCTTGCAGCCGTTTTCAAACCCTCGGTATCGGATCGATTGCAGGTGACGGCGAGCTGCGAGTACAAGGCGCCAAGGTTGTAGAGGATATTGGCAAGTTCGTACTGGAGGTTGTTGTGTACTATCGGCCGTTCTGTGTTATAGCCCAGCGAAGGGTACCAAGTGAAGTCGGCGCCAATGTCTATGGGGAACTTGCCGGCCATCCAGACCAGCTGGGCGGCGTAGGCCTGCAGCTTCTTGACGCCGCTCGAGTGCGACTCGCGCACGTTGACGGCATCGCGGCGCAGGGACTCGATGACCTCGAGATCCTGCCGGAACATGTCTGGGTGCTGATCATACTTGGTCGAGATGTACTGCCGCACGGCCGTCGACAGCGACAGATGGGCGCCCTTGCGGAAGGGGACCGAGAGGATGTTGTTCTGCATGGGCGGGGTGATTTGTTTACTATCTTGCACGGGTCGGAGGGGTCGGAGGGGTTCGATCGGTGGTGGCACGAGAATGAGATCTAGGCCAGATGGTTCCGGAATAAGACAGGATTATCGTCGCATCTGGGTAAAGAAGCGCACGCAAATGTGTATTTGTGCAAGATTTGTCGCATCGAAGACCTCCGGCTCGGCATGCGTATGGAAATCTTGCTGATCGGCGCCTGAGGTGCAATGACTTCATCCCGCAACGCCGGCAGCGTGGCATTTGTGGCGTCAGCAGCTCAGCTATAGTCAAGTTGAACGATGGTGTGGCGGTGCACCCCAAAGTGTCTGGTCTGGATTCCAGGGGCATGTATTCCAGTACTAAGCTGGAAGTTAGCACCTGTCACCAACGCCCAGCCCGTGCGCGGACATGGCTGGCTGCTCCAATGGGTGTTCTTGCTGCTACATGCGACCTGACGCGTAACCCCGGCATTCGCACGTGGCTGCAAACTTTCACACTTCTTTGCGTAGATGGAAGAGGACATTTTTGCGAGAACTAATGCAGACAGAATACATCTTGTCAAGACTCGTGGCATTTTTGAGGCTCTGTGCGCGATAACACAGACGTGGGTCGCCGGTCAGTCTCCCCGTCTCCCGTCTGCCCGTCTGCCCGTCTGCCATCATAGCGACTGCCCTGCATGTGGAGTCGTGCGCCGCAAGCTTCTCGTGCCGATGCGTGGCCATGGGGAGGGGCCTTCAGACCACGACGAATCGTGAAATGGCCGAGATGCCAAACCCAGACGCCATGGATATTGTCCGCCAGCCACAGGGGGTAAATCATGAGATCTTGTCGGCACAATTCCCCGGTTCTCCTAGCTGCCAAACTATCACATACTAGACCGCCGGCCTCCAAATTACGGGCGCTGGTAGTTGCCAATCAGGGGAAACCACTTTGGCCCAGTAAACAGGTTGTCATTACTGCTGTCTACATAGTAGAGGCTCAAGGGGCCCTTGGCAATCGCAGCATGGACCAATCTGGGTGTTCTGCTCCCAGAAACTCTACGACTAAACCCGGTTATTGTTGCTATATTGCAGCCTCCGTCCAATGGGCCCAAGACCGGCCTTACTAGGGTATGGGCGAGTCGATCAGACTAGAATCTGCCGCTGTTGTTACCAAAGACTAATTCGTAATGTTATTGATGCTATCACAACTCCCGGCCCTGATGGCACGATCCTCCGCTCAGACTTGGTTTCAGAATTTCAGATGCAGAGAACTTACGAATCAACCTGGTAACGAAGTCAGCTCATGATTGGCTGATTCGTAGTTGTTGCACCCGTTCTGGATCTGCAGCTATCTGCCTTAGTTGCAAGCTGTGGAGTTGTGGGGTATGGAGCGACTTATCAAGATTGTCGCCGTAACTAATGACCCCTAAAGACTGAAGAACGAAGCACGGGCTACGGACTCAAGCCTCGAAGTCAAGAGGTCTTCACCGGTGGACTGGGGACATCATTCTGTGCGACAGCAACGGGCACATCTTTGGGAGGGGTAAAGCTTTTTCCAAGCTGGGCCATGAGTTTCGGCTTCCCTTCATGACGAGTCGCCATCAGCAGCGGTGACCAAGTTCCATGTAACCCCTGCAACAGTTCTCCAACTGGCAGCAAATTCAACTATGTACGAAGTAATTAAGCATAACGAAGGATCGTAGAAATACCCACAAGTTGGAGAGCCGCAATTACAAGCTTCATCAAGCTCTTTACTAAGTCAATAATCCTGAGCATTTTTTCGATAGTTCATCTGTCCCGAACAGCTGCTCTGCTGTCAAGTGGCAGACCTTTCAAGTTCGTGGAAGGAACCCAGACCCACATGCTCATCTTATTCAAGTCACCTTGCTGATCTTGCCTTCATCCGTGGCGATTATCCCCGTCAAATAGACGAGGTGGATGATAACGCGGCGTGTTGCACAGAGCCAAGCAAGCTGCATACAAGTTAGCATGGATCGGTTTGTGGGGAGGGTCAGCCTGCAGGAGAAGAAAAAGGTCGCTCTCAGCCAGCCATCCCAGCCTGACAGGTCTCAGATCGAGGACCCCTCCTGCGGCTGAAATAAGAGGCCTAGATCTCACCTCTCCTCCGCGCGCTCAAATTTTACGTACAGAATACGTACAAGAAATAGGTTCAATTGGTAGACTGCCACAGTGATGTCCTAAGCTCAACCACAATGGCGGATAGTACTCCAGCAATACCAACACAGCCTTGCCAAACCTGTGGCACGACTAGCGTCAACGTATACACTTGCACCCAGTGCAACAACCTTGCATTCTGCAACGCATGCTGGCCAAAATGGGTGTTGCACCTGCCGGGCCAGGTCGGTTGGTGTGTATACCTCAATCTCGGGTGGCATTCCATAGCTAATTGTCTGAAGGAACGGGAAACCACATGAGAAATCTGATCCTCTAGTGTTACATCGTCTCCGCCAGATTCTAGAGCCGGCTCGCTCAGAGTCTGAGCATGAAGCTGAGCTGCACGAAGATGAGGATACGTCTTGGTTCGGCTTCGGTCGCGATCCTACGGGGCATCCCGTCTTCCATGACTATGGAAGGTTTGCAGCTATCATGGCAGACTCCATGGTGGAGGAAGTCTCCGAAAGGCACCCTCAACTAGCCTCATTCATCGGTGAAACAGGTGAGTGCTAATATCTGGAAGACAAGTTGTAAACCTCCTGACGTACTGGCGTAGGAGCTGGAAAGAGCACTATCATAAAGCTGCTCATAGACCGCCAAGATATGACATCTTTGGAAGCGTCCAGATACTACTCCCCAGTGACCTCGTCTAGTTATGACCGTATTCCTACAACAGGAGACGTTCATCTATATGCAGATCCCTCAACACTGTATACCAGCAACCCGCTCCTGCTTTGCGACTGCGAGGGACTTAGCGGAGGTGAGACATTGCCTAAGCAGTTGAGGAATCGCGCAGATGATCTCGCGAATGGCTACAGGACAAGCACGTCCAGACCAATATCCTGGGCCAAGACCCCCAACACCAAGAAGAGAGAATACGCTGTTTCTCAGCTTTATCCTCGAATCTTGTACACATTCTCAGACGTCGTAGTATTCGTGCTCCGCAACCCCCGAGCATTTGAGTCAGTAGTGCTGCCGAAGCTGCTGCGTTGGGGTGCAGCATCCATCGACAAGTCACTCAACCAACCGGTGCTCCCTCATGCCATTATCGTACTCAATGCATCAGAGCCCAACATCGACGAAAAGGAGTGGGATGTCGAGGTAGCAACCCAGATGCTGATGTCTGATATCCACGGAGCGATTTCAAGGGAGCCTGCGCTCCAGGAGTATGTGCAACAGTGGAGGAAGCGCGGCAAGACAGTCTCCAGCACCAAGGAGCTGCTGGAGTGTTATTACGCCTCTGTGAGCGTGGTCAGGATCCCGTACAAGGGCTCCTATATGCTTATGAACGAGCAAGCCGGCAAGTTGGCAGAATTGATTCGGGAGCGAGCCACGCTTTCGCAAATTCGGAAGAGACGGGTGCGAATGCTGGCGACCCCTGAGAAACTCCAATTCTACCTGCAAGCAGCATTTGACCATTTCACGAGGGATCTTGATACACCATTCGATTTCATCAAAGAGACCCTACGTCACAGCCCCGCGTCGAGAAATTTCGAAGGCAATATATTGAACCTTGCACTAGCTGTTCGGGACCGGGCAAGCAATGAGAGGATCAAGAGCAACGCAAAACAGATCTTCCGAGCAATGGTGCCAATAATAGCATCATGTGTCATGTTTGACACAGTCAGACAAAATCTCCTAGGTGAGTCCAATGTTCTACATTCCCCCTCGTGTCTCGCCGTCAAACTCATTGCAACAGGTACTGCATCTCGTCTTCTGGACGACAGGTACGCCAAGCCTTGTGCAGCAGCAATCCAGACTTTTGCAGATTTGCATTGGCCCTGCACCTATATCAATCCAGCCTTCCCCGGTGAGCTTGGCCGATGCTGCAATGTGAGATCTGGGCACAATCCCAAAGGCCACCAAAACATCCACGGCAAAATTATTGGCCATGGTGACTACGAGTCCGACTTTGATCCCACAGAGTTTGCGTCTGCTTGGAACCAGCTGATCAGAGGGAGCCTTATCCAGCTACAGTCGTCTGCTTTTAGACTAAGCCAGGAGTTCCCAGACATGCCTGAGCTCCAGGTCGCCGCGCTTCTTCACAGAGAAAGGCTGAACGAGCAGTACTCCAACATCCTAGGCGCAGCAACTGATTTCGTCAGTTATTCAGCGTGTCTCTGCTGCTTGCGAGAGCTGCCCGAGTGTGCTCTTCCGTGCGGCCACGTACTCTGCCTCCCATGCGTGCAGATATACGGAACAAAGACCTCAAAGACCACCATCGAAATCAGCCGGTGTCCTCTGCATGTCCGAGATATCATTGCCAGCCCCCCATGGGTCATCAACGTAAAACCAACCCACGCGGGCACCCGAACGCTCTGTCTGGACGGTGGCGGCATCCGTGGTATCGTGCAATTGCAGGTGCTCCGGGAGATTGAAAAGGTTCTTGGGCCCGACTTACCCATCCAGCTGTTTTTCGACCTCATAGTAGGCACAAACACGGGTGGTCTTATAGCTATTGGCTTGGGTGTCAAAAAGTGGTCGCTACAGGCCGCTACAGCGAAATTCAAGGATCTCTGCAGAGAGGCCTTCACGCCTCGCGAGATGAAGAGCGTGCCCGTCTTTGGGATGCTGTCGAGCCTCTATCACGGAAGCCTGTACAAGACGCAGCCCTTTGAGAAAGCGCTGAAGAGGTACTTTTCAGATCAGCCGTTCTTCGGCGGCAGTGTGCATCGATCACGACACAACATCTCGCTGAAGGTTGCCGTCACTGCCACGACTTCGATCGAGCAACAGCCTGTACTGTTCGCAAACTACAACCGGCCAGACCCTCCGAATAAGAAGCTGCCATATCGGTTCACACGTTCGGACGTACCGTCTAAGGAGGCCCGCACATGGGAAGCTGCGCGAGCAACAGCAGCTACACAGCCGTTCTTCAAACCCTTCCTCAAGGAAGAGACGAGCAACGAGTACGTGGATGGTAGCGCACAGTTCACTTGTCCCGTCTGGGTATGCCATCACGAAGCGGATGCTATATGGAACGGTGACTCGAGCCCAGATATGTTGCTGTCGATCGGCACTGGCCGAAACGTTGGCGACAGGAACGGCTCCAGCATTCGTCCGTCGTCTGTATCTGTGTCTATGTCCGCTACAAATACGTCCGCATCGATAACGCCTGGCAAGAGTGCGGTGCTCAGGCAGGGCCGCGGTGGTGCTGGAAACTACAAGGTCCGCAACAACAATTCTAACCCGTCCTACACCACATCCACCAGAAATCCCGGCACTGGCTACTTCCATCGCGACCCTAGGACGCCAATGCTGTTATCATTCAACAACCCCAGCGCTGGTGCAGAGAGATCCAATGATCACAGACAAGGTGACACCGTGTGGGACAAGTTCATGCACCAGAGGGGGTCGATGGAGGAGTCGGCCCGCAAGAAGTATTTGCGCATCAACCCTGAGTTGTTCTCTCAACTCCCCAAGTTTGCAGACGTCTCAAGGATAGATGAACTTGAGCGCGAGACTGAGGACGTTTTGAGACAGAATCCAGGTGTTATTCGTGAAGCGGCCCATCGGTTGGTGGCAAGCACTTTCTTCTTCGAGCGTGATGCCGGTTCTGTCAAGCAAACCCATTCGGGATACACATGCACAGGTAGCTTACCCCTTTTTCCAGAGTGGCATCTCCCCTCCCCAAATACTGACTAGAACGCTCGCAGGGTCGATATACTGCAGATTCCGACAGGCCTCGACGGAGATCAGGGCACTCGGCTGGTTCCTCATCTCCAGCTCGAGCCTCGAGGGCGCCTTCGAGCCGTACTTCCTAGTCGAGGACGACAGCGGGCGGTCGCCCGCGCAGCGAATCCCGCTCACGCAGCCTATGCTCCAGGGCATGCACTTCCACGGCCACTTTGTGCTCGAGCCGCTGCGCCTGGACGTCCTGGACGAGACGTCCGAGGTCCGCCTCTCGCTCGGCCTGCAGGCGGCGGCCTACCCCTCGGGCAGCACCGTGCTGCCCATCAGCGGGTTCCCGCGCCGGGTCATGGCCGAGCCCGGCGGCGCCCCTGCCGCCGCCTCCCCCGGGAGCGCGCAGATAGGTATGATGCACCGAGCCGCAAGCAAGACCAGCTTGCGCAGTTCCTACAAGTCTTCATCTCCACCACCGTCATCAAGAGGGGGAAGGGGGCCGATGGACATGGGCATGGGGGGTTTCGGGGTGGCCACCAATTTCTCGGGCAAGATACCTATCAGAAACTAACGCGTGTCTGTCGACACACAGGCATCATCCCGTCCGCGAGGACGTCCACTCTCGAGAGGCAGTACACGGGGAGCTCGTCGTCGCGGCCGACGACAGCAACGACCATGACGTTCCCGGCTGTGTCGACGCCCGAATCCGTCGCCGTGTCGCTGGTCAGCAGCGCCGGCGTCGTTCCAGCCAGCCTCGACTCGCCTTCGTTCTTCGGCAAGCTGTCCCTGCGCGACTACCTGGACCCAGAGCTGCCAGAGCTGCCGGGTTCGATGCCCCCAGCGGAGCTCGAGGGCGAATCGTTCACAACGAAAAAGGAGGTCCGGATGCCTTTGTAGGAAGGAGAGGAACGAGGGCTTTTGCTGGTATTCACCAGTTCACCTGCTTTTGTCTATTTTGTATGAATTATCAGGGTCATTTCTGAGCATTTCGGTGTCATTCAGGTTAGGATACGGGGATCAAAATGTTTATCTGAACAGTTTGCCTGGTGATACTTGCCATTAACGTCAATTACTACTCTTTGATTAGTGCAAGCGATCATTTTCTTGTTAGACATTTCTTTCCTATGCAGAGCCGCGAGATGACACAGCCTAATTGTCATACAAGCCCGTCTCTTCCCGGCCATGAACACGGTCCCTCAGTCGCCCGAGATAAGAGAAACACTAGCTGGTACGCGTGTTCTACTTCGTCTTCCTGAGCACGATATCCCAAACTCCCTTACGTCACAGCCGTGCGGCATGAATCGTAGTCTTACGCAAGGTTCTCCCGGTTTCCCATGTGGCTCAAGACATGAATAAGTTGAGTTTTGGCTAGGGTTCGGCCGCCGCGAGGCTGGACAGCCTAGCAACCTACTTGCTAAGGCACGGTACCTACCGAACACCGGGCTGTCCATGTAACGTCTTTTCAGAGTTTTCGTTTTCTAGAGGAATTGAGTTTTCGGGCATCAGGGCTCTCTCGCAGCCAGACTTGAATAATGTCCCGCGGCGAGCTCCTTCAAGCCCGACAAGAGAGCAGTGTTGATTGCGATCCCGCCAGTGTCAATCTGGTGTGCCAGAGAGGGGGGGTTGCATACGTCAGATACATTACAGCACATGCAACGACGGACGAAACGGCGCGGGTCCCAGCGGCACGTTAGGACGGGCGCTACCCGTTCGCGAATCGTGACCTTGACGCCTCACCCGCCCATGGGATGGAAATGTAGCTTGAATACGAACCGGCGGCCCAGCTTCTGTGCATCGATCGACCGAGCTTTTTTTGTGGCCGTTACGAATGACCCGGTCAATACCCGTGTGGGATGGCGTAGGTTGCTTCTAAGAGGTGGGTTTAGACTGCGCCGAATCTGCAAAAACTGAACCCGCAAGGACGGTGGCAAGCCGCCTACGACTTCACGCCACGCGGCCTGGTCCCATGCACTGACGGCGCTGTCTGGGGTACTCGCAGCATGGCAAGAAAAGGCAAAATCACATGCAGCCATTGAGTTTCAGATTCAGTTCATTGTTTTTTTGTTGTTTTGTATTTGGCTTATGTACATGTCCGTTGCCTGCCGCTTCCCCGTCTCGAGCACTTCGATGCCGGGGTCGATCGGTCCAGAACCGGTTGTAGCGCATTTCCATCATGCCCAATACCTCGCCCACAATGCTATCCAAAACATGACTGCTGTTGTCGGAAGCCTCCGAGTCTGTGGAAATCACCTAGCCTGAATGACCCGCAAGAAATGTAAGAAATATAAAAGAAAAATGAAAGATATCGTCTATGCACCAAATTCCCTTCCGAATGAGTCTAAATTGTACATCTTGCACATATGAACAAGTACGACAGCGTGGCTGGACCGTCGATGTTCGCCGTCGACGCCTCCATGCAAAAGTCGTGGTGAAAATGCTTCGCGTTTTGAGCCGACACCGCTGAACTCCGGGCTCACCGATGATCAATTGAGATAAGCAATAGTAGTTGAGAAAGAGTTGTCCTGGTGTAGGATGTGCGAATGAGAGGTGACGGCAAGTATAAAGAGCGGTCGGGTTGAGGCAATTATGCATTATGGTTCGTTGAGTGACGAGTCGTTGCGAAAAGGCGAGCGGTGGTGGCTTTGTAGCCAAGGTGGAGGCATCATCTGTGAAATATAGCGGGAGATCCGCAGACGAAATGCCTGGGATGCTGACCCGATTCTCGTGCCACTGGTTGAACAATCTGGAAATGGCCGTTTTCCAGTCCTCAGTGTTCAGAATGCGGAGTGAAATCCCGCCGCCTCTCGCCGTCATAAATAGTTTGTCGTAAACATCGTACCTTGGTGTGACGGGCTTTACGGAATCCACACCAACTCGATGATACCGTCATTCTTGGCCATCGGCTCGCCATTTCGGTCGACCCATCTCCAGTCGTCAGCCTTGCGCACGTAGATCTGGCTCACAGTGTTGTCATCGTTAACGATGGCGTCCTGGAGGTCCCAGCTGATCTTGCGACCCGTCTTAAGCAGACTGGGGCGTTGAGGGTCGAAAACGTAATCCAAATTCCAGCCCTTGTCTTGGGGAGCAGCAGCGAACGTCCGCTCCATCTGCTTCAGATTGAAATCAACGCCGTGGGGGTAGTGAGCCACACTGAAGCTGGTCGAGATGATGAAATCGTCGGCCGTCTGGAACCGTTGGAGAGTGCAGTCCTCGCCACAGATGTGAGCAATCTTGGTGTAGTACCAGGGCAGAGCTGAGTGCCAACCGCCACCCTTGAAGTGGTGCAGGGAGATGGGCTTGATGCCGGATTCGTAGAAACCAGATGGATCGCCGTAAAGATCCAGCTGGTAGAGACCTCGCATGACCGACAAACGCACGTCCGAGTTCTCGTAGATACACTTTCTCAACAGGATATCGCCCTGAGGGCCCCAGCCAGAGTTGGCCTCCCGGATCTTCTCGTCGGTCTTGCAGGTATCATAGTTGTTGTTGATCTGCTCGGCCAGGGGCACGGACAAGAAGACACCGGCTCCACCGAAGGCCTGGGAACCATGACGGTCGACGTTGTTAACATCCTCGGACAGTGTGCCCACGTAGAGCATCTCGCTAGGATCGTACTCTTCGAACTTCTTTGTCAAGGCGTGGACGCTGGGGAAGAAAGTGTCGTCGTCGCAGGTCACGAGCCATTTCTTGTTGGGTCGCTCGGGGTGGTTGTACAAAGTGGGCACCAGGGTCAGGTAGCGAACAGCCATCTCCATACGAGAGTCGGAGTGATAAACGTCGACGTCAACGCCGCGCTGGTCCAGGACAGTCTTGGCTTCCAAGATCTGCTCCTCTGATGCATCAAGCAGCAGAAGAACCAGCTTGCCGCCGTTGGAGTTGCCCTTGCCGTCAGTCAACCAGTAGGTCCATTCGTCGACCGGAGTCGTCTTGCTAGAGTTGAACCTCTTGAAAGTGGTCGAGACACCAAACATGAAGTCAGAGAGGTTGCCGGTGGCTGGGAAGGGTGACTGCGAAACAGGAACTTGGAGGGGTTCCAGGCAAGTCTCCTGGCCGTAGTTGTTGGGGAAGTTGGAGTTGATGGTCTTAAAGCCATTGGGCAGGAACTCCTGGTTCAGCTTCGTAATCGACTTTCGGGCGATCGGCTCGCGGTTGATCTTGACGTAGCGCTTGAGGTATTGGAATCCATCCTGAAGTTCATAGGCGGACTTCAGCTCTTCCATGTAGCTTGGCTTCACGCTGCAGTCCATGACATGGTCGGACACGGGGACAACATCCGCCTCGGTGGCCACCGGTGCATCACCGATGGGCTGCTGGTAGGTCGACCCCTTTGTCTTGGGCGTTGCGGCCTTGATAATCTGTCTCGTTACATCGTCCACCCGATCCGACTTCCAGCTAAGTGCTAGCAAGACTAGCAAAGCTACTGCAAAAAGCACACATCTGGAGAAGGGGTTTCTCAGAGTGAAAAACCGTTGATGAGGTGCCGGCATTTTCGCGCCCATCGTACTTGGGTCCGGGTCACTCAGTGGAATGAGACGGTCGAGTGCTCAAAAGTCAACTCGCACGATCGATCTGAGCGACGAGTGACAATCCACCTGGCCACAGAGAAAGAGGTCGTGCTGCGCACAACGAAGGTGCCCGGGGCTTATAAAGTTGGCGCAATAGGCGTTTCTGCTGGGCTTGGCATGGGATTGAATTGCCAGGTTGTTGTCAGAGACAAAAAAGAGGCTTAGACTTTCTGTGTCTTGCGTCTTGCCCCAAAGTAACGAACGAAGGCCGCACACCTCGGGAGAGGGGAGGCGAGACAAGATAAGAATGGAAAAGCTAGGCCTTCTGACGTGAGGTGTAGCAGAATGTGGTTTGCAAAAGAAGGGAGGGAAAAGGACGGGGTGAGCGAGAGTAGAAGGTGGGAAGACGTGGATAGATGAAGGGTCAAGAGAGCCGGGATCCGCAGATACTTTGCAAGGTACCAGGAGAGGCACCGCGCTGATGAAGAGCACAACGGCCCTGGGCAGGGCAGAGCTCGATAGGAGATTGAAATTGGTCTTGCAGGGGGGGTGGCAGGCGATGGGTGGACCCGCCGTCGATTCTGGAAAAGGGGACGCAGCCCACATGAAAGTCAAGGTTGTCCTTGGCATTGGTGCCGCGATTATTGGGTCCGCTGGCTTGAACAGGGCTTGATCATCCAGGTCATGACTGGGCCTGGAAAGTCAGTGGGCGGCCGCCACTCAACCACTGGCTGCGAGAGTCCGGGCACCTGGGAGGACCTGAACAATGACGAGCCTTTCTTCTGAGTCCTGTTCCACATTGGGGCCGTCTCACTGGAGAAACACTGGAGAGAGAGGGCTCTGCGGGTTTGGAGCCGTCCAGACGACCAGACGATACATACGTTACGCGGGGAACGATTGGTCGGAGCGCCTTCGCGGAGCCACTGACTATGTACATCGAACGGCGTGCTCGAGATAAACATTACGGATCATACCATGGTCGGTCTTGTCGGTATCAGCCGCGCAGAAGGAAGGATTGCCAATCTAGAGTGCCTTTGTGTCTGCGGATGCAGCTGTGTAGCCGAAACACGGTCGCTTTCAGTTATACCGCCAGGGTATTAACTACGTCCCACATACAGACAGTAGGAGTAGGATCACAACTCCAGTCCGGCACGAGCCGGGAATGAAATCCAAAAACCTGGATCTGCGATGCTATAGCTCCAGAAATACCGCCTCGGGCTGTCTAATACGAATGCCAACACAGAAGCCACCGAGATCTCGTGTCTACTACTCCGTATTGCATGGCAACTCCACGCCTGCAAGCTGGAAGAGCTGATGTCGCCTCCCCTATGCATCGCCGGGTGGGACCAAAAACTAGCAGTTAGGTGCATAGCCTACATATGTAGGGGCTTGTTGGTGGCATGTCAACAACCATAAGGATGAGCAAACCCGGGGCAACGAAGGTAGGTTTCCAGGCGCGACGGCTTCCTCAACCCTGTGATGATGGCACCTGTTGCTATCGTCATCGACTAAACAAGTGCGTGCTGTATCGCGAAGTTGTTTTCGCAACCAGATGCCATCGTTGTGCGTGGCCCAGAAGGCCTGCCAGGATGTTTGTTCAAGGGGATCACTCCAACCTAAAAATCTAGATCTCGGTAGTTAACGGTGTGACCAGCGTCTACACAGTACTATGGTAAAGCCTTGCAAATAACGGACCGAAGCACGGTAGACCACTGCATCCCGAGAGCTCATCACAGTACTATGTATGCATGGTGCGATTGAATACTCGTCGCTTGCAGCGCTCCCTGCCGCCTTCTGACGAGTCAAGAGGCGAATTGTAACTGAATTAGAAACGTCAAGAGCTTGAAGGGTTACGCGTCTCGGTCAGATCGTACTATGTAGTGCTGGCCTACTGGGCTAGGCATGACTAGGCCAGCTAAATGTAGCGCACTCTAACCTGAAGTAGAACCTGACCGGGGGGCCTGCACCCTTCCAACCAGCCAAACGGCCAGTGAAGCGCGGGAGCCATGCTCACCCAGTGGGCATTTGGCTAGGTATCTGGCTACCTATCTGGCTATCTCATTTGGTGGCTGCAGCAATCAATTCCTTCCAGCATGTATGCAAACTCGGCGGTCGGGGGATAGCATCTCGAGACAGCCGAGCACTTAGAATTGCGAATATGCAACAGCACTCCAGCAATTGGGGTATCGTGTCCTTCCAGGGGACGATCATCAGCAAACCGTTCTTCTGTCGCTCCACCTCGTTTCAGAATGAAAAGGCCATCTCGAGGCGATGACGTCGCCTCGTCAAGAGCAAAAAGCATGGAAAAAAAAATTGGGACTGGATGGCTGGATGGCTCTCAGTGGGGAACACCCCAGCCCGCCCACAGCGCTGACCAAACGCCAGCCATGGGCCAATGGGACTCTCCGTGGCTCCTTCTGCCCAGCAGTGCCCACGGTCCAGTACATCCGTGACCTCGTCACGTCGCACTGAACTTCAAAAACGGGTGGCTTGCGGGAGATCCTGGAAGGGCCCACGCTTGCCACGCCTCTGCGTGCGTGAACGGCAAAAGATTCAGAGTGGCAGACGATGACGACTGCGCCGCATCGTAGGGTTGCCGTTTCCTCTCCAACGGTCGGCCAGATCCAATGGCATCCTCTTCACCAAAGCGTCGAAACCCTTCAGACGATGTTTCGATGCCATCGCAGACAATCTTTGGATTGCCGAAATTAGTCTTGGCAAGCTGCACCTCATCAATCGCCTAAAGCCTTCGCGCATCATCATGGATGGAAGGCTTTGATCGCCGAACTGCGCCAGTGATTGGCTGCCGGCACCCCTGTTGATCTCAAGATGGGATCGGTAGCCGCCATCCCCACGGCCTCTCAAAGCCAGGACGAGGGTTCACGCCTGTGCTGTAGGCCCCCCTATTTGAGCCTAGGAACTGCTGCATGAGCAGAGTAGCATCTCGGACCTGCTGAACGCGGAAGCCAATTCACCCAGTGGCATCCGATTCAACAGAGAAGACTCCCCGCGAATTGCCAAGCCTCTCATCATACAATATGTCAACAAGGCAATTGAGCAATGGCAAACGTGCACCAGACGAGGCTTGCGGGACGGGCGCACACGTGCATCGGCATTGAGCAGCGCTAATGATAAATGAGATAGGTTGGGTCGCAGGACCACAATGTCGCACTGCAATCAACTGCATCAGATTAAGCCTTGGATCACGCGATAAACCCGGCAGCCTCATCGCAAACAAGCGCCGGGTCCCAGGGAATGTCCGCTGGAAGTTTGGATTGGGTTCACAAATTAGGTTATTGATGGAAATTTCGAGCTCGAAATGCCCGCAGCTTCACTCTGTCGAGGGACTAGCAATCCCAACTAGATATCTGAAACACTCAAGCCGGCCAACAGTAGCGTGCGAGAGATCGCCAACCCGCGCGATAGGGCCATGGGTCCCGGCAAGGGGCCAAGGGGGTTGGTGCTGGTCAATCATGCGTTGACCGCTGACAACGCGCTCACATGTTGCTGATCCTACTGTAACAGAAATTTTTCGGGCCCGTTACTGGTTATAATCGAGCTCTGAGCCGCGGACTGACCAACACCGGATGGCCACACAAAGTAGAGATCGACCAGATCGTCCGGGCGCCAGCCCGAAACTGACTAATTTCTGTTCCCATCAACAGCGTTCATCCAGACCGACGCTCTGTTTCGAGATAGACGTGCTGGATAACACCGAGATTCGACGTTTACTAGCACATATCATGAAATGTAGCACCAAAAGCTCAAGTATTTGCTTCTCTTGTCCGAGTTCGCTCACGATGGAGAGGAACTTGTGGATTCCCACTTCCTCTGCTTCGTCGGTAGCTATTGATAGGGACCCACTCGTTACCTCTATTTTGCTATAATAGCATGGACGATTATTAGGGGGCACCTGAGGCTGAGCCTATCAAGGCAGAAATACACATTTGGCATGACAATGACACAACGGCCCCCGCATTGGGTAGGTAGGTCAAAGTCATAAATTAAGTCGTGTCCTATATTTGAGACATGCGCCTCCCAAAAGTGAAGTTTGTACGCAGGGCATTAGCCGTCCGGTCTACACATACCGGGTCGTTGTCGAGGCCGACACGTGGAAAGTCCATTTAAGGTTTTCCGTATTCGTTTCGAGAAGATGGCTGTGAAAGCTGGGATGCACTCCGCTTCTATGCGAGGAAGTCGTCATATCAGAAGTTAGATGATATACTCGCCCTTGCCAGTATACTATACGCCTCGGTGTTGACGCCCGGCCGTTGTGTATCCCCACAGGAGTGTGCGCGGCGTGTTGACTGGCCGATTCATGCGCATACCTCTCCCTGCTACCCCTGCTGCACCAGCTCCCGGCTCGTGTAAGTGCTACCTATTTACCCCATGACAGATTGATCATGAAGCCAGATCGCTTGTGGCACTCTCTGCAGTCGTACGTGATCAAGTGTTACGGAGCTAAGTTTTCCCACTTCTGTCGAGCCGAACGATTGTCATTCGTCATTGGCAAGTTGCCTTCGACATCGGCCATCGTCCTTGAGGCAGAGGCTAGGTTCTCGCGTAACTGCGTCTTTTCTGCGTATCTCTTCGACCGCTCACTGGATTGCTCCGCTGTGTAGTGAACGGAAGCTGGCATTACGCGGCGGGAATGCACATGTCGAGGGGCAAAATCCAGTCCATCTAGACTGGCAACATCCTCTGCGCATTGTGAGGGATTGGTTTAGTCTTGATGGGTGTATCGAAGTATCCACGGGAGCCTGGACGTTCGCAGCATCAGCCCACCCAGCGTTGGTCCGGTGCCTTTCAACAGACGACCTTGCGTACTCCACGTTATCGGTCGTGATTACAGACCTTGCTTCCTTGCCCCCTCCTGTTCGTGGTGGGTGTGTGATAAATGAGTTGCCTAATACGGATAGCAGCAATAGCTTGCAGCAGAGGGAGCCGCCTCCCGGTATCAGATCGTATATGAGGCATGGCATATGAAGCATGCAGCTCGCTTAAACGAGAAGCTATCCGTTCATGGTGTGCTCGCTTGGGTGTAGTCGAAATAATCTTAGTCCTTGTAAGCCCGCCCAAGCCCATCTTAAGGGTTCGCGTATTGTCATGACGGTCTTCGCACGCAAAGGCATGGAATGTTAGCCAAGAGAATACTGAACTCGGATCGAATCCACTATATCCAAAGAACACGCAGTTTCCCCATGAGTAGTGCAGACTAGTTGAGCATCAGGTTGCTGGGGTCCTGTGTGAAGGGATGACGACTTCTGGTCCTCTGCATATGCCATTCAATTCCTCTCAAGTTTAAGCAAAGGACACCGGGAGCAACGCCTTCATTTGCACGTGCCTCTGGTTAAGTAGCCAAACCTTTCTTCGCCATATCATAGCTGGACACTTCCATTCCGGTGCCTATCACTGGAGCCAGCAGTCCTGCATATCAGCTCAAAATGATGTTCGCCATCAGACCCTTCACAGCTTTAGGGCAATGATGAACCTATTCGGTGTCTACTGTGGGTTGACCTGATTGGCGAGAGACTCAGCGGAGACATAAGGAATCAACGCACGACGTGGCATTCTGAATTTTTCACATTCACCTAAAAACTACTACCCAACTCCCTTCACTCCAGTAAAGCTTGATTTCCTTCGCCTGCAACCCATCTCAATCAAGGTGACCCGTAACCCGCGCTCAGAAACCGATGCCATTTACGCGGTGTCCGTAAGGTTGTAGATCTTCTGGATGTCGTGCAGCATCGACTCATGGTCCACCTTCAGATCCTTCAGTAGGCCGTCCTGGAAGCCGAAGACCCAGCCGTGCACAATGGGGAAGCCATTCTTCTCGTACGACTGCTGGATGGCGGCCGTCTTGATGACGTTCCGGCACTGCTCGACGACGTTCAGCTCGACCAGGCGGTCATACCGCGCCGCCTCGTCCTTGATGGCGTCCAGCTCCTGCTGGTGCAGCCGGTAGACGTCACGGATGTTTCGCAGCCAGGGGTTGAGCAGGCCCAGGTCCTTGGGCGTCATGGCGGCCTTGACGCCACCGCAGCCGTAGTGGCCGCAGACAACGATGTGCTTGACCTGCAGGTGGCGGACGGCGTAGTTGATGACGCTCATGACATTCAGGTCCGTGTTGCAGACCAGGTTGGCAATGTTGCGGTGCACGAAGGCCTCGCCGGGCTCCAGGCCCGTGATGGCCTCGGCCGGGATCCGCGAGTCGGAGCACCCGATCCAGAGGTACTCGGGCGTCTGGCCGGCCGACAGCTTGACGAAGAACTCCGGGTCCTTCTTGGCCTGCTCAGCGGCCCATGAGCGGTTGTGCTCGAAGACGCGATCGTGCGTCTCCTTCAGGTGGTTCTTGATGTCCTCTTGAGCCATGGCGCGCCAGTCGACTTTTCCGGAGCTGGAGCTGGAGCTGGAGCTAGAGCTGTTGGGGTTTGAATCAGAGCTGCTGTAAAGCCGGGAGAATGGGCGGGGCTGGTAGCAGAGCTTTGCGATGCCTCTTCTCGATGATGAGAAGAGAGTGGAGTTCAGCTTCGGTTTGAACATTGAGTGGTGCTATCAAAGAGGGATTTTTTTGCTCTCCTGCAGGACGCTGGATTGGGGGGTTTCGCTGCGTTGGGGCGTTTCTGGAAGCTTTTCGTTGAGATGGGCTTCGTGGCTGACGTCGGCGATCCGCGCCACTGTGAACGGCGCCGATTTTGGGGGGTGCGTCACAGTATGCGTACAGTGTTTTGGTTCAGAGGATCAGCATCACCAAACGTCTACTGGGTTAGCCGACGGCTTGGAAAGGCTCGAGGGCAGTCACTGCTAATGCTCACAAAATAAGCGCAATTCAGAAGGAGAGGACAAAGCCCCTATAGAAGGTGTCGCACAGACTTTGATGCCGACGCATAAACTGGATTCCCAAAAGGGAACTGCGCCTGCACTCACAGCCAATCACAGTCAGTCGGGGTGCTATACGTCGGCGCGGAAAAGAAATACACGCCGACATATTCTGGTGATCCTTAAGGTTACAAGAGGAACCTACCTTGTGTGGTGAGAGTCCCAGCCTATGGGCGGAGTTCAGCTTTCCAAGGAGGCCTAGTAGACTGGTAGATTACTTCACAGCAACGACCTCGAAAGCCCATCACCCGATGCAATGCTCGTTAGCTCGTAGAGAATATGTGGTATTATCTTTATCTTTATGCAGGAACTCTAGATTAAATGCTAGGATGCTTATGTACAAGGCTGTGTACACCTGTCCGACCCGCGGCAGGTTTTATCTATATTCGCCTAGCCATCCACGCACTAGTGAGATGGCCGCCTATACTCTCAAACCCGGACTGCTGTTGCCAACCATCTTTGTCGCCAATAGTGTAGTTGGCCTGCAGCAGCTGGCCTGTATCTCCCAAAGCGAACACGCCTACGGTTGGAGGTGTTGAATTGAAGTTGACAAGGTGTGGCGCGCTCCGTACCGCAACCCCCAAATCGGTCCAATCGGCGTCCCAAGCCAAGGCCACCAGAGCTCTGTGCTTCAATTTGCCGTCACTGCCGAGTGCCACAACTTCGAGCCGATCATCCGCAGACGCGACCACTGACGGAACGCTTGCCCAGTTGCCATGCAGATTCTCGAGCTCCGTATAGCCGGATGTGTTGGTCCAAGTGAAGTGATACATCGCGTGATCGACGCCTATGCCAAAGAAGTCTACCCTGTCGTCTGAAGGGGCTATCAACACTGGATCGCCTATAAACGAGCCGCCCCGGCTCTTCCAGTCCAACCATGATCCGGTCACGGTGGAGTACTGACGATGAAGCACGCTCGATGTGTCTACGTCATAGAGAACTAGATCGTGTTGATACTCGTTGTTGCGGCATACAACGGCAGGTGTCGAGTTGGTGCTCCTGCTCGGTTCTTGTGTCGAAGTGCGATCCCATGTACGGCCAAACGCCCAGAAATTGTGGATGGCGACCTGGGTGCTGCGGTCGTTACTCATGGTCCAAATATCAGCCCTGTCCCCCTGGTAAGTAACTCGACACGCTGAGATGCCACTGGCAGCCTGTTCACCCAGCGCTGACCAGCCACTCCATTTTCCGTCCTGGTATGTCTTAAGTGCAACTTCCCGATCCATGTTGACCCCAAAAACGTCTACTCGTTGCGAAGCATTCCAAGAGATGCTGGCGGGTTGGCTCAAAAACTGTCCACCAAGATCAACCCAGGTCGCATTCCCTCCGTCCGTAATCGGAATGTGCCATAAGCTCCCATCCTCCCCTCTAGCATGCAAATATGTTTCTTCGGTCATGTTGCCCTTCATTTTCACAGAGCTAAGAATTTGAGGACATATTGTCCCATTGCACAGACCTGGTGTCGTGGAATCAGACGCGTTAGTCGGCAAAGTAGAGCTGTTCAATAGAATTAGCCGCTGCTCGGAAATATCGAGAGAAGGATATGCTTACGATGAATTCCTGTTCTTGGACTTCAAGCCGAACACAACTCCCAGAGACACAGAGACGGCCAAGACGACGGCAAGCAAGGCAATCATCACTGTTGACTTCCGCCAATACCAACGTTTCTCCCTCGGTGGAGAGCCATATTGGTGCTGCCTTGGTGCAATCCCTTTGCTGCATTCGAAGGGCAAATCGTTGGACGAAACCTCGGAATGGGCAGTGGAGTGATCTGATCGTTGATCACTGTGAGCGGACACCGGTATAGTCGCATGCGGTGTATTGTCGAGTGCCCCATGATGAGTATGGAAAATCTGTCTCGCAACCTTAGGGTGCGGATCCCAGCTAACCAGTACCTTGGCTGTATCTTGGTCAATCGGCTGATCTAGTTGCGGGTGACCGGAGGCAAGATGGGCATCAGGTCGCTCTGTTGTGTCCATTTTCCTGCGTCTATAGTTCTAGAGCATGATGGAGGGCTGGTGCAACTTGCGACGAAGATGCGTGAAGAAGTAATGATTTGCGGGTGAGGCAAGCCGCGCCTCATGATGGTACTTTGCGCATGGCCAAGTATCGTGAAGGCTTGGACTGGAGCATGATAATCATGCAGTCAGCCGAACGGTCATGGGTGTCAGCCACGGTAAATAACCAATCATGGCCAACGCAACGCCAAGCGTGCACTGCTGAGCCGCGCTTACGTGCTCTCAAACTTATAAGAACCACTCACCGCTGACTTCAGCCTCAGGAACCGTAGCTACCATCTAGCTTACATTGAAATCCCTGCATATAAAAATGGGCCACTGGCCGCCGCCTTTCTAGATTCCTTATTCATTTTATCGGTGAAGCCGTACCCGCTTATAAATCCTTTGCATGTTAAGAAGGTCCCAGGCAGGTTGGCATGAGCAAGGATTCTGGCTTAGCTAGACTGAGTGGACTGATTATATCGTTTTATACTACACATCCAACAACCGCAGCAATCGTAACCAAGGCTGGCGGAATTCTCTCTCTGCCAATCACCTCATCATACTTTACATGAAATCCGTCCCCTCCCAACCGTTGGTTCCCCATAACTCATTGAGGTCCATACCCAGCATATTTAGATCAAAATCCGGGTTTGGTACCTGGCTTTGTAAAGGATCTGTCTGTGGCAACAGCCACGGCATCGATGTAGCATCCCGATGAAACGGTGTTGCTCCAATCTGCGTCGAAGGTGTAGAATCGGTGTTGAATGGCGTCATGGGCTTAGTTCTGTCTAATGACTCCTGATTCTGCGGTGTGGTTCCAATGTTGCCAGTGTCGTGGCTGGCAAAAGGTGGAATCTGATATGCAAGCAGCTTGTAATGCAGGCCAATGAATCGCTCAGCTGCAGATGCTTTCGCATTCTCGAATGTTTTGTTGCCAAGGTGTGTTTCCAGTAAACCAAGGGCTGCACACATGGAAGAATATCCCCAAGGGTCATTATTGCCGCATCGGAGAACGCGATCTTCCTTGATAGCGATACATCTCTCGATGAGCTTGAGTGTCTCGCTCGCATTCGACATGATCAAGCTAGTGGATTCTGGAGAGCCAGAGTTAGGTCATGATCCAACCAAGTGCAATGAAGACGGATCACGATTTTGATTCGCATAATAAAAGCAGAGTCTTAAGGGGATGGAATGCTTACCTCGAGGCTGATAAAGCGAGACACTGCAGAGGCTGACAGCCGCGCTCATCGTATCTTCGCGAAGAAAGTATAATGATCTTATGCCCTTCTGGAACAGTCGATCATGCATGAGCACAATATCCCGAGCTGCGGTGTAGTATATGAATTCCGCAACTTGGTATTTGGAATTGTATTGCCTCAGTTTCAAATAAGGCTGATGAAGTGGGATTAGATATTGTCGAAGTTGGATGTGCAGGAGCGCGTGAGCGAGCACAGGCTTTCGCGAATCGTTCGTCGCATTCTGCTCTTCACTGTCCCAGGGGGGCAACGCATCGATTTCCTGGGTAATCATCTCGGTATAGCGGGTGACACGCTCCCAGTCCAAATCAACAATGGGGCCAGTCATGACTCGGTTGAGCTCAAGTCTTGCCTGGAGACTCTGTCGGCTGAGGCTTTGATATGACGAGAACGTGTATTCTGTCGAGCTTTTCGGTGTTGGGAGTTCTTCAGTGTCCTCGTCAAATTCCTCGTCATCGATGTTGCGCGGCGCTTTCGAGTCAACCGTCATCTGACTCAGGAGTGTTGGAACTCCCTGGTCAAAGGATGCTTGGAGATCGAATTCCATCATCGTCGCCCATATGCGCCTGCGCATTTCCCGATAATATGGCGTAATCCTTGAAGCCACTTGGTCTCCATCAAGATGAAGACCAACAATGATACCTTCTCTAATCAGAGCGCCTGAATTAGTCCAGAATCTTTTCTTCTTGATTATGTTGATCCTTTTGGCAAGGTAAATCATACACATGATCTGCTCACGTTAGTTAGTGATCGAGCCTAGATAGCATGATACGCAGAAGCCATGCAGGTGTGTTTGCTACGGTAAGGTAGCTACACTACGGTGGTACAAGGAGTAGCTATACAGTTGCGAGTATAGCCCATGAGACTCAGGGATATAAATCGCCAATACAGCGTCCAAGAAATCCCCGATATAGACAAAAAATTGAATAAGAATATGTGAAAGGGGCCAGTACTGACCTGATAGTGTATCATGCTCCGATGTTTCTGGCTCTGTTGATCCAACCACGCATCACAAGCTTTCGTCCACCTTTCGGCTGTCTGATATGCATTGGACTTGATACCAACAAACTTTGACGAGGGTTGCATATCCATACAACTGGACGCTGCGAGCATGGCTAGCACAAGTGCAGTAAAAGCCGCGCATCTTGTCTGAGTCGGGTCCCAGAACTTTTCGTATTCTTTCTTAAAGGTCGGAATGTGAACGATGCGGTGAAGTTGCTCGAACTGGTCCAGGTAAACAGCAACGAGAGAATCTGTTTCTTCCTTCGGGGGTAGCAATGCTTCAAGTTCCATATCAGGAGCCTCAAACTGCTTCTGTCGATCCTCGCGCCGCTTGTTTCGGTCCTTCCGAGTGATATTCAGGGGCCGGAGCCACTCCTCGGCAGTTTCCCTCATGAACGGTGTCAAACCTGTCAACTCCTTGAATGACGACCAGGCATTGTGTGGTCCGTAGAATCTTGTCTTGAAATTATGGCCTCGAACAAATTTGAACTCTAGGCCATCTCCCCTCTTGGGGATTGGGAAAAAGGAGGGCAAGGGTATGTCCAGAGAGCTCTCTTTGGCCGGTGCCTCCTTGAGCGTAGATGGAGTGGCGGCTATAGTGGTTCCATCTATAGACGTCTGCTTCGCCAATGCCCCCCTAAGTTGGGCAACCTCGAGTTCCAGCTTACGGATACGGTCATGGTCTTTGGCGGCATCCTTGAGAATGGTTGCGTCCACATCGCGTCGCCCATTGCTGCGCTGAAGATCGGTGGGTAGAGGCCTGCTGCCAATGGGAACTGCACTACTACCACCCGTCGCTCCAATGGAGGCTGGACCGACCGTTGCACCACCAGGTCTGGATTCGTAGGTACAGCGATCCGCGGTCCCAGATTTGATACAACGGTCACACGGGAGATCTCTAGAACACGATAGCTTCCGTCGCCGGCATTCTAGGCAGGACAGTCGTACTCTCTGGCGTTTCCTGGGGTGGCTGCCGTCGCCATGATGGCTTTCTTCCTCGTGACCATCGTCTCCATCCAGAGAATGGGTTCGGTCCTCCTGATCGCCGGCCGAGCCGACCGAGCCTGCCGAGCCTGTCATAGTGGCTTGTCGCGCGGCTGTACTGTGTAACTGGGGTCTGGGAATCCGATGAAAGTATGAAAGTTTTGGGGACTACACAGGGTGGATCTCACGTAACCGGGTTTGTCAACGAGCGTCGAAGCACTCAGAAAGCTTTTATCCCAGTGGTACTGTAGACCCAGGCAACTGTCCCGTGAAATGAATTTAAGTGTCAACGCGAAGCGGTCGTGCCGCATTACGCCACAGCACATGCGACCAACCAAGTGCAAGGTCACCGACTTCGGTAGACTTGTGTGAATTGGCACAGATCAGATTGATAAGATTCAGCGGGAAAAATGCCTTACAGGTTCTACACGGTCGAGCAGGATTGGGGTCTGTCAGCAATTGACCTGGGATCGTGTGCCCGTGCGGAGCTAAGCTCGTAGACCGAGCGGGTAGTTGGTTTATCTCCGCAGCCCTTGACTCATAAGGCGTAGTTCATCTTCATCAATGCACACGGCGCATGAGAGCTGTCAAACGTTCTCGACAGGCTCTGTTAGAGGCATCTATGTGATGCCAAGAATTGATTCGAATCTGAACGGTATGGAAGTTCAAACCGGAAGCTTCTGTCTCGCAATTCGCGGAGAGGAATCAATTGCTGAAGACCGGGGCTAGACCGTTTTCGGTAGGCGGTGTCTCGTATGCGCGCTTATGCGTGTGCGCCGTGCCCTCTGAGGCTCTGACAAGTGCGACAACACAGTTTCGCTTAGGTGTCCGAAGGCCCCATTCTTTGCGTGACGTCGCGTGTCAACAAGTGTGTGCCAGTGATCAAGGGATAGACAGCCTCAGTAGCTAGTAGTCTTCATCGTTGGCAAGGAACGGTTGAAGATAATGGCATAGAGCAAAGCGGAATACAGAAGCAATGCTGTGTCAGCTGTCTGCTCTCTTATCGGGCTGCTTGCTCTTCCAGGTAGCCCGAGCTGCAGACGCTATAGTGCCTGGGCGGGCTTTCGATAGGTTTATCAGCATCTGGCTGGAGAATCAGGTATGGCAAGAAGTCTCCTCAAGCGCACAGCCAAGTCAAGTGAAGTTGCTGACATCCTCGCTCTCACAAGGATTTTGCCGAAGTACTTAAGGACGATGCCTTTGCCGACCTGAAGAAGTCCGGCATCCTCCAAACAAGATACTTTGCCCACACCCACCCCAGTCAGCCAAACTACCTGGCCTCTGTCGCTGGCGACTACTTTGGCCTGAACCATGACGACTTCGTGCGCGTACCATCCAATGTGTCGACAGTAGTAGATCTTCTTGAAGACAAGCAAATTAGCTGGGGAGGGTATTTCGAGGGCAATCCGGGGCCCGGATACATGGCGGTGGGTAGCTACGATAAAGATGGAACCTGGGATTACGTCAGGAAACATAAGTGAGCATCTCGCGCGGCCTCGTTGGATCATCTTATTGACAGGGGAGCAGTCATTTTGTCTCATTCGACAGTGTCAACACGCAAGGCTCGAGGTTGGCGCGACTGTTGTCGTTCAAAGACTTCCAGCGAGACTTTGCTGCAGGCACGCTGCCTCAGTTTATCATGATGTCGCCTGATATGAACAATGATGGGCACAACACGACATTGGAATACGCCACGAAGTGGGCGCATGAGTTTTTGAAGCCGTTACTTGCCGACAGTGCATTCGCAGAGCCTACCGTCATTCAACTGACGTATGACGAATCGTATGACTACAGCAAGCCAAACCAGATTGTGTCTCTACTCGTGGGTAATGGAATCCCTAAAGACCAGCACGGCAAGGAGGATTCAGACTTTTACACCCACTACTCCGTCCTAGCCACAGTTGAGAACAACTGGGAGTTGCCGAACCTCGGGCGATATGACGTCGGCGCGAACGTTTTCAAATTCGTGGCTGATGTCACCGGATATGTGAACAATGACCCCGAGAACGCTGCAAGTGTGGATAGCTCGATCTCGTATGCCGGTTATCTCAACAACGAGACCTCAGCACAGATCGAAATTCCATCCCCGAACTTGAAGTTGACTGGTGCAGGCGGTAAACCGATCCTCGAATCAATCCGGACACAATGGCAGAGAGAGGAATTCAAGAAAGTGCCATATGATGGAAGTGGAAGGGTATATGATGGGGATAAGAATGCACCTGAGTATAAGCTGCAGGGGTAACACCATTGTATACCATTCTAATCTATGCATTATGTGTTCCTTACGCTATCTCCAATATCGTGTATCGTGTGCCGACCGCTTGATTTCCAACCAACTTCCGGCACTAATTCATGAGAACTGGGCTTCGCCTGTCATACTCATTCGTCTCCAAAGCCTTGACCATAAATCTAGCAACGCTAGCTCTATTGACCTTGGGCATAAAGCCGGCCCCCTTTCCGTCGTCGGGCAACACTTTCGCCTCCCCAGCCTCGCCCTCGGCCAACATGGCCGGTCTAGCGAGAACGAAATCCACGTCCGCAACCCTGGTCTCTGCATCCACGGCCTCGTGGTCAATCTGCTGATACTTCATGTTTGTATGCCTGAAGATGAACCGGAAAGCCAAGTTCATGCTGTCGAAGCTGTTGCCGGTCCCGAACGCGCTCATGATGACGATCTTGCGGACGCCATGTTGCTTCATGACCTTGATGGCATTGCCGACTGAGTCCGCCATCATGCGAACTGGCGTGTCCGCCGCTGGCGGGGAGAACGGCGATTCGGTCGCCCGGCGAGCATTGAGGGCGACCACTACTGCCGAAGGCGTTGAGCTGGGGACAGCTCTGAAAGCTGATTCTATATCAGACACTTTGAGTGGAGAGCCCTCTACAATGGTGAGGTTGTCGGTTGGTTGCAGAGAAGAGCGTGATCGAACAAGAGCTGTAACTTGATGACCTCTGGACAGAGCTTCGTCGAGGATGAGCTTGCCTGTGCGGCCGCTGCCTCCGAGAATCAGAAAGTGCATTTGGAAGTGGATGTAAGAGGAGATTTGTGGTGTGATATAGTGCCGATTGAATTGATTGGTGAAGCGTAGATTGTATCTCTTGTTTTGATGACGGATGTTGTATGATATGGAATAAGGTGGTTCATCACGGTGAGGAACCCCCCTTAAGTAGACCTCCTACTACACACATCCTCGGATCCGACTCGTGCGATACAACCTCGATCATCTAAAATGATCTTCTTCCAGCCATGTGTAATCAGCGTGATTTGTAAACGTGTGCGACTCCTTCTCCAGGTTGGGTAGATATCACGTCGGGTCCGACTGCGACTCGGCCGAGTCATCTGCGTAATTGCAGGATGCCACAGCATCTTCGGATCCGACTCGGCCGATACCCACTTGAACCAAGACCCAGCATAAGCATCGTATAATCCTCCGTGGAGGCTGTAAAGCAGTAATACATCGGCTCCGGGCCATCTCGACCGTATATTCTCGATGGTTGTCACATAGTAACTCACATCGCTGTTCTAAAGCCATGTTCGTGGTACCATACCTCGAATGACTTGCAACGGGCTCGTCAGGGTGGCGGGACCAGTACGCGATCACAATTGCAGTACAATTTGGGAAGTCTTGAAAATGAGCTTCGTCAATCGTAAGATTCGCGGGTATGAAATAATGAGCTCTGGTATCTAATGTGGGTATCTACATGGTCGCGCATGGGTTTCCCCTGTTTGGGCTTCTCTTCCAAGCCCTGATTACTCCCCCGATGTAGACTCTTGAGTTTTCTCAAAGCCTTTTCCAATTCTGCAGTATAATGAGATCCAGTGACGCCGCTACAACATTCCCGTCCCATTCCCATGAAATTGTGATTCCATAATACAAGCTGAGCCGATGCCCAAGCACAATGTTACACATCCAGATCATGTGCAATTGCACTTTCAGACCGAGGCTCCATTAACCCGGGTGGTTGTCGTCAATATTGGCCACTCGTCATCGGGCTTTATGTGAGAATTTCGGATGTTGATTTCGCGTAACGTAATGATGTAGCCGTCCTCCGAGGGAGTCGGCGGTCCCTCCTCCGTATGCACACTTGGATTGAGAGTCTTGGGAATCTGGCTGGATGACGGAGTTGGCCGAGACTGGTCGATCTGCGTCGTGTCCTTATGAAAACGTTTTGGCAGAAAAGTCTTCCTCATGTAGGCGCGGAACGGCCCCGTGGTCCCGAAAACAATAAAGAGAAGGATGCTAGGGCAGCAGCCCGGTATGAAGGTCAACGTATCCGCGATCGCCTTTGGCGCACTGAGATCTGGGCTCTCGGCAACCTGAGCCGTCAAATTGTTTCTGACAGAGGAAACCTGAAATAGGATGAGGAAAAGCTCGAATATCCCTAGCATTACGAAGGTGATTGAGAAGCGAATCATGAGCCATCGATCGTAGATGCTCCGAGGGCGACGAGTGGTGGCGCCGCTACGGCTTGGGTATTGACTGCCAACGCCAGTGCCGGTTCCTGTCGAATGGCCGTACGGTACATTCCAAGAGAGGAATTGTCGTCGAGTGTGAATGTATCTTCCCAGTATAGCCAGCAACAAGATTGCTCCCAAAGTAAGACTCAGTAACACTGTTCACTTGTTAGATCACTTTCTTTGCTGGCTGATAGGCAAGTGGTCTTACTGTTGATGTTGGCAAGCACTAGGAATGCGACAACATTACTCTTTACAGAATCAACGGATAGCAGACTTATCAGTATAGCCGGTAGCACGATCGCTACGACTTTCGCAGCGGCGTTTGTCTTGTGTCGGATTGCCTTGAAGCTCGCAATGTCCGCGAATCCGTAGATAGAATGCGCGAGGGCGCCAGCCCTAGATTAATTCGTCAGTAGAAATACTTGGCTTGATATAATATGATGTTGACATACCAGAAAAGAGTCAACAGCGCCTCCACATTGTACGAGTAATACTCTAGAACAACTGTTAGTCAGGCGGAATGAGAATGATATCGTTGACGTACGAATCCAGAACAGCCCAAGATCTAAGCCAATAAGATCTAAACCAATAGGAGACCTTGAAGCAGCATCGGCGGCTTTTTGCTGGTTGTACTCGGCAGTTTTTATATCGCTCCACCAGCCCATCTGATGTATTTGTTGGATAATGCTGGCTGTAGTACTGAGCAGTGTGAAATATGACTGGAAGCCAATGACTGTGTATTAAGTGCGTTAGCTTACAGGTAACAGACCACAAAGGTAGAAGAGAAAGCTTACACGAGCTTCTTTCGTGATGTACCCAAAGCAACCAAACCATGACCAAACTACAAATCAAACATATTATCGAGAAAAAGAGCACGCCGACGGCAGTGCCTAGGGCTTCTTGGGGTAGCTGAACCCCCATATCGACTGCAAGGAACGATACGACGGCATGGGTCGGGACAGCAGCACACGTGGAATGAAAATGTATATCAAGAAAGCAAAGGGCAGGGCTCCAGAAGAAAACAAACGACTTGTTGCGGGATACAAGAAACTAAATGGCCCGGTTCCACGGGCGGGATCCTGGTGATCTACGGCACTGCGAACTTTGTGACCCGTGTCTCGTCAGCTGTGGGTAAGGCAGGAAGATCCAAAGCCAGGGCATCCTAGCTGGGCTGCGGTATAGTATAGACTACCGCACTTCAGTCTATAAAAAATGGCCCTAGTCTGACGTGTGCAAGCACTCACTCCTCGGGAAAGGAGCTCTTTATAGTTAGACCAGGCTTTCGGTATGGGCACCACTGACTTCAGACAAAGTCGGGGGTTCAGCTGTCTCCACTGATGCTACACAAAGCCGCAAATGGACATGGCTTGAACGTGGCACCCTTGGTGGCCTAGACCATTTACCGGACAGGTACCCTCTGGTATCGGTTTCAATTCCAAAGCGCCAAACTTGTGGCAATGTAAAACTCGGTGTGGAGAGATTGCGCCGTATCTTACCAACGGTCCGTAGTGTGGGCGGCACGGGCTAGTGTACATCAACCATCGATGATAACAGAGTGGTCTTCGATAGCGAATTGAAAGCGAGCGTCTCAATTTCAAGCAGAAGTCAGCAACTTCCACCCTCGATGTCGACAGTCTCAGGAACTCTCGGCACAATTGTGGTTTGACGGTGGATTTGGGACTCTACTGGCGAGCCTGAGAGACTATTCCAGGCCCATCTCCGAAGGGGAAAATCCTCCCAACTTCCCGAAGCATGGGAATCCTAGGAGCTCATCAGAGGGGCCGTCTCTGAAGTGGCCCGACTTTTTGAAAACAGAGGGCAGGCATGATGTACGATAGCCGATCAGTCCGGCACGATCTAAGTGGGACCGGCTTAGTCGCGAGTACTTGAGTACGGTGACCCGCGCCCGGAATCTCGCAAGAAGTGGGCTGGCGTCTGCTGCAGTCTGCTTCAGAATTGATTGTCGAACTGGCTTCCCACCAGGATACCGCGGCTTCAACATCACCTACGGGCAATGCAAGACAGCCTAGCTGCCTAGCGGCTTGGTCCCGCGGGTCCCGTTCCACGTTTCCTTGAGCAACTGTTTAGACGCCGGTCCTTTTCCTCTCTGGAGACCCAAATCTCGTCTGATGTCTCGACTCGTAGCCAGCCAAGGCTTGCGAAGGAATGACTCCGGCTAGTCTTGCTGTTCAGCAGCGGCGTGGACCTCGAGCCATCTTCTTCACGCCGACAGGAGAGCGATGACAGCGGGCTCTAGAGGGATGGTCTGCCTAAGGTCAAGACTCATGCGCAACCTAACAATACAAGCCCATAACTTAAGCGACAGCCGGAATTGGACCAAGCTGAACGACCATGGCGGCGTTGGACTCGAGGCTAGAAGCCGGCAAGAAAATCTTAGGCCAAACGCCAATATCATCTCTCATCTGATTGATAACGTCTAAATTTCGATGGCGAGTGCTCTCCGTTTAATAGCAATCGCCCTCGACAACCTGGAGGTACAGGACTGATGATACGAGGGAATTAGGAGTCGGCAAGTTGCATCGCAAAGTCCGGGATTTCAACATTTGGAATTATATGCGGTCGAGCATGGCCTACGCTTTCACGAGGACATGCATAATCAGGAGTATCAACAACCCAATTCCAGCAAGTCGTTACTCGCTGGATTGGTTTTGTCTCCTATTCGACTCACTGGAATCAACAAATCAGCACTGCCGTCCCAACACCCGTGTGTCGCTCCGCAAAGCAAATTCGTGGCCCGATTGCCTAGGTTAAAGGTGCGCCTCTGCGCCACCAACTGACTAGTTGGTCAGTCGAGATATTCTTCAGAGCACACCCCCACACAGTCACGGACGCCCGCGTAAGTAATCACCAGAAGATCAGTTCGACCCGGCCCACGTTTTCGGCAATCCACCCAGGAGAACCAGTCCGTTTTGGACCTCTTCCGTGAGCAATGACGGCCAAGGCGTTCTAGCGGGAGGATTGTGCTTCTAGTGGAGGAACTAACGATCAGCCGGCAGATCACTTCTTGCGGAGCGCGCGGAGGAGGCGGACGGCTAGCGGAAACTCGCAATGTCAATCATCGTGACTACGACGGGCGGTTAAATTGGCTATACCCGGAGTTCACCGGGGAGAAGTCAAGCCTCCGCTTCTCTGCACCAGATCTCTGAGACCGGAACCGTAATCTGGTGATGTTTGAGTTTGACAGTACTCTCGCCCTTTCCGGCACATAATCCCGCGGATGAATTACAGCTCAATATAAGGGACTTGGATAAGTATGGTAATCAGTAAAATTCCACGGAGGCAGGTATTGTTGCAAAGTCTATATGCCGTAACGCAAAGCGTCCCAAATGGACTCTCGACCGAAGAAGAGGAAACAGAGATCGAAACCAAAACGAAGCAATGAAAACAAGCCGATGTTGAATTGGCCGTAACAGAAAAGCAGGTACCGAAGTACGACGTATGCGTATGCATCTAAATCTCCCATCCAGCAGCTAATCTTCCCCTTGGAGTAATGTCGGTTGCTCAGACAGGTCAGATTGAAGCAAGACTCGATCTAAGTTGGCATCTCAGCTTTGAGCAGCGATGAGACAATGGAGTCCTTGAACCTCTCATGCAGACCGCAATCTCATGTTGAACGATCTTGCAGGGGCCTAACATTCTCCGGCAGCGGTACGTGTGCTGGGTGCTTTACGGTATGACACCGGCAATGTGTGGAGAGATCGCGTGCCGCAGCTCCGGCGAAACCCTTCAGGGACCGTCCGTTTCCTCGTCTGGGAAGCGGATCGTCCGGTTGGGGAGCACGGGGGATTGTGGCAGGGTTTCCTGCGGCGTTTGCGTCCCGGTGCCTCCCGTGCCTGTCTCCAGCCTTGAAGGTGGGACATATGTCTGAGAGGCGTTCGCAGGCCTGTTATCCTTAATCACGCTACCGCCGATCCTGAAGACTGGGCGGGACGACGCGGGTCTGGATTCGTGTGGCGTGTTCGCTCCGCTGTCGTTCCTTGATCGAGAAATGGAACGAGACAAGGCGCTGAAAGGCGGCAGGAAACTGCTCACCCGATCGCGGATGTTGAAGGATTCACCTTGGTCATCTGTCGTCAAGGTTCGCGAAAGTGTCCTGGGCAGGTAGAAGCCAAATTTGCCGAGAGGGATGCTTAGACCGTGAACCACCTAAATCGGTCAGGCATGCCTTGCTCAGACGAGTCTTGAAAGGGTGGCTCTTTAAACTTACTACACTGCATATGGCAACGAACCAAACAACCACTGTCACAGCCTCTCCCATGTTGGCAACATCTTCTCTCTGATGCTCGCCCTGCTTAAGCATCTCGAGGAACTCTAGTGTGATGTAGAGGTAGAAAATCCCTGAAACGCCGACCGGTCCAAAGTAGCCCATGAAAAGGGCTTGTCTGATGTCCTGGAGCTGGTGCACATACTTATGCAAGCTAAGTACAATGGGTAGACGTCGGAGAAGGAGGATCAGAATGCCCAACGCAATCAATCTACCGATCGATATGACATGATTGTGGGCAAACAGAGTCCATGGGCATACTGCTCCATACCACAAGAATATGGTGACATTGAGGAGCATATCGATTGTAGGTTGAAGTGAGCTATAGGTTTAGTCAGTTAAATTGCTTCACAGAGCCATGGGGGCCTCGATAAACAACACAGGGAATGCATACTATCAACATGTTAGCATCAGCGGTATTTTGCATGGAACGAACTTCAAAGGGACTGGAGTCTCACCTCATCGAGTGTTTCTAGTCGAAACCAGTCGTCCCAGGTGAACGCGTTGCCGGCAATGAAGCAGGCCAGCACGTCATCGCTGCCAACCATCCCACACGTCCCTGTTATAAACAGTGCAAGGGATACGGCAAAGACGAGGAAGCTCTCACGGTCCACCCATTTCCGGTTCTCGGCGTAATGTAGAAGCTCTTTGGCAATCCATCCTACCACGGTACCGTACACAATGCTGAGTATGATGGTATAGCCCCAGGTCTCGCCAAACCACAGGCCTATAGCCTTGCCGGCGCCTCCCGAAAAAGTCTGGCCGCCATCTCCAATGTACTGGATGAGATATAGGGCAAAAAACAGGAAGGGGTATCCCAGACCGTCGTTTGCCCCAGACTCGGCGATGATGATCCGTTGGAGCTGCTTTGGCACATTGTGATCCGCAAACTTGCCCTTGACAATAACATTGGAAAGAATGGGGTCGGTGGGCGTGACGCAGGCCCCGATGGCAAGAGCATGGAGGAAGGGGAGATTCGGAACGAGGCCCCAGACCAGCAGACTTGTCACCAGCCACATGCAGGTCATTACCGGACCTAGCAGCAGGCTGAGTGATTTCCATTCCTTCTGGAGATAGCGGCTAGGCAGTTGAACTCCGGCCAAGACCAGCTGCACGCCCAGGACTAGGCGCGAGAAGTAGAGGGTGATGTAGTTCAGGTTCTCCTCGCTCCCTAGTGCATACTCGAGAGGCCTGATTAGATTTGCTGCATGTGGCGAAAAGGTGACGCCCGCAAGGAGAGAGATCACTGAGCTTGAGGTCAGCATCACAGCACGACGGGGAACGCTGCCAGTCTATCCGATAAAGAGACAGTGAGTCAGTCAACTTACAGGCTTCTGACATGTAGAACTTCTCCTTCAACAGGTAGGACACCAACCCAAAGAGGCTGATGAATCCCCCGAGGAAGGAGACGATGATGTTGAAGTTGGTTAACACGAGTGTCGGCATCTTGGCGAGGGTGTTTGCTTGCTTGACCAAGCAGCCCGTCCGCTAACACACGATGGAGCGAGGGTTTTCACTTTCCCCGAGTTATGTGACTCCTGAGTCGTCCTTGCAGGTGCGCAGGGCGAGGAGGCAGTGGTACGCCGGTGGGAGTTCAGCAAATGTTATTGCATTCTGTAGATGGCCTCTCCGATACCCGAGCTTTTGCTCGTACGCCACGGTGATGGGGTTGGGGGGACGCGAAGATGTGCCTCTCCGGGGGGTTCAGAGGCCCAGTTGCGCCGGAAGTGTGACGTCGAGAACGGTGTGTTGTGAGTTGAAATCCAGTCTGGGAGTGAGGCGTCAGAGCTGTTGCTTTTCGGAAGGGCGACAATGCCAAGGGCGTTCACTATTCACGCAGAGGGGAGTTTCGCCAGTGTGAATCGTTGACTCACGCAGGTTCGTGTTGGAAGAGGCCTCGCGGGATTGTTTGATAGATAAGGCGTGCGCGGAGTTGTGCCGAGGATTGAAAGCTGCATCCCGGAGCCACGGCGGGTACTGTCGCCGCCCGCCGCCGGTTAGCGTCTTCAACGCTCGGCACCGCCACCGTCCATTGAGGTGGTTGGTATACACAGACCAGCGCAGGCCCGACGATAAATCTGGACAATAAATTTGGCAAACCTGCTATTTCTATACGATGGGCGGCAAAGTATATCCTTCGAACGGCCCGGAGGAACGTTGGGGAGCGGCGCCATTAGAATGTTGCACTATTTTGCTTTCTTGACAATTGATTTAAAAGCTTTCTAGGTATATATTCAAGGGTCGGATTGGCTGAGCAATGGCCACTACCCTGACGTGATCCCAATTATATAGTCAGGCAGAACAGTTCGCGCTTCGCGATACTTATATCCACTGTCATGTAGGGCGCCAGGCGGTTTTCTAAGCAAGCTCAAGAGAAAGGCAAAGTCTGTGGCACAAAGCGCTGATGAGCAACCAAACCTGTGCTGCTCGTGCTGCGCAGTTATGTCTGCATTTGGTCAAAAGAGGAAACATTCATTTGCCTATCTGGAACAAGGAAAAAAAGGGGGTATCTATCTGTTACTCGTCGGGCGTATCATTTGATCGATTCCGCTCCCATGATGGCAATCCATATCATACCTCCTACCAACATGAGTCGTGGGCTGCTGGCAGGCACCTCCGCCGCTTTGCCAAATATGGGCAATGTTTCGTATGCTCAACTACAGCTGCCAGGCCATCCTGGGGAACAATCATGGGACAAAAACTCATCGGCCCTTTGCAGACTTGGCTCCTGCAACAGCGAGCTTATCGGCTTCAACATTTCCAGCAGTGACGGAGTGGCCCTTGACCCAGTCAAACATGGTTTTCGAGCCAGCGAGTTCCCGGTCCTCAATCTTGGACCTGATGGCCTGTACGAGGTCCTTGTTCTTGACGCTTTCGCCTTGGCTGGTCATCCAGTCATTCTTCTGCCAGCCTCTGTACCAGTTGGTGACGCAGTCTATCGAGTACTTGCTGTCGGTGAAGATGCGGATGTGTTGGTCGACCGACACCTGGTTCATGGCGCGTAGGAAGGCGGTCAGCTCGGCCCGCTGGTTCGTCTGTAGCTCCCCCTGGAGGCGTTCCGAAACGTTCCTGTAGTTGTGACAGTGAGTTACAGTACTAAGAATTGCCGGGGATGGTGAGAACAAACCTCGGGTCATGGGGTCCAAAGTAGACTCCTACTCCAGCAACCGCACCGGCCCGGCCGTTGCTCAGACTACTTCCGTCGGTGTAGATGTGCAGCACGCCGTCCTCGATGGTCTTACTTTTCTTTGTCGGGCGCACAGGCACCTCGGCCTCGATCGCCTTGCGGGCAGCCTCACCACCGTGGGCTCTCATGAACTCGATGGCATCCTCACGGGTCTTGAAGCTTTGATATTTCGGGCCCTTGGTACCCTGGTACGCTTTCTGCGCCTCGGTCCAGTCCGTGTAAATGCCGGGTTTGGTGCCTATCGCCACGGCGTAGAACTTCTGGGGTTTCTTGGGATCGGCGGGATTCGGCTTCGGTTCCTTGCCCGCGGCAAAGTCCTCCGCGTCCTGCTGGGTTTCGAACTTCTTGACTTTCAGCAGCCACTACGTTAGCCCAGGCCGCGAACACGCAGCAGCACCAATACTTACACTGAGCGCCCTTGAAGCCCGAGATCTGCTCCTGGCATTCAGCCCAGGTCTTGTAGACACCTGGAACCTTGCCGGCGCGGACGGCGTAGAACTTTTCGACGTCCTCATCCGCCTTCCTCTTCTTGCCCGTGGACGGCATCCTGTCAAAGATCGGATCAACGGCGCGCTTGAAAGCTGCTGATAAATCGCTGGCCCATCCCAGTCGGTACGTTTCGGTGCTGAAATACACGGAAGCGATGGGGCGTAAAACCGGGTGGGGTATGGTCTGATGGTCGACACTGGCAGCTTTGTTCCTGCGCGGACAGGGTCTAGAGGTTCTGGAGGTTGCTATCGTGGCTTGGGTGGAGAGTCGAGCTGAAGGGCTTCGAAGACAAAGGCGGAAGATCAAAGAGCGTGCATTTCTCATGTGCCGCACTGGTGAAGAAGGCCCTCGAAACAGCCCGCCGGACGAGAAGACGTCAGAAGCCCTGCATCTGTTCTGGTGTGGTGTCCCAGATCTTGTTCTTCGAAGGGGGGAGGGGGGGTGTCCTCCCGTAATTCAGGTATTTGCAGCTGGCGATGCGTTGCGCGGCGCAGGGGTTCGCGCCTGTTTCTGGCCGATAAGATAGCGGACCCTTTCAACGTCACTCAAGCTGATGCCAAGTAGCCTACGGGGTGCAGCTCACTAAGTTAGACGGTAGAAACTAGTGCCAGCACCATTGGATCTGCACTAATTGCCAAAATGTTGGCGACGAGGGAGTACCATAGTATGCCGCCACCATTTTGCTTGCTCCTTAGATGGTTCGCTCCAGCATCTAACAAGCCACAATCACCTGATGTAAGGATGGGATCGAAATCTTGACTTTTAGCGTCCATGGTCTATTCTGTTTGCTGCTTTTCCAGGGCCCATCTGCCCTTTGTCTATCTATGTGCCGAACCACGGACTATCTTGGTGATTGCAACAGCAAATCTCCATGCTCTTCATTACTTCCGTGGCAAATCTACTCATCATGCTTCGTTCAGTGTAGACCATTGGGAAAAAAAAAAAAAGGCCTTGTGACTGCCATGTTCACTTGTCCCATAATACCAATTCCGACAGAGGACTACCTAACTCCTTTGCCGCAACATCATGAACGCCATTACTTGTACCATGAAAGGGTTGCGAAACCCTCTAGTGTAGATGCCGAAATGCCGAAATGCCAAAAACGCAGGTATGCAGGGAAGGTGACGAGTGAAAAGGAATTAGGCGTGGAGATGTGGGTTGACCGAGAGACGCTCTGCCTGGTCTGTCTCCCACTCCCAACCCAACATGCTCCAGTTGAGTTCCTTGCGCCAGTGAAGGCCAAGGCCCTTTCCGCCTCCACATGGGCCGTCTTCACAGATGCTGTCATCGCCACAGAGATCGTACCCTCGATCCTCGGAGCTCATGCCACCTGTCAGGGGCATGCGATGGCGGAAGACGATTCTGCCCATGCGGGAGTGAAGGATTGCCATCGAGCACATTGTGCAGGGCTCGTGCGTCATGTACAGCTCGAGATCGTGGCAGAGGTAGCCGTCAGGTGAAGGATGCTCCGCGTCGAAAACAACTTGCTCGTCACTCAGGAGAGGTTGGTCCTGGAAAGCCTCGAACTCGAGGATCGGATTCGAGGCAGCCGGCTCGCGGTTCTCGGCTCGGACCAGCTTCTGCGCGACCATGCTGATGGCACGGAGAGCAGCATGCGCCATCGGGTTTCCGGTATGACCTGTACGTTCCTGGCGACACCAACGAGCGTCTCCGGCCAGGGCAACGATCTGGGTGGTCTCCTTCTCGTCCGCCGTTTGGCCCTTAGCCTTGGTGTCATCGGCGGTAGCCAGCTCTGCCTTGACGTCCTCAAGGTTTGCAGTTCCGGTGTCTGACGTATCTCCTTGGGTCGACTCTGCACCGGTGTCATCAGCCTTGTTAGCCTCATTCTTAACCATGTCCGTCTTGTTGGAAGGCACCGTGCGCTTGATGATAACAGCGCCCACGGGCTCTCCGTACCCAGCCTTGTGGCTCTTCCTGGCGATCTGGTGAGCTAGTGTCATCCAAATCGAGGCGTCGCGGGACACGACACTTGTTGTGCGACATATGTTGCTGGGGTGCGGCCCGAGTGGGTTGTTCTTGCGGTAAACCGTCTGCCAGAACTGCTGCGACCATGCATTGGCCTGCACCTGGGACGTGGGAGCAAACAAGGGAATCTGGATCAGACCGATGAAGAGGTCTTCCCCGATACCATCAATTGCAGACAGTCCAGCCGATAGCTCCCCATAGTCCATCTCATCCTGAGGACCAAGCATAATGTAGAGGTACTGGGACTTCCCAGTATGGATGGTCCGGCCATTTGAGCCCTCATTCATGAATTGGTTCTTCAGGTGGGGAGGCAGATCCGCCGGCTTCGAGCATCGTCGAAGGTGAGGGAGGTTCTTAGCCTGGTCATCACCGACCATTCCTCGAACGACACTGAGGAGAAGAGGTTGGTCAGCAGTCAGGTTGATAAAGGTGAGGACCAGAGTCTTCTGCTCATGCAGGTGGCAAGGAACAACTCACTTGACGACTTCATTGGTAAGTTTAGTAGGTGCTCTTGTGACATATGCATAGCCAATACTGAGGTTGTCGCGAAGTTCGAGGGTGGTCTTGAGAGGTACCAAAGTTCCGATATCGATGCTGTCGGGAATAATATGCCGGGTGACAGGGTCGAGCGTCTCGACAACTTCCTTCATGGAATCGCCCATAGCGGAAACCTAAGCAAGAAGACAAGGCGCTTGTCTATTCTCTTTGATCTGACGTGCTTTGCTGGTCCGTCGAGTCGCAGGGCTAGCGTACGTTGGTGGGCGAGATGATTGGGAAATGGCCGTGGATGAATCACGATATCGTCGTCGCAGGGGAACAGATGAAGGTCTGGACAAAGTCCTTGAAGTCTTCAAGAGTTCAGCGTCGCTTGCAAGGAAAGGGCATCGACGTCAAATGTTAAGTAGAAGAAGTCGCTTCCAAGAATGGAGGGGCAAGCGTCGTGGTGAGACGTCCTGGTCGCTGCGGCACGGTACAATATCTTCGCATGGAAAGACCGCCGATCTGGTGTTTCTCGAAGAAGAGAGCTCAACCTAGGTGGAATATGCCAAGGAAATGCATATGTACTACTACCACCCTAGAGCCAATAATCCGTGAGATTTGTCGAAGACAGGCCCCGCGACTCAGTGATGCAACAGCTGTGGCAAGCTCCTCCGACAGTTCGGTACTGAGGAAGCAGATGTGGAGGCGAGGGTATGTCGGCGGGGTTCGAGTATCGACTTCCTAGACAGGGAGATTACGGTCGAAGGTGCTACCGGAAAAGACGTCAGGTTTGAGAAAGTGGGAATAGCTTCATCGATCTGGGGCCAAGAGATGGTGGGATGTGAATTTTCGGGCGTTTGCACCTTCGCGTGCTCAGAAGAAGTGCTCTGTTTTGAAGGAGAGGGAAGGAACCTCAATCGGAAGCGACACCCCTCGCGGATCCATATAGGCAAGTACGCAATTGGTAGTCGAGGGCGACGGTGCTGTTGCCGATGGAAGCGTCGACTAGGCGATGGTGAAGTGAGTTTCGCAGCTCTGCTCCGTGGCTCGTCAGAGGGGCAGCCTCAGGGAAAAATAAAGTGGGGACAGGCGGATTTGGTCCCTGCATAAACGCGCCTGCGTGGATAGGCGCGACGAAAGAGAAGTCACGGACGCCGTAAGCGTCCAAGCTCCAAAGATCTTGTCGCGGGGTCAATCTCCAGCACCATTGATAACGATAGCGGGGGAATACTTCCCACTCAATCAATTCCTGGCGGTTTACTATGTTCGGGGTCAGCCAGAGGTGTTGACAAGGTGTATTTCGATTGGCTAAACACGTTTGTGATCGTATGGCTCCCATTCACCACGTACGGATTACCTAGGTAGTAAACATGCTATTTGCATCTCGGTTTGGTGAGGAACTCTCTTTCATCGCTGTAGCGTTGAGGTGTATGAGGTATACCAATATCCCAAGATAATATTCACGACAAGGACTATGGCACGCTCCGGGGCAGAGTTAAGTGGCGCTGGTAACGCCATGCTTCAATGATACCTATCATGAGTATGGATATCTAGTGTGCACGCCATAATGCTCGTTCAGCTGCACGAAGTGATTTTAGGGAGCGTTGTCAGGCATCTAGGCATAGCTTAAAGCCCGCATCCAGGGGGGAAGTTGTACGTCCACATCCGCGAGTACCCCCATAAACGCTCCAACCACAGTGGCCACGGAACTAACTTCTGCCTCCAATGACTGATACACCAGAGCAGCTGGAGCATTCTCAGGAGCATTTCCAAGAGAAGTGAATCCTTGTCTGAGGACGTGACTGCAGTGACACGGGAACTGCGGCGACTTCTCCGGCGCTTCTAACTGCATTGCTAGGGTCTACGGCTGTGGGTATTCTCAAAACAGCAAGTCGGAGCATGGCTCAAAGATTGCAGATCCACTTGGCATAGTCCGGAGCTCGACTGCCTACTAACGAGGCCGATCTACCAGAGTCTGACAGGCTCGTTCTGCATCATGCGGGAGTCGCTTGCGTACAGGAATGGCGGCAGTGATTCTTTGGGGGGCGTCGTGAGTATTCGAGCTGGAACAGGTTCCTTGGCTGAAGCATGTGTACAGCTCACACCTAAAGCTGTCCCCTCATTGGCGGAGCGCGACACATTGCTCCATACAGTACTCTGATTTGTCCACAAGATTTCCTATGCCCCGATGAGGTGCATTGCGGGCACTTTCAAGGGGGCCAATGCCCAGCGACGTACGATTTGAGGGACTATTCGGCCCTGTAGACACTAGACTCGGCGAATTGATACGGGAAGCGAGAGACCCCGTCAACTTGGCCATGGTGGCTTATCTCAGAATTGGCCGAGACGTCTCGACCATCGTTTGGAGAAAGCCGACGGAGTTGCAGTAAACCTTGGGATGTGCGGATACTTATCGTCTCAGGCAGCGGTGGGAAGAGATAAAGCGAGGTGATATCAGTCGGACGCCCGGTAAGGCAATTGAGTTCCTGATCTGAGGCTAAGGCTTGCCGCTGCTTCCTGTGGTTCCGTAAGGTGCCCAGAATTTGCCCAGAACTTCGATATTGATGTTGAGACTGGACAACTAGAAGCTCAATATGATAGCCCCGTAACCTTAAAATAAAGAACCCACCTAGGTTAGATGTAAGACAAGAGGCTGCAAGCGGGATGTCAGAGACTCAGAGTGATCGACGGTCGACCGTGGCGGCTCTTCACAGGTCTGAGAAAGGCAGTCCACCATGATGGTCTTCTCGATATTGCTGAAGCCTGCCAGCCTGCCTTGCTCTGCGCTGTACAGTACGGATGTTCCAGTGCCAGATTGGGTTGGCATGCAACCGCATCGAGTGCGCCAATCTTGGTTCAGAGCCGGGATGGCCAACACTTGTCCGTTGGATGGAGTATGTCACGGACTATGGTGTGTTGGCCATGCTACTGATACAAGTAGCAGGCCGGGGCGAGTCGCTCAACGTCAATGAGGTAGGTCCCTGGCAATCACAACAAGCAAGCTACAAAAACGTCCCGAGTCCTCTGCGCTGCATACTCCGGCCTACATACTGTGGCCTTCACCTATGTAAGCAAGGGCCACAACTGCAGTTTCAAGCACCCTTGTGTCTCTACGAAACGCCCGCCTCACGTAATTTTAGAGACCCGACCGTCCGACGGGTCTGGTACGTTGCGTTGTCCAGTCTCAGCGTCGTCTGGTCTTGCAACACCAGTGGGACATATCGCCTTGAGCACAGGTTGCCTGATAGTCTGCGCGGCGAGGAAACACTCTGCCGTGCCGGGTTGCTCCAGCCAAGATCGTCCTCTTACCAGCAGATCCGCCTGTGAGTCTCAGACCGCCAAGTTTCGATAGCTGTCAAGACTACGACCGACTATAAATGCTAATAATACCTGCCGATCAGCCAAGACGGGGTCTTACTGTTTGTGTTTCTCAGAGATTCGCCAAGATGACATGCTAACCAACAGTTGAGGACCACGACCTGAGCGCAATAAGCCTGTCAGGGAGCACAGCTCTAGATCGCCAAGATCCTTCAGGCTGTTCGGTCTCCCGGTGCATGTCTCCATCGACTGTGGACAGGCACGTAGGTACGGAGTACATTAGGGGTGCACCTGGACGCTCTCCCCTTCCTCCTACAAGTCGAGGAAGTGAGAGACCAAGAGCAACACTAAGACACCCGGTTCTGTACTGTGTAGAGACGGCGTAGTGAGCGCCGAGTCATACATACATCATAGCGGCCCACCAGCAAGCAGCTGCAGAAAGTGGGCGCCGTGCCAAATCCAGTGCAGCGTCCTGCGCAGGCCACACAGAGAGAGGCAGAGACAAGAGAGAGGCGCTGGACTGGTCGCAAGCTAGTGGCAGAGTATCCGTCAGCTTGGTGCGCAACGACGTAACCTCCAAGGGCGCCCCCAAGCCAAGCAACCTACCCACGCCGCGCCCACGCCGCGCCCACCGAGCTGATCGACGCCGTGGTGTCCTGACAGCCTGCGAACCATCCAACCCCCCTGCCAGAGGCGGACCCCAGCGATGCCGCTACTGTGGTAAAGGCCCATCACTGACCTCAACGCTGCAGCACACCCCTGCTGCGTTCTGCGTCCACGCTGGACCCTGGCCCCTAGACCTGCTGGGCCCCCCCAAACCCAGGGCTCTCCCCTCGCCTGCCGCTACCGGCCTCCACGCGGAGCTTCGGCGCCTCCCATCACAGCAAAAAATTCCAATAAGAGACCTTCCTCGCAGGTCGGCGAGGACCCCGAGGGAAAAAAAAAATGTCTGGCACACAGCCCATAGCCACCAGGAGGATTCATCAGCATCACTTCACCGCGCCCGAGAGATCACCTGTCCTGTCTGCTCCCCTCCTCGCGCCGAACACGAGCGTCAGTCCTGCCCAGGCGCAGCCACAGGCGCATCGACTTATAGCGGGTAAGTCGAGTCACCCCATGCATGGATGCAGTCGATGCAGTTAGCGCACCACCGACCACCAGTGGCCATGCTCAAAGAGTCGAGCCAGAGCCAGAGCAGATTTGCTAGTTCGTCTCCTGTTTTTGGATGGCACGACTCCTTCGCCGGGGTCGCTTGTCACCAAAACTCTGCTTCATCACTGTTCCCAATCCTCCGTCTCTGCCTGCCGTACCTCCTGCGATCGCACAAAGGAACGACCAACGTGTGCATGACGCCCCTGCTGACATCGCCGGCCACAGATCTCCAGGCAGCCCGCAGACATCTACAGCTCCAGCTCCAGCAGTCGTCGCTAGCTAGAGCGGCAATGGCCAATCAGCCGGCCGATGCGACCTCACAAGCTTCTCCCGCAGCTGCAGCTATTCCCCGTTCCGTCCCTGCACTCCCCGAGTCCGACTACTCGGGGCGCTATGCCTTGACACCCACGCCCGCAGACACGGGCTTCCTGTCGAATCCCAACACCGTTCTCTACGATGGCAACCGTTCGCGCGCAAACTCGGCCGCGTCGAGGACTTCCTCTGATGTCATGGGGCCGACCTCCATGCCGCCGCCAGCGCCTCCCCCGGGCATTCAACGAACGGCGCCGAACCCGTCCTCTCTCGCCAATGCCCTGAGGGCCGTGAACGACGGCACGAATGAGCTATCCCTCAAGGACATTCCATTGCCGACCCCAAGTAACGAGTCTCCATATACCAAGAGCATCTCGTCGACCGCGCCTACGTCGCCGAGGATACCTCCTGTCAGACAGAACTCGGGCACACAGACCCCAAGAGTGCGCCCGCATGCAACGACCCTCAACATTCCCGGCATGACAAAGTCCACGATATCGCCAGATGGAAAGATTGCCGACCGCGATGTTGCCGCGAAGCTCGTTATCATCATGGTCGGGTTGCCCGCCCGGGGCAAATCCTACATCACCAAGAAGATCAAGCGCTATCTGTCTTGGCAACAGCACAACGCCCGGATTTTCAATGTTGGCAACAGAAGGCGAGTGGCAGTCATGTCTCCCGTCCAGGGGCGCCAGGAGAACCCGATGGATGCGCATGCGCAAGTCGCTCAAGTTCTCTTGAATGGCAGCGGAGCCAAGGCCCAGCCGCCAGCACAGGAGCAGCCCAAGGAGCCATCCGACTGGAACCTCAACGACCCAAACGCAGGATCCTCGATGGACCAGTCTGCCAACTTCTTCGACCCCAAGAACGTGTCGGCTTCTGCAATTCGAGAGCAGTTGGCCATTGACACACTGGACGAACTCTTGGATTACTTGCTCACCGGCGGCGGCGCCGTGGGAATTCTCGATGCCACCAACAGCACAATCGAACGCCGGCAGAGGCTCTTTGATCATATCAAGAAAAGGGAGCCCAAGCTTGGAATCCTGTTCATCGAGAGTGTTTGCCAGGACCCAAATGTGAGACTCACTTCCTGCGACTCTGATAACCACATGACTGATGCAAGCAGATCCTCGAAGCAAACATGCGGCTCAAGCTGTCAGGTCCTGACTACAGGGACAAGGACCCGGTCAAGTCCCTCGTGGATTTCAAGGCCCGAGTCAAGCAGTACGAGAGTGCATATGTTCCACTGGGTGACTATGAGGAGGAGCATGCCATGCAGTACATCAAGGTATGTGTCAAACTACGCCACAAATATTATGGTGCTTTCTCTAACGTGGTTGACAGATGATTGATGTTGGCAAGAAGCTCACACACTTCGGTTTAGAGGGATTCCTTTCCGGCGGGATAGCTCACTACCTTTCATCATTCAACCTTGCACCTCGACAGATCTGGATCACCAGACATGGCCAGTCGGCTGACAATCAGCTTGGCAAGATTGGCGGCAACTCAGGCCTCACTGAGCGCGGCCATCTCTACGCTGCCTGCTTGTACCAGTTTATCACTCAAAAACGACAGGAGTGGTTAGTCGAGCAGAAGAACAAGGTTGCTCAGTCTTCCTTCCCGCCCTTACCTGGTGACAGATCACCCCCATACCCTGAAATGAACAGAGAACTCGATGAGAAGAATACATGCGTCTGGACGTCAATGTTAAGGCGAAGCATCGAGACAGCCGAGTATTTTGAGGCCGATGATGATTACGACACAAAGGCGTTCGAGATGCTCAATGAGTTGAACGCTGGCAAATTTGAAGGCCTGACATACCACGACATTGCCCGTGACCATACGGACGAGTACACGAAGCGACAGATGGACAAGCTTCACTACGTCTACCCTGGAGTTGGTGGTGAGGGTTACCTCCAGATTATCAGCCGACTTCGAGATATGGTGCGTGAGATGGAGCGCATCAAGGACCATGTTCTCATCATTGGCCATCGTTCTGTCTGCCGCGTTCTGATGGCTTATTTCATGGATCTCACGCGAGACGACATTGCGGACCTGGATGTCCCGCTAGGTATGCTCTACGCCATCGAGCCCAAGCCCTATGGTATCGAGTTCCACGCATACAAGTACAACGAGGCGAACCGATGGTTCGACGAGATTCCCAACTACAAACCCACCAAGACGGTCGACGTCCACGCCTGAGAGCATCGAGACGGCTCTCGTGTATATGATTTTGCTGTATAATATATGGGATAAAGAAGGGGCGAAACGGACAAATAGAGAAGATATCCCATGGCGGCGTTTGCATTACAGCATGATTTCAACAACCAGGAACACCCGACACGGAGGGAAGCATTTTACAGGTGTCCGGTTGGCGTTTCGCGGATGACACATCACAACTCAGAAATTCTGGAGTAGGGTGACGAAAGATAATGCCCGCACATTTGCTATGCGCTGCACCTTCAGCCAGATACGAAAGACTGTGGCCTAGGAAAGAAGTAGTTCTATGCATAGGACGTATGGACCGCCCACGTATACTCTGCGGGATGGATTAATTGACATATCATGATCTCAATCTTGAGCACCAGTTGACAGGCGTTTCCCAACCCAAGTGAAACAAATTTGGAGTAATGTAATAACAATACTGTTGAGTGCTCCCTCAGAAAGCGCCAGTTTTAAGCAACTCCACCAATGCTAAGTATCTTCTGTACTCCCAGTAGTTGCTTGATTGCTTCACGCAGACAGGGACCTGTCTTGCTTTTCTTACGCGTTTCCCAGCTTAGCGAGAAGGATACCTATGCATGTTGCCCTATGTGGCTCTTAAAGCGGCTATTGGAGTATCTCGCTGAAGGGGATATCCTAATACTATCACATATGTTCACATATAGAAGAAGAACACGCAGTGTATGGTGGAAGGTATTCCTAAGTTCGAGAGCGTGTCGAATATGAAGCTGAGCTCATTCTTTCTACATTTCATAGCTACTAGATTCAGCACGGAAACTGACAAGAAACTCGCAATACAAGTCCGCCACCACAAAGTCTCGATGTGTTCCCTTCCCAGTCCACGGCAGAGTCTCTCTGACCCGCGATTACGATATCATCTCCCCCGACAAACCACGCCTCTTCACCCGCCCCCTGAGCCCGCAGCCCCCATGGCGACCATCTGGTGCATGCGGCGGCGGTCGACCTCCTTCTTGAGCATGACGAGGGCCGTGGTCACGGCCAGCCGCCGCACCGCCTCCTCGCGCTTCTCGCCGAGCCCGCGCAGGTCCAGCATCAGCCGCCCGCCGTTGCCCGCCGTGCTGCGGCCCGTCCCCGGCGTGCGGTACCGCTCGCTGCGCACCAGCTGCGCGACCTGCGTGCGCCGCTCGCCTCCTTTGCCGCCCGTCGTGTTCGCCGGCGGTTGCTCCACGCGCTCAAACACCAGCAAGTTGTCCGCGCCGCCCTCGCCCGCCGCCGCCCGCTCCCGCTTGCTCGCGTACCGCCACTCGAAGGTCCCCAGGCTGGTCGTCACGGTCTGCGTCCGCGAGAACGTGCTGCGGCTCGCGACCTCGAACGTCTCGGTGCTGGGGTCTCCCTCCTCCTCCTCCTCGCCCTGTGCTTCCGGGTCGCCGGCCACGGCACCGTGGTGGGCCAGGCTTACGACGGGCGGCTTGCCGGGCCCGAAGCGATATGTCGTCCTAGTTAAGTGCTCGGCCTGGTGCTCATCGTCGGCGTGGACGAGGAAGCAGGAGCCCGAGCTGCGTTTGGGTCTGATTGAGGCGTACAGCGGGCGGTGCAGGTTGCTCCCGTCGGGGCTCAGGCTGAAGATGTAGATGGGCGTCGGCCGCGTGGGCACTGGGAAGGACAGCCATGACTTGCCTTCGGTCTGGATCTGCAGCTGCGTGGTTGGTCTGAACGTCACGTCCTGTTGTGATGATGTGGAAGGGCTGGCACCGCTGTGGTATGACTCCAGGGAGGCTTCCGACTGTGACGATCCGAAGCTGGTGAGTTCGAAGTCTTGTGGAGTTTCCGAATAGGGGGGTAAGGTCGGCGCATTCAGAGAGGACTGAGAGGCGTTTATACCTGGTGCGAAGACCTTCGTCGCGGGCATGGCTGAATAGTTGTGTATGAAAGCCTTGTACGTGCTTGATGCCACTTGTATGTCGCCAGTTCTCTGGTACAGCTTTGAAATGGTTTTATCAGGTGATGACTTATCCCCATGTTTGACCGTGCAAGCTGGGACATGACAACTTCTTATATGCGAACACAAGCATGGCTATTTCATCAAGCGTCTTATCTAAAATACGATCTAAACGATCTGAAAAAGTATACGTGCAACGCTGTAAGGCTGTGTAGGTCAGACAGTCTGGCCAATAGGCATGGACTCTTGTTCGCTGGCGCAAGGTTGAATCGTCCTGCTTCCTCTGAATGGACAAAGACGCCAAGAAATGATTGACTTACATGATCTGAAGACGGGACTAACTATAAGTGAACTAAATGATGCACTGGTTCGCTTCGCTCGTATTTCGCATTCCAGGAAAAGTGGGACCAAGTGGTGTGGTCAGCCTACCCGTGACGTCGTGGCTGTGTCGCCATTGGGCTGAACTCGGGGGCGCCCCCCTTCATCGGCAACTGCGGTCGAAATCCCGCGGCTTCAACGAGTCGGTGGGAAGTAGTTTGACTTTCATTCAATGCATTCTCTCAAGCAAAGGTAATGGTGAAGGTTATCCCCTCAGACATTGCTTTGGGTTCGGCGCATAGGTAAACTGGGCTAGGAAAAGGGCTGCCCCCCTTACAATACAGGCCTCGACCCCTCGAGTAATCTTTGAATATCATGACTGTATAATACAAATCTCCCCTCAAGCGAGAACTATTCATTATGGATGTGAATGTTTTAATCCGGGCCCTAGTGTTTGGTTTTCCCGAAGAAAGTCAGATCCGCATCTAGCTGTGTTTCGACCCAGACTGGCCACTCGTTATACTTCTGGTGCTCGGGGCCGACCTGCTGATTCAAGTATTTGAGCCATCTGATCATGCCGAGATCTACTCCGTCTTCATCCTTCCAAGGTCCCTTGGGCCGGGCTTCATACTCCTTCTCGGTAATCGTGGCCATGATCTGCTTCAGCGCAACCCAGTGCGACGCCAGCAGGACACATACCATGTTGTTCATGTTGACCAAATGTGAGAAGTCTTCATGGCGGATCTGCATCCACCATCCGTAATGTTTGCAAAGATTTTGGTAGGCTTGGGTGGCACTGTCAGCCATTTGCAGGATATAAGTAGGACACGGCCACGAGTCACTTACCGACGAGCGGTGTAGGAAGAGCTTCTGCTATTTCTAGGAGCAGTTTTTGATACTCGATCTCGACCGCGTGATTGCAGAGAGGTCTCAGTGCTCGGATGCCAGCCAGCGCCATGCTGGCCCACTCGCTCTTGATCGGGGGTACGACCTCAATCAGCGGCTTCAAGAGGGCCATCTGGTCATCCCCGAGGAAGTTCGTGAACATGATCTTGGCGCCCTTGTAGTACATCTGGATCGCGACGATCACTATACCACGGCAGAAGGTCATGAACTCTGTCATCCCGTCGTCGAGCATGACGGACTGGAACGTCAGCGCGAAGCAGGTGGCGATAAGCGCGTTGCCCTCCTCGAAATTGTCGGCCTTGGGAACGTTGGCCAGCGTTTTCTTGATTGATTTGATGGCTTTGAGGCGGTGTGCCATGGCAAAGCTCACTAAGCTGCGATCCTGGACCATGAGTTCCGTCGCTGCGAGGCCGAGGACAGCGTGCATCAGATACTCGTACTATTGGCCAACGTCAGCATGAGACAACCATGGTATAGCCCACAGGTGAACCGACTTTCTGCGATAAGCAGGGCACTTCATGAGTCCATATGCCTTCATTGCCCAGAGGGTGCCGAGGGACAGATGCAAGGAGAAAATGCTGGAAGAACCTCATGTCCTGTAAGCTGAAAAGGGGTACCTGATGTTGCGGCTGGCTCGAGTTTAGATAGAATGCTCTGATATTGGGTAATGACGACCACTGACCTGATGAACAATCTGAGCGACGGCTGGGTATTCACACTGCAATCCCATCTTGATGCAGTGGCCACACGCAGGGTGCGTCTCTTGACACTGTACACAGGAGTCAGATTTTTCGGTATCGGATTAGATGCAGCCCCCCAACTGACTTTGATTCTCCTTCTCTTGCAATTATAACACCCTCTTCTACTCTTGGTATGCCCCCTCCGCTCATGCCGTTGCTTGTCATGTGAGCCCTTCTTGGACACAGTTGCTGTAGGCGGCGAAGTGCTGGACGAAGAATGAGCCGTAAGTGCAAGATTTGAATTCGAAGAGCTATCCTCCGCAAGATATTCGATTTCGTCCTCCTTCCAGAACGCGGTATAATCAAAGTTTGGGGAGCCTTCATTGAAAGTCATCAAGGGTGGTATACTTGGGGTCAAGTCTAGAGGATCCATATTGAAGCGACCCAACTATGACTTCTTAGTGGAACCTAGTGGTAGCAAGCGGAGTGTCAAGATTGAAGTCGAACTACTTCTAGGCAATTCGTCTGAGCATCTCGTTGAGTCTGGCTGCTGGAGCGTTTGTCTCGTTCTCTGCCTGACAGCTGAGGTTCCCTAATGCCAAGCGACACCATGGATAGTAGCTTCATCGCCTAAAGATCACGTGCGGCCACCAGTGGCAGTGCTGACACATTGAATCATGGCTGAGTTTGCAACTACCCATTGGGTCAGTGATGCAACTCGGAGACGCTTGTGGTCATTTTACCTTCGGTATTCCCTAAAATATATAACTCAATGGCAGTGCAACGCGCTGGGAGCGATCGTGGCCCTGCACGACTCATTGCCTCCCCTCGTCGATTACGGCTGAAAAAGTCGTAATCTGAGCACCACCATCAAGGCCGGCCAGGCAACAGCCATTATCAGCAAGGGGGAGGCGGGTCAACCTTGGAACCGCTGTGCCTATAAGGCGTGGCTGAGTCTATAGTTGTCGGCGAATCAGTTCATTCTTCGGGAAGGTGAACCGAGCTGACAACGTTCGATGTTTCTCCTTCACTTGTTGATTGAGCGTATCGGATTTGATTGAGCGTATCGGATATACTTGAAGTTGATGAAGGCGCCTTACAATGTGAGCATACGCTAACCTCTAGAGTCCAAGAATATGCGTCGCCTCCGGCCCAATCTTGATATTATAACATTATTGACCCTGCTAGTGTATCTTTGGTTAATTGAGGCTGATGTTATGACCCTTGAGGGTTGCGCGGTGGTGTAAGAGAACTCTTGGTCAGTTTTGACAGTGGACGATGCTTGTAGGCGTTCAAGAGATGGATTACCATAAAGTTCGAAGGGGTCTCACTGTGGACAAGGTCCAGTCCAAGTAGAGTTCCCCATCACATCTCCTGATGCCAACTGGCCCGGATGACAAAGGTGATACCTACCACAGCCTAGTATGTGGCTCTGTAAGGCTAGTCGGAAAGAAGACTACCTAGGATGCCCTCCAAATGAAATACAACTTCTGACTCACCAAATTGGGAGGCAAGTAGGTGGAAGATGCCGGAATATAGGATGATGTGGCATTGTGAGGTATAATGGCTGGTAAAGTTTAGAACCTTACCCTTTCCAATCGGGCAGAACACAGAATGCGGCATCTACAAATGACCCACGAAGTCAGCTACGACGACGTTGGTTCATACACCAGAATGATGTCGTGTCAATCTGCTTCGCTAGATTATGGGCTATCATCCCATTAGGCTCCTTCAAGTTACTCGTGCACAACTTGTGTATTCGAGGCTAGCCAGCGCGCATACCATAAGTTATCCGGCCGAGGCTTGAGTTGGATTTTGGGCGGATAGCGCTGTTGAAAGATATTTGCCTAAGAATCCTCAATGAGTAATCTCACTAGAGTATGTTGCTCTGCAGTCTTGATCCTGTGATGGCAGTACGGAGAGGAAAGAGCTGTCGTTTCGCTGAGGCACTTCCTGTTCCAATACCTTTAGACCTCGCTCACAAAATCACTGATGGTGATTGCCATCCCCTGAGCGTAAGGCGCTGCGACATGCCTAGGTATGCAAAGACTGCCGTGGGAGTGTGATGCCAAATTACAGCGCACAAACTCCCGACTCCCGGTCAACGTAGACTTGTGCAACGGCTAGACTTGTATGTCTAATCTAGCTCAACAACATAACGAATGTCAACAGCGCCTCTCACCCGCGTGGATGCCAAATATGGCGATGAAATTGCATCAGATACTGTAGATCTCAAAGATCGTGCTGGCGCACGGAATGGCCGAGCAACATGGTGGAGAAATCGCTCAATGCTTGCATTGAGCACCTTGTAACCAGTGTCGCGGTATTATGCGATGCTAAAGGAGCCACCGGCTTGCCATTGATGACGACGTAGCACAACACAGAAGGCTCTGTCTACCAATGCTGGTATTATAACATACCTGATTTACTGCGTTCCTTCATAACGTGGTAATTCACCGCCCACAATTGCAAGCATCTCAGTTGGAGCGTGATCGTCGCTCAGCCAAGATTGATGAGCGTCAGGTAAGGCGGGCAGAAAGCTTGGCATCGGCACTGGGATGGGGCTAGAAAAGTCATCCAAGCCCTAAAACTTGCCAAAGAAGAAGAGATCAACACCGAGTGTTCGTGTTCCGGCGATGGCCAATCAGAGAGCCGACGGTCTTGGGTCCTCCTAGCAAATCTCGCTTCGTCTCACCTGGTGAGCGGTTCCTGTCGCACAATGCCAAGCATTCTAGCCAGCGGATCCTCCAGCGGTATGGGTCTCCCACGTAAGACCCTTGTAAGATTCGGGCAAGGCGTGGTGACGGGACAGAGAAAGTTGGAAGCCGCCCAAGCTAGCGGCAGACTGGCCCAGTTCGACTACGCTGCTCGCACAAGCTGGTCTACGTGGGCCATGTCAAGCTGCGCCCAAGAGAAACCTATGTTGCAGACGCGCGGCATTTATTAGTTGTCAGTTGCTTCTGTGGTGATTCTGCCAGCAGAAAGGGTGCCGTCGTGGTGGGCGACGTGGCGCTCACTAGTGCTTGGGCAGGATGGTATCAAGCAGAACTGAAACCGGCAAAGCAATCGCTAGCATCCTATTTTCAAGTGCAGAATACCAGGACTGGTACTCCGTACATGCTAGAGGGACTTGATTTCACCATGCGGCGCATGTCGCACGTAGCGGGAAATAGGCTGCCGAGAATAGCTGCCCACTAACCTGGCAGTACGGGCGTCAGCAAAGACCTGGGCACCGAGGGACCTCGTCACTTCTAGGGGGTTAGCCATGGCAGATGGAGGGCGATGGAAATACCTCGGCCGTCATCATCATACCACTGCACACGGTCCCGACAAGAGAACAGCGCTCGGGGGCTAAAAACAGGTCCTGATTCAGTCATCGCTGCCCAGAACCAGCAGTTTGACGAGCCCAGCGGCTGGTACCTGCAGGAAGGGGGGCAGCTCGCAGCCAGTCACAGGCTGAGGAGCCGGTTTCCAAGAGAGGATGGGGTCTGACGGCGTCAAACCAGAAACGGGCCGTCCGTTTACTGTGATCGCAGAGTTTCCCCCTAGTCAACTTACCTGCCTACCGGTACTACCTACCGTAGATAGCTTTGTCGTGGTGGAAGCCTTTCCGCTTCTCCTCAATCACTCACACACAAGAGACACACTGCCGGCAGAAGGAAGCAGATTTGGGGCTGTCTGTCATCGCAGTGCGTAGGCGGCGAACGCGGACGAATGCCTGTCCTCGTGTGGCCATCTTGTACCAAATGACAGCTGCTCATCTTATTCCGTAAAGCAGGTGGGATCTTGTCGAATGATACGAGGTCGCTATCTTTATCTCCTGGTACCTGGGTACGGACCCGACTTGGACGGAGACGGGGGCAGCACATGGCAACAACAAGAACTGGGGCCACGAAACTTGGAAAAGCCAATGGCTTGGCTGGCGCCCATGGCCCGCCAGCTTCCGTCCGAACGGTCGTGTAAGCGTGAAAAGCCCACAGCAAGCCCCGGGACCAACAGTGAAAACCCTGGTGTCCGTCCGCCAGGTCCCACCGTTCAGGTTGTCCAGACCGATCAGGGCTCCATAAATTCGCAGGGTTGTCTCGCCCCTGGCGATCCGCCGCGTGCCGTCCAATCAGCGGCCGCGGTGCCTGGCAGGACCTGGAGAGTAGTGCCCAAAGGTTGCCAGAGCCCGCTGCAGGCCCCGCATCGTCAGCCATCCAGCGGCCACGCAGCCCACGCCATCTTCACCAACCGGGCCCCGAGACCCCTGGCGCATCGCTGCCATCCCGTCCAATCCTTCACAGGCGACCCGCAGCAAACACATGCCCTCCTGGACCATCGTCTGCCCATTTAATTCCCTCCCCCCACACGTTACGAATACAATCCTTTCCTGTCCTCTGCCAGCAACGCTTTGTTCTCTGCATATCCGTTCATTTCACCGTTCGTTTCCACAGGTCGCCAGCTTCGATCTCTTCCCTGAGCTTGCCTCACTTTACACCCCGTGATTGCCGTCTCCACCCGTCCGTTTGTATATTGTCCGTGTTGCCCAACGATACACAGCCATATACACCACAATCACACTCCCAATTTCACTGCTCCGGTAGACAGCAACTCACTTCTCGAGAACGCATCATTCTTTTCTGCGTCCCTCGGCAGCCCACAGATACCGGCCCTCTGATATTGGTTCACTCATTCTCATCGACGATCACCATCATCGTCATTCGTTCTCTGGCTGGCTCCTACGCACTCATTACAACGGAAACAAACAAAGCAGAAACATCACACAGCGTCATCTGACATTAACTGACCACCTCGACGACACAAAAGCCTGACCTTTTCGTCCAGGACGTCTCACCATACACGTGCTTGCCTGCAACTATCTTCAAAATGTTCACCAAGTACATTGTCCCGGCTGCCTTGTGCGCCACCAACCTTGTCGAGGCCTCGAGCCGTCACCGACACATGCACAAGAGGGACTACATCGCTACTGAGGTCGAGATCGTCACCGACTACGTGACCGTCACTGTCTACGAGGGCGAGGAGGGCGCAGCCACCGCCGCTGCCGCCGATAAGTCCTTCTACGCGGCTAGCCGCCCCTCCACCACCAGCATCGTCGTCCCGGAGGCATCGACTTCGGCATCCGTTGTTGTTGCTCCTTCGGTCGTTGCCGAGCCTGCGGCATCCAGCCCGACTACCCTGGCCACCTCGGTCGTCGTGGCCCCTTCGTCGGTCCAGACTGAGGCTGCTGCCGTCCCCACCACTTACGCACCCAACCCCGTCACTACCACTGAAGCTGCTACCTCATCCACGAGCACCGCAGCTGCCACCACCTCGGTCTCCAGCGGCGGCAGCGGCAGCACCTCTGGCAAGCGTGGTCTCGCTTACAACAGTGCCAGCCTCGTTTCTAGCATTCTGTCCGTGGGCAGCAGCAAGTTCGACTGGTGCTACGACTGGGGCTTCAACAGCGGTGGTCTCACTGCTGACATCACCTACATTCCCATGCTCTGGGGACCCACACACTACACTTCGGCTTGGGACACTGCCGCAGAGAAGGCCATCTCCGACAATGTTGGCGCTCTGTTCAGCTTCAACGAGTGTGACAACGCTGGTCAGGCCAACCTGGCCGCTACCGATGCTGCCAACTACCACCAGCAGTACCTCAACCCTTACAAGGGACGTATCTCCATTGGCGCTCCTTCCATCACCAGCAGTGCTTCCGCCGGCCAGGGTCTTGACTGGCTTTCGGCCTTCATGACTGCTTGCAGCGGAAACTGCGCGGTTGACTTCATCAACTTGCACTGGTATGGACCTGGAGGCCAGGAGGGCGCCACCGAGTTCCTCGCCTTCCTGGACAAGGCCCACGAGCAGTTCTCCCTGCCCGTCTGGGTAACCGAGTTCGCTGCTACCTCTGGCGACGAGACTGAGTTCATGACTTATGCTCTCGAGCAGCTCGATACCAACTCGGCCTACAACTACGTTCAGAAGTACTCGTACTTCTACACCGACACTCTGTTCAGCGGCACCACCCTGACCTCTCTGGGCCAGACCTACGCCACTGCCTAAATGTCACGTGTAGATCTCGATTCTCTTCTTGTACCACCATAGGGGCATAGGCGATATTGCGTTTGGATGGGGCGGTAAAAATTTTCACTTCACTTTGTACATATTTGCACGGTCTTGCGTTAAGGAGCCAACCAAGCATCTAGTCGACGGGATCTCGGCGGCAGATGTCGCATCACTTGTTGATTAGATGGACACAGGCAAACTCAGGAAACAAGGATAGACTCACGAGCTCATGACCACACAAAATGAACTGCGATTGCAATGTGACTGATGCATACATGACTTTGGTCCCGCCGTGATGGATATGGAACTGAAGAGCTCAGGACTGGGGAAGCACTCCAAAATTTCCTAGCTTCCAAGAAGTCCCTGGCCCTGATCTTGCCTAACGTGTATGCAAATCTAGTAAGGCATAGGATGCACTTGGTCCATGCTCCCGTCGTAACAGGCAAGGAGATACTACCTCAGCAACGGTAGGCCACAAGGAGTCATGACTCGCGCCGTGGCCGTGCCAGTATTTATACGACGAACACACAGGTCCCCTTGGCCCGTTCGCAAACCAATGTCACCTTGACGCTTCCCCCCCGAGATCCCCTCCCGCCGCCTAAACTATGGCCAACCAAGCCAACTTTCTCCCTCTTTGGAAAAGGGAAAGATCCGACAGCGAACAACGATTCCGAACTTTGGTGCTAGGGGACATCATCCGCACAGCACAGCAAGGTTTGCACCGGTGAGGTGGTCCAGGACTCGCACATTTGGGGGACAAGGTTTGGTGCTGTCCATCTCGCTGCCACGTGGGGCTCCTCTCTGCCACGTTGGGCATTGGGTTTGGATCTTTACGGATAAAGACTGGTGTGAACTACATCATCCTTGCGACTAGAAACTATGCTTTGATCACGGGGGAAAAGAGCCACTGACATGTGTGAAACTCTGTTTCTCCCGCGTTCGGGTTGTGGGGTAGTATGTTGGGGCCTGCGAAGGGTGTGGCTACCATTGAACAGGAAATAGGAATATGATGATTCAAACTGAGAATCTGAGGTTTTATTTAAGTCAGTGTGTATTATCTATCGAAATAGTAGAATGTGAGTGCAGAGGATGCAAAAAAGCAAAAACATACAACACCGGGTATTCGCTGGTGGTCACCCACCCAACTACTAATCCAGCGATCGCCAGTTTATCTATGGGAGAGCGGACGGGATCCCGAGTTCTCTAGCGTCTATGGTCGTATGTATCAGTTCTCAGTTTGTAAAGCGTTATATACGGTATGCAGGCATGAAGCTTCACCGCCTCTTTGCCCGGGATCTACCTAGCATGTCAAAGGGCTTACCTATATGCGTTGATGTTGCTGATTCTGGCCAACATCAGTTCTTTACTTCAAAAAAAGGAAAGAAAGAAAAAAAAGGAAAAAAAGGCATCATGACCAGCATCTGACATGCGAAGACCGTGTCCGTAGGTCATTCCGAAGTTCACATCTCAACCTAGCACACAATAGCTCTCTGCTAAATGGCATGCCTGAGGCTGTAACAGAAGGAACCCCTTTCGATATGGAAAACTTACTTCGTAGTATGGCTGCGTTTTGCCACTTTTGTCACACTCGTGCCTTATATTAACAAGGCAAGTGAACCGCGTAAAATGAAACGAAATCTCATCCGCGATCTCCGGTACGAATATTGCGTCAAATTGTAAAGGTGTAAGAACAAATCTGCCTTGATTGCCGCTGTGAGACTTGAGCGAGCGCATAAGTCTTCATGCATCGTCACGGTCGTGAGACGTTACCACTGTCATGAGTAGAAGGACTACCTTGCAGAGAAGGGTCATGACTCTGCATGGATTAGCACCATGAAGTTCATTCAGCACTTTGAGCTTTATCAATTGATCATCAAAGCACGGTTGTCAACTCCAACCCTGTGAGCCGCATCCACAGCAGGTTCGCTCTCGCTTAGGAGTTCCAAAGCAGCCTGGAGGCTTTCACGACAAGGTCACATGCTTCTCGCTTTCTGGGATTCGCCGTTGCGAAATCTTGTATTTCGTACGCTTCATGTCTCTCAAGGATAGATATGGTGTCTTACTGGCGCCCTTTGGTCGTGTTGGTAGAACAGCAAAACACCGAGATGAGGGTATGAAGGTGAGGGAGATAAAAAGCATATCACCAAATCGGAAGAGGTCCCCTAATACATATATGTAAATGATTCATTCCTCGACGCGTGATCTGCTCTTTTGAAAACGTATATATATTACAGACAAGATGTATTGAAATATGCGGAACAGGCAATCAGCTATCAGACACCGGAAATTTGGATAGCATTTTCTTTCAGTCAGATGAGCTTATCCGCGGGACCTGATCGCGAACATGTGAGATTCCCCAAGTGACCCTAGTTTCGCTACTGATCATACGTCCGCCAATCTCGGTACACAGTAAGGAGATTTCGCGATCTTGCACACCCGTCCTCTCAGGTGTGCCAGCTCAGGAGCGACCATCGCCTGCCCAAGGGACCACACCAGCCAAATCGCATGCAAGAGCTTAATCGAAGAGTTGCCAAAGAGAAGGCAGGCTCACGGCTTTATTGTGGACACAAGTTTATGGGTTGCATTAATGGGATCGAGCGGCGGCGCGACTGGCTAAAATACCAAATCTATAGTTTGAGGAGCCCCAAACGATTCGAGACCCGGCGTGACAAACTGAGAGACGAATTTAGCATCGCTTAGTAACAATCAAAGAAGTCTAGTGTCGCCTCCATTTTAGATATTTTAGAGGGTATTAAGTCACTCCACCAACTTTTCAAGCTTGCCGAACACAACTTAGGGAGGCATCTGGTTTTTTTTGGACTGGATATAACGGGAAAGATCTGTAATGGCGAAGGGCTTTCGTGTACGAGCCCGAAAATATGTTAAAAACCACGAAGTCTGCGACGATCGAGAGACTTGCTAAAAGCATGCGATCCTTGGGGTTCTCGCGCCTTGCCCCTCTGCACTCGAAGATATTCCCGTACGGAAACTCCCAGGTTACCGTGCCCCGCCTCCGAGACTGTCAGGCAGTCACGGCAGTAAGCCTTAGCGAGGGAGCAGTGAGTCTGATGCTATGACCTTTATTGCTGTATCTTTGTGTAACTCTTCGTGTCCTGTCGTTGCAGTACTTCCTAGTGTTTAGTCTCAGGGCATCACGTGAAGCAACTTGTAAAATAGTTCAAGCATCTACAAAGTAACGAATGACGAGCAGCAAGAAACAAGGGGAGGAAGGTGAATACAACACTCTTTTCATTCTCAGGTCATGGGGTGATGTATGCAAATGCGCGACACTTGGTACGTAGTCACACGATTTTGCTACGCTTCCCACGATGTTAGACATGAGGAAAGGATGGACAAGTCTTGGAATATATTAGTAAGCAACCATAAACAGAATATAAGTTACATGTTTTAGTTCATAATCCTGCTATATTCGATATTCAGTTAGAACCAACGTGAGATAAGAATTTAAGGCGAGATAGATGCCTCCTCGTTTACCGTACTATGTAGTTTGCCACGATGCATCTCGTCTGGACAGTCTGGGCAAGGCTTACGCCAATACTCGCATGCCAGTGAAGGTTACATCGCTAATTGAGGGTAATAGTGATGGTCGTAGGAGGCACACTTACCGACAGTCTGAGAAGTCTTTACCCCAGGTTGATCCACTTAATTGGGTCTGTTGGCTGTCTTTCGTCCTGTAAGCCGCTATGTTAGCTGTAGCCTGACAGAATTATCTACGTGAATCCTTGAGTACATTGGAACACAGGTACCTTGATGAGTTACATTGAACCATGTACCCATGAGACGGTGCAGGTACCTGGTAGTACCAGGGTATCGCTTTAAGCACCCACCTGCAGGTAAGCTCCACAACATACGACCTCCATGCATGCGCTAAGATTCTGGAGGATAATCCAGGCATACGACACACGCTTGTGCTAAGTATCTGCGCTTAAGATGAATGATCAGTCAATGGATACTTACTAATGCTGAGCACTTCACTCCTTTACCCATGATCGACTGACATTCACTTGATTGGTGTGTTAGTCGCAGACTCGCCACTGGGTTTATAGCCCTGGCCGCTACCTACTGCCGGCCAGCCTCTTCCGGAAACCATTTATCGCAAAGAGGGATGGAGCTTCAATATTACCCTATTGTTATTGTTGGTGCCGGAGAGTCTGGTATTGCGACGGCCTGTCGATTGAAGCAAAAGTTAGGTTTTCACGATTTTGTTCTCTTCGACCGGCAAGGAGACATTGGTGGAACTTGGTACATCAATCGGTACCCGGGTGTAGCCTGTGACATGTAAGTTACCTGAGAATGAAGGTGCAGCATTTTGCTGAGACGAGTGCGTTAAATCCAGACCGGCCTTACTCTACTCCTTTTCTTTCGCTCCCAACTACAGTTGGACATCTTTATTCCCAGAGGGACAGGAGATTCTCAACTACCTGGGCGACGTCTGTCGCAAATTCCGTGTTACCGACCATTTGCGGCTCAATACCGAGGTGACAGACGCAATATGGCTCCAGGACGAAGAAGAATGGGAGCTGACGCTCACGCACCTCGCAGAAGGGGCGGGTGACTTGAGCGCAGCAGACAGGCATGCCCGGGTTCAAAAACATGGAGAGGCAAGCGTTCATCTCAAGCGTGAGCGCGTGCGTGCGAAAATCCTGGTGAGCTGCGTTGGCGGGCTTGTCGAGCCCAAGGCCTGGCCCAGTGACATCCCCGGTGTTGAGACCTTTCAGGGGGACATGTTCCATTCTGCCCGATGGGACTACAGCGTGCCGCTCGCGGACCGAAATGTCGTGGTTATCGGCGCCGGCTCTAGTGCCGCACAATTCGTACCGCGACTGACCAAAGCACCATTCTTGGCGAAGTCGGTCACACAGCTCATGAAATCACCACCATGGGTGAACCCACGGCCTCCTGTGCCGCAGGCGTGGCGCAAGTACTCGCGGACTGCCTTGAATACCGTGCCAGGTCTGGGGAAGCTTCTAAGACTGCTGTTGTTCTTAGGAGCAGAGTCTTTCTGGCTCTTGTTTGGGGTGTCAGACTTCAGTGTTCGGCGCCGGAAGCGATTCGAGGCCAGAATCCTGCGCAACTTGGAAAGAACCGTGTCCGAAGAGTATCGACGGATCCTAGTTCCGGACTACCCAGTAGGCTGCAAGCGTACCGTTCTCGATGGCCAATGGCTTGAATGCCTCAACGAGGGCAACGTCGACCTCACAAATCGACCACTTCTCTCCGTACAGTCCGGCGGAGTTACCCTCGGGCACCGGCCTGGCTACGCCACAGAACCATCCGACGAAACATTACAGCTGCCGGCTGACGTGATTATTCTCGCCAACGGGTTTGACACTTCAACGTTCCTACATTCTCTAAAAGTCACTGGAGTTGGGGGCAAATCGCTTCAGGAAGTATGGGCCGAAAGGGGAGGGCCGCACGCGTACCTCGGCCTCGGAGTCGATGGCTTCCCGAACTTCTTCACCATACTCGGGCCCAACACCCTGAGTGGGCATTCATCCGCCATCCTGGCTAGCGAGAATGCCATCTCATATATGCTCAACTTCGTCCCAGGGATCTTGTCAGGAGAGGTTAGGACGGTGCAGATCAAGACGCAGCCGCTGCTCGATTACACCGCCGATGTCCAGGCCAGAACCAAGACCAAAGTCTGGCCCAGTTGCAACAGCTGGTACCTGGGTGCCAAGGGGTGGAACAGTGCCGTTTGCCCGTACGTCTTGCGTGCCGATACAATCATACACCCTCACTGACATGCACTAGGTATTCTCAACTCCAATTCACCTTTATGTGCATGTTCCCAAGATGGCATCATTGGGACGTGAAGTACACTGAGAAGGGTCTTGCCAGGCGATATTTTCGTCGACGGGCCGCCTGTTTTCTCGTCTTCTCTCTGACAGTAATGGCTGTCATGCTGAAATTTCTAAGATAGAAGTAGACCACATGAATCAAGGCAGTATCTCATGGCATATATTATCTAAAAGCACCCAGGGAGTTTTGATTCTCCCATATACGTCAGTGATATCTTGAGACTATAACCTGAGAGCTCTGTTATGTATGATAAGAGATTCGCAACCCCGTAAGTGAAAGCAATGCGCAAGTATTCGCTGCAGGAGAACAGTCTGAGTGTCGGGCACGTTCTCTACGACCAGGGCCCTGAATGGAGCCACGCAAAGATTCTACCATAGAGTGCCACGTTGGCCTCTTTCCTTCTGATCTCCGCGCTCGGAGCCCGCTTTCTGAGGTGTGTGAAGTTATGTGCCATCCCTCTCATCAGTTCCCATTTGACTTTTCCCCTCTCCCAGGTATCACTCTCAGACTTGCCCTCATTATCCGGAGATAATGCCATCTTCTCTGCGAAATCCCGACTTTCGAGGCACAGACAGTCTTCTTCGGCGCCAATGACGCACAGCCAAGCAGCCAGTGCATCTCTCTTGGCATATATCGGTGAGAGCAGAGGGTTGGTGGGGTTGGTGCCAGGAGTCATGTATGCTTCATTGAAAATACCCAGAATGCCGGCCAACATGTCTGGCTTATCTGATCGTAGCCTGGTTTCGAGCTTACGTGAAACAGGCGTCGCCATGTCCAAGGGGGCAAAGAACGAGACCACCGCCTGGATGACATCATGCAGTTCGGCTCTCTGGGACGCGGCCAAGGCGAGGTTGCCTCCAGCTGAGAAGCCACCCATAGCGATGCGCCTACGGTCTATTGGAAGCTCCTCATCAGCTATAGCTGCACCTGCAATGGCTACCACGTCGTTGATGGGCCCAGGGAACGGGTTCCGAGGTGCCTTGTGGTAGTCAATGTTCACAACGACGACGTTGAATGTATTGGCAATGTACGAGCAGAATTCGTCATCATCCAAGGCTTCCATGAGGGTCCAGCCGCCGCCATGTATATTGAGATAAAGGGGAAGAGGTGCCCGGTGCGACTCATATGCCCGTGGAATGTGAATGCGATTGCGCAGCTTCGGCCTGACATGATAAGTCTTGACCAGAGTCGGGGCGCAGTGTGCCGAAGGAGGCTCGACTGCACGCCAGACAATGAGAAGAGCGCTCACGGCGGCTTTTAGAGACCATATGCGAATCAAGCTCACAAGGCGGCTGAGAAACGAGGGCATTTTGCTATTCTGTCGAATGGGCCATGTGTCTGAGGGACAAGTCCACCGGGAAACGATTAGTATTTCGAATAACGTAGAGGCCTTGATTACGGGTATCTTGCCGATAATCTAAAGATTACCTATAGCTTGGCAAGCCTGTGTGTGCAAGTGGAACGAGGTTACATGCGAATGGTGCATGGTTTCATTTCTCCAAGCTTACGTCACTTCATTCCGATTGTCCCAGACTGTGTTAAGAGGGAAGTAAGTACCTAGGCCCTTTGGTCTTCTACGTAATAGGCATGTAGGAACTTCCAAAGCATGCAGATGCAGTCAGCGAACAGACTTAGTAGTTTCAAAGTCCATGCACGTCTTAATGCTCAAGCAATCCAGTCATGTAGTCAGCAAGAGCTAAGGGTAACATGCAGTTGGTGAATAGATGCACTAGAAATAGAATCTAAGCCTTGCGGCCGACAATGCAGTCAGAAAGATAGCAGTGTAGCACTCGGCCATCACGATACACATTTTTCGGCTGTCGGGGCCCGGAGAGAACATGCATCTACAGGCCAGATTGGATTCGCGCTATAAGCCTAACGCGAAAATATAGGCGGCCCCGTAAATGTCATTTCTTTGATAATCGATTTCTTGCAAGTCCTTTTTGGAGCATTTCCTCTTTTTTAGCCATACCCTCTGAAGAAAGACACTCTCTACCAAGTCAATGCGCGTGAGCCTTATCTCTTTCTTCTGAGGAACGTCTATCAGGATGGCGCCAACAGGTACCGACGCAGTACATATTCTTCTACCTCTGGTCCAGATCTTAGCACTGGCATGCCCTCCGTTCCAAAACAGAGCTTTCATATTCGTGCCCTTGATCGGGACGCTGGCCTACGCATCAGCAACCAATTTGGCCCCTTACAGTGCTGAAACTCGCGCTGCCTTGATTTCGCAATGGCCCTGGTATTTATTAACCATGGCGCACTTGATGTTTGTGCGGCCTGAACGGGAGTACTGGCGTATCGATCGACCGCAGCATGAGGCCGAGTCCATGTCTTTTGGGTGGCGGAAACTGAAATGGGCTGCGGCTTTGTGGGTGAATCCACGCGGCATCAAGTGGAGCCAGCAGATCAGGGGCGTCCGTCGTGGAGATGCCCCTGTCACCCGTTGGCACTTCGTGGTCTATCAGTTGCGCCGTTACCTCACATTTTACTTTATCGTAGACGCCATGATGGTTTACACGTTGAGGCACTTCTACTATCCTGGCGTTGATATGGCGACACTCACTGTACGCGCGACTTCTTGGTCTCGGTCCCTCTATAACAGCTGGCATGTGCTGCTGTCTGTCATTGCTCAGCTCCAGTTCCAGTATCTGGTATGCTCGGGGCTAACCGTCGCCATTGGCATCTACGATCCGGAGGTGAATCTTATTTCCATGACCCATCACGGGACAACCTGGCTTACATGGTGACAGGATTGGCCAGAATGGCTGGGTAGCTTCCAGGACCTGAGCTCAGTACGACTATTTTGGAATGCATGGGAACATCAAATCATCAGGAGAGTGAGTGCCCTTGATCTCGTTTGCCCGACTTGGCTAGAAACACAATGTTAACTATTACTGTTCAAATAGACATTCATGCTGTATAGCAGGGCATTTGTGTCCTTCCTTGATTTGCGCCGCGGTAGCAACCTGGACCAGTATACCCGCATATACTTTAGCTTCTTCCTTTCGGGCATCTTCCATGGCGTGACAAATTTTGTCATGCCTGCCAACGAGGGCGAGCCTCGTTGGGTGCGATTCCGTCTGCAGTTCATTTTCTACATGCTACAGCCCTTCGCCATCCAATTTGAGGACTTGGTTAAGTTTGTGTACAAGCATCTCATCCGGATGCCAAAGAAGCGCAGTGACTCACATGATCCCAAAGGGAAAGGTGACACCTCAGAGCCACTAGAGACTTCTGTGGGTGTTACGTGGACGAAAATCATAAGTCACATGTGGGTAATCTGCTGGGTATGGTTCTCGATGGGCTGGGCAGGCGATGCCTTGCTGAAGTCTGGTGTTGCTCGCTTAACACCCTTACCTGTGCCTATTGTAGAAAGGGTTCTGATTTACGCAGACGGGAATGTTTGGTTTCACACCAATGTGACGCCATGGGTACGCGCTTGGTTGGGTAAGGTTGGTCAGTAATGAGCTCATTCAAGACCGCAGAGGCCAAGAGATATAGTCAGATCGTTAAGTACTCATCAGATGGCTGTAAAGCAGCAGTTGTCATACTGCCACAGCAGATATAATCTTCTCAATTTTTCTAATCACGTTGGGTACACTCCAGACATAAATATGCTTTCGTGTCAGAACCAATATCAGGGCTTGGGTGCTCTTTCGTATTGGCAGGAGGTGAAAATCCTTCGGGGATGCTGCTAGAAATAGCCGGTTGAACGGTAAAGAAATGTTCTACTTGAGGATAAATTCACATTCTCACACTTTCGCAGCCCTGTACGAACGTTAACTTGCATCTTATTGCTATGAAGTGAGTACTTGTATTCTACAAGGAAACCCCTCGCTAGGATGTTGCATTCCAACCTGATAGGCCCTTTCGCCTGCTACTGTCATGTTATGTGGCTTTCCATCGTGATGTCCCTGTAGCCTGTCCCACTCTTCGTACGCCACAATAACATTGAATGTGCGTACAAGCATGACTAGAACCACTTTTATTTCCAGCACAGCGAGTTCTTGGCCTAGACAATTGCGCGGTCCGAACTCGAATGGCCGCCATGCGTCTCGAAGCGGGCGGTTGAGTTCGTCAGCTCGATCTGGCAGCCACCGCTCGGGCCGGAAGGCGTCTGGCATATTCCACAGAGCAGGGTCACGGTGTAGTGCCTGGTGCAGCGACCAAACCATGAAGCCCTCTGTAGGAAACCGTTGGCCACCAGCTAATACATGGGTACCAGGCTCGCCAGAGCGAGTGCTCGAGGCAGCCGGAAACAGGCGGAGGGTTTCTTTGATGACTGCCAAGGTATAGGGAAGCTGGTTCAACAGATACGGAGACTGACGTAGTAATGTGGCAGTTTCAGAAGTATTGGTACCCAAGACTGTATCATGCTCCTTGCGAAGTTCAGCAAGCGCCAAAGGATGGGTAGAAAGCAGATAGAGGGCGTAACATATAGTGCTGCTGGTCGTGTCGTGTCCGGCGAACATGAACAGGATGATCTGGTTTATGGCGAATTTCATGAAAGTCTCATCCAGGCGTTGGGTGCCTGTTGACCTGTTGAGGTATGTATCGATGGCTAGATCTGTGATAGACCTCCCGCGTTCTGCACCGTTGACCAGCGTCATCGATTTCGTGCGGTACCGTGTGTCTAGTTCTCGAGCCAGGTATTGGTCCATGGTTCTCTTGTTACGCCAACAGATGAGTGGGCGAAATGGATTGAACCGGGCGAGGAGATCCATATCATTCCCAAAATTAAGCCAAGGGATCTGATTGCGTAAAGCCTTCGCCAGCGGGTTCTGCCCACGCTGGGTGTTTAACTGGGTGTCTCTGGAGTTAATATGTAAGCCATGACTGACGGTATAAAACCACAGAATCATATTTCACTTACAGTGCGACTCGGCCGATGACGTCCATCGCAAGATTGGTGGTAGCCTCATGCAATGGAGCAAGCACTCCTTTCCTGGCTCGTTCATGCAGGATATCGCAGAAAGCCTCTGTATCCTCTACTAAACCAGGAACGAGTGTCATGAGATGGCTGCCATTGAACCCGGGACTGAATATAGCTCTCCACTCCCTCCAGTAATTCCCTTCCATAGTTAACAAGTCGAACCCGTGCGTCAGTGGATAGAGGAACCTGCGCAAAGCATGGTACTTGGGCAAGGAATGCTTCTGCGTGATCTGATAAGCTGCGTCCGGCGAGCTCACGATTAACATCTGCGGCCCAAAGGGCCACAGGTCCAGGTAGAATAGAGGACCCAGCTCAGGCATTGCTCGACGTATCTCACCTGCCATATAATGGGGATGGCAGTCTCGAGGCAGATTGGACATGATCGATGCCACATAAAGCAGGTGGCCGAATAGGGGGCTCCATGGTGGCATGGGCTAGAGATATGAATTCCATGTTATTTTCTAGCCGTGAGCAAAGAACGTAACGCACCAAGTTGCGTTCCTTTAGACGAAGGAACCTGCGTCGTGCAGCGTATAGTTTCATGAGAAAAGTGAATGTACTCGACACGATCACGCCCCAGAAGGCATGGCTGATCGACAGCTCTCCCAAAATGGGATCTAGTGCACCCATTTTTCGTAGCTCCTTGGAAATTAAACAGGCGACAATGACCTAGAAATCAGTCAGAGTGCGAGGATATGGTGCACTTATATGTAAGTAATGGGTTGTCTTATCTCAGATGCATATCCGTTTTATGGTACAAGAAGCACCCGCCCCGGTATCTGCATGATTAGGAATTTGCCAGGAGCCTTGGCTTCTTCCTCTTCCCACAGACACAGATTTAAGACACCATTCCACAATAGACACGTGTTGATATTAGTAAATTTGACGACTTTTTAAAACGGAGAAACACCTAATTCATAGGGAAGCAAGTTGGTCTTCGCGCAGGGGCAGATGCGGTGGATTTGGGTAAAATCAAAGCCTGTTTCTCATTTCAAGACTGCCACTCCGCACCCGGAAGGACACTGCAGTGGATCTTTTCATGCACTCTATCAAAATTGTGTAGGCATATTTTAGTCCATGACTGAGAACATATACCCTCGACGCAACTACGCTTACTGTTGGTAGAATCTCTCGCTTCCCCTTTCCACGAAGCGCAGTGGGACTGAGTCTCTGGGCTTGAAACTCAGGGTCGAGAGGCCTTCGCTCATCATATATCTAGCCTTAGCTGCAGTCAACTCCCACACTTCTGCGCGCTGAGCATGTCCCATCTTTTCTACCTCCTCATCAGTTGCCAGGTCGTCGACCGCCAGCTCGACGCTGTGGTGGCGCAAAAGAACCGCCAACGTGGCCACGGCTTCGACCAGCGCAAAGCGCCTGCCGATACATGCGCGCCGTCCCTCACTGAACGGAAGATAGGCGCCTTTGCAGGGGCGGAACGGTATCGGTAGGTCACCAGCCTGTTTGTGGTCTGCAGATGCCCCATCAAGGAGCCAGCGCTGCGGCCGGAAGGCATGCAGTTCTTCCTCGGGGCCTGGCCAGTAGTTTGGATTGCGATGCGCTGCGGGAATCACCACGTTGACGCGCGTTCCGGGTGGCACGTACACAGTACGGCCATTGAGGTCTAGTGGCTGCGGGCCTCGACCCAGTGCTGTAGTCTTCGGGAGGCTCATGAGAGGCGGTACTAGACGGAGTGTCTCGTTGAGTACGGCGCCTGGCATCGTTGCCAGGAGACGAGCACACTCTCTGTCGTAGTCCCAACTGGCAACGGGATAGTCTGCAGGGAACTGCGCATCAAGGTCGGCCTGCAGCTCACGCTGGCTGGCTGGATGCAGTGCAAGAAAAATCTGGGCAAAGTACATGGTGCTCGCTGTGGTTTCGTGCCCACCAAACATGAATATGAACGCATTACCAAGTACTTCGCGTTTGCTAAGGGCTTTCTGATCGTCTTTGCCCCCTGAGGCACTGTTTCTAATGAGAGCGCCTTTGCTCAACGTTACTTTCATTAGATGGTTCGAAGCGGAACAACGGGAGGCTATATCTCACCTAAGAGGTCCATTGATTCTACTTCCCCAGTGTTGTTGTCTTCTGAAGTATGTTCAGCCTCTATTCCTGCAAGTTTCTCCTGATACATGTCGGCCATATACGCAGACCACTCTTTATATGCTTGATAAGCTAGATTGGCTGTTTTGCTGGGGATATTTGCTGCGAGGATCTTGTTAACTCGACACGCCATCGAAACCAGAAGATACTTACCCAAGACCACGCTGGGTAATACAGCCACCATGAATAAGTTTTCTAAGACTGTGCTCAAAGCAGCCTTGAAACTCAACGTGTGGGCTTCAGGGATCGCGTCGCCATTTATGCCGGCATCCACACTCGAGCCACTGAGGGAAGGGGTTTCTCCCGGCCACACCCTGTCGTAAACATCTTATAAGCAATATACCAGCAACTGCCGGTGAAAAATAAACCTTACATTTTTCTTCCAAATCCAGCACGGCTTATCACGTGTAGACTCAGGGTTTTCATGTCTTCCCAGGCGTTTACTACCGTCTCGGGCGCATGGCCCGTCCCAATCCAACTTCGGGCTACTTGCTGCGCCTGGTGGAGTGTTTCCGTCCATACAATCCGAATATTCGTCTCCGAGAACGTGGCGGCTGTTGCCTTGCGGTGACGGACCCAGTCATTTCCCTCAGTCGTCACCAAATTTTTCCCGAAAATATCAATGGCCTCATACATCGCTGTGTCCTTGGGGAAGTCATTCCTTCTTTCGGTTATCTGACTGATCACATAGGCGTCGCACACCCATAGTATGTTACCGAATGGGGACACTGTGAGAAATACGTCGCTCCCGAGCTGCTTGTATGGCTCATGATAGCGCCTCCATGACCACCCAGGTACGAGGAACCTAACACAAGTTTAGTGAGATTAATATATCAGTGTTCGGGGTCTAACTCGATCCATGACGAGGTCCATGACGATGGCAGTTGACGCAACAGAGGCATCCAGAGTTTGTAGGTCAAGAGCCACCACAGCTGGTAGCCGCTCACAGGGACTACCACGTAGGGAATGCCTGCGGTGCATATTAGAAGATCAGTTGTCATAAGATCAATGGAAGTGTGGCGCCTGGACCTGAATTCTTTGCGAGCTTCAAGTTCTGCAAGAAATGGCATATCTGACGTGCAGCCAAAAATGCGCCGAGTAAAGTGACAACAGCCACCAAGCCTGAGGATTTCATCTTGGAGGGTATCGTTGACTCCATTTTTTCACACGCCAAAAGACGAGTAACTGCTAGATCACTGAAAACGAGAACCCATTGATGGCGTTTTGCCCTTCAGTGCTAGACTCACACATGAACTGCTTATCAGATATACCCGTATGGATAGGTATATTCAAGGATCCAGCATAGTCATATATCGCGATCTCGTGTTGAACGTAAGCCAAGGCTCAGTAGTGAGAGTATAGTTTGGCTTGCAGGCGGCCGACTAAGTTAATTTCTGACATGCAGTTCCATGCTTCGAGCTTCGTGATATGTTGCAATATTGGAAATGCATGTCATCATTCAGATACGGTTCGAGTGGACAAGATCCACAATAAGGAATCAAATATACGATACTGGCATGTCATCATTCAGACGCGGTTCGAGTGAACAAGACCCACAAATCAGGATTTCACTATACGACAATAGCTTGTCAGAGTCATACCAGCTTTTATTCCTTCCAGCAAAGACGATACAACACAACTCTTACCTAGATGCGCAAATTACCCAATCAGAACTTGTTCCGTGGATCTATATGACCAGTCAAACTATGCAGTCATGCTGGAGCCCATCGCAGCACTCCATAAACCGCGCAAATCTCCAAGATACTTACTGACAGAGGTACCCAGACCATAAGCGTATCATGCTCATGTATTCACGTACGATGGTCCTTTTGCACGAGTGATAACAGGGGTCGGTGGGTCAATGGACTTTTCATGCGATCGCCCTAGACAGCCTATCACTGGTCAGCTTTCGTATCAGTGGGATTCGACACCAGATGGACAAACAATTCCAGTAGATTGTAACTTGAAGTGTCTCAATAAACACGGCCAATACCCAATCCCTGAGGGTGAATTAAAGCTCCCATAATCTTCGTTGAGTCTTTTGCTAGGTTATTGCTCATCGTCTAGTCGATCAGTGCCACCTCTCTCGCCGTTATGGACTCCTACCTCGCTGCATCCGCTCCGCAATTGCTTCAGGCGCTGCCTGTCGTATCTGCCTTGCTGGTTCAATTGATACCCTCTGTTATTATTGCCTACGTCCCTGCATCTTCCATAGCAGCTCGGCGCATAGCGCTTCTTGCTGTAGCCATCCTTGCTGCGAATGCAGTAATTTTTATGCCCACTGTTGTACACAATTTTGTATGGCGCACCACATCGGCGGCTTTGACCGCCATACTGGCCACCCGATCCTGTGATGTGCTCTGCCTCCATCCGGTTGGCCCTAATGACATAGCAAAGCCATCAACTGAGAATGGCAGCGCTTCGGGTGACAGCATCCACAGCGGCGGCATCTTTGATTCAAGCCTTTTCCTAGCATGGCGCCAACTGTGGAACATGCGTGGCATTGGAACGAAGTGGTCTATCCGTGGTGTTACCCCATTCGACGCTTTAAAGCCTGACTATGTCCCCTCGCAAGGCGACTTTATAGGGGGCCACCTGGTGCGGATAGCCATCGCTTTGGTGGTTATGGACTTCTTCGCACACCAAGCACCCCAGAATGTAGCTATCAATTACACCTTCGACAAGCAACACCTGGCGTGGCGCCTGGCTGAAGTCGATGCAGAGGAGCTGTTTCTCCGCGTCGCCGGCACCGTTGGCTTTTGGGTAAACATGGCTTGCTACATCAGCACCATGTATAGCTGTCTGGCCGTAGTGTTTGTAGGCCTCGGCCTCGATACTCCGGCGGACTGGCCACCCGTCTTCGGTTCCATCTCGGATGGCTGGACGATCCAACGCTTTTGGGGGTGAGTTACATACCCTCCACGTACACCAGGTCTTCTCAAAACGCCCAGACTGACTGACTCCGATCCAGATTGACATGGCACCAGACCCTACGATCCCTACTATCGGCTAATTGCGATTACCTCCTTCTCTCCCTGCTCCGCCTGCCGCGGCAATCCATGCTCACTCGGCATGCGAGACTGGGCGCTTCGTTTGTTCTCTCAGGAGCACTTCACCACATTGTCGACGCCCTCGTAGGTGTCCCCTTATGTGAATCAGGCATGTTTAAATTCTTCGTCATGCAATGGGTGGGCATAATCATCGAGGATGTCCTTGCAACTCTGGGGCGGGTCGTGGGTGAAGGACGCCCTGGCCAGAAAATGCGCTACATGGGCTATGCTTGGGTGTTCTTATGGTTGGTTTGGACCACGCCGTCTGTGTTTTACCCTTACACTAGAGCAGCGGACGGAATCAGGATGGATCACTCCATGCTTCCCCGGAAGCTCTTGAGATCGTAGGAATCTAAGTCATACAGATAGCTTCTGATCAATTGAGACCGCGCCCTATTTGAAGACGATCATCATGCTTCTTAGCTCTCTTTTTGCCCGGATTCTCTGATGTCTGTACAGTCGACGTCCTTCGGATGGTGAATGAAGTCATATCTAGTTTAACTCTTGCTTGGCAAATGCGCTCAATTTAATTGCAATAAATTTCTAGCAATATCTATGTCACTCAACTACTAGGACCGTCTGCGCATGCGTACCATCACATCTCGATCCAGCGAGATGATGCCCCTAGATTCACAATTCTCCAGACCAGGGCCTCTTTCAGACGGTCTTCCACCCAGGTGCACATTTTTGACGAATTCAATGTCGAAAGAGGTCACAATCAGGGCAACTGCAGTCAAAATCTCCTGTTTGGCGAAAAAGCGCCCGGGGCAAATAATGCTGCCACCACCGAAGGGGAAGAAGTCCCCTGCCTTGATAGCATTTCCACTCTCTCGTCCCGCGCTTGGCACGCTGAGCTTCGGCGAGGCGACAGTTGATCCCTTACCTTTATGTAAGAATCGATCAGCCCAGAATTCATTGGGCGGGTGTCCGGGCACCGACCACACGTTCTCGTCCTGGTGTGACAGCCAGGATGGAGCGAGGATGAAATTTCCAGCTCGAAGTGTATAGCCATCGATTTCAATGTCGTTATGCAAGCGACGGGTAAGTGGTATCGATGCTCGGAGGCGCAGACATTCTTTGTACACAGAGCCTAGCAATGGCAGTCTGCAGAGAGCAGCGACATCGAGCTCGAGTGAACTGGAATTGTTCAAGCCCGCTATTGAAGAGAGTTCATCGCGCACACGGCTCAAAAGAGACGGCTCATATATCATTTCGATGAGCATGTACGCTGCCATTGGGATGGCATTGCCGTTGATTCTGCGGAAAATATTGTGAGTCTTGCAGTTTGGGTAGAAATGTGATGAGACTCACGCCCAGATCAACCCCATCTGCAGGGATGCGCGGCCCTCGAGACTCACCCCGTAACTCTGAAGACATTGCTCTCTGGCTCTCACTAAGCGATGTCCAAAGTTTGGCTCCCAGTCAGGGTTCTGCTGGGAAGCGGCCTGCCAGTCCATTTTAGCCCACCCGTTAGCCAGCCACCGTTTGGTGGCTTCCAGGCAATGGTCCCGGGCGTCCCAAGCCTGGCGACAGGCGAAGCGGGGGTTGCCCAGGAGAAGTTTCATAAAACCAGCGTCGTACTGCCAGAACTTTTTCGCGAAGCCCGGGTTTGACTCCAGGATCCCGGGCCCGGCCAAGACCATAGTGGAGGCCCTGAACATCTTATCTTGCAGCAGCTTATAAACTTGAGTCCGTTTCCACTTCCCTCGTGGCTCCTCGTCGATCATCCGAGAGAACTCGCTCACAAACATGCTGGTTAGGCAGTCTACAGCTCTGCCGTGGGCCAGGTTTTCAGCATAGATGTTGTGCAGCTGTCTCCAGATTCGCTCCTTTTCAGGGACCGGACTCAGAGGGGTGGCGAGCGTCCCCGAGTTGTCAATGCTGAGCCTTGTCGCGTCCTGCTCTGGAAGCCCTTTAACCGTCTGGGCTACACGGATCTGCATGAACTCGAAGGTGAGGTCCTTCGAATTCCGGAAGAGCGTCTGGATATTGTCGGCCCCGGTAATCATATACATATGTAAAGAAGCTACCCGGACTTTGATTGGGCCACGGCCAGGTGACATTGCGCTGCTAAACTATGAGCATCCCGTCAAAGATCTGCAGATAGGAGCATGTAACCAACATGGCAGTTTCATAGAATTTGTGCGGGTTCGTGGCGACCTCGAGGCCCCTTCCGATCCAAGGTATCCAGTATGGCAGGTTTGGTGGCTCCAAGCCCCTGTATCGACGATCGCCAAAGGCTGTCTCCACGTAGAAACGACATGTTGTGACAAGATAGGTGCCGGTAAATATCAAAAAAGCAAAGACTGAAACGAATCCACAGACTATAATTGGACTGCTGAAAATCAAGGGAACGTGGAAGTTTTGTATAAGGCTAGGCATGATGTCGAAGAATTGCGTCAATGTTGGCCCTATGGCGATATGATTACTGTCAATTTTGAATTGTAGGTATCTGAAGCACCATCCAAGCCTTCATGAGGTGTGAAAACTACAAATAGCATCTTATTTATGAGCATACTAACCCTGCCTCGGCATCAAGGCTGTTCAGTACCAGAATAGCTTGGATGCCTCATGGGTCAGCCAATCCCAGATGCTGCTTCAGGCGCCTCTCTGGCTGAGTAGCATCTGGCTCTATGGCATGCTACATACCTCGATTTTCTGGTGAGTTAGAAGAGTATGGCTGTAAGAGGGATAAGCTCCTGTGGCTACTTGATACGCTTACGATGCTTTCACTAGGTGAATTCCTTCCTCGATCGAGACTTTGCTGATCTGGTGTTCGGCCCCGCAGACTGTTGCCTACGACCTTCTCCAGAACATGCAAACTCCGTATGGCTTGTTGTGAGGTCTCTGAGAAACTTGATGATCTCTGGGCATGACATGGAATACGACAGCCATGGTCATAACGAGTAGAGCTGATTCCTCTCCTTGTGGAGCCCCCGAAGTCTCCGCGTCATGCTTCCCCAACATATCTGACTGTGTTACAACAGCCTTCTTATCTTGATGCAAGGATACATGGGCTCGGGGCTGTACAATGTATCGTGAAGTACTCTCGTCGTTTTGTCTAATTGCAGCCAAGTCCTTGTGGCGAGACTAGTATGAACGGTCAGCTGCAGCTGTCGTGAGAGGCGGCCGCTCATAGTAGGTGGGGCTCAATACCATGGTTGACGCCGGTGCTGGACTTATTTGCTGACTGCATATGTTGTCTTATCTCGTGTCATAGACGAACTACGATCAATTATACATACCAAAAATATGTTTGCTAATGTATCCCACTCTTTTCACGAGATAGCAGGTCAACCTAATCTGACTATGCGCCATGGGTAGACTCATTCAGGGGCTTAAATGAATAAGGATCTGGGCCCCGAAAGATGGACGACACTCTTGTGGGACTTCAACCCTTCTGATATGTTGTTTTGAACCATTGTTCTCAGGGCCCGACAAGGCATACTCTGGTACTTGACATCAGGACCCTCAGCGAGCACCCAAGTACAGTTTGGAACTTTACACTCAAATCCAAGAACTGAAGGTCTGTCTGGATCATTGCCAATCAACATGGCTGAAGAAGAATCACTAGACATTATAGTGGTAAGTCCCTTGCTCACAGGCCTTGTTAATTTTACTGATCAAATCAAATTATGTGTCAATCAGGCTGGCTTGCCACGTACTGGAACAATGAGCCTGAAGGCTGCGCTTGAAATACTTGGCTTCGGACCTTGCCACCATCTACTTGAGCCGACGTTCCAAATTAGTAGACTGCATCGCAGTGCAGCAGCCCTTGAAGAAAAAGACCCCCAGCGGCGGGCAAAAGCCTTCAAGGACCTCTACGCCGGGTACAAGGTCGCTCTTGACCTTCCAGGCACCGCTTGTGTTGACGAGCTCTCGCAGATCTACCCTGAAGCAAAGGTGAATTGGACTCCTGCGTGATTTCTACGTTTCGGACAATAATGACCATATATACACAGGTGATTCTCACGATACGGCGGGACGCCTCCCTATGGCTAGATTCCATTAAAGGACTGGGATTCGACGTGACCACACTCTGGTTTCGACTCGTCTGTTTCTGGGTCCCCGGCGTCATCTCCTCAAGCAACATGACAAGGTCGTGGCACGATTGCTGCCGCACACGCTTCGAGCTTCAGCACATTCCTTCCGTTGAATTGTACAAGGCGCATAATGATTTCGTTCGCAAGGTGATTCCTCCGGCGTCTCTTCTGGAATTCGATCCATCTATGGGGTGGGAGCCCTTGTGTACTTTTCTAGGCAAGGACATCCCTGACGTGCCATTTCCAAGGAGAAATGATCGCACTTATCTCCGGAACGGGCTAAGAGCTGCTGTCGTGACCGGAGTTCTGGTATGGTTGGCCATTGCCTGGATCCTGCGATTGTATTTAAAGTATCTTGTCGATAGATTCTACTTGAATATCTAGGCTATGCAAACAGGCAATGAGAAATAGTCAATACATAGTGGGACAAGTAATGGAGCGATTTCGATTGAATGAGTTCGGATGCATAGGGGGTGCGCCAAATGTCTAATCCCACATTCATGCTGACAGTGAATGCTGTAGATTCTTGTGCATAACGGTGAGGTATCTTACACGAAAGGACTCGCGAATTGCATATGCGTGCGTCTACAGCGAATGTACTATTACCCATGCTAGATGTGGCCCCCGCAGGGGTGTCCCAAGATATGGCCAATCATTTCTTTGAGAATACTTCGTGCAACGTGCCTGCTTGGCGCCCGGTGAAGCTTACCGCTGCTTAATGGTATAGCTACTTGGCCAAAACAAGACCCTGTTTCGATTATTGCAGCCAGCCGCTCCGTACATACGGACCTTATCCACCGTGGATGCTACCGGGAAGTGTTGGACACTGCGGTCAGCAAGGACCAATGACCGTAGGCATGGGCTACAACGCTAGTCTTGGTCTGTCGTGATTACCACATTGTGTACCAGAATCCTCTGCATCTACAGTGGGACGCAATTAGTTTTGAACATAGTAGATGTTCCGTCAAGTCCACTAGTCTTGTTACAGCAGCAGCCAAATACTTTTTAGTTCACCATAAGTCTCCTGTCACCGATAAAACCATCCTTGAGCTATCCTTTTACAGTAGTTGGTGTCTGGGCAGTACCCGTCGCTGTGTCCCAACTAATCGTATTGCACTGTAGGCAGGAAACTTGGTACTCTTTATATAAATTGACATGCAAAGACGAGTATTAAGACTCCGGACGAATACACCATGTTTAATCATTTACTACTATCTCTGACGTTGTGACATTCTATTCCAAAAGCTGCGCGCCGAGTTAGCACAGTCATGGAGGGTCCCAAGGGCAGCAGCACCCCCATCGCTGTTGTGGGCATGAGCTGCAAGTTCGCTGGTGATGCCACAAGCCCCGAGAAATTTTGGGAACTGCTCGCCGAGGGCAGAAGTGCCTGGAGTCCAATCCCAGAGTCGAGATTCAACCTCGGTGGCGTGTATCATGCGAATCACGAGAATATTGGCACGGTATTCACTTCATGTTTTCTGAAGGCTCTCCCGTTGACAGCCGTATTGACTAATGATATGACAACAGACGAATGTGCGAGGAGGACATTTCCTGAAAGCGGATATATCTCAGTTTGACGCAGCGTTCTTCAACTTTTCGGCTGAGACTGCTGCGGTGAGCATTCAAAGCACGTCCGATAAAGGCAACGCTGACATGCCCTAGACTATGGATCCCCAGTTCCGGTTACAACTAGAGTCTGTCTACGAGGCGTTAGAAAGCGGTGCGTCCAGCAAATGCAGACGTGATGTAGCATACTTATTGACGAGATTCACTACAGCTGGTATCCCACTACAGCAGATTGCCGGATCCAACACATCTGTCTTCGCAGGATCCTTCTTCCATGATTATCAAGACAGCCACATGCGAGATCCCACTAGCCTTCCCCGTTTCTTGGTAACAGGTAACGGCGCCGCCATGGCAGCCAATCGAATCTCTCATTTCTACGATTTGCGCGGCCCGAGCATGACCATAGATACCGGTTGCAGTACCACACTTACCGCAGTACATCAGGCCTGCCAGGGCCTCAAGACTGGGGAAGTGGATACTGCCATCGTGGGCGGCTCCAATCTGATGATCAACTCGGATAATTTTGCGGCGCTTGGATCACTAGGGTAAGAGCCTACACGACGATTGCTAGGCAATACTGCCTGTTATAACTAGTTTTCTTTCACCTGATGGTAAATCGTAAGTGGACACCAGACCCCCAGCTTCCAGTTATGGACGGGTCCAGTGACATAACTCACGCGTCCGACCGAAACCCCAAACACACGTGAATAGTACTCACAACATCTGCTAATTAATTATCACAGCTATTCTTTTGACAGCAGAGGAAATGGATATGGGCGAGGGGAAGGTGTTGCAACCGTTGTCCTCAAGCGTTTAGATGATGCGCTGAGGGCGGGAGACCCCGTCCGGGCCGTGATTCGAGAAACTTGTCTGAATCAGGACGGCAAGACGGAAACAATCACATCACCCAGTCAGCAGGCCCAGGAAGAACTCATCCGGAAGTGCTACCGAAATGCCGGCCTAGGGCTGGGCGCTGTGCAGTATTTCGAGGCTCATGGAACCGGCACCCCCACTGGTGATCCAATCGAACTTGGAGCCGCCGCTGCCGTATTCCAGCACTCCAGGTCAGCCAAGGAGCCGCTGCTGATCGGTTCCGTCAAATCCAACATTGGGCACACAGAGACGGTTTCGGGGTTGGCTAGCTTGATTAAAGTCGCTCTCGCTCTTGAGAGGGGAGAAATACCCCCGAGTATCAACTTCGAGAGGCCTAACAAACGACTCAAGCTTGACGAGTGGAATTTCAAGGTGCCTCAAAAGTGCGAAGAATGGCACGCAGGTGTCGATGGGAACCGAAGGGCCTCTCTCAGCAATTTCGGATACGGTGGTACTAATGCCCACGTTATCATGGAAGACCTGCCGCACCAGATTGTGCATGACAGCCGTCGTCATCTCAATGGAAATGGATACACCAACGGAGACCGACATTCCATCAAACAATACTCTCGGGTGTTTTTATTGAGCGCCAAGGACGAGCAGGCTTGTCGCATGATGGTAGAAAACTTGAAGAAGCACCTGCAGAGGCTTGTTCTCAGCGACGAGGACGATAACGAGTACCTTGATAGTCTGGCCTACACGCTAGGTCAACGTCGCACTCTATTCCCATGGGTATCTGCCTATAGAGCCGGCGATATTCCAGGACTGATACAAGCTCTCGACAATCCGAGAATTCAGCCAACTCGGAGTAGCGACCCAAAACCAAGAGTCGGATTCGTTTTCACCGGGCAGGGAGCACAATGGCATGCCATGGGACGTGAGCTTCTTGATGCTTACCCGCTCTTCAAAACGTCCATCCTCGAGGCTGACAAGTATTTGCGGGAGTTTGGCGCCGACTGGTCACTTTTAGAGGAACTTCTTCGTGACGCAGACACGAGCAGAGTAGGCGAGGTCTCGATGAGCACGCCGCTCTGCGTGGCCGTCCAGATATCCTTGGTACGCCTCATGGAGTCCTGGGGTGTCCTGCCTTGTGCTGTCTGCAGTCACTCTAGCGGAGAGGTGGCATCAGCCTACACTGCTGGGGTACTCAGCTTCAGGTCGGCCATGGCTGTCAGCTACTGCCGCGGCGGCGTCGCATCGGTACCTACAACTGGTCACGGTGGGATGCTCGCAATTGGTGTGGGACGCGATGTAGCCGAGCACCTTCTCAAGCATGTCAAGTCTGGGAGGGCCAATGTTGCATGCATCAACAGTCCATCGAGCGTCACCCTCTCCGGTGACCTGACGGCCATTGACGAGCTCGAGGCCATCGCCAAGGAGAAGAACTTATTTGCCCGTCGTCTTCGAGTTGGCACTGCGTTCCACTCTCACCACATGTTGCCGGGCTCCGACGCCTACCGCGACCAGATGCGTTTGGTCGGAGTCGGCAAAGCAGAGCCAGAGATGAGGCACGTAAGATACGCGTCACCCACAACGGGCACCCTCTTGATGGATGCTGCCAGCATCAGCAACCCTGACCATTGGGTGGAAAGCTTACTGCGTCCCGTGCAGTTCGTGGATGCGTTCCGGGAAATGGCTTATGATCAAGCCACCGAGCAAACAACAGTGGACGTTGTGATCGAAGTCGGGCCTCACGCGGCCCTCTCCGGGCCCATCGGGGACATCTTGACACTTCCAGAGTTTCGAGGCACCAGTATAACCTACTTGTCATGCTTGATCCGGAAGTCGAATGCAATTCACACGATGCATGCTCTGGTGGGGCAGCTGAAGTGCCAGGGCATACCTGTCGACCTTGATGCTGTCAACTTCCCTCTGGGAAAGCATAGTGTACGTGTCTTGAGCAATCTTCCAACGTACCCGTGGACGCACCTTGTCCAGCATTGGTCTGAACCACGGGTCAATAAGAGTCGTCGCGAGAAAAAACAAGCGCCCCATGACTTGGTAGGATCTCTGCAAGATGGTACGAATGTCAATGCTCCAACTTGGAAGCATATCATTCGAACATCAGAGCTCCCGTGGGTGAGAGAGCACACTGTGCAGTCTAACATGGTATACCCTGCTGCTGGATTTATATGCATGGCCATTGAGGCTGCTCGTCAAGTCGCCCAGACCAGCGACATTATGAAGGTTTTGGGGTATCGACTGCGCGATGTAGACATTCAGCAAGCATTGGTAATCCCAGAGAGTTCCGACGGGATTGAAGTCCAGACTACACTCAGGCCTGTCAGCAACAAGGCCATTGGAGTCCGAGGATGGAAGGCCTTTCAGATCTCGTCAGTTGGGTTGGACAGCAAGTGGACAGACCATTGCCAAGGTCTAGTCCAAGTCGCTCTATCGAATGCCAGCGATGAGCAAGACCATTGGAGCACAATTACCTCGTCGTCTGGAGTGAAATCATCACTGTTCAACTCAAGGGATATCCACCCTGAAGATATGTACGCTGGCATGCAGTCCGTCTCTATCTGCTACGGCCCCTTATTCCAAAATTTGGAGAGCATTCAATCCGGGGAGAGGCAGTCGTTAAGCACTCTTACCATCGCCGATGTCCGTTCGAAGATGCCTTCCAACCACCAACAAGAGCATGTGATCCACCCTACTACCCTGGACTCGGTGTTTGTGTCGGCATACACTGCGCTTCCTGAAGCCGGGACGGAGTTCCATGATAGCGCCAAGGTCCCGAAAACCATCGATAGTCTCTGGGTATCCCATCATATCAGCTCGCAAGTTGGGCACCGATTCCAAGCGCGCTCTCAGATCCAGCGCCATGATTCGAAAGGCTTTCAATCTGATATTCATCTAGTGGACGTCACTGACAATATGGCCATGTCTGAGACACCTGTCTTAGTGGTTCAGGGACTGGCTTGCCAGTCTCTCGGAGCAGCCATCCCTCGCCAACCTGAGACTTACAAGAGAGAGATCTGTGCCACTATGAATTGGGGTCCCGACTTCGCATTTATGGAGGCGGATGTATTGAAAAGAAGACTCCTGTCCTGCATCGAACCCAAAGAGACTGAATTTCTGGCAAAGATCAGACGCGCTTGCTTCCACTTTCTGCACGATTCACTTGAGGGCTTGACGTTACACGACGTGCAGACACTGTCAACTGCTCACAAGAAATTCTACGTGTGGATGAAGTTGCAGGTCCAGCAAGGACTCCAGGGAGACCTAGGACCTGGAAGTGCCGCATGGGTGCATGACAGCATCGAACAGAAGCAGCGGCTCTTTGATGAGGTAGCTGCAGCCAATGTTAAAGGCGAGATGCTCTGTCGCTTAGGGTCACACATCGCGGCGATACTGAGCCGCGAGGCATCGCCCTTGAATTTGGTGACGGTAGACAACCTTCAAAAAAGATATCACGAGGAGGAAACAAACCTTGGATGGGCAGGCGCCCAACTGAGCGAGCTAATCAGGAACTTCGTTCATCACAATCCCCAGGCAAAGATCCTTGAAACTGGTGTTGGTACTGGCGAGGTGACGAAGTGTGTCCTTGAAGTACTCGGCAGCGGAGCAGAATCAGGGTTCGGGCCCCTTGCTTCTGAGTATCATTTCACTCATGTAAGCCCGGCCCCATTCGATTCTATACAGCAAGCTTTTGAGGCCTGGAGCAGTATTATTTCCTGCCGCCGGCTGGACACCAATGCAGACCCAGTACAGCAGGGATTTGAACTCGGAAGCTATGATCTTATTATCGCTTTCCAAATCTCGCGCAGTTACAGGCATCCAGATGTATCCATAGCGAACATGAGGAGCCTGTTGAGGCCAGGGGGTAAGCTACTACTGCTCGAAGCCATAACTGACCAATTGGATGTTCAACTTGCCCTTGGCCTTGGCCTTCTTCCTGCCACCGTTCCAAGCGTAAGCAATGTCGATGACAATGATCACTCCTCATCTAGGGGCCAGGGGTCGCCGGATGACGAAAATAACATCGACAAAGCCATATCGCCCCATCAGTGGGATCAGCTGCTGATGGAAGCAGGGTTCACTGGAATTGATCTGGAGATCTATGATGGTGAAAGCAGAGAACTTTCGACATCTACGATCATGTTATCGACGGTACAGGCCGATCGCTCTCTGTTCGCTCCTGTGGTACTTGTATCAAATGGCCAAAGTCTGGAGGAGAATTGGCTCAGAGAGCTGCAACATTCCATCGCCGCCGTGACTGGTGGAAGTGTACCCGTCGTGGAATCAATCAACTCGGTGCACGCAACAGGGTGCGTATGTGTCTTCCTCGGCGAAATTCACCACTCGATTCTTTCAAAGCCATCAGCGGCAGAGTTTAGTGCCATCAAGTCCCTAGTATTAAACTGCAATGGGCTGCTTTGGATCACGCGCGGCGGCGCTGTCGAGGGGAATGACCCTTGGCTCGCTCTGAGCCAGGGATTCCTCCGCTCGCTGAGAAACGAGTATAGTGGCAAACGCTACGTGTCTTTGGATCTCGACTCCCATAGGTCTTCTCTGGGGCACGAGGACGTTTCGGCCATTACCCGGGTCCTCGCAACATGTTTCGATGATTCTGTACCCGAACAGAATGCCCCAAGAGACTTCGATTTTGCAGAACGCGACGGCGTGATCCTCACCCCAAGGTTATACAAGGACTTTGAGAGGAACTCGTATATAGCGGCAGATCCATCGCAGAGCAAGACACCGCAATTGGAGCCGTTCCACCAAACGGACCGTCCTCTGAAATTGGAGGTCGCCACTCCTGGTCTGCTGGAGACGTTGGTCTTCAGCGACCATTTGGAGGCCTGCACAAATATTGCACCCGAATTCATCGAAGTTGAGCCACGGACGATGGCGCTCAACTTCCGAGACGTGATGGTAGCGATGGGTCAACTCAATGAAACAAGGATGGGGTACGAATGCGCTGGTGTCATCACCGGTGCTGGTACGTCGGCTATCTCTCATGGCTATCAAGTGGGCGACCGCGTCTTCTGTCTCTTGAATGGGCAGTTCGCGAGTCGGGTACGTCTACCCTGGACGACGGCCTATCACATGCCCCCAGACATGGCTTTCGAGACCGCCGCGTCTATACCCATGGTATTTGCTACGGCTTACACATCACTCTACGACATCGCAAGACTTGGAAAGGGCCAAACCGTCTTGATCCATGCCGCAGCCGGTGGTGTTGGGCAGGCCGCTATAATTCTAGCCCAGCTGGTGGGTGCCGAAGTGTACGCCACGGCTGGCACTGATGAAAAGCGCAGTTTCATCATCAACAAGTATAATCTACCGGTGGACCATGTCTTCTCCAGCCGGGACGCTTCATTCGCCCCGAAACTTAAGTCGATGACGAAGAATGGCGTGGACGTCGTCCTGAACTGCCTCTCGGGGCGACTTCTCCAGGAGAGCTTTAACTGCCTCGCCCCGTACGGCCATTTCGTCGAGATTGGCAAATACGACCTTGAGCAGAATAGCTACCTGGAGCTCAAGCAGTTTTCACGTGTTGCCTCATTCTCTTCCGTTGACATGTCAGTACTGCTTCAGGACAGGCCGTCCGAGATTCATCGGGTTCTAGCCAGCGTCGCGCGCCTGCTGGAGCAGAAGGCAATCACGGCAGTGGAGCCCATCACCGTCTTCCCTCTTCCCGAGCTCGAGAAGGCTTTCCGGCAGATGCAAGCTGGAAAGCACATGGGTAAGATTGTGGTCTCGATCGCTTCAGACATAACAGTTCCGGTAAGCTGGATCCGTTGCATATGCTTGTGGTGTGATGGGAAGCTAACATGAAATCAGGTTGTTCAACGCCAGCCTGTGGCGAAGCTCCGGCCTGATTTCTCATATCTCATTGTTGGAGGCGTGAGGGGTATTGGCAAGAGCATCGCCCGGTGGATGCTGTCTCGTGGCGGGAAGAACATAATTCTCTTGTCGCGAAGTGCTAATTCCACAGGCGCCGTAGGTGCCTTCGTAGCTGAGCTTGAGAAGGAATACCCGGGTTCCCGAGTAAAGTCCATTGGATGTGACATCACAAGCGATGCCGACTTGTCGCTCGCACTACAGCACTGTGCCAAGGAGTTTCCACCCATCCGCGGTGTCATCCAAGGCGCCATGGTGATTGAAGACTCCATCCTCGAGCAAATGACAGTCGAACAATTCAACGCGGCTGTCAGCCCCAAGGTACAGGGCACATGGAACCTTCATAACCTCTTGGGCTCCGAGCTAGACTTCTTTGTCATGCTATCGTCTCTGGCCGGCATCATCGGCTACGCAAGCAGTTCCAACTACACGGCTGGTGGGACATTTCAAGATGCACTTGCCAAGTATCGCGTCGCTAAGGGGCTGCCAGCGGTGGCCTTGGATCTCGGTGTCGTCAAGGGTATCGGTAAAGTGGCAACAGAAAAGTCTGCGCATGAACGCATGACAAGGCACGGGCACCTGCCACTCAGCGAGGCACAAGTTCTGGCAGCCGTGGAGTCGGCCATCGTCTTCCCTTCTTCGCAGGTCATGGTTGGCTTCAACACGGGGCCCGGCAAGCACTGGGACGAAAGCACCGGGTCGCCGCTCGCCCGCGAACTGAGTTTCTCGGCGCTCCAGCCCCGGAAGCTGTCCCAAGACGGCTCTAACGTATTCAAAAGCCACGGCGGAACCGATAGTCTGGCTGGTAAGCTGGCAGCGGCTTCCTCGATCGACGAGGGGGCCGATCTCATCTTACAAGCGTTGAAGCAGAAGCTGGTGGATATTTTCATGGTTCCCATCGAGGAAATCGCGGCGTCCAAATCCATGGCAGGCTTCGGCGTGGATTCTCTCGTCGCTGTGGAGCTGCGTAATATGCTCGCGTTGCAGGCCGGCAGCGAGGTGTCCATTTTTGACATCATGCAGAGCACTTCACTACTGGCCCTTTCCAAAACCGTCGCTTCGACTAGTATCTACGTCCTGGTATCCCTGTAGATCGAATTGTATGGAACATTTCAACATAGAGGTCGACATTCTTGCTTTATGCTCACATCTGGGCCATAGATTTCTAGCATACTGAGTTTCACGATGTCGTATAGATAGACACGCTTCTTTCACCTGTCCATTTTCCTTTGCCATGTTCTCTTATGGTTTAAAGAACTTAACAGCTTGCATATTGACACTACCAATGTGGTCAAATTTTAAAATAATTCAAGCATTTCAGTTTCGCCTGACTTATCATATATAAGTAGCCGAATGAAGTGAGGTATACCGCTTTGGTAGGAAAATTGCGCTAGTGTTTGAGCAGGATCCGTGTGACAATACACAATTACGGTCCAGCAGGTCGTCCAAGCATACCTCCAAGGGTTTCTAGATCCGCCAGAGCATATGTCAGTCACAATGACTGCCCATGTAACCAAAGTGCCTGGTTGATGTGCCTAGCAGCTGCAAAGTCATGCGCCTGCGGCCCATATAATAGCTAGCATGTACAGTCGCAGGCAATGGACCTGTAAATTTTCACTGTGCACGTTCCAATAAGCATGTGTCGTAAAAGCGATATCAACGATGGTAGTACGATAATACGCCGTCAGAGCCCTAGAACCATCCTGTGCTCACGTCATCCTCGCTCCACAAGTATCATCCCCAGTGGATTGTACAACTTGAAATAGCAACACGGGGTTGGATATATAAACCGCCCCCTCCTATCAAATTGGTTCATACTCTCACTTCTAATATCTTACTATCATATCTATCGCTATGTCTGCACCTGCCACATCGTCGCCGAACGATCCAGAGCTGCCTATTTGGTTGCATGATGCACCACCCCCGGTAGCCGACACTATTGTATCGTTCCCAGCACCTCACATATTGTTGGTGACGCTGAATCGTCCAAAAGCACTCAATGCAATCCCAAGACCTCAACACTTCGCTTTGGAGCGACTCTGGGGTTGGTACGACGACCAGCCTCCGCTGCGGTGCGCCATCATCACAGGTGCTGGGCGGGCCTTCAGTGCGGGAGCTGATCTCAAGGAGTGGCGCGATATCAACTCGGCATGGGGCCCTGCGGCCCAGCAGAGCGGTGGTACGTCGGCAGTCACATCTCGGAGTGAGGAAACGAGCGATGGTGGTAATCAGCCAGGGCAGAACAAGCCCGACGTGCGGCTCCCCCGCGGCGGCTTCGGAGGGATGGCCAACCGGGGCGGCAAGAAGCCCATACTTGCTGCCGTCAACGGTCTCTGCTACGGCGGCGGCTTTGAGATGGTGATCAACTGCGACATGGTCATTGCGGCCATGTCGGCCAAGTTCAGCCTGCCGGAAGTGACAGTTGGCGTGATTGCCATTACTGGCGGGCTTCTCAGGCTGACGAGAAGCGTGGGGCGCCAGAGGGCGATGGAAATGGCATTGGGTGGCAAGTCATACACAGCGGAGCAGATGGAAGCCTGGGGCTTGGTCAATGAGGTGGTACCAGACGGCGGCGACGGGCCGACCGTGCTGGAGAAGGCACTGGAATGGGCGAGATGCATTGCGGGTAACAGCCCAGATGCCGTCATCGTCAGTCGTGAAAGCCTGAAACTGAGTTGGGAAGGCGTAGGCCCGGAGGAGGCGACGGATGTAATCCTCAACGGTTGGTACAAGCGCGTAGATTTGGGTATGAACATGATTGAGGGTGTCAACAGTTTCCTAGAGAAGCGAAAGCCGGTTTGGAAGGACACGGAGCTGTGAGCAGATATATCCAAGCGGCACACGACGTTGATCGTGCCGCCGGATGCGAACATAGATATTTCGCGTCAGGCGATATCTCAAATGTTAGACCTCGAATGTGTGACTCTCCGCTGGTGTCTATAACGTTGTAAAATACCAGAACAATATGTTCTTGACTATACAATATACAAAGCTTCAGCTTAGGGGCCTACCGCGCACTATTAGACGACTAAGCAACTCAACAATCCTGCGCGCTTCTCAACAACGTTTCTTTTCAAGTCAAATAAAGGAAGAAATCAGGAGAACGTTGGCATAGCATTGAGTGACAGCCGACTTGTTCTCGCTGTATCGCAACTTTGATGGCCTGTGATCAACTATCGTAGTCGACCGGTTTGGAACTAAGCCGAAGAGCGACCGGTTGCCTCCGCTCACTGATAAGACTCGGCCATCGGGATAGCTTCCCCATATCCGGCACCCTCGTCTCGACGCCGTAGCATAGTACTTGTAACCGAGCCAGGATATAAGTCCAACCCAGTTCACGAAGCCAAGCCAGAGTATGATAGTAGGATATCGCATTAGCAAAGCGGGACCGGCAAGATAGAGCGAAGCACAGCGCGGACTAGGAGAGGGTACAAATAGCGTCCGTTACGCTGTCCGGTTTAGGGTGGTGGTTGGGGGTTCATGGATGGGTTATTTACGGAGGGCAAAAGCGGTTCCCGCGCGGAACTTGGAATGTACCTGTTTTCGGCGCTGGGGCTCGCGACCTTGGGATTTTCGATTTAAAGCGGGCGATCGCCAGTTTATCTATAGGAGAGTGGACAGAATCCCGAGTTCTCTAGCGTCTATAGTCGTGTATATCAGTTCACAGTTCGTGGGAGGTTATATACGGTACACCAGTAAGGCACGAAGCGAAGGCTAATATACTTGACGACGTCTCTGACCGAGATCTACCCAGCATGTCAGCACGGTAGCACATGAGATATTATCTCACTCGACCTCGATGACTCGGTACTCTCTTGAGTTCCATCTTCGAGTTCTGGCCATATGGTGATGGAGGAAATAATGGCAGCACCTCTGCCAGAGGAGCGATGGGTGCTTGTAAGCATTGATGTTGTGTGTGATCCAACGTCTTTGGTGGATGAAAGGGACGTTAGTCGTGGAATGTCTGGTATATTGACAGTGCATGCATACCAGCCCAAGAAAATTCCAATTCAAGCAGAACAGGATGTGGTGCTATGAGTCAGAGCAAAAATGATAAATACGAGATACGGATGTGGCGATGAGAAAAGACGATGTGTTATATAGTAGTCTATGTCAATGTAAACTCTGCCCTCATCCATACGCACAAATTTGCGTGTTGTTGGGTATATAATGCGGACCCCATACCATGCTATGCAATGTCGCCGGTGAGTCGTAAGACTCCGGTTCATACTTCGTGTCTGTCCCGTATATGGTTTTTCCCGTTTTTCCCTTCTATGTTCTCATCCCTTTCTCAGGTCATCTGCTTTTGTGCATTTTCCCTACCCCATGCTATCGACACTCTGATCCCGTCTGTGTCCGTCTCTGTCTCTGGATCCGTGGCCGTCTCCTGCTCTGACGCACGACTGGGCGGTTCCTCCACGAGGCTGGTGCTCGACAGCCGACGCATCCGCTTGGGCCGGCTGCTCTCGTTGAACGGGTTCGCGTTGCGCAGTTCCGCCGATCTGTACGGGTCCAGGGGAGACGAAAGCGGGTATGCCGTGACATCCATCTCGTCTGCGTACTTGGACCCGCTTCTGCTCCCGTGCATGTCCGCGACCGCCGAGGCCCGCCGGCCGTCCTGGCGATGGCTCTGTGGCGTGCCTCTGTCGTCAAGGTTTGGCTGCAGCGAGTTCTTATGATCCACTGAGCTTGCGGTGCCGGCGTTGTCACGCGAGGTGACCCATTGGATGACCACTGCTGAGAACAGTACTAGAGTTCGACAACCGTTAGCCAAATGTTATGAGGTATATTTGGAACGGGCAGGTATATTCACTGTCGCAGTTGCAGCACATCAAACACACCCAACCGGGCTCCCCATCCAGCGCCATCAAGACCGTCAAGTTGCTGCAGAAACACGTTTAGCTTGGAGTAAAGTGCCTCGGAGTCATGGGATATACTCACACAACGCTCGATATAGTTGTGCTAAGAGCACCAACGAACGTGCGTAAAGCGACCGAACGAAGGCGCACATTCGCTCGGGTTCGGGGCATATCTCGGAAGGAGTAGAGGCCTAGTTAAATCCAAGGTTAGCAGTATACCTGAAACGAGCTGACCTTCCAACTTACATCGTAGTGGAATTAAGAAAAGTGTAGTTAGGTAAACCTAGACGCAAGTTAGACACCACCAAGAAGCACCGACGCGGACGATATGCTTACATTTACAAGCAAGTCGAATGTAATCAGGGGTATCATAGCTACCCGCTTCATCCCAATGATGCATTGCCCGTCGTCGATACGCGTAATGCGGCTGGAACCAGAGATCGAGCATTAGTCCAAGTGATCATACGTTGTGAATATCTATAGAGACTTACAAAATGAAGTTAAGGATAGATACCACAACATATATGGCTACCATGCGTTAGCAATTAATCTGGACATGGTATGCCTTTTCGACTAACTGAGCATTCCAAAAGAGTTGAATATATACAACTTGGACTGAAGCCGCGGTTTTGAGCCATTGCGGACAATGAACTGGTAATATTATCAGCATACCGTGGAAAGTGCTTGGCTTAAGCTTTCTATGGGGGTCTTACAGCCTTCTCAACCAGGAAAAGATATATCATCTGAGAGACAGGTCAGTACACACAGTGGCCCGTACACCGCCGATTTGGATCTTACAATCTACACTCCGTTAGCCACTAATTCAGAATAGGCCAGAGAGGGCTTACGAACCTTGGTCGTCACATAGCAGATCAAACACAACAGGATCGCAGAAGAGCACATCCCGTAGCTCGTGTTGATACCGACGCCATGTTTCAGAATCGCCGTGACGAAGACGAACAGCCACGAGTCGACAAAGATGGCGAACACAACTAGACAATAAACATCAGTCATGGGAGTCTTGGCCCATGGGAGCGTTCTCAATACACACGCCAGACGACCAAGGGGAGCTTCTTCCAGGTCTTGATCATATGAAACCTTTGAGCTGCAACCACAACGGATCAGTGATGAAAGTCACAATCAAGAGGGTTTGAACCGACGCACTGAGAAACGACGATAGTATGGCGATCGAGATCAGGGACACTATCACATCGACGACGGTGCCGGCCAGCGGTTCGTGGAATGGGACTGGAGCGATGTCTCCATCCTGTCGTGGGTGTAACGGAGGAGGCATCGCGAACCTGGACAGCCTCATCAGCTTGGGCCTTCCTCTTCTTTCAAGGTCGCATTTGAAATGGAGCAAGAGGCCTCTGCAGGTTGACACAGTCCCGGGATGGGGTTGTCTAAGGCTATTGAAAGGGAAGGAAAGGGATGGAGGAAGGTTTTTGGCCCTGACAGGGACCCCAGCTTTGCTAAATAAGGTTGATGTGACCCGGACTACTAGTAGAACTGATTCGGCGCCACGCACCTCCACCGGATTCTGGGGTGGGCTGGGCTGGACGGTTGGCCGGAACTACTCCGTGTGCGAGTTATATAGCATAACAGGGAGAGAATAGACTTGATCCTTACGATTCGGGGGTGGGAGGGTCTTGCTACGCGAGGTCTCCCGAGGGTCTCGACCGGCTGTACGATCAGCCACTGGGCCCGTCAGAAGCAATGTGTAGAGAAGCCAAGCGACGAACGAGGAGCGATGCTTGTGTGGTGAGCAAAGTACGAGGCAATTGCATTAAATAGTACAACGGGACATACCCGTTTCCTTGGCTACTTCATCGAGAAGAATAGGGACGGATAATCCATCCATTCGACGGCCATGAAACGCAAGATCCCCGGGGATCGAAGTCATGTTGATGAAGATCGCAGATAGATGCGTATAGGCGTGTCATAGCGCACGCAGGCCTCGGGGAGGTGGTGGGTATCCGCTTTCAAGAATGCCGGGCCTGAGGACTAATGACTATCCAATTGTGCTACCAATAAGCGTCCAGCCCCTCTCCTCCCTTGCCTAGGGCAGGTGGGAGGCGTTCGGCTCTAGCCCGAATCTTCAAAGAGTTGAAGCGGGCTGAATCAACTCTTGCCCCGAACCGTTATAGTGCCAGTATACTACCGGCAACCGGGTGGGAAGTCAAAGAGCAAGCCGGCGGGTTTCACGCAACCGCTATGCTAGCGGTAGGATCCCGTCGGGCAGTCAAAGCTGTCCCTAGCGCAAACTCTGTGTATATCTAACGTCCAGAACGTGTCCCCGAGTCGCAATGATTTCTCATCATTCTCATCACGCAATGAGAGAGCAAGCAACAGCGTGGGACACTGCAGAATCCCGAGGTCCCCTAGGTCCCGGGGCGGGGCGGGGGGAAGAGGCAGGGGAATTGAGACTTGCTGTTCTCGCTTGTGAGACATTAGCAGCCACCAGCCCATTTCAGCTGAACGCCAACCCTTCACACAGAAGAACTCCTAGTCATGGTAGGACACTCTACCCCAGTTACGGGCCGCGCTGCCAGCTTGATCCAAGGGATCTGGTCGGGACCTGGTCGTCTGCCATACAGAATTCGAAAATAGACTGCACTAGCCATGGGTGGGTAGGTATCTGATATAATTGCAAATAGTGCCAAAAAAGCAGTCAAACATCAGCCGCCCTTCGGCTTGCCGAGTGTGGAAGGAAGCCCGGGTGGTGCAATCTCACAAAAGCAAATCGGCACGTGTGCTACACCTACGTCAACATCCGGATGCGGGCATACAGAGCCCCGAGCTAAATCCCATGACACATGCCACGCGCAAGTTGAGGAAGCCAGCTTGTGTGATTGTGGTTCCTGTAATTCAAATAAGAAGGCGCGGGCGATGCGCTAATACACAATGTTTTGCCTGGTGAAGAATACAAGCCGCAGTCAACTCTTCTGCCGAGTTGAAACTGCCGCTAATAGCGTTCGTTGTAGCCGAAGCCCAAGCCAGACCCCGAGCTTTGTTTGAAAAGATCCTTCTCTGAACGCCGACCCAATGCACTTGTAAGCATCATAAGCTCACCCTAATCCGTCCGTATGCTGGGTAGTAACATGTCCCCAGATCCATGCCAACGCCGTTTACTCCCAGGTCCATTGGTCATTAAGTCCTTGGTCCTTCCCCAGCCCAGCCGGTTTCAGCGAAGACAAAATAGTCATAATTTCCCATTAAAAACATCGTCCTCCCATAGAATGTGACAAAAATTGCCGTGATCAAGATCAATCCGGTGGCGGACTGAAGATTTCCTCCCCATATAGCAAGATTCAGCATGTGGATCAGCCCTTCCTAGGCTTGTGTCCTTGTACGGATGTGGAACTTCTCTCGAAGTCTATTGGTGAGTGTTGTATGCTGAGTGGTGTCGGAGGTTGGGCTTCTAGGACTGGTCGACTGCTCTTGCTCACGAATCTGCCTCAAAGCTTGAATTCGCTCGTCGACGGAGGCATGTCGTAAGCGATTCCAATCTAGCAATCGGGAACGGCGCCGCACTTGCACGGCCTCAGCATCCTCGGCATGCCCCTGAACACCTTCTCCGTCACCATGATTGGGTGGTTCCTCGGTGTGAGCGGTATCATCGTGCGCCCCTTGTGGACGCAGGTCGAGGCGACTGTATCAACGGTGTTAGCTGTGGGCTCGTTGGGGCCTGGGTAGATTTTGACATACCACAATGGACAAGTGCCCGAGACATTGATCAACCAAGGGTCGACACAAGCCGGATGGAACTTGTGATCACAAGGGAGAACTCTCATATCCTCACCAACCTCAAAATCTTCTGTGCAAATGGTGCAGCCTAGATGCTCGTCGTGGACAGGCTCATTGCCAGCGGCAGAGTTCGCTACGGAGCCTGTGGCATTTGGCGTCGTGCGCTCTTGTTCAGTAGCATTTGAGCCTGGGGTTAGTGCTACGCCGACCACAGTCTCATGCATGGGCTTTGTCTGCATTGGTACGGGCGAATCCTGGTGGCGGTCGCCTGGTATGCTTTCTAATTCCTGATCCGGATCCCCCTTGACTGGATGCTGGTCGCCGAACTTGACGATAGGTATGGTGTCCAGAACAGCACGGGCAAGACCCCTGGCTCTGCTTTGTCTTGCGCGGCCTCCGTAACCAGCGCGAGGGCCGTATCGTTCCGGGTGCCGGTGGGCCCGTACGGCGCCAGTTGCAATGATGACCAGGAACAAAAGAGTTATCAGCCCTGTGATGCTGTACAGTATGCTCATGGCGACGGCGGAATTGTTACCGCCGGTACTACCATCGCCCGAATCAGACCCGTTGGCTGTGTCGTTGCCCTCGATGGTGGCTCTGACTGTTCCTGCAGAAGCCGACGTCAAATTCTTGGCCCCCCAGGCGCTCTCGGAGCTGACCATGCTCCAGATGGACTGGTATGCCAAGTTGGTCCCATCCAAGGAACAATATGCAGCGCTTGTCGTATAGAGAAGAATGGCCTCGGGTTTCGTGGGGCCCTCCATCAAACTGTTCAGGACGTCGCTCGGTGATATATTAGACTGCTCGGGCACCGAGTCGCACGACACGTAGGCGATCTGGCCCGAGTCATTGAAGAGATTGAAATTGCTTTGATCTACATTCACCAACGAGCCTGTTGTTTTGATCGCCTGTATGATTGCTCAGTATTTGACCGGATGCCAGCTCGGCAGTGCGTCTTGTCTACTCACAGCAAGTGTGGTCTGAGTCCCATTCAGGCCGACTTCCCGAGTCAGCGGCACGACAGGATATTCGTTGGGGACTGGCCCCGCCTCGGAAGGATTGATGGCAACCACCATGGTGAAGTCGCCGAAGTACGGCGGAAGCGTTGCCTCTGCATTTGTCGTAGCTTTGTCGGCGGCTACACCGGGCAGCACCATGGCCAGCGCCAGGGCGAGGCGAGCCATCTGTGCGACGGGCGCGGTCGACGCCGCCATTGCCTGGGTGCGGATTCGCTATCGGTTCTCACAATCGGCCGGCTGATTGTGGAGGTGACGACAGCGGGAGGCGACAGCGCACTAGGCACGCAACGAGACACGTCGCGACGATGAAGATTAAATGGTTGGAGACCGGAGGAGGTGATGCTGCATCGTCGCTCGCTCGCTCGCTTCCTGTCTCTTCGCACACATAAGACGGTCTCTCGCACACACTTTCACTGAACTCGGCAGCCAGACATGGGGTCGGGTTTGCTCGCTGGCTGTGGTCTGTCTTTATGATCGGCAGTAAACATTCCAAACACTACTGGCACGCAATTCCGGAGCTTATTGCAAAGTTTAAAAGGTCGATGGGGGTGGAAGGGAGGATGAGGTTTGGATTAGGGAAACGGAAGACGGGACAGTAGTCAGCGCATGTGCATGATGGACGTCAGCTTGGCCTACAATAGTTGACTTTCGCTGGCTTCGATTATTGTGTGGAGAAACGGGATTTGAATGGACGGCACGCTTTCAGAGGAGGAGCCCCCCCAGCTTGGCCGTGGCTCGGCATAGAACGCCAAGATGGTTTGGAGGGGGTCAGATATGCCCGAGTGGTCAAACACGGATCAGCGAGCCCGTAGTTGTGGCCGTAGTAAGAACGGGCAGGGGAGATGGATGCTGCTGTGTGCTCGCTGTATGCTGGCCTGACAAGCTTTCCGAAAGGCCACCCAGGCCTGCCTCTGTCCTGTCTCTCTCGCCCTGCTGCGTGGGACTTTGATGACTGCATTCGCATTCGCGCGGTGCACGCAGAGAGCGCCCGTTCCGTGGCCGCGATCGGTTTTGATGGCCCATCCCGAGACGGACTTGAGGTGGCGTTTTGGAGGTCTGAGACGTCAGGTCGGTTTTAGCGCACTGGCGTTAAAGCAAGACGGCCGTTTCCGGCCAATCATGCCAGGGGGCTCTGGCGGCCCCAAGCTCCCCCTAGGCCCAATCTGGTGCCCCTGTTGACTTGTCACTCGCGCAGTGGCCTGTCGACGCAATGCACCGCCAATCCGCGGGGATGGGCGCACCCAGCCCGGCATTGATGGAAGTAAAATTCCTGGGCTGCACGGGGCCCGCGAGCCTCGACATATCAGTCCAGCGTGTCCATGTGTCCCAGGGCCGGCAGTGTCGGCAGCTTATGTTTATTGCGCATGGAATCCGCGGACGACGCTTTCTTGGTTCTTGGTTTACTGGCAGACAGACACCAGGTCTATAGCTTCGCCAAACCTTGAGCATGGATTCTCGTGGTAACGCGTCCGCTAGGAAGGCCTGCGAACTTGAAGATACGTATGCGCTGGCTTTAGCCAAGGAGCTTTTCGCAGATCAATTGCATTCTGTGACCTAGCCCAAGACGACCTTCGTGCACACATGCTCTGTACGTCGATCGATAACGGGCATTGGGGTTTCTGGGCTTTTCTTGGCTGTGTGGTTCAGCGGTGAGGTGGCCTTTCTATGTGACAGAGATCTTCATGTGACCTCGCTGGCAGCACCACCAACCGTGACCGATCCGATGGTAAAGAGTTTGTTGATAGCCCCCTGTTTTAGTTCATGGAATTATTAAACGCCTGACCAGCTTTATCACTCCTTCCGTTTCCAACGCTTGATCTTCCGCGTTGCCAACTCAGCCTCGACTGGCTCACTCCGGCCCCTTCGGCACCAAAGTTTATAGATCTTCGAGACCGACGTTTTGGAAACGGCCAAGGCTAATATTCTCCGTGGCTGCGGAAATCCTCTCTCTCTCGGGGCTTGCTGAATTATGCATCTCGGTGGATGCACACTGGGAGGAGAGGTTGCGTCCGGAGTGGCACGGCGCCTCGCCGAAAATGTGATGTGCCCCCAGAAAGGTTGAACCACGGAGAATCCGGAAGACGGATACGAACCTCGTCAAGGGGCGGGGGCAATCGGAGGTTTTCGAAGATCCTTGAAGCTATCTGGTAGAAACCCCTGGCGCGCATAGAGTTGAGCATATCTCCCTTGTCTGACACCCCTGTCTTGCGGCTCAAGCCTGCACATCAGGTGTCGGAGCCGCAAAACGTCAAACCTGTCCCTATATGGCAGACTTCGATCACTCACGAATTGACTTCAAGCCATTCACGAATAACATGAAGCAAGCTTTCTGGCCTCGAAAACGACCACGAGACCAGTGGACCTTCACCGACTCAAATCAGCACAAAGATGACACCGAGTCGGCTTTTAGACAGACCCTGGAGTACGTCGAGAGAACCATGTCTATGGAATTCCAGATTGCATCTAGTTCAGGCTCGCTTGGTACCCATTAGTCAGGAGTCGCTTCATCGGTATCTGGTTCTCGCCAAAGACAAGGGTGCTCGGGGCCTAGAATAGCATGGATCGTTGTAACTTCGTTGGTCTTGCAAAACAGTCTATAAACTTGCAACTGCAGTATAGGCGCTTCAGAGTACTCATGAAATGCCAACGGGGTGTGACGATCCGCCATTGGGGAAACAGTTACACGAACTCTAGGAAGATATACCCGTCGCGCTTGAATGTCCCTAAATTTCGTCATCCGCAGCTGGAGTTTCTGCTATCCTCTGGCGACAATGCGTGCTGCCGGTCTTATTCGTGACATGCTTGCGCAAAGACAGACAACCGCATAGCGTTCACGAGAGCTGTGGTCTAATTGCCACAGAGGCCCCTGGTTTCCACGCGACGCCTGAGCTTCTGCTTGGCCTCATACAGCCCCAAATCCGAAAACCAAGGCGACAGGCAGCGCGGCATCTCGATCCAGTCCACCCAACTGAACTAGATCTCTTCCATGTCTTCAAGGTCGTCCAACGCCGGCCAGTCACCAGCCTCGACTCGCTCCGGGCGGACGAAGACGCCATGCTTCATAGTGCTCTCTTGACCCCAGTACCGCGTGCCTCCGATGCTGCCATCATTCTTGCCCACTGGCTCGTCAAGCTGAACTCCGACCCAAGCACCCAGAACACCGGGGATCTCCTTGACGTCGCCAACGTACTGAATGATGCCTCTTCTTGCATCGTCACCACCGACTCGGCATCTTTTCCCGACTGCGATGCCTCGACTTTGGACTTCCTGCAAGGAGGCTGCTATCTTGGCCTGCTCGAGGCTGGGGGCCTCTGGGTTGAAACGTCCCAGTTTCTCCTGCTTCTTCCAAGCCAAGACCGAGTCTGTCTTCTTCTCATACTCCTCTTCTGGCATCACGTACTTCTCGACATTAGAGGTATCCGTGTAATTAGGCCGCGCGCCGGCGGGTCTGGTGTCAGCTACCTGTCGCGATCGTTAGTCATGACAAGCCCAGAGATCTGCAATCTGTGGACGATAGCAAGGGCGTGGGGGCCTGATCATGCAACATCCCACAACCCCGTTTTCACGACCCCAAAAGTTGCGCTATTTAGACCGTTGGATGACTCACGTGAAGCTCTGCGTACGCCTGCAGGGGAAAGTTGGACAAGTGGACATCGTCGTCATTCGCAGCCTCGATGGGAATCGTCTCCTTAGCGGCCGTCTTCAGGGACAATCGTTGAGACGACGGCGGGATGCCTGTGACAAATTCGAGCTTAGATTTCAGTTGGCTGATGGTCCATGATGGAGTGATGCGCCGCTCAGATGACGAATTGTCCGATATGACCTGCAACGGGATGTCCGCCATGATTCGGAGGGGTGGATGCCCAAAAGCGCGAGGCCCTGGTGAGACCGCAACACGCTGCTATCAGGCAAGAAGATCAGATGGCAATGGTATTGGTCGCCGAATTCCCGTTCAAGTGTTGCTTCTACGGGCGTCTGCGGTGTTTGGTACTTTTGGACGGTGGCTGCTTTTTCTTCTTCATCAAAAGGAGGTTGTCTCGGGTGTTTCCATAATTTCGCCTTGGATCCGACACTTTGGTAGCCTAGCCGCCACTTTCCAGCCACAGCAGGAACGGGCTCGCTAGATTGGTTCAGAGGCCCGAATGGTGCATACCCCATCAACCATGTACATACCTACTTCGTACACACTTTACTATACTACCCGTTGCTTATGTGCTGTATTTTCCACGGGCAGTACTTGAATAAACGAGCCCAGTATGAGGCCATGGAGCAAGCGCCCCTGTAATGCTCACTGAGCCAATTCATGAGCTTTGAGTCATGGCCCCCAGGCTTTCTCGCTCCTCGTCATGAGCTCTGTTGTGGCATCATAGGTCGCCTTGCAAACACGCATTAACGTTGTGGCATGCTTTGCTGCGGTCCCGAGGCACCTCAGCTGCAGCTGGGCCTGCTGATAATATTTGAACCCCAGCAGCGAGTATAGCGACATCTCATTCCTGCACCAATCGCGCTCCCAGGATACCCAGGTACTGAAGTTGCATCTTTATGTGGTCTTGCGGGTTGGACATTGTTGTCTTGTTGCGCATGCTGCCAACCTGCCTAATGTCATTGCCCTTACCCGATATGCACTCCACCTGCGTGTGGACAATGGAGTTTCATGGCTCTCTCTGTCGTCTTCATTGGATGATGCCGTTTGCAATTGTCTGGAGAGATCTTGTTCATTGGATACACGACAGAACACCAGCAGCATCGAGGCATCCGGAAGAGCAGCCCGCAGACATACGTGAGAAGCCGTGGCGAGAAGTCAGTATCAGAAGCCAGCAAGCAGTCCACACAGCCTCAAGGAGGCAACTGGGCTTGCTAGAGACACGTCGGTCTCCATCCTCCTTCCCGCCTGCCAGCATGTCAAGGATGGCTTGTTCAATGGACAAATTGCAGAGCTTTCGCCAAGTAGCGATCTTCAAACAAAACTTTAAACAGGGGGTTAGAAGCACTCTGAGGCGTTCCCGGCTCGGCCACTAGACTCCAGCCCGCTTCGTGGGGAGCACGGGGGTCAGGGCACGACGTTGGTCGAATTGCCCTTCTAGACCTCGAACACACCCAAGCCCAAGTACATAGCTCGGTCAGCAAGGGATACGACGAGTCACATTTCCGAGGGCCGCCGATATAACCACCAAACCCGTTCTCAGAGGCCTCGCCGAGGCTGCTCAAAAGAGACTATTTTTACTGTAACATTGAGCCCTGGCAAGTCAATGGATGGACGTAAAAGCAAGGACTTCCTTATGGACCAGACTCCACGAGGGGGTCACGACGGCATCATCTCCTAAAGTCCCGGATCAACGTGCGTCTTTTTTCACCGCTTCTTGACTAACACCGTGACCGACTCCATCAACTGCAACTGCCACGACCCGATTTATCAGGTTGAGAGGCTGATGGGGGTGCCGCTAGAGGCTGAAGAGAGCCCGCTTGCCGCGCACTGCTGGCATGAGGTATATACTGCCACGTTCACCACCATCTCAAGGCGATGCCTTATGACGTCTGCTGCCGTTGGACTTCAAGGTGCACCCCATCTGTCCATGCCCGTGTCGGTCAGGGTGGCCAGGTTTAGCCAGTGATGCAAGGCCAGCAAAGCTGTCAGGCTAAGGCTACCGGTACGGGCGACCGCTTCGGACTGTTCCAAGGCATGAAGAGAGCCATTGGGCAATTGCAGGACGTGCTGATGCATGAAATGCGCAGCTAGCGAGCCCAAAGCGATGGCCCGGGAGTTGACTGGCCAGCCCGCCCCGTGTCGTACATTTTGTTCACGATGCCTGGGCGGAAAGTAGGAATGCATACATATGCGTGCTCTCACTTGACCTGGACAAGCGCGCGCGGTCCTCCATTGGCTTTCCTGGTTGACACGGCTTGATGAGACATCATGTCACAGAGCGCTCGGCCATAGCGACAGTATTAAGACGGTTCTATTTTTCTTCTTGAAACTTTTGTTTTTCCTTCTATTTTCCGATGGTTCATTAATCAAAACAATGCCCATTATTAGACAATGCTATTAAGCTTTGGAATAAAGCAGGCAATGGCGGTTTGCCGTCAGCGATCGGCTGGCTCGGCCGGCTTGCAAACGGACCCAAGATCCCTGAGCGAACCAACCGCCGTCGATTAGTTCGGGCAGCAACAAACAGGCTGGCCGATGCGATCTGCCAGCCTGCCACCCCAGCACACACATACACGCCCCCCTCAAGCCCCTCTACAGCCGCGCGCCGTCCCACCCACGGCTTTCAGGTGCTAGGGCTGCCCTCTCGCAAACCCACAGCGCTGCCAGAGCACAGGTCTACTGTAGATATGGATCCATCCATGGGTGGCCCAGATCAAGTCGCAATCCCTAGCACTGCCCTGGCCAGACGGAGGGGGGAGTCGGTGGCTTCGGTGGAACTCCACCCACACCATACCACGCTGCTCAGCTTCTTCTGGTGTCCTACCCAATTCGCGGCTGCACGAGTCGTACGGTCCCTGAAGTTGGGAACGTACTGTATCTGTACTATAGTACTAGCAAACCACCCCTAGAGTCCTGCATAGCACAGCTGCAGACCAAGCTACCTGGGGCCTGGCTTGTCGCGGTCTGAAAGAAGGCGAGCAGCCATCGGGGGTTTTTGGGCCTATCAGACGCCAGCCAAGAAACAAGCAGCGTTGGCATTGTGCGTGGCCATGCGTTCGCCAGAGGGTTCAAACAGCCCCTTGACCAGGTATGCGTGTGGATGTCGGTAAAGTCTGGAGAGCGCTGCCGGCTTGCATTGCAGTGCGGTAGATCATGGTTCATGACTGTGACGCACGCCATCAATGGGAGTTCAGAGGGCCGGCTCGATGGGTACAGCCCCAGGCCCTAGAAAAGCAGCGACCTGAAGGTACCCAGGGCGTGCATAGGCTGACCGCCAGTTCATCAGCCCCAGAAGGGTTATTCCCGGTCACGAAGCATTGACGAGCTGCTACCTGGGGGGGACCCATTGTGACATTGTTCACCATTTTGCATTGTGTGGTTATCGGACGTCGTCGAGACAAGCCTCATCTAACAGCGTGCGTATGATGTCGCAACAGAACTCGGCAGCATGTTGAAGCCCGCACAGACGTCGGGCTGTCTGCATTCTGCTGCACCAGAGCCCCATTGCCCGTTTCCCCATGAACAAAGAGCCTTGTTGCTTGGATCTAACGTGCCGGGAAGGCGAGAACCCTTGAGAACAGACACCTCCCTCCTCGCTTGTGCGGTTAACGCTCTCCGATCTCACACCTCATCTATCTATAGGCGGACGAGCGCGCTACAGAAGAGGGTCCCGTCCTGGGCAGCGGGTACATTCTAGGTAGGTATCGTAGGTCTCTAGGCTACTTCGAGCAAGTTGTTCCCCTTTCCGAGCAATGCCGTAACCCAGAATGGACATTGTTGCCAAACCCCCAAGCAGAGTTTGTGCACGCGCACCCAACTGGCATAGGACATACAGTTTCAGAGTCCCACTGATGTATGCATTCTCATGGCAGCCACCTGATCGTCCCATTCAGAAGCGATCTGCTCTGTGCTGGTTTCTTTCGAAGCCTCTTTCCCGCCCTATGCTAGCCGGAGTGGTTCCTCTAACCCTAGATGGGTCCCGTACAGCCCTGGATGATGCTTGATGTGCGTCTGCAATCCTGGCCCATTCCCCGGGTCATCAGACTACTGCAAAACAAATGCAGTTGTTCGCAGGCACAAGTCTACCTACTTACAAGGTACCTTGGTTCGATCTCCTGCTAGTTTCTCGAGACTAAGCTGACCAGCAATACCCTGTCTGGAAATTCGACCTTGAACTCCTTTGGAACACTAGGCACGTCTTGAGTTGGAAAATCATGGTGCTCTATTTTGCTTCTTCAGTCAGAGGGTTGAACTATGCGCTATTAATTCCTCGGATCTGATCTTTGCCTAGCGTGACGGCCGAGCAGGAAGGGGAAAGAGTAACTTAGTAGAGTTGTTCGCTGCGAGCTCATGCATGATTTCGTGGCCATGCCATCAGCCCCTAGTCGATAGCTCGCATGGCCAACAACTCACCTGTTTGACTTACATCTCAACACCATCTACGATCCTGGTACGCCCCGGCTTCTTACGCCCGTCAAGTTTCCAACAGGTGTGTGGTTCAAGGTTTGTCTTGTGGACATGTCCAACTTTTCCCGTTCAGTGTGTGCCCGCGAGCATGGTTTACACCAGAAACAGAGCTGGGTAGTAAAACAGGTGTGAATTACCTCACTGGCTGCCAGCTGGGCTCTGTTATAGTTGAGTGACTTTACATATAGTGCCTGTCGTCTCCCGACCCACAACCGTATTGTTTTTACACTCCCTATCCTATCCCACCCCCCTCCCTGGTCGACATTCCTCTTTTGGTGCCCCTTGGACCTGACCTTGTCACCTGGACCCTGGTTCTCGTTCCCCCACTGCTACCATTACCGCCTTCATCAACCTAGAAGCCTCCTGTCAGTGATTTCTTCGGAAAACCTTCTTTTATATTTTCTTTTTTTTGAATCCCTAATTCTGCACGGCGCGTGCTCCCGACGTGGACCTCCACTACCCAACTTTAGTTCTATAATGACACTCCACAGGTTATGGTGACAGTCGAAAAAAGTACCCCTGGCCAGCGCAACCCTGGAAAGCTACTTAGCCTTCTTGACGTATTCATTCGCCTGCCGCTGCCTCAAGAAGACTCACTTGGTTGTCACTTACATCGCTCATTGGTGGACAGCTGCCTGAAAAGCGCCCGATCATGTTCACATATCCCAAAACACGAGCCACGCTTCATCAAACCTGACTCTCTGCTTCCAGGATCTTCCCCCTTCCTCGATTTCTGGCCAGCAGACGCACCATCCTTCCCATCTACACATTTCACGCTACAACATAAAACTCAAAACACTTCGAGAGTATCCTTGGTGTATCGACGACAACTTTCACCGTGGCCGGTCTAATTCCGTCTGTGTTCTTTGCTTTACGGCGCTGAGAATCACCTTAAGAGAAGCTTGGAATAATAGTGGGAGACTGTCTATGGTGAAGGCAGCAAAACCCAGCGAGGATCCATCAAACCCCACGTTGTGTACAGCCTGCGGTCTCGAGCCTGCGTGATATCACTTACAGCGCTCGCTCCATGATAAACTGGCCTGACCTAGGCTGTGTGGGTGACCTACCGGCATCGTGGATATCGCCTCCCTCCTCAAGGCTGCCGACTCAAATGAGTCCTCTGTGTCTCCTGCGCAACCCACCTACCCTGTGTCAGTAACTCCCACCTCCGCCGTGGCTACTACAACATCGACCGCGCCCGTAGGGCCTCCCCTATACGCAGCGCCGCCTCGTCTGGGACCCGCCTCGGGACCCGGTCTGGTCGTCTCCGGGAAACGCAGCATGCCGCCACATGCCTCCGAGTCACCGGCCAAGAAACAGAGCAAATGGTCGCCCGAGGAAGATGCCCTGATCATCGAGCTGCGTGGGAGTGGGATGAAGTGGGAGGACATCTCCAAGAGGTTGCCAGGACGGAGTGCCATCAGCTGTCGACTTCACTATCAGAACTACCTGGAACGAAGAAGCGAGTGGGATGAAGAAAGGAAAACAAAACTGGCACGACTGTACGATAGGTAGGTTGTTCTTCGCGGCCCGGAAACTCCTCCTTCTGCGCCTCGCTTCGCAGGAGCAGTAACTAACTAACGACCACCACAGGCTGAAACCGGAGATGTGGGCAAAAGTTGCAGAGGAGATGGCAGTTCCCTGGAGAGCAGCAGAGGCGATGCATTGGCAACTGGGCGAGCAGGAGATGGCACGCCGGGCTGGCGTTGTGCCGTTTGCCCTCTCGGCACATGGGCCTGACAATATGCAACAACAACAACAACAAGGGGTAGTTGGCCGGGCGCCGCCATCCCGAGGGCACGCCCACTCCCGATCCCAGGGGAGCATATTTCGTGACACCGTCGACCCCTCGAGAGCCTACGGCCGCGGCATGCCGACCCTGCCACCTGGCCTGCCGGGGCGGCCTCTGGGTCCCGGCCCGGGTCCTGGCCCGCGCAAAGAGGCCGGCCCTCCTCCCCACCTGCCAACACACCTCGAACACGGCGAACCGATGGCGTATTCCCACTCCGGGGGCGGGCCGCTCGCGCCCATCCACTCGCAGAGCCAGGCGCGCCCGGGCATGCTGCCTGGTCTGGCGGAGCTGACCACGGGTGTCAGCCCGTACAGCACCCCGGCCTACTCGGTGGGCGTTCCGAGCGCGAGTCCCGCCCAGAGCGCCACGGCGAGCCCAGGACCCTTCCTGCCGGCGTTGAGCTACCCTCCCCTGGAGCCGGCGGGCTCGAAACGCCGGCGTAGCCCGGAGCTGGGCCCGCCGGATCCGAACCGTCGGCGACACCTGGACCCGCGGTCCGACCACCTGGACAAGACGATCCCGCGGCATATGCCGTGACATAAAGGCGGAAATTTCTCCTATTCGGCACCAGGGCGTTAGAGCGGCCGAGCGCGTTTCTAAACAGGCGTCCAGGGGGGAGCGAAACCATCGATTCTTCGTTCTTCTGCTTTTCGACATCCTCTTCTTCTGCATTTCGGTATCCTACATATTCGACAAAGACTTCGCGAGACATAACGCTGCATGGGTCGGAGCGAGCATCAAACAACATGAAATTCATTGTTTCACCATTTTTTTCAACCTTTTGGTCCCAGCAGAATCATTGGGCAAAAGGAGGGAGTAGGGGCTTAGGGAGTGCATGGACGGACATGGGACCTGGCGGCTTTCATTTACATGATCGACCACTTGAGATAACTTGGAAAGAGAGCACGCACGCAAGAGGCATAGCAGGGTAATTGGTCTATTCTTGAATGTATTTTGTTGCGGTTTTCTGCTTTGTGGTTGGAGAAAAAAAGAGAGAGGTGGTGTGTTTTCCAAATAGGGCGCAAGGAAGCCGCGGAACGGCCGACGGGACAGGGACTGTTGATGATTGAAGACGATGAGAGACGAAGGAGCAAGAAGCGGGCTAGGCATTTGGGATACAAAAGGCAGGACGGAGGCGAGCAGTGCCGGAGTCTGCGTTGGTAACCGGAGTATGGAGAGAGCGTTTTTGCTTTGTTTTTGTTTTCTTCCACCTTGTCACTTATTTTTTTTTGGCCCTGGGTAAAACATTATCTGAGGCAGCATATCATGTGGTGGATGTTGGGAATGCCACTACTTGAAAACTTGTCGTTTTTTGTCTCTGGTTCACAATGCCTCGATAGACAGCAGCTTTGGGATTTAGACCTTGTTGGCGTGAGAGGGGGTGTGTAGCCAAAAGAAAGGGGGCTTCGGCATGGGAAGGAAGATAGGCCCTACCATGTAATTGCCCTGAGCATTTAAAATGTTGCAAATTTTACACATGAAATACGTGGACGATATCTTTTACTTCTTTGCTTTTAATTGATTCGACTGGCTACAGCCCACCAGTTGTCTTTGTCGTAGCCACTATCTAGAACTTTGCCCCCGACGGCGACGACGTCTTCCTCGAGCTCGCCCTTCCTATACAAGTGGTAGTACCGCTGATAGGTCGTGTCGCCGCCGCCGCCGTCGGCCGTCTTGGTCTTGCTCTTGAAGACCCACGGCACCAACTGGTCCTGGTCGGCGCCCTCGTCCCAGCCGCGCCTGCTGTTGGACTGCTCCAGGGCCCAGACGTAGACCAATATCTTGCCGCCTCCGCTGTCCGGCCGCACGCACTCCAGCAGCGCCCGCACGGCCTCCTGCCTCCGCTGCCGGGTGGACATGTGGTGGATGACGGCGACGCAGATGGCGAAGTCGGCCTTGCCGGGCGGGAAGGGCAGGGCCAGGCCGTCGGCGACGGCGACGTCACAGCGCCTGTCGCCGCCGTGGTCGCGGGCGATGCGCACGAGGTTGGCGCTGCGGTCCGAGCCCACGATGTGGACGTGCGGGTTGACGGCCAGGTACTTGCCATTGCCGCAGCCGACGTCCAGGCCCACGGCGCCGGGGGGGAGCGAGAGCAGGAAGGAGGCGATGACGGGCCACGGCTTGTAGCGGGTGGCCGAGAAGTGCGAGGCAATGGACTCGTAGACGCTGTGCACGTGCTGCTGCTCGTACGACTCCGCATCGGCCCCGGGAGCAATCACGGGAGCGGCCGAGCTAGCCGCGGCCTGGGGGGCGGCGGCGGCGGTGGCAGCAGTGGTGATGGCCACGGGGGGTGCGGCTACAGCATCGCCCTCAGCTCCCTGGCCTGGTTTTGTCATGGCTCCTCGTGGCGGCTGCTGCTGCGGTGTGGCCGGGGAAATCACTGCCACTCCTGGTTGCTGTCACCGCTTCTTTTTGAGTTGTGTCGGTGACGTTGCCCAACAAATGGTGGAGTTGGGTTGTAGTGATGCGTTGTCCCTGGCGGCACCCTTTTTTTTTTTACCCTTCTCCCTCGCTGACAGCAACCCAGCGACCTGCTAAACTTAGTGGGTATACTGTAGGGATGAGGGTGGTGGCTGGCTGGCTGGCTGGCTGGCTGGCTGCTGCTACTGCCGCTACTAGGGCCGCGACATGGGCCATAACATGGGGGCGCAGACATGTGCCGAGATTTCTCTGCTTGTGGCGTGTCCCGAGATGCTGGTTCCATGCCCTCGCTACGGCGTTGGCCTCTCGTCGTGCAGCTGCATGGCGGCCTGGGGTGCCTGGGGCATGCTGGCGACGCGGCAGCACTGCTGGATCTGGGAGGATGGGTTTGGGCGGGCTGGAGATGGGCTCGCAGACAGCGTCATGCAGCCGTCGTCTTGTTGATAAGGTTCGTTGCAACCTCCTTCTGCGGCCGCGGATCGCGTTTTGGGCTTGCACCTCGTCTCGCTTCTCGTTTCTTCGCTTGCGCAGACGCGGCAGACGTCGCCGTCCTGCAGCTCGCCCACTCGAATTGCCGTCCCAGGAAGCCGGTTCGAATAGGCCGTGTCACCGACCAAATAGGCTTGTCTTCTCACCGTGTTAGTTACAAACTATATGCTACCTACTATAACCCGGCCCCCAGCAATGATGTCCCGTTATACGAGATCTCGACCGTGTACAGTACAATGGAACATTGTTACACTAAAAGTAATGCATATCCAAGCAAGTCTTTCTTTCCATGCCACGTCTGTGGTGTCATACGTAATACTCGCATGAACATACATCCTTGGCTCCAAGGGTTTCTCTGGTGTCTGAGCGTGCTGCAAGCTCCCGAAACAAGCTTATTGGATGGGGCATCGTTCGGGACTTTTGCATCGTCGGGTCCCCAAACCTGACTGATGTCTTAGATTGGAATCTGATGCGGGTTTGAATTGACTGCATGACTCGGGCTGGCGCTACTATAAGGTATTTCTCCGAACGGTGTTCGTCTCATCAAGACCAATCACTATCCTGACCTCCGGTGTTCAATCAGCACGATCGTTGGCCTCCCGGGCTTTCCTATCCAACCGCTTCTTTTCATCCACGCCCCGACGCTTGTTGCACTCGGAAGTTCATATTTCCAGGAAGCAAGTCGTGCCTTGGTAGGCGATCTGTTCTACAGATGTTTAATACCATAACCGCCAATTCCGGGTTGCGTGCATCTTATCTTCTCGCATAGCTCTATATTCTGTGTCTTCGGCAATGTCGACTCAGTCTACGGCAAGTTTCTGTTTAGTGGCTTCTGAAAGCGTCGACCAGGTAGACGTAGTATGCATAACAGCTATCAAACTTGCACAGACGCAGTGAATAACCCGGTCCATAAACTTCTCCACGTATCCGGTGTCGTGATGCCGTGAGTCAAACACGGCGAACAGGCTTAACTGTGCGCCCCAAGAGCCAAGGAATAGTGCCACGCCGGAACCGATCGGTTCACTGGCAGCTGCGACCTTGGTCAGTTCAAAAGCTCCATACTTTGCCTTAACCACGTTGTCTATATTGCCAACGGACGATAGAGCCACCGGGCAAAAGTTTCCGTCTGACACAGCATGCGGGTTTGCACCTGGAGCTGGGGTGATGGACTTGAAAACCGATGGGCTCAATGTGACTTGGTCATCTTCGAGGCAAGCTGGACGTATTGTTTTGAAGAAATCTCTGACTGAGGTTGCAATTTGGGGTAGGCCGTCTGCTTTTGTCTTGCCGCTCTTGCTCGGCACGATCAGATCTATTCCAAGAGCCTGAGCGGAGACGGTGTGATACGCGGCAGCGACATGACTAGATGTATTATAGGGTGGCTCGCAGTACGGACGAAGGTTGATCATGCTCTGGTTGGCATAGCGGACAGTGTAAGCGTCATCCTCGCGAAGCTGCATGTCGGCCAGAGCCAATGCCAAAGCCGCCGTAAAAACGTGTGTGACGCTCACGCCGGGGCCAATGACTTTACACCCGCGCAGAATCAGGTCGGTCACATCCTTGGGAAGGTAGTGAGGGAGATATTGGATCCGAGAGGTAGATCCCGCACCAGCGCTGGAGGGGAGACCAAGAAGGCGTTGTTGCGTGTAGATGGTGGCATTCTCCTTCTGGATCTGGTGTAAGCGTTTGGTCTGAGCCTCAGACAAGATATTGGGAATCCGGGCGGCTAGACGGAGGCACGGGGAAAGCCTTATCTGTTCCTCTCCCCATCGTAGTGCTGCATATTTAGCTCCTTGTTCGTATGCCACGGCAGCATGATGGAACAAATGGTCGACTAGATGCAAAATACCAACACCATCAGTGAGATCGTGAGGACACCGGAGAAAGGCAGTCTGGCCAAGCTCAGCCTTAGCCTTGACCAGAAAGAGGGTAGGAGTTTTGAACGTCGGTGAACTGTTGTTAAACCACTCAAGTGCTCCGCCGTCAGTGTGAACAATCTTGAATGTGGACTGCAACCATTCCTCCTCTTGGCTGGCGTCTTCGAATGACGAATAAACCCTCTTCGATCCGCCAAGCGCCTTGTCTTCGATGTGAGAGCCTAATGTGGGATGTTCGTAGCGCAGTCGGACCCACGCATTTCGAAAGGCAGCCTCTATCCGACGATCAGCGCCATCAGCTATACTAACAGCGACAAAGGTGGCAAAGCCTGTGAGCGGATAGCAGCCGTCGTCTCCCCGTGCTGAGCGCCTGTAGAACTCTTCGCATTCATCAATGTCCCGTTCCCACACGCCATGGGTAGACTGATGCCATTGGCAGCGAGAAGACGATGCTTCTGATAGAGCCATTGGCCTTGCGATGTCGGGTTCGGATTCCAGCGTCCTAGAATATAAGTAGATTCGAGCAGGCCTTGACTACTTGCAAGTATGAATGGTTGAGGAGCAGCCAGCCAATCGCCTAGTAAATAAACAAGAGATGGATGCCAAGAAGAAGTCGCGGCGGTGTAAATATCCATGTATCTATATACAGCAAGAGCAGATGACCCATTGCTTGAGACGCGCCCTGACGCGACGTTTGTTTCTTTGTGCTCGAAAGGGTTAATTAAAAACATTCGTAAGGCAGCAGCTCGGCTATTCAGTTAAGCTCGCCAGGCAGCAGCATCCTGCAGTAAAGTAGTCTTTATAAAGTCTTAACAACAGCTCATTGGCTGCTTAAACGCCAAACTCGATTCATGCGTAGCCTATACCCATTACTGATTACCCGTGTTCAGCGGGCTCTTCGGGTCGTACACATCTGTCGTGATGAGGTCGGGGTACTTGACGTCTCCCTGCTTTAGGACCTCCTCCATGACCTCCATGATCACAATACTTTCCGACAGGGGCAACGTAGCACTTTCTTTCTTTCCGTCGCGGAGACATCTGGCGCACTCGTCGGCTTCCCAGAACATGCCGTGGCCCCAGTTACGCTCTTTGTCCTGAGGAATCGGACAGTCAATGACCTCCACCTTTCCATTACAATCTGACTTAACCACTCGATACTGCAGTGGCTTAAACGCCGGGCCCATAACCTGGATTTCTCCGAGGGGTCCCTGGATCTTGATTGCCGGCCCGCCACTGTTGTGACCATCCGTGTCAGTGTTAATACGCAGGCATGTCATTCCAACTCCCATGCTCTTGTGCTTTGGGAATTGCACGACAACCGTCGTCATCTCATCCGCGCCCGTCGTATACTTGTTGATTGCCCCGACAACGTTAGGCTTCTCCTTTTCGCTCTCCGGCTGACAATGATACAGGATCTGGAAGAGCCATGTCAGTGAGTAGATGCCCAGATCCAGCAAAGCGCCTCCGGCCAAATCCGGATTCACCATCCGGTGCTCGTCTGGGAAGTCGATCCGGCCGTTTGGTGCATCCTTGCCGAACGAGTTATCGGCAATGACTCTGTAGACGGGGCCGATGACACCAGACTGGACCATCTCCCGAACCTTGACGCTAAGTGGGAAGTAGCGGGTCCAGACTGCCTCCATGAGAAAGAGGTTCTTTGCCTTGGCCTTGTCAACCAGCTTCTTGGCCTGAGCAGCAGTCACAGTGAAGGCCTTCTCGCAGAGGACATTCTTGCCGGCTTCTAGGGCAAGCATGGCGTTCTGGAAATGGTGAGAGTGCGGTGTGGCGACGTAGACAATGTCCACATCAGGGTCGGCTACAAGTTCAGCGTACGACCCGTACGTCTTGACTCCGTCTGGTGCCTTCACCTTGCTCAGGAAGCTCTCGGCGCTGGCCTTGGAGCTGGATGAAGCAACAGCCACCAGCTTGTGCGCGATGTCGTGGACATCGCGTGTTGCAGGGTTGGTAAGCAGATCCTTGGTGAACGCTAGAGAATATGATTAGCTTTTGGCAGTAGAATATGTACGCTCGACTGTTCCGAACTGACTCTGGGCAATTCCACCAGTTGCCATAATACCCCACCTGACGGTATAAGGTTCCGACGCCATGGTTCAAGAAGGGGAGTGGTGATGAATGGAACAAGTTGTCTGGCTTCAGATGCAAACAGATTGCAGGCCCTGTTCTCTGAGAAATAACAGAAAAGGGTACTGAGGAAATTTTGGGAAGAGTGTGCTGGGAGAGAGGGATTAATTCACGGAAGCTACGTTCCATTCCAAATCATTGTCCCGCCATCAGTCAAGTGGGGTAATAGATGCATGTCTCATTAATTGAGACCCAGCATCAACGAGTGTACCACAGCGGAGCGCTCTTCGTTCATAAATAAGTGCAGAGCCTTTTTCTACTGTCATAGGCCTTTTACAGATGTATGCTAACATGACCATATTTTTTCAGAATGACTATACTCTGCCTTGCCTATGGCAGCCATCGTGGTCAGAACTTCTCATTCAGCGAACGACGTCATACAATGCCGCTATACGCAGATAAATACCCCACTGTCAAGGTCGATGAATCTCGGTAGGAGCTGCCGCGTTTTGATAGCATTTTACTACATTTGCATGATTAAAATATGTATCCGGTGCTTGGACGCTTCAACATACAAGCACATGCAGAATCACTTGTATCTCAATCCTTCCAATGAGCAGCGCATAGTAATCCAGATACATGTAGTCTCATAGTCAGTTCAGACAGAACCTAGCCTTTCAAAATTGTTGACTAGGAACTCAAAAGATCCTTCGATATGATCTGCCTCTCCAATCTGCACGTTCCCTCATTGCACAAGGCTGTGTGATACGTTGGTTCCATGGATCAAATCGATAACGTTGCCTCTTTACAGATTGCCACAAAAGCAATGCCCTGGCTATCAAGGACACCCAGATCCCACATCCTTCGTTTAGCCAACCCAGCTCACGCCAATCCAGCCAGTCTATCTACATCCAGAGCCATGGCGACAGCCCAGCAGACCTCGGCGCTGACCAGGGACCTCACGCTGCGCGGCGGGCCGGCCGTCCCCACCACCATGACGCCGCGCCTGGTGTACGGCACGGCGTGGAAGAAGGACCGCACGGCGGACCTGGTGCATCAGGCGCTGCGGAGCGGGTTCCGCGGCGTCGACACGGCCGCGCAGCCGCGGCACTACCAGGAGCGGCTGGTGGGCGACGGGGTGCGGCGCGCCGTGGCCGAGGGCGCCGTGGCCCGCCGCGCCGACCTGTTCCTGCAGACCAAGTTCACGTCCGTCGACGGCCAGGACCGCGCCGATATGCCGTACGACCCGGCGGCGCCGCTCGAGGCCCAGGTCCACGCCTCGGTGGCCTCGTCGCTGGAGAATCTTGCGGTGCCGGACGGCGAAGGCGGCGCCCCCTACCTCGACAGCCTAGTGCTGCACTCCCCGCTGCGCACCGTCAAGGACACGCTGACGGTGTGGCGGGCGCTTTCGACGTACGTGCCAGAGAGGATCCGGCATCTGGGCATCGCCAACGCGCCGCTGGGGGTGGTGGAGCTGCTGTTCGAGGCGCCCGACGTTGCTGTCCGGCCATCCGTAGTGCAGAACCGGTTCTACGGCGACACGGGCTACGAGACGGAGCTGCGGGCCTTCTGCCGCGCGCAGGGCGTCGTGTTCCAGACCTTCTGGACGCTGACGGGCAACCCGCGGCTGCTGCGGAGCGAGGTCGTCGGCGGGCTGGCGCGGGCCGTCGGCGTCGAGAAGGAGGTGGCGTACTATGCGCTGGTGCTGGGGCTTGAGGGCACGACGATCCTGGATGGCACGACCAGCGAGGAGCACATGGAGGCAGACCTGGAAGGAGTCGAGAAGATCGGCCGGTGGGCTGAGGGGGAGGGCAAGGAGGTGTGGTTGTCGGCGTTGGGAAAATTCAAGGAGTTGATCAAGGAGCAAGAGTAGCCCCGACCCTTAGCTGTTGGTTTACAGTAGTACTCAGTACAAGTCATAATTTAATTACAGCGTCAACAACAGATGGGGTCTCAAGAATACGATTATGTGGTCCGTCTTTCGGGGCAACTACTTGTATTTGCCGTGCTGTAACTCTTATTCAGATACATCACTCCCTGAAATCCGGACAGAATCCCGCTTCACAGGTCATGTATCCAGCGTGTAGCCCCTGACACTCATGCAAGAGTTTCCGCCCATGCGAATGCACAATGCACCCATAACGCCAGCGAGGGATTGGAGCCCTCATGCAATAAACCATGTATGCTCCCTGCGTTGGCGCAAGGAGGCTTTCTATGCTGTCTCTAGCTTCATCTTTCCACGGAGACCTGCTAATTCATCCTGCTTAACCACCGATTAGCATTGGATTTTTTGGTGCTGAATAAACCACCTGGCGTGTATCAACTTCAAGAGACTCACCTCAGCTTTCCTCTTCCCCAGAACTGGCTCTGGTGTACCTCGGGTGTACGGGTTGGATGTGCCCACGCCGGCAACGTTGCCAGTCACCTCCTGGTGACAGCTTGCGTGGTATATCCGGCCATCCACGTTGATGGCGTCTTCCCATACCCAGTCTCCTGCATCATCAAGATAGATCTGTTTGAAGTTCTCCTGGCAGATTGGGCACACGCTGTTCTTGAGCACGGGATCACTAGGCACGGGAATGTAGTGCAGGTTCGGCGTCTTTGATGATGAGCCCTGGGTACCACTTGCGTCACCTGGTGCTGCGATACGATCCTCGTCAATCGTCTCCCGTGTGTTAATCCAGTCCTAAAGGCTAATTAGTATTGACCGGTCATCAAGGGGCGGAAAAGATCAACCTACCGTCTCGTCAACGAACCAACTGCGGTGCTGTCCGCTCTTCTCGGCCTCGGCGATACGCTGATTGACTTTGAAATGCCAGTCCATGTGTGCCATCTTCTTCTTCTTGCCCTCGTCATCAGTCTTGAAACGTCGTCCGCAATGTGTGCATTGAGGCCCAAGGGCTTCGAACATTAACGGCACCAAATGTGGCCGGAACCTACTGCTGTGTGAGTCATCTGATTGGAACCATGATGTGCGAAGCACCTACTGTTTGAGTGATAAGGCGTTGAAAGCGATATCGCCAGTGAAGTTGTCCATTGACGGAGGTCCCGTCGGGATTCCTGGGGGTGGAAATGGCAGAGGCACCGTTGGCGTCAGGCTGGGCACTGGTGTTGACCCGCTCGATGGTGTCGCGGCCGTCAGCATACCGGCTTTTCGCAACATGCCCAACAGTGCCATGGGATCAGCAGGAGCAGCACTCTGCTGTGGCTCAGCGCGCTGCGGAGGCGGCGACCTGATGGCCACAGTTGCGGGAGGCGGCTGAGGTGTAGACGCCTGTGGTGTGCCAGAGCCTCGCGCGAGCAGCGCAGCTAGGGCGCCAGATCCCAATATAGAATCTATAGATACCTTGGGCGCGGCTGCAGGAGGGGGAGCTACTGCTACGGGCTGTGATATAGGTACAGGGGTAGGAGTTTGGGCAGGAGGTGCCCTTATTGTCACGGCGAGGCCAGCAATTTGATTCTTTATGAGCACTAACTGGTCCTGCGGCAGATTTTGGGCCTGTAGGATACCCTGCAAATCCAAGAGCGCCTTAAGCTTTGACTGTATACTAGGATCTTGTGGGTTTCGTGCAAATTCAGCTCTAAATGCCGTGATGAGGCCCTGAATGTCCTCTTTCAAAGCATCTGTACTGATGGTAGGCTGCGCAGCCATGCCATAACTCCCATGATATGGCGGCTGGAAGGCAGGTATATTTGCCGGTGGCTGTGGTGTGGACTGAGAAGACGGAGGCTAAGACTGGTTAGGCGCCATGGAAATTCATATACATAGATATCAGGTTGTTCTGACGTACCTGGTGGTAGGGGTATTGGGCTGGGGGAGGCTGTCCATGTTGGCCATAAGGAGCATTGTTAACACCTGGGATGGGCGGCGGGCCGCCTATGTACCCTCCGTTCGACTGGGACGGTGGTCGTGCGGCTGGTGGTGTCGGTGAGTCACGGTAAGGAACACCTTGTGGCATCTGCCGCCCAGGGCCCATCATCCTGCGAAGCTGCTGGTTCCCTGAAGCCCTCGCCTGCATCAATGCGTTCTCAATGGGGCGAGTGACATCCGGCGCGAAGACCGGCCGCGTGTCGATAGAACCAGGGATTGGCTCCTTCCAAGTCTTCAGCATCTCGTCCATCTTCCTACGAGTAGCCATGTCTACTGAGGCATATGCTTCCATGAAGGTGTTGTAAAGCCGCTTGCCGAAAAAGATGGTGTATGGCGTGCCCACATTCTTGACGATAGAGTCAAGAACATACAGGGCTGGAAGTTTCTTATGTGGTGCTGCCTACAAGACAAGTAAGTCAACGGCTCGAAGATGCGGAGGTTCAACAATCAAAATCTAGGCCGCCTTTGCTGATGGCCACAATATTGGCATAACATCAAGCATATACGTCAGGCGGACGTAACGACTATAGGAAAATTTAGCCTACCCTTTTGATATGGTCTTGCAGTGCTTGCGAGATGACAAGCGCTTCTTCGGTACTCTCTCGGGCGATCATGGTCAGGTTCTGAATTTCAAACCGGCTGTTCAACTGAAGCCCTTCAAGGGCATCCCGAAAGTCCTCCAGGAAGCCCTCGTCCTGGGATGCCATGTTGGTTCTATTTCACAGGTTGCGACCTTCAAGTAATGTGAAAGAGGAAGATGGGGAATATTGCTGATGGTCGGTGGGGTGAAGGCTTAGACACAGAACTCCTCTTTAAAGCTTGCACTGGGGAGAACAACAGGGCGCTGCGTCAAACAATGGTCATCACAATAGCTGATTGTCCCTCTGAAAATCTCTTCGTCAGAGAGAGGATACTGAGATCTGGAAATTTGGCCCCTCAACAGCAATCCCAGAAAAGCCAAAGAGCCAAGCTCCACTGCAAATCACTCAGAGCCGCAGCCGCGCAAGTGACTGTATCCCTTCCACGGGTCCAGGCGCTCACGTAGCTGTAGCAACCCGAGCTCCAGGATCCCTCCTACGCCTACAGGCGCACTTGCCTCTTGTAGCCGGTCGCAATCAGCTTCCACCTAGGTACCAGTATTCTGCTGATAGAAGGACCTGCAGTCAAGAAGGTGTGAGTATGATTACCCGGGCAAGGACCTCGGGGTATGGCTTCGACTCGAGGGTGGATGGCGTTGTCGTAGTGAGAAAGATGACAGGTGAGCGGGCGTCGTCAGCTTCGCGTGTCTGCGACCTGTGGGCGCCTATTTCGGGGATCCAGTGTTGATTTGAGGACAGAGCTTGGGCTGCTGGTTTTGGCTGTGGTACGGTCACGGATCTTCTGGACAGTGGTGAAAAGGTTGGTTGACAAGGAAAGACTGACGGTAGATTGAAAGAAGTCTACACGACATGCGACATGCAAGGTGCTAAACCTTGTTTGTCTGGGTCACGTGTCGGCCCTTTGCTTACGTACTGGACGTAGGTTGGCTCCCTTTATGAATCTCCAGTGCACGGCATCAAACTTGTGCCTCAATATATGAAATGCCGCCCTGACTTATGTCTACTATGCTCTAAATCATTTTTCATTACTTGCTATAAATTGAAACATTGTGATGTTGACTCGCTGTCAACAACTGAAGCTGGGGATTATGTCTGCGATCCTGCTTGAAGAACTTACACGCATTCAGAACCCAGTCACGTCAAACTACCTCTCGTTCATACGCAGTCTTTTCAAGAGCACTTTCTTTATGACATACATGTGCGAATCGAAAGACACAAGGCGATGCCCGTGTTTATTGATATTGATGTTCATAATTAAGATTTAAAACAAGCCTCGCTGTCTCCTTCCTCATGCCTTGGGTATCCCTTTTCTGAAAAGCAGAACCAAAAACGCCTCAAACTATGATCGCCCTCCTCTTTAACGCCTGGTAGTGTGTGCGCGGCGCTTAGAAATGGTTGTCGTTGCCGCCAAAGCGAGTGATCTCGCTTGCTACGCTGTAGTGGCTCATGGAGCCACGTCGCATGGCCGGGTGCTGGAGGGTGGGTGGGCGCTGAATCTCGGGTGCAATCGGCGAGCCGCGACTCTCGAGAGGCATGCCCTTCTCCATGTCGTGGTGAGCAATCGGTGCGCTGATCTCGGGCTTCTTCTTGCCGAATCCGAACAGCGTGGTTCTCCTCGACTTCTCCTTGCGGACCGAACCGCTTGAGTGGCTGGAGTAGACGTCGCTCTGTGGCCAGCCTTCCTCCGGCTCGGTAGCACCGTTCTGGCGGAAGACACGAACGTTTCGGCCCAGGCGCTTGCCGAAGAACCAGGACATGAAGACGTTGACGAACCCAAAGATGAGAGCGAGGATACCGGCAGCCATGCACAGGTTCCAGAAGATGACACCCATGTTTTCTTTGCTGTTACGACTATCGCTGAGCTTCCCGAGGGTGTGGGATCCCATCATGATCATAGAGAAACCGAGCCAGGTCAGGCCTCGTCCAGGTCCAAAAGCCGGCCAGTTTCTTTCAAAGAAGGCTCCCCAGATGCCAAGCTCCGAAAGACCGAGGAAGAAGCAGACAGTGATCAGGAATGCCAGGGATATATCGCTGAAGAAGGTGTAGCCGTCGGGCATCTTGGACACAACCATGAGCACAGCAGACGAGACAGCTATTGTGGCAAGCACGATGATGTTGATGCCGCGGACAAAGTTGAGGGCGAGGAAGCCCCAGCCCTTGCTCTTGAATCCAAACATCTTGTCGTCGGTAACGGGTTGTCGTGAATTGTTTCTAGGCTTACGTCTCTGTATGTGGCTGTCAGCAATGCTGGGCCTCCCACCATGTGCCCAAGATGATCGACTCACGGATTCAACTGCCTGCAGTACGCCGAAAGATGGGCGGTGTGTATATGCTTTTTGTCTTTTTCGTTGATATTGGTGAGGATCTGGCCAGCAGGTCTGTCAAGGAACTCGCAGAAGAGAATGTGGTAAAAGCGTGGGTCAAGATCTAGAGAGTGTCGAAAAGTGGGATGAACTGGAGAAGGGCAGGGGACAGTCAGGGAAGATTTGCCTGGTCTGCTTTATAGGCCCTGAGTAGCAAAGACTGTGAGTGAGGACTAGTATTATTCACGCCCTTCAAGGACAATGAGGTCGGTGGATCAAAGCGATGGAGAATGGGTGAGCGTACCGGCGGGCGAGCCCAGATCTTTAAAGCAAAAGGGAAGGATCACCATTGTCCCATAGGGCAGAACAATGAGATAAATGAAGGGCAAGGAGAATGCGTAGGGTCCCGCCCAGAGTTCCTCTGCGGTTGTTTCGCATTGACCATATGTTTCCTCGAGCGCTGGCCAATCGATTCACGGCGTCGAGAACAATCTCGAGCCCGACGAAGCCCGACTGCCCATGTCGACTGAGCAAGGGCAGCGTCAAGCGACGAGCAGGCTAGAACGCGCGATTCTGGGGTGTTTCTGCTTCTCCATGGTATAACGGACGCGTGCCTGCAGCTCTTTTGCCATCACGGGCATGGCGTCCCTGGCCGCAACCTGACACTTAGCAGCCGGGGTTTGTGGATTTTCACGACCCAGGCAAGATCGCATGAGAGGACAGGAATAACCTTGTCCTGGCGCGAACGACTGCGTCCAATGGTTGAAGGACAAACCACACTCGGGCCAAGCCGTCGTCTCCTGGTCCCTGGAAGGATACAACAGGCGGCATTTCGAGATTCGTTGTCGTCGGTATATTGATTGGCTGTCGAATCAATAGGCGCCGTTTCAGCATCTTTAGCCAGTTGCCACTCCCCACACATCCTTCAACAGGGCGACAAAAGTCGGCCTGTCTGCTGCTACATGCCTCAGGCCGTGGTCGAGAATTCTAGCATTGGCCAGGGAAACTGGGACAACGTGCCTCCAGTGTCTGAGTATTTTTGGTTCTATCATTAAATGAGACGCGGTTGTGATCGTAAATCCATACCCCACCTACGATCAAACTAGTCTAAACATTTGCTTAGAGTTGCCAGCGGACAGAACCCTGTCGCCGATGAGCAACCCTCCCCTCCTGAGTGCAGGCTCCTTGTAAGTTCATTTAATGCGAGCCCGATGATCGTGAATGCAAATCAAAGGCCTTCTCGAACCACCAGGAAAGATGTTCAAACACCATACTGCTAGAGTCGCGCTCAGAAAACCGGTCGCATCTGCTTGGCGACTGTATCAAAGGCCCCCTGGGCATTGCTTCCTGCTAATATGGACGTCACACACGAAATGCTTTTCAGTCGCAGATATGTAGGTAATATCTAACATCCGAGGAAAGGCCAACAAGCGCGCAGCCAACAGTTACCTTCTAGCTCCAGGCTCTGAGACCGAAGCGTAACGTGAGCTGTCGGTTCCGAGCATGTTCGGTTTCCGTGTAAGTGAGAAGCAGCCATTCAGCCCCCGGGGCCGCATACTTCACCAGCCATGGATACTCGAGGAGATCTTACTGGATACATACTGTCATCGCCGAAATAAAATACAGCGCGGTAATACAATAGGCTGGCGGTTCATGAGACTCTCTTCGGAATCCTCCAAGAGACTGTGCTTATCCTAGGGCATGTAAATAGCAGCATCCTGAGCAAATTCCACCAGCGGTCTCGACCACAGCGGCCGTCCCACCTGTCCGCGTCTAAGTCGGCGGCAAATTGATTGGTCCTGGGCGCCCCGGAACCTACCTAATCCACTAAGCTTTCGCTGGGGCGGTGCTGGCACGTTCCCGAGAACCCTATGGGCCTCGTCGCCCGACGGCGGGATAATTTCTCACCAAGACCCCCTTGGAGGACTCCCCGCGACCAACCAAGCCTTCAGCCCAGCATAAATTGCGAAACAGCAGTCGCATCGCCCGCCGGCGCACCGATCCGCTTTTGCTTCCCGTAGAAGACAACATCCTCGCTCGCCTATTCCACACAAGCGCTTTCCATTCCCGGCTTCTGTTTCCTTTCCCTAATCAAAGATGGCCCGCGGCAACCAGCGCGACAAGGCGCGTGAGAAGAACCTCAAGGCTGCTGCTGCTGTGGTAAGTGGGTTGGAAATAAGCGCCTCCCCAGGAGAGGTGGACGCGCTTCCCCCCGGCAGCGTCGTCCTCTCCCTCGTGGGAAGAGGGAACTTGTTTCGCTGGCGACGCTTCGACAAAATCGGGATGGTATCGTATGCTGCTTTGGAAGAGTCAACTGACCAGACGATTACGTGACCGCAGAAATCCAAGAACACGAAGAGCGGCTCCGAGATGCAGCGCGACAAGGAGAGCGTGGCTGCCATCATGAAGGCGAAGCAGGCTGCTGGTGAGCAACGCCCCCCCTCCTCCTCCTCCGCCAAGAAAACCCCCGATATTGCCTGAAAGACTTTCGCAAGGGATCAAAGTGGGACTAACGAACGACTTGTGTTGCAGCCGATGCGAAGAAGGCAGCCGAGGCCGCGGGGAAGAAATAATACGGTCCGACACAGCCATGCCTCGCCGCTGGTGGATACGATATCACGATACATGGGGGCACGATCTTAATAGCGAAGAGCAGGGGAAGCATTGTTACTGGCGTCTAGGTAGACCTTTCTGATCACCGACTTCTCTCTCAAGAAATTTGAGCTCGGTTTCCCCCCTTGGCCCTCGTCGGCCCTGTACTGTCCGTCTCCATTCTTGCGCCCTCTTCACCTGCCCAGTGCCTTGCGGAGCTTGCTGGAGAGTAGGTGTGCCGTGGCTCCTCCCAAGCGCTGAGACTCGAGTATTCCGGAGGCATGTCCCTATGGCGGTTGCGAGTAAAAGGAGTCTTGGCTTCTTCTGGCAACCTGACATCACCTGTAGACAAGCACCGGACCGACTACGAATCGTCATGGACGTAGTGAGGAATTTACCTTTACCTGCCGGCACGGAATCACGGCGGCCATTGTAAGTATAGTAGTCTCTAATTCGAAGTAGACCTGTCACTTTCCACGTGTATGAGACAGACATTATCATGGGCGAAATCATTCCATATAACCCGCACGGAGGTCTACTCAAGAACTTGTACCAGTGAGATATCACCTTGGAATTGTCCATCCTTCGTGTTGTTGCATGTATGTACACTTCTTTCCGGTGGTGCATAGGGATACCTCTCATGCGGAACCCCTTGACTTCTCTAGATAGTAAGGAGTAAAAGAGACTGTTGGTTGGGCGAGGGCAGCTGCCACCACCATGTCTTTGCCCGGACAGACGTCTACGGCATATTTTGATTCCTGGTAGCGCAGTCGAGTGGTCTGCCGCTACTCAGGAGAAGAACCATTCGTCGTCATGAGGAGCCACTTTTCCATTTGATGGATCACCTTAGTTGACATTTAATAGTAATAGGTAGGTGAACTGGATGCTACACAGCAGAGATAAGGCGAGATTTTTGGTATTTCAGGTTGTCATTTTCATGGCCTATTAAGTCTGCGGTTCCCTCCTAGCCAACCCGAAGGAAAATATTGGGGGTTTTAAAAAAAGAAGACAAGAAAAAACAAGTTCTCATACGATCCAGTCATATATACCTCTCTCCGCTCAGGGGCACCGCCTCTCCGCGGGCGGGCGAGAGAAGGGAGTCTTCTATGCAAACCCTCCGAGGCACGCGACCTCGGAACCTCCCCCTTTTTCCCCAGATGAATAAAGTATGAAGGTCTCTTGAGTCTACAACGTGCCCGAAAAAACTAGAACACCAGGTATCTTTGCAACATCCCTCGTAATATCTCCCATGCGAACTCGCCAACCCCTCAGAATAGTGTTGGGTGTACGGAGAGGAGGTGCTTATGCCTCGACCATGCTGGCGGGGAGAGCACCAGGGATGCCGCCGAAGGCGCCGAGACCCTGGGCCTGGACAGCCGGGAAGGCACCAGCTCCGCAGGAGACGGCACACACGCACTGGCCGGCGCCGGGAGTCAAGGTGCCCATGCCCTGCTGGATGGTGCCGGCGCCTGCCGCGGGGGCGGCGGAGCTACCAGCAGCAGGAGCGGCAGCCGGGGGAGCAGGGGCAGCAGCGGTTCCATTGCCAGTGATGGCGCTGCCGGTGCCAGTACCCTTCTGGGCGATGGCCATAGCCTGGAACATGGCCTGCGTCTTCTCGGCGGTGGGGTTGATGGACAGAGTCATTCCCTTACCGCAGTGTCCAGCCTGCTTGCAGTAGAACCCTACGAGGTCTGGTCAGAAAAGACGGGCTCTTTAGAGAGTGGTGGCTCTGTAAACTTACACAATGGCTCAGTGGTCATGACTTGCATGGCGACCTGCGGGGCGGGGTTGACGGTGTTGTTGACGTTGGGCTGGAAGCCAGAGTCCATGCCTCCCGCCAGAGGATCACAGGGAGTAGCGAAGGCAGACTGCGTGGCGGTGTGGTTGTTGCTCATGAACGTGAAAACAACCATGTCACCGACAGCGGCCTTGACCTCAGCAGGGGTGAAGGCGAGACCACCTGGGCCACCGACGACAACCTGATTTGTAAGTTAGCTCAAGACCCATTTCACGAGAGTTGTGTTATTAGTTCAGGGGGCGTACCGAGTGTGTTGCTCCAGTTCCAGCTACAACACTGGTTGCACCGGCGGGGACAGTTGCGCTTCCCACAGTCGTCTGAACCGCACCAGCTGTTACGGTTTGTGTTACGGTAACCTGCTGGGCGATGGTGGTTGTGGCGGCGTTGTTACCCGGGTTGGCCCAGATGATGATGACTTGAGTCGATGCAGCCTGTACGATGGCGGGCACTGCGACGATCTGGCCATTGTTGTTGTTGTTGTTGTTCCTGTTGCCGCGGCTCTCACCCTCCCTCTGGCTGGTGTTATCCTTGCCGCCCTCTCGCTTCGCCGGGTAGACATTGTGGACGGACTTGGCCAGGGCCAGGGGCGCGATCGCCAATGCTAGAGCTGCCGAGAACTTCATGATGGGCTGGTATTTCAAGTATTAAGGTGAAAGATTGACCGTTGTAGTATAGCCGGGTCGTAAGATCTTCTCCTCCTTCTCTCTTCTGGTATAGTCGTTTGCCTGAAAGACCGTAATGAACTGGCTCGATGAGAAACTTGCAATAAGGGCGAGTGCCTGCTCGTGATGGAATGGAATGAACGAGTACTGGAGATAGAAGAGAAAAGAGCGAACAAACACACACGCGGATAGCACGTCTGAAGAATAAGAGACGAAAGAAACAACCTACCGTCGGGGGGCCTCGAGGGGGCTTTCTATCGCTTATATCGAGCATTGAAGATCGATGCCGAGCGTCACAGCCATGGTCCTCACATCCTGGGCCAGGAGCCGGTCTCGAAACAGGAACAAAATGTCTGGGCAGGGCCAAGGGTTCTCAGCTCGGTGTTGTCACCGTTCCGTAGAGGCAGCATGCAGCACGCCGCGGTACGCGCAACATGGCTTTGCCATCGCGGGTCAGCGGTACCCCCAAAAATGAGATGGAATGGCAAGCCGGCATGGGATGGATGTGCGGCTCTGGGAGCTAGGCGTGGTTGGATCAGGGGGTGGATGTGACAGAGCTGTCTCGGGTCGTGTTTTGACCCCTCGCTAAATTCGACCTGTGCGGTCATAGCACATACACACTCTCTCTCACACCCGCAAGACCCGGCGAACTCAGAGCTCGTCCCGTCGCGAAGAATCCAGAGGCAAAAATCCTTCAAGAAGTTGAGATCTCGTGGTTATTTCGTGCAGATGGAACTGATGAGAGAAAGTCCGTCTCTGCTGGCGTGTATCGGCGGGATCTTCACCGTTGGGACTATTCGACGTTGCAAGCGAGTAGCGCGGACCCTGGCACCTTCGATGGGGTACGCCAATTAGCTGCCGTTGCATTAAGCTTAAGCATGCCTTGGGCGCTAGCCCCAGTCTGACGCAGGTGGGGACCCGGACCAAGATCTATCCAGCTCTCCCAGAACGTCTTCAGCCCCAACCCATGGATAAGTCGGCATTCTACCACTTGGTCAAAGCCGGGGGGCGGAGGGCGCTGGGCAGAAGGGCTGCAGCTCCCTTCCGCACTACCGTCAGCATCAGGCCATGTTTCGCTGCTCATGCACTGAAGAAACAAACCCAGGATCCTGTGAGCAGGGGTTCTTGTCGCCTCTTGGCATCAGAATTGCGGAGGACGTCCCAATTCTCTCTACGCCATCTCATGTTCCCCAAGTATTTGGCTGTCTCGTCTCATCCACTCCGCCACACTGCTTTGTGCCTGTACGGGACCAACTCTGTTGCAGACAAGCTCTTGTCTAGTCGTTTAAGAATGCAGTTAGTCCTTGCTGGCATGGGTCCCAAGCCAGATGAACCCATGCCAAGTCAGAGCTGCCTTCCATTCCGTGGGCATGGGCTCCAGCTTTGCTGTGGATTCCCTTGGGTGATACTGTTGTTTTCGACGACTCCACACACAATGGCATCCAAGGTTCAACTTAAGCTTGTATCATTATTGCTACAGCACGTGAAGCAACTGGGAGGCCTCTTGGGTTGGCATGTCACCTGAGACCAGAGTCAATTCCAAATGCCTATAGAGCAACTGTTGTGAGCCATGCTTGGTACCAGCTGCCAAGTGCCGCTGTGTGTTTCCCCAATTTTTGACGGCCCAAAGGACGAGCACAGACACTGTTGATTTCTTAGAAAGCTCTTGCTTCGGAGCTGCAGAGCTTAACACATATAGACAGATAGACAGCTGTCAGTATTGGGTCCTTAGGCGCTAGGAACGAAATCGGATTAATTGCTCTGGGATGCTGCTGGGGAGTTCACCGTTGCGACCAACGTCCCATAGAATTATCAGACGAATACTACGCTTCCAATAGGGTTGAGGCCCGTTGTGGCGTAATCGATGGTCTATAGTACTTCTGATTAGTCCCAAGAGCTGCTCCCAAGCTCTGTGATACATGGGTTGTTGCAACCCAGACCATTAGGCGTTGGGTGCAGCGCCAGTTTGGAACACGAGCTGTTACAGATTTCGGCATCTTCGCAGATCCGACCACCAAAGACGCCACCTCGGCGCTGTCCCTCAAAGGGGATCGGTTGGCATGCTTCATGAAAGTCATTGGTCGAACTCTATTGCTGTTGTGCCTGTTGGCCCTCGTAGTAACCCGTGTAGTACCCTGCATAGTACCAAGACATCAAGAGCTTCTTGAGGCTCTCATCACGCACTAACCCCTGGTCAGCCGGGATCCCACATGGTCACGAGCCCCCATGCTGTTTCCTCCTGCAATTTACATAGGGCCAGAGCATCTGAATGGAACGTACCTGAACCGAGCAAAGGTGCTGGGATCCCGGCGGGTATCTGCGCTGACGAGTGGCTCCGCAAACCGTCCGGGTTTCCACCCTCGTCAATCCCGTCCTGGCGTTTGGTGAGCGACTTGCGGAATGTTTAGGCCAAGCTTTCTGATCTCCTAAGATCAGCAAGGGATATTCAACTTACCATTTCGGACTCAGCTTCGTCCTGCTTGGCGGGGGCGGTTGGGTGTTCCTCGTTCTTGGCATCCGAACCATGGCCAGCCCTGTGGTGATCCCTGGTGTAAGCATCTGTGGTTCCCGAGAAAGGCGGTTCAGGCGGATGAATAGAGTGTCACTGACTTGTTCTGCTGAAGAATATCGTCAACGTTCCCGCCCTTGGAATGTATGCTGTGGTATTTCTAACGATGGTGTTAGCGCGGCAAGATATCGATCGGGGGCGGGCCACCAAGTCACTGCTGACCTTATATTCCTCCAACGCGTCGTTCCAAGAGTTTACCAAGGAGCTATCGTCCCAGATCTCTTCATGAGTAAGATTCTCTTGCTTGGTTGCCATCTTGAATCGGTTTCGTGTTGCTGAAGCTTGAGCACGACCTCAGGACTTGTAATAGCTACAGGCAGCTGTTTGCAAGTCGCTGAAACACAAGATCAAAAAGAAGCTTGGCAGGGCGGGGGGACTGGAAGACGAAGGGTCATACAACGGCGCTTGGTAGAAGGAAATGTGCCCAGTAAGACTTGGACAGTTCGTGAACAGTCAACGGAGCGCCGCAAGTGTTGTAAGTGAGACTATTCCAGGTCGATGGGTGCGCGGCGTCCACTGGGGTCCAAGTTGAATAGGTTCGGAGCCTAGTTAGCGCGCAGCACCAATCAACTGCGAACCTCCTGTGGTATATTGGGTACCTCTGATGCACTGCACCCAGCTAATCCGGAGCAATGAGCACCAAGTCATGGAATATTTAAGCAGACATAGGGTTATGGTCGCAGTAAGTGTAGCACAAGTAGAACAAACATGAGTTTGAACTCTGGCCTGCGCTTGTAGACAGAATCCAATGCAGGTTCACTGAGCCAGACCCTGTGGAACTGGCTGTGATAGTGGGGCAGATACACCGAGGGCGGTGAATATTTTCCCTGCACTCGGCGGCAGAATTTTTTATTTCCCCCAAAAGTCTAGAAGCGATAAGCGACAAGCATTGCACGAGTTAGCAGAACGGAGGTTTGGAATTGGACTTCACAAAACACGCAAAATGGCTCCTGAATTACGGACAAGGAAGGCTTCGGGTATGTGTTCCATCTCCTGCTCCGAATCAATGTCAATGGCTAACACATCCTCAGCCTCTACCCAGAAGCCCACGGCCAAACCCAAGGAAACCGGAGCAGCCAAGCGCAAAGCCGCCGATGAAGCCAGCCCGATAGCTCCCAAGAAGACCAAGTCCGTGAAGCCTGAAGTGGTCTCCAAGAAGACCTCCAAGAAGTCCAAGCCAGTCCCCGAAGTAATTGAGACTGCGCCGGCGGCCGCATCGGACGACGAGCACGCCTTCTCTGACGAAGATGAGGACCAAGCTCTAGCGCTTGCAGGCGTTTCCGACAGCGAGGACGACGAGGCAGAGGTCAAAGACGGCGCCGCTTTCAAGGAGGGCCAGGACGTCGGAAAGGCACCCACGCCATCGAAGGAGGTTGAGAAGGCCGCAAAGGACGGCAAGGGCAGCAAGGACGGTTCGGCTGTCGTGTACATCGGCCGCATTCCCCACGGATTCTACGAACACGAGATGAAGTCATACTTCTCCCAGTTTGGTGACATTACGAGGCTTCGGTAGGTTAATCCTGTCGAATATGATGCGGCTTGGATGGGCCATGCTAATCAGCCATAGCCTCTCGCGCAACAAGAGGACAGGCGCCAGCAAGCACTTTGCTTTCGTCGAGTTCTCAGACGAGAGCACAGCCGAGATCGTCTCGAAGACGATGAACAACGTAGGTCGCCGCCTGCCCACCCTGTTTCCTTTGTAGTACGAGTCACCCAGACCAGGACGGATGCAGAGTCATGCTCCGTTCACGCTCATGGGGGGAGTTGTGCATACTATTGAGTAGGGATGAAGGACAACCTGCTGACGTGATGCAGTATCTTCTGTTCGGCCACCTGCTTAAGTGTAGGCTCGTACCAAAGGCTCAAGTCCACGAGAGTCTATTCAAGGGTGCCAACAAGAGATATAAGGCCATCCCCCACAATAAGATTGCCGGTAAGCAGTACCCTGTGGGCAACTTTGGGTGTATATCCCGGCCTACCACACCTCGCTGTGCACTTAAAGAGTCCCAAACTACCCAACTACATTGAAGGTCAAGAGGGCTGACACGTTCTGCAGGCTACAACCTCAAGAAGCCGCTGTCAGAGGACAAGTGGGCAGCAAAGATCGAGAAGGAGAACGAGAAGCGGGCCAAGAAAGCCGAGAAGTTGAAGGCGTTGGGCTACGAGTTCGAGGCGCCAGAGCTGGCGACAGCAATTGCACCCAAGGAAGTCGAGGCTCTGGAGGGAGAGGAGAAAGATGCGCCTAAAGCCATCGAAGCAGCGCCCGAGGCCTCGGAGCCAGAAGAGGATTTGGCAGTGAAGAAGCCGGCAAAGGCCAGCAAACAGGACGGGGCCAAGGCAGCGAAGAAGGCCAAAAAGCCCAAGAAGGCGAAGGCGTGAGCAGCATCGTGTCATCTCTGTATCTCTTAGAAACTTCATAATTTTCGGTACATGACATTGATGATTGGGCGCACGGAGTCTTGTCCATTCATTCGTTTGTTCATAAATGATTGCATGGTGCGTTCATCCCGCAGTATAAATATTTTTAACACCTGTATCGATAGCAGGCATGTTTGCGCATAGCGAACCCATCGCACCCATGGACAAAAAGTCGGGCAGCGGCAGGATTATAAAAGGCAATGATCAGTCTACTTCAGCCAGTTTGTATGAATCAGCCAGAGGAGTGCACGTGGTTGTGCGTGGCAGCTTCGAAGAATTTTTGCCAGCGAAGGGGAAATATGTGAAGAAGAAAGGGAAGAAAATTTAGAACAGAATCCGATTTCGCGATGCTCTGTAGGCGAGGCACCGGGACATCCACACAGCAGGCTCGGCCTATCATATGATCCGCAACAGTGACTAAGTCTGGTACCTAAGTAGGCTGGTAGGTACCGCAGTTCCAAGGGCACTTATTTTAGCCTGGCCTAGGCGGTGGTCGTACAGCATGGATGTAAGTGCAACGTTGGTAAACTCCCAAACTCCCCGTTCAGATGCTGCTCTTCAGTCTCGACATTAGGTGCTTGGACCTATGGGGATCGGCGGATCGTCGAAATCACATGAGGGAGATGGCATGACACTGGTCATCGGTTATGGAACATCTTTGGACAAAACTTCCTGTGAGCTAGGCTGCTTGTCACTGGCCTCGGCTCGCCACGAAGTAGTACACCGTGGTGGTACGAAGACGACCTCAGCATACAGCGGGGGGTCTGGCTCGCTGATAGGCCCGTTAGCGCAGCCCACCCACTGGAGGCGTTGCAACGCCAGCTCGCCCAGCGCCCAGCGCCAGCTGCACGGTACCCGTACCTCGACTCGCTAACGTGGGAATCCGTATTCCGCAGTAGAGGCTTACGTGTGGCTTTCCCGGGGGGTTGTGCACTGGTTGACGTTGACAGAATCACCGCAACGACACTCGCTCGCTCCTCTCTGGTGTTGCCGACTGGAGGTCTCGTCCCGACCCAATGCCGCTGATACAACCATTGACGCTTGACACTCGACGATAATGACGCCCCAGGACTCCGGTCAGCAGAACAACGCTGGTCAGTGCAAGGCCCCCAGCCCAGTAGACTGCAAAACCACAAATCCCAGAAGCTGACCCTGTCGCCCGTCCCTGTAGCCTCCAAGAAGAAGAACAATAAGAAGAAGAAGAGTGCGAACAAGCCAAAGCCCGCCGAAGATGAGCCCAAGAGCGTAGATACCACCCAGAATGGCGACGACGACGATGGGGATCAGTCGGACAGCCCCGACTCGCCCACAGTGGTAAGAACCTCCCCGGATGCATATACGACACGCCGGGGCTAGACTCTGGTACTTTTGGGGACACGGACCTGACAGTGACGCAGAATGCGCCCTCGAATGGCCATGCTGCACCACCAACAGCCAACGGGCACCCTGCCGAGAACGCAACCAAGACAGCCTCCTCTCCCGCAAAAGAGGGCCCCAGGCCAGCCTCCTCGGACAGCCCAGACACGAGCGCAAGGTTAGAGGCCATGTCGCAGGAGCGGGAAGCCCTCCGCGCCGAGGTCGAGCAGCTTCGCAAGCAGCTAGAGACGATACAAGGGACGCACAGCAATGAGACGTCGCAACTGAGGTCCGACCTCGAGAAGAGCGAGGAGGCGAGGGAGCAGGCCGAGGGGCAGTACGAGACCCTCAAGGGCCGAGTCGAGAAGATCAAGGAAACGCTGCAGAGCCGGTTGGCACGGGATAGGGAAGAACTAGAGGAGGCCAACAAGCGCGTCGAGGAGCTCGAGTCCCAGAACGAAGAGCTGCAAGGCGGCACCCAACGCTACCAAGACGAGATCGATGGGTTGAAGACGGAGCTACAGGATGCCACGCGCGAACTATCCAGTCTCAGGAGTCGGAGCAACCTCACACAGCACAACTCCCTCAAGGAGAAGGAGGACATGCAACGGCAGCTCCAGCACCTAAGAGAGGAGGCGGAGGCTGCCAAGGACGCCATGGGCGACTGGGAGGTCCTGGCCATGGAGGAGCGGTCCGTTCGTGAAACACTGGCCGAGAAGACAGCGGCGCTCGAGGAGCAAGTATCGTCCTTGAGGGACAGCTACGAGCGGGCCGCGTCGGAACGAGACACGCAGTCCCAGGCCGTGGACAGCCTGCAACGCGCGCTGCAGGAGATCCAGGACGCGCGGAAGAAGGAGCTGCGCGAGATGGTAGAGGCCTCGGAGGAGCAGCTCCAGGCCCTGAAGAAGCTCGTCAAGGACGCCGACACCCGGGCTTCCGAGGCCGAGACGCTGAAGGACTCGCTGCAGAAGGAGCTGGAGCGGACGACGCCCTTCGAGAAGGAGGTCAAGGAGAAGAACCTCCTGATCGGTAAGCTGCGGCACGAGGCTATTGTCCTCAACGATCATCTCACCAAGGCGCTGCGGTACTTGAAAAAGACCAAACCCGAGGACAGTATTGACCGGTAAGTTATCGTCCCCTTCTCACGTTCCTTGTCAATGGACTATGTCTGCATCGATACTGACCGGGAGCCCCGACAGGCAAATCGTCACCAACCACTTCCTGCAGTTCCTGGCACTGGACCGGTCGGACCCCAAGAAGTTCCAGATCCTGCAGGTCATCGCGGGCCTGCTCAACTGGACCGAGGAGCAGCGCGAGCAGGCCGGGCTGGCGCGCCCCGGCACCTCGAGCAACAGCCTGCGCCTGCCCACGTCGCCCTTCCACCGCACCCCGAGCACGCCCTCGCTCACCACCGAGTTCTTCGCCGACACGGCCCCCGCCTCGGCCACCAAGGAGTCCCTCGCCGACCTGTGGGCCGGCTTCCTCGAGCGCAGCGCCGAGGAGGGCAAGGACGCCGCCTCCCGCAAGGGCAGCGTCTCCAGCATCGCCACGCGGCCCGACACGCGGGGCGGTTCGGGCCCGGGTCAGGGCCCGTAGTTGACATTTCTCTGCCGATGCACTCACGCCGTGCGGGGAAAGGAGAAGAAGAGGTCGAGCGGTGCAGTGATTCTCTTTGTATGTATTGTGTACCAGACCACCGGCACCATGCCGTGTCAGCCAAGAGGGAGAGGGAAAGGGGCTCACGCAAGAAGCCGAGAGCGCCAAAGCGCTCCCTCCTACGCTCCGTGAGACAGGACAGGGGGGAAGGCGAAAGGCGAAAGGCAAAGAAAGGAAAAAGACGACGAACTGCATAGTTACGAAGCACCATCATCATATCATCAATACCTACCTAGACCTTCTTCTGCGCTAGGCACTATTAAATTTTTTTTTCTTCCGAGTTCCGAACGGGCGGGAATCCCTGAGAAAGAGAAAAGAAATATCCAAGATTATACCGTATGCACCTGTGGCATTTTCTCCGTCTCCTTGCTGTGTATGGATATGTCTATCTGCCTTGTGGCCCCTGAACGACAACGGCACCCCATCCTCGCCAACGTAAGCCATCCATCGTCCCCAGTGCAGACGCCGTGCGTGGGTGGACTCTTGATCATGCTACTTCTCCTTTTCTCCGTCCTTTGTCGTATCACCGTCTTGGTAGGTGTGGTTCGATGCGTGTTTATGTGTCTTCAGCGTGTGGTGCCCGAAGAGAGATGCGAGGACACCGCAGACGACAGGCATTAGGATGTCGTCTTGGAATTTCACCAAGCGGAGGGAAATGCGCTGTTCAGGATGGTGAGATGGGTATATGCGCTACAGAAACCTTGACCAAGCAGCAGGCCAGGTGCCGGGAGAGTAGAGCCTCCCGATGCCCGTGTTCGTATAGGGCAGCTTCGTGACAGCTATACAATTGAAGACAAGAGTGGTCGTACCATGTGTACAGTTTTTAAGTTGTTGTTTTTTTCAGTATCCCCAGCTGGCCGGCCCCGTTCCAAGATGCTTCTTTGTTATATACAGTACAGATATTGGTACATATTCCTCTCTGCAGACGTCTATCCCACCGGTTCCCCTCCCGTTTTACCCCTGTTCTAACTTTCGCCCCTACGACGAAGGTGGCGGGGGAGCATCCGTCGTCTCTATCGTTGCCGACGTCGGTGGTACCGCAGCCGCAGGCGCATCGTCGCTGAGGCCGGCGGCGTTGAGGGTCCTCTCGCGGTTGCGGGCAATGACCTTGCCGATCTCCTCGAGCATGTCGACCGACAGCCTGGGCTTGCCCTTCTTCTTCTTGCGGTCGCGCTCGGCGCGGTGGAAGTCCTGCAGCGGGGTGCGCATCGAGTCCATGAGGCGGGCGCGGTCCTTGTCGGCCTGGACGGCGGCCTCGCGGGCGGCGATGTAGTCGGGCTCGTGGCGGGTGCGGAAGCGCGAGTACTTGTTGCGCAGCTCGTCGATGACGTCCTCGGGCATGGGCGGGCGCAGCAGCGTCGGCACAAAGGTGCGCTCCTCGACGTCGATGCGCAGCGTGTCGACCTTGTGGTCCGTCGCCTCCTTGGCGGGCTTGGACGGCCACGGGATGGTGACGTTGAGCCCCGGCACCAGGCGCGACCACCGCACCTGGCCCGAGATCCGGTCGTGGAAGAAGCCCGAGTGCCTCAGCTGGTTGATGATGACGTCCTTGGTCTCGCCCGTGTTGGGGTCGCGGATCGGGTGGACGAGGCGGACGGCCGAGATGGGGATGGGCAGCTCGATGGCGATGCCCGGTGGCTTATCCTTGCCGACGAACTGGACCGGCATTCTGATATTGGACTGGAGAGCGGCGTCAGTAAGGGTTCATCATAAAGTACGACAGGAAGAGCACTCGAGAACTCGAGAGTGATGTGTAAACATATATACATATGGATATACACTCATATATGTATATATTATATCTGGCTTACCTTGTTCAGCCCACCCACGATGACCTCCATGGTCTGCTTCTGGACATCGGTGATCTTGCCGATCCTGCCCTTGTCGGGCCCCTCGAGGAGCACGACGCGGTCGCCGACGGTGATGTTGAGGTTCGTGGCGCCGCCCAGCCAGGCGCACCGGGCCTCCTTCTGGTGGTCTCGCAGCGAGGCGGCGATCTGGTAACGGGCCTCGGAGATGGCGCCGTGGGTAGGGCCGTACTGGCCGATGTTTGCGTTGGGGGCGTTGGGACCCAGGTGCCAGTCGTCGCGGATGGCCTGCTTGGCGCGGCCAAAGTCCTGGGCCAGCTCGCTGCGCTGGTACTTGACCTCGTCGACCTCGGCGAAGCGGTTCTTGTTGAAGGCCTGCCTGTCCCGGGCCGTCTTGCGCTTGGCGGCGACGCGCTCGGCCGTGGCCACGCGCTTGAGGATCTTCTGCATCGTGACGGAGCGGAGGTGACGCAGAGACCGGGCCCGTCGGGATGTGCGTGGGTGCGAGGTTGAGGAGAGGGCGTCGTTGGCGGAGGGGGCTCAATGGCTCATCGTACGGGGTCTCTGTCTCTGTCTCTCTCCCTCGTGCGAGCTTGCTCTCCTGGGACTATCCACCCAAAATTTTGGGAGCTCGGCCACGGGCCAGGGTGGACGGCGCCGCACCGGATCTGGTCGCATGTCGGAAAATCTATGCACCGCTATTGGCTGCCGCACTGGAACCTGCAGCAGCCAAACGGCGCTCCTGACTGGCCAGCACAGAGACAGTGCTACTGTACAGTAACTTGGGAGCTGGTTGTCCACGTCGATCGCCTGCGATGATGAGGAGTCAAAGGTGTCAATTCTTTACATGATGTCCACAAGAGCAATGTCCAGGTTTCTGTGATGCTTCCCTTGATGGTGCAAGCTGCGTGCTGGTTGCTCAAGACCAACCCGCGTAGGACTGCAGTGCAGTGCCGCCAGCTCACCTCGTACTTTCTAGAAACTGCACAACATAATTCTAGGTATGTAGTCGCTGCTACCTGTGATCATCAACTTCATCAGTCTTCTGGTGCTGGTTCCAAAATAAACGAGTATCATAACATCCAAAGGCATGTAATATGGCACATCGGGCCTCATACACAGTCACTATTTCAACGGGAGGTATGAAAGTCAAGAGAATTGTCGAGGCCTGGGTATGGTTGTGATGTGCACCCAGCCCATTCTTCTCGGCCGGCTCTGGGGTTTCCGGCATTGCCGCTGCACCCTGCCCGTGTGTGCTATCACGCAATCGGAATAAAGCCCGTTTGATGGCGTGTATTTGAGTTCGCCGAGTTGCTCATGCCGCGTGTTGAATCTCATCGCAGATCGCAGGTTCATTCGACAGGCGGTTGTCCGACTGACCTCCAGCTGGCGGCTTTGCTCGTTAACTTCCATCGAATTAGAGCCATAACATCATACCCTATACGAATATCTCTAATAAACCCCAGCATCCTCTAATTAGTCTGCTTACCCCTCCAAATAATCTATGAAGTCCTTCTTAAGTGCTATCCAGCTAGGTAGCTACTGTCTTGTTTCACAGATATTCACTTGGCAGCAGGGGGTCACGGTCCTGGCCGAATGCCATAGGACTCTGGACCAGGAAGTTCCTTGGTTGTCGATGCTTCATAATTCCGCCGAGGCAGAGGAGCTGTCGGGCTTTCCGCTTAGCTGCTGGCTGTCAAGTGGCACGCCTTGCCTGCTAAGTCTCTAGACTTGTTTCAGAGCATGCTACTTGCAAATCCCCAGAAGGCTTCGCGGCATTGCGTGTTGTGCCCAATTCTCAAAAGTCCAATAATCTGATATCAGAGAAATGGGGAGGTTGTTAGCAAAGCAGGGGGAGGCCCTAGTTACTTGCGGAGTACCGAGTGTGGAAAGTTAGGTATGCAGATACATGGGCTTGTCTGAGCGAGCTGCAAGCTGCAGGTCGCCAACTTCGGCCGTGACCGGGTTATCGAGACCCTGCAGGTTCGTTCGCCAGTGGGCTCGGCGGGTTGACACGAAGCCAGGTACGTTGCAGTGGCTCAACCGTCAAGCTCCGCCTCCACAAGGTCGGTCTTGATATTAGACTTGTGGGTCGTCTGAAATACAGTGGACTGCCGTGAGAGACAAAGGACCAGAGGAAGATGACGGGATGACCTGATTCCTCCCCACGGCCCAGCGCGCGCCAACGGCTGTGCCACCTCTGCTCAGCTGGGCCATGCCGCGATCAGCATGAGGCTCAGGCGCACCCTGGGGCTCGGCAAGAAGTGAGTAGAAATGTGTTTGGCGAAACAAGTGTTGCAGCGGCGGTTGTCAAAGAGTGATCAATCGTGTAGTTATACCAGTGGGGAATACTTTTGTCTGTGTGTTTTCCCGTGTGCGAGCAAGTTGGTCTAATCGATCTTTCCCTTGTGGATTTGCAGCATGTACAGTACTAGACAGGTAGCCTGCAGAGAGAGGGTCTTGCTACCTGGGGTGTCCAGCCCGGCGGCCATCCCGTCAAGTCAGTGGCATCCACCATGCACAGCACCGTCGTGCTGAGGCTCGGGTTCGGGTGTCGACTGCTCCTCATGCAGCCCGGATCAATGGGCACGTGAAAGACATGTAAACTCTATACCCGCCCGTGCTCTCTGGGATTTGGCATCATGTGAATTGGAATGTCGTCCTGGCTTGGCTCCGGAGCCTCTGAAACGGCCCGGAAATGAAAATAGACATGTTCTAGGGTCGTAGGCCTACCCGTCGACAATCAGAAGGGACTGGCTCTAAAGTGCTAGTTCGCATTATTCGGGTTGCTCCATTGGTGGTGACCAGCAGCCAAAGGGCTGCGAGCTGGGACCCAAAGACCCAGGTCACTGGCAGAGAAAAGAAGCCAGGCCCCGTGTGGGTTCGGGCCATGAGTTGGGTGCTCTATTATGGTGCAGGATTGTCATGTTGAGCAGTCTCATGGAAATGGGAAACCCGGCAACGGTGAAGACATCGCTGCGTATCAATCAATATTAAACCAGTCACTATTGACAGGTGACGGTGGATGATATCACCGTAAGACGCGTGTCCGCGGTGGATCGGTCAAGATCCCGGGCGATTGGGGCAACCGGCCGACTGGCAACCTGGAATATGGGGGTTTGTCCAACCAGATGGGCACTGTGTCAGGCGGCCAGCAGTCAAGGGAAGTTGATGGCCTCAGGCTGTGTATTTAGTGTTCCGGGTCATGGTGACTGGTTGCCTCTCAGAAGGCGGCGACGGCAGTGCAGCATAGTGGAGTGTGCAGTGCAGCGCAGCGCAGAGCACTTGCATGGGTAGGTGGACGACAGTGGAGGACGGGCTAGGACAGACCAACCGGCAACGGATCCCTGGAAGGTTCGTAGGACTTTTGGGTGGGATTGTATTGATTGATTGATTGATTGATCGGTCGTTGATGAAAAGAGACGAATCGCTCTCCACCCAGTGTTTAAAGTTGGCTTGAGGAATTCGGCATGTCTTGGCCTTGTCTGCAAGCTGGCTGGTCTTGGTCTGCAGATGCTGTAGCTAGTTGCAGACAGTTCGGGATGGCCTTCTGGCTTTGTCCGCTCAGGCAAGCAAGTCGAGCCGTGAGCGGAACAGCAGATGACGATGGGCGGGTGGTTGCCGTATAGCCAGCAGCAGTCAGGTGTAGGACCTAACTAGTAACAGACCAGGCATGGGATGGATGGATGGATGGATGGATGTGAACGTGGAATGACTGCAATCGTTGCAGGACAGCAGCAGACCGCCAACCAGAGTGTGCACCTCGCTGCCTAGATGGTCGCCCACGTCGACTCTCTCTACGCGTCATCTATAGAGTACAGACGGAACGATCAGTGGAAAATTGTAGCAGTAGTTGCTGTTGTTATGTAGGTTGGCTGTTGGTGATGATGGTTTTAGTTTACCATTACCGGAACCCCCTCGCCTCTGTCTGTTGGTCAGGTACCGTAGCAACAGCGTTTGGCGCCGTCGGGCCATCAGCCCATGCGGGCCAAGGACGATGGGTGCCTCAAAGTGCTCCCCAAATATCTGGTCCGCTAAACCCCGAGAGGCACGCTAAAGGGGGGGGGCAAACCCCCTACCAACGCCCACCTGGTACCCGTTGGTCCAGCAATACAGTGCGGTTCGGTCAGTCCAGCGCCTGCTCCCTGCCTCCAGGTCCCTACCGTCCAGTGCAGAGCCCGCCGCTGCCCAGGCGGTGCTGGCTGCCCGGGTCGTTGGAGGGTGCCCGTACGGGAACCGTTAGTGCTGCTTGCTGCGGCCTCTCACGCGCGCTGTCCACTCTCCCTCTCTCCCTCGCTCTCTCTCTCTCTCTCGTCCTGGGTTTCTTTGTGCCTTTTAAGTTGGCTGGGCCGGTCCCCCGTCTCCCGTCCCCCCGTCCCCCGTCCTAGTTCGCAGTCCCAGTCCTCAGTTCCCAGTCCAACCAGCGGACCAGTTCCCAGTCGGCCCAGTCCTACTGGACTAGTCCGTCCACCCACCCAGGCCGCCCATCCATTCACACCCCCCAAATTCCCAGTCCCAGTCGACCGGCTTGCAGAAGCACAGAGCACTGACCTGGGACTGCCTGAGGTGCCCTGCTGGCTGACTGCTGGCCGGCTGGTTCTTCTTCTCCTTCTGCTGGCTGGCTGGCTGGCTGGCTGGCTGGCTCCCACCCGCCCTCCCCCCCCCCAATCCCAGTCCCCAAAGCCCAGTCCCAGTCTGTCTCTCTCCTTGTCGTCAATTAAGCTGCAGCTTCTCGACCTTGACCCGACCTTCCTCTTCTCACACTACTCCTACTCTTCATTTCCCCCATCTCAACAACCACAACCCAACGACCACAAGCCTCTACATCCCATCGGCGACCGACGAACACTTGCAGTTCATCGTCGACTTCTCTTCTGGCCCTTTCAGCCTCGCTGCAGCACCCCGACGCCCGCCTCAACACCCCCCTTAATCGCACATTTCCATCATGGCTGAGATCCGCCGCAAGTTGGTCATCGTCGGTGACGGTGCCTGTGGTAAAACCTGTTTGTTGATGTACGTCGCCCGAGCCCGAACCCCATCCCCATCCATCCCGCCTGCAAATCGTCGCCGTGCGATGCTGACCCATCCGACAGCGTCTTCTCCAAGGGCACTTTCCCCGAGGTAAGATCCATACATGTGTAGATAGCCTGTGCCTCGCTCGCTCGCTATCGGCCCCCTGCAATCCTGCCTATCTCTCTACCTCCTACCTCTGCCTGTCTGTCTGTCTGCCTGCCAGCCTGCTGTGCGCTCTGCTCCTCCGCCCGCCAAGCAACCCAGCACTCGCGTCATATCGAGACCGAACGGCGCTTCATCGTCACCGCCGGCCCTCGACGCCGTCTATATTTAACTCACCTCCCAACCGCCCAACCGCACAGCCTCATTCTCGTCGGTGCCACCCGTTCTAACCAACCGAACCAACAGGTCTACGTCCCCACCGTCTTCGAGAACTACGTCGCCGATGTCGAGGTCGATGGCAAGCACGTTGAGCTGGCCCTATGGGATACCGCTGGTCAGGAGGATTACGACCGTCTCCGCCCTCTGTCCTACCCCGACTCCCACGTTATCCTGATCTGCTTCGCCGTCGACTCCCCCGACTCGCTCGACAACGTCCAGGAGAAGGTTAGTTCCGCTCTCCTCGCGGCCCCAGGACGATAAGCCCGCTCTTTGCTGACATGATGTCCCCGAATAGTGGATCTCCGAGGTTCTGCACTTCTGCCAGGGCCTGCCCATCATCCTGGTCGGCTGCAAGAAGGATCTCCGATACGACAACAAGACCATTGAGGAGCTCCGCAAGACGAGCCAGAAGCCCGTCTCGCCCGAGGAGGTAAGTCCTACAGAGCCTCCCTTCGCGCTGCAGCCCAATACTGATGCTACCCCAGGGTGAGGAAGTCCGCAAGAAGATCGGTGCCTACAAGTACCTCGAGTGCTCCGCCAAGACGAACGAGGGTGTGCGCGAGGTGTTCGAGCACGCTACGCGCGCCGCTCTTCTGTCCCGCAGCCGCCCCGGCCGTGGCCACAAGGGCAAGTGCATGATCCTATAGACGGTCACGCAACCCCATAAACGACAAGCGACCCCGGCATGCCGTTGTAATATATCGTCATCCTTCCCAGTTCACTCACGGGCTCTTTCGTGCTTTGGTTCTCGGGTGATAACGGTGTCTCTTATGATGGCCTGGCCACATTGACGGGGAGCAAGGAGTTGTGCATCATGGTCATGGCTATTGACAAGGCTGGAGTTTGATTCGTCTGCGCTACTAAATCTCGGTAACCCCACTGCTGCCGGCGTGCTGCTTTGGATGGCTTGGCAGAAGAAACATTTCCTCGTCCCTTTTTTATTTTCCCCTTCTCTAATTACCCCGGGGGGGAAGGGCCGAGGCTTGGTAAACAATCAAGGGAAGAGGGGGGGCATTGCGGTTACGACTACACTACTACCACCCCGATGGGGGCTGGGAAGGGGACGGAGGAGCAGTAGAGCGGCTGTCTGGCGGAGGGAACCCGGGTGACAATGTTGTAGGGGAGGCATGATATTCTTGGTGAGCTGGGGCGGTGGATGTCTATGTTTGCGATGCGTATTTTGTGTGTGTGTGTCAAGACTGGCGAGCCAAGGCAAATGCTCAAGAATACGGTTATATCATAAATCTTTCTCCTTTTCAATCGTCTTTCATCTCTCCCCCTGTCTCTCTTACTTTGTTGTTTGACACGAATTACCCCCTGTGTTACTAGACCATATGGGCAAGAATTGACCGCTTAACGTTGCCCTTCCCTCGGCCTGTCTCGGTTCGTGTCATTATGCTGATCAAAGCGCGAGGCCCCTACATGTTCCTCGAGTCGGCCTTTCACCAAGCGAAGGTGACCGAAGAGTCCAATACTGATGTGTTCCACCAGTAGACGAGCTACCGTTGATATTAAAGGCCGGCCACCTCTGTTGCCAAGGCCGTCACACCAGCACCTCTACATAGATGCAGAACTAAGGAGTTGTCGTAGAGACAAGGCATGAGCGATAAGTAGGCAGTCACAGTTCGCCAGTCACGTCCACTATCGTCCCGATGCCCCCCGTCTTCCCTTCCTTGCAGGTACCCCTTTCACGATACACGATGCACCATGGAACTGAGCGCCAGTACCTCCTTGACTCGATATAGAAACGAATGTAATTGTCTGCCTCATTTGGTATCTCTCGCTACACGCCGGTTTCACCCATGCTACCCATCCCGTCCCATCACAACTAAACCAACACCACAATTCCCATCAAATGCTCCACACCCTTGCCCCTTTCACGCCTCGACCGTAATATGCTCCCCTGTGCCGATGCTAAACCTTCCCTTGCGAAGAAAACAAAAAAAGAGACAAAATCAGACAACTGCTGTAGACATGAAAGCCAAGGAGATCATCACCGCCCCCTGAGAATCCCAAACACCACCTCCATATATACCTGGCGCTTCCAACCAGAGTTTGCTGCGACGCCTCGCCTCAATATGCAAGGTTGCGGATAGCTAGTTAAGGCGAGCGTGGGCGGAAGGACAAGGTCATGTACGTAGGTAGGCAGGCAGGCAGGCAGGCAGGCAGGCAGGCAGAGCTAACCCATGGAGGGCATCTACTGGGGGCAGGTCTGCACGTATCGAAGAAAATCCACCGTCAGTACAGGGTATCCCATCTATGTGTGTGCGTCGCGAGGTAGCGCAGGAGGAAGAGGAAAACGAAAACGGAAAGCGAAGACTCACGGCACCGCACGAGCCGCACGACTTGGTCGAGCCGCTGAACGAGGCTCCGCACTTGGGGCAGGCGCTGTTGTGCATTTTGGCTGGTTGGGTTGGGTTGGGGTGGTTCGTTGGTATAGCTATATACTCTCTGTCAGTCTCGGGGACGTAGGGTGCGGGTGCGTCTTTCGGCCATAGGGGAAAAGAGGGAACGGGCAGAAAGTGGTGCTGGTGCTGTATATTGTCGTGTATGTCGAGGGACAACTTGCGGTCGGCTTGTTGTATAAGCGACCCTGCGCTGGGTCGACGAGGGGCAGAGCACCACAGGACGTGTGTGCTTTATAGGTGTACCGGTGATGTTGGAGCAGGAGGAGGCAAAGGGACCGCAGACTTCGAACTTACATGGTAAACAGGGATGGTCTCTTGGTGAGAGAGGCTCAGGAACAAAACGCGAGGTTTATCAAGATGAGGGGTTGGATAGAGAGAAAGAAAAAAGGGTCCTCCCAGTTACGGGATCGCGCAGGACCACCCCGGCGACTTTATACAGATAGGCTCGCTGAGGAGATATAATCAATCATGGGACCACCTTCGCACGTTTCCCCCCTCCCCCCTCTGTATACCAACCTACCAAAGGGCTTTCTTTGCATGCCCGCTTACAACCGCAGCCACCAGCGGGAACAGCCAGAGGAGGGGAGCGGGGTCCTTTTTCTGGGGCGGGTTCTGCGCGGGCGAGTGACAAACCCGTTTGCCATTTGTGCAGTTTATGTGTGACATCTACGGGCTTATTCTACAATAGGCGTGCGTATGTACGAAATACTTACGCCCGGGATGTACGGCGCAGTGTTAGACCACACACCCAGACGCGCTCGCCCTCGATCTATCTTATCATGCGAGCACCACCGCCCACCACCCTCGTAGCGACCCCCAAGGAGCGGGCAAATCGTGAACCTACCGTGATGCTAGGCAGTTGAGCTACCGGGTACTCCACTCCGCGCAACTCCCACGCCTCCGCGTCTCCATCTGGTCTTTTCAGTTGTTTGGGAAATGTCCGGAATCAGCATGATGTTGATAGGCTGGCTAGGCCGAGACGAAGGGGGGGGGGATTAGGTTTTCCCTTGCCTTGCCCGACTGACAGACCTCTCAGAGGACCAAGGACGAGAGCTCATATGATCACCGGGCCCCGCTGTGCGGATGTGGGATCTCTACGCAGTAGCAGGCCCAAACAGACTAATGCAGGCCTATGGGTGAGGCTGCAACGGGAGAGGGGGTGGTGGCGGATGGGCGCGGAATGGGGAGGGAGAATACGGTACAGTAGTAGAGCGTGCGCGATAAGCGATGGAGCTTGCATACTAGTTGGACAGGTGAGACCTTGACGTGATAGCCTATGCCGGGAGTCGGGTTCTCCTAGTTCTCCTAGTTCTCATACTCATGAGCTTATTGAAGATGCAGTATGTCTAGTATGACATCCTGGCCTGATGCTTTGCCAGCGACCATGAACGTCAAGTGATGAGCGTTTCAACGTTGATAGGTTTGAAGGGTATATAGACCTGCCGAATGAATATGCACGAAGGGTCCACACAGCAGGACAGGCTTGCGCATGCAGGATCACACCAGTGCTGTCGCATTGCGCAGGATAATAGCATCGATTCGATGTCTCTATGATATAAAGAGGTCTAATTACGCCCACGTCCAAGATGCTGGTTCTCTCGGGCTCGTTTCTCTATGCAAGACACCTTTTCAATAGTTTAATAGTACAATGGCGTGCCGCAGCTAGATACACTGGACGGGTTCTCCACCTCCTATTCGAACGCCTTAGTTAGCCAGAGTTTCTTCAGAAGTGTGTGGAAATGCTGCGCGACTTACCCGTGATCATCTTGCCTACAGCTTGGAACAAGGAGATGGCCATGACGGCACACCCAAAGGCCACCACGGCCCATGCGACGTACGTCTTCCAGCTCCGGGTGCTCAGCTTGATGTAGCACAACGGCGGGAGAATATAGGCCAGGGCGCAGGCGCTCGTGGCGCCGACCAGCTCGAAGACGACGCCCAGGTCGCACGTCATCAGGCTGATGACCATGGCTGAGACAACCAGGGCCGAGCTGAAGATGAGGTGAAGGTTCATGTTGAAGGGCTCGCCAGGGAACCAGTAGTTGAGCATGACCTCGCGGCAGACAAAGGCCTCAAGGGGCAGCGTCGTCAGCATGTTGAGGCCAAAGCAAAGCCGCGCGATGTTGACCATCGAATTGTCGGCCGGGAAGTTGTTCAGCACGTTGCCCTGCGTCTTGTCACCAAAGGTGAGGAAGCCCACCAGGGCCATCAGCAGACAGGCCGCCATGGATACGCCGGCACTGTAGTGCGTTACGCGGGCAAAACGGTCGATAGTCGGCGTCCTCAGAGAGCCGTATATAAGTAGGGAATTATGATGGCAAACAAAGGCTAAGGGGAGTATACATTGTCAGATCAACACGAAGCCCTTATATAGGTTATATAGGAGGGGCCTGATATTATGAACTTTACGTACCGAATGATATAACGCCAATGGCCTGGAATATTCCCCCATTGATTGTAAGCAATGGCGTGCTGAAGGAGCCCCTATCCTCCTTGGGCGCCAGCGCACCTTGCACCACCACCGTGATGACGATGATTACCATGCTGATCAGAGCCATCGTGCTGGCCTTTGCGAGCTGTTTGACGGGGCATCATCAGTCTCGACTAGTCTCTTCCACAGTCTGTGGACGAACCAGGGAGGGGGGGTTGGGGGTTAACTCACCTTTGCAATGTCCCTATATAGCGTCAAGGGATAGCTGATAGCCAGTATGAAGACGGCAATGACGACCCGCCGGTCGGCCAGCAGGCCGAGCACGGGGATGCTGCTCAGGCCGGGCCAGACGGCCTGCAGGACGTGGGGGATGCTGTCGCCGACGATGACGCCGAAGGCGACCATGCCGCCAAAGGCAAAGGCCCACTGGGCGACCGAGATGGCGACGAGCCCCGGGCGGCCGAAGCAGTGCTCGACGGTGCCCTGGAAGCTGTTGGCGCCGCTGAGCTTGCTGTTGACGACGATGAGGCGGATGGTCCAGTCGACGACGACCGTCAGCCCGACCAGCAGCACCACGCCCGCCAGCAGGCCCGCCTGCCGGAACGCGTACGGCTGGCCGATGATGCCCGCCCCGATGATGCTGTTGGCCATGTTCATGAAGGCCGACCGCAGCCCGGACTTGGGCCGCGCCCGCTCCGCCTCGGCCCAGCTGTGCACGTCGTCCTCGGCGCCCCAGGGGGTGTTGGCCAGCGCCACCGAGGGCGCCTCGATGCCCGTCAGCAGCGGCTGCCGCGACGTCCCGCCGTCGTCGCCCGAGGGGCTGTAGGGGCTGTGCAGGGGGTCGTGGTCCGCGAGCTCGATGTCGCCGTCGCCGTACGCGTACTCGTCGCTGTTGGAGCGCGAGCGCCCGTGGCCGTTGGCCGGCGGCGGGATGTTGGTGGGCTGCAGGTCGAAGCGCACCCGGTTGGGCGTTCGGGGGGTCCGCGGCGTGCCGTTGCCGCTGCCCTTGGAGAGCGCCGTGGGCGGCAGGGCCGAGTGCGCTACGGGGCCGTCATCCTCGTTGCTCCCGTCAACGTCGTGGTAGTCGTTGTCCTCGTCGTCGTCGTCGACGTCGGAGCCATGGCCGGCGGCGAGCAGGCCGTGCTCCTCTTCGTTCTGGGCCGCATTGCCGCCGCCGCTGCTCCTCTGGTTTGGGTCCTCCCTGCTGCGAGAAGAGCCCTGTGTCCTGGCCTTGGCCATTGTGTTACCGCGGTGGCATTTTGTTGGGGCAGACGGGAAGGAGGGAAGGTAGCTGGTGCGGGCGAGCCGTGGGCGCAAGAAGAGACCTGGCTGCTGACGGCTGTGCTTTGTTGGTTGGGGGCAGACAGCTCGTATATCGTCAGTGATGGTGCTGTATAAGCGATGTTGTAAGTAAGGGAACGATAGGCGTTATCGTCATGTGATAAACTCGGGGGCCCCTGTGCGCTAGAACTGCAAACTGACAACGCTACCGACCCCCTAACTTAGTAGGTAACTTACTGTAGGTTTGTACGTTCAGTACAGTACATCCACTACTTCCAAGCTTTGGGGGCCATCGGTTCCGCACGGCTTTCTGTGGACCTGATGTTAATGCTTGTGGTGTAGAGCCGCTCGACCCCTGGAACTGCGTGCCCACCAGGCCCATTGGAAGTCGTTCAGACTTCCCAAAGCAGCCAGCGTGAGAGACAGCTCCTGGTCCGCGCAATCTTACTGTGGTACGAGGTCTGCTTTTGGCATTGCCATCGCCGCTTTCGAGTCTTCAAGTCCACACCACTACAAGGATTCAGGAATGTTATTGCTGGGGGCCTATCCAGTCATTCTGTCACAGTAATCACCACAAGATGCACACAATCGAGTCTCTCGAACTGAACGTCTCTCTTCTTCCATTACAGATTGTACATCTAACGGCCTTCTGCGGCCTTGTATATTTTCATTCTGTCCCAGACATTCGCATGTTTCCGTGACCTCCGCCTGGGTATCATGTGCTGCGACAGCCTCTGTGTCGTCTTCCTGTGTATGTGACTACCATGCTGTCTCGCATGTCTTCCGTCGGTACGGAGATGGCTTCTTCTTCAAGCCAGTTCATAGCCATGCTATGCTAATTCCCTATCTAGAGGGAGCGTGCGTGACGTGATGAAATGTGGTGAGAGCATGGGCCATGCGCGAGCAATGCTACATGCTGCGGCCCGCCTCTTGTAAACAGATGAGAAAGGAGTGAAAGAGTTGCTCCCAGGCTTAAAATCATATCGCTATTGCGATGATGGAGACGATGCTCACTATCGCGAGGAGCATGCCTTGTACATGGTATCTTCCTGCTGGAGAGGCACCCGTAGATGACGCAGTGTTGGCGTTCTCGGCAGTGCCGGTCGGGTTGCTGGCCCCCGTTGTCGTGGCGTGTCCGCCAGTGAAACCCATGTTCGGTACACTGGTTGCCTTGCTGGTCGAGGTAACGGTCGTAAGCGTAGTCTTGCCGTCCGACATGACCGTCGAGACAACCGCTGTTGTCGGGGTGGTGGTAACGGCCCCTGAGCCGGCGGCTTTGGAGGCGAAGCCTTGAAAATACGTTAGCCTGAACGCGCCAGATAAGTAGGAAGTTACAAAATGCCTTACCAATTCGTGACCCGTCAATGTCAAAGACAGTGTAGACATTCTTGATGAAAGTGTCCCCAAGCAACCACGACCCAGAAACGACTTCCATGCCAAAGATGCTGCCGGTACAGCGGTTGTTGTCACCGCTTGACGCCTTCAGGTCGTTGGCGTTGATGGAGAACGACTTGCCCGAGAAAGTCAGCGCAACAGTCGCGGTCGTATCGCAGGGGAAAGTCCACGTGACGCCCCCGTCGCTGCTCTTCGAGTCCGGAATCATCTTGTACACGGCCGCCACGTCAGCGGGTGCGGCGAAGGCATACGTCGTGCCAGTATCGATGTAGGCATTCTTGCCCTTGACGCCGGCTGATTTGCCGCTCACGGTAACATCGTCCATGGGGATCGACCAGCTGACCTTGTCGGTCACCGAGGTGTAGGTGATGTCTCCGGTATATTTAGCGGGGTTGGTGGCACCAAAGGTGATCTCGCCGTCGTTGGTACCATCGGAGCTTCTCGAGAGCGAAACGGCGAACATGTTGGAACCGATCAGCTTTGCGTCCTTCAAAGCATCGTTGAAGTTGCCCGTGCTCCTCGCCAGGCCCAGAATACCGTCGAATGGGAAAGAGGAAAACTGGTCCGAGGTGACGTTGGTGAGCCCAAAGGAATACTGAACGCTCAAGCCAGCGACCTTCATGCTGTCGCTGATGATCTCGCCGCTGACCTCGCCCGAGCCATACTCGACTGAAAAGGGAGTGCCCGTGTCCTTGAATGTCTTGGAGTCCTCCGAGCCAAAGTTGTTGTGCTTCTTGCAGGCGTCGGACTTGCAACCCGAGCCCATGACCCACGTCGTACTGGCCCCCGTGTCAATAAGCATATACATTGGTGTACCCGCAGAGCCGAGGTGTGCCTGAATAAAGTACGAGTAATCTGTCCCGTCTTGGTAAACTCCCGCACTGTTACTCTGCGTCGGCGTGATCGGTTGCACGACGCTGTATGTGTTTTCCCTGCCGACCAGTGTCGCGTCTGAATGATCTGTCCGAGATGGCAGCTCCGTGCCATATTTCTTGGCCAAACCGTGGGCCATCCGGGTGACCTTGTCTGTTATGGGTTGGTCGTTCTGCTACCACTGTTAGCCAACGTCTCGGCTTGGAATCATCGTGGGTCCATACGCTGTCCTGAATTGCCTTGACCATCTTAAAAGTCACAAACCCCAAAGGCCCAACAGCATCGCGGGCCTCAACATCACGCTTCCGTGATGCGTCGACCTCAACTGGGGATTGCCCTGGCGTGGGTGGGACGACGGCTTGAATTCCAGAGATCCATAGTGCGAGCTGGCATAGAATTGCGGCTCGATGCATATTGGCGGCTCTCCCGCAAACACAATCCAACCCCAATCTTCACCCCCAACTGCAGCAGAGATGATCCCGAGTAGTAGCGCCTGCCAGGTCGTCGAACTGAGGGTATGGCCGTTGAACAGGACGTCGGAAATATCGAACTGCAGAATCGATAAGGCTGCAGCGGAGTTGTAGGCTTCGTGGAATCGCAGTCCAAGAGTTCCAGACTCCGGTCTGGATATTAGGGGTATTAGTGATTACGAAGGCCACATCTGGTGAATGTTTTCGATTAAAAAGAAAGAAGAATTCCCCTCGCCCACAAATGACCAAGGAGAACCGAAGAGAGTCGAGAGGCGAGTTGGGAACCGCCGGCGAATATATTACAAGGAATGGAATGTCTATGTTGGAGCGACGAGGTCCGCTGCAATAGTTGGACGAATTGCAAGACAAGAGGCGCCGCCGAGAGGTCCCAAGATTGCAAGAGATCGAGACACAGGAGGAATGCCGAGCGAATTGGTCCCCTTCTATGCGATATGTAATTCTCCCCAAAAGCAAAAATGCGAGATGCGGCTCTAAGGATTAAGAAAGACAGCTCCTACGAGTAGGAGCGACGTAGGTTGGTGGAGGAGAGGATGTAAGTCATGAGAGCGCAGGGCGAGTGGAGAAGAGCACCGCAGAGCAGACCCATCCGAGGTGCCCGCCCCCATGACTCTCGGCCAAGGGCCACCAGAGTCCCCTTGTCCCCTGCCTGTCAAGCTCCCAGTTCGACGCCCGAATCCAGTCGTAGTGGAGTTGCAATGCAGGTCACCATCGGGCGCTGCGGGCTTTCAGCGAGCCCTTGACCAGGGAGAATCTAGTCCGGCAGGTGTGCAAAAGCCATTCTTCCCCTTGGCTCGGTTGGGCTGGGCCATTTCCAGAGAAAGCTGCTTGGCAAACCCTTGTCGACATGGGGGACGGGGACGGGGATGGGAGGCTGGTTCGCTCCAGTGTACGTGCAATCTACTAAGATCGGCGCACCTAATAGCGGCCGTGGGCAGGTAGCGTGCAGGTCTTGGCCGAATGGCGATCTACTCGTGAAAAAGGTGATCCGTGTCTCCCATCGGCCTCGCTCATTGGCCAATCCGTTTCTTGAATCTCGAAGGTTTGATTGATTCAGTCGAGCGCATTCAGAGAAAATTCGAGACCCGAACTCGCCGTTTCAACGTCTACTCTGTCTAAGGCAGGTATATCCCGCTGCAGAGATGTCTTCGTGATGTCTCTCGCTCGTCTGGACCGCCGTTTGGCCTTTTGGAACACGAGTTTCTCACTGATCCATCTGGCTGCAAGCCTCACCTCGCCTGTGCTGCAAACAGCAGGGGCTTCCGCATCTGGATGGTAACTAGTAGCCAATTTTGCTGACAAGGGTGGCTGCACGGAGCGGTCAATTGGCTGTGGCCCAAGCCAGCCTAGCCGCATGGTGGAGTAGAAAAGCGCCATCTTATTCGATCAATACGAGAGACCAACCGTCCAGCAACATTGGAAGATGGGGTCGTCTGAAGATCTCTCCGCTGCAGCAAATTGACTCGGTTGTCCATCTGGCCCTTGCTGAGAGTTAGTTGGGCCACTTGTGAAGTCATCGTCTTTCCTCACTTGCAACTCCTTGCCGACTCTAGCCTTCTGATCGTCAGGGTACCACGCGTCCATTCCCTCGCTTCTGCCATTGCGGTTGGCCTGATATGGCATTGCTGGCAAGGCTAAGGAAGATATCGATCTCAAAGGCGCCAAGCTGGCCGGGCTGTTAAGATTATTACTAACGGCGCTTCTCAGGCGGTTGGTCAAGCCACTGATAGCATGCCGTAATATGCGGCCAGGGGTGGAATGGACCATTGCCAAATTCAGCACTCGATATTGCAGGGCCTGTCAGTTTGGTTATCAGTTGCATTCCCTGGTGGCATTTCACTATTGGCAAACAATTGCTTCTGCACCCCGAGTCCCGGCTGATACCAACTGCATAACTCCGATATTTGAAAAAAGAGTCCCTCACATTCTCGACTGTCGTCGACAATGCCTGGTGGAAGTTTGCTCTCTTGTGGATGAGAAGCCAACACAAGGCGGCCTCTTTTCGTTACGGGTCCCTTACACAGCGGATAAGATGGACTCATCACATTTTCATCCACCATGTTAGCTTTAGCCGCCTCTCCCTACTGCAGGTCCTTGCCGCCAAACAGCAGCTAAAATAAGTGCTGCCGCTTGTCGATACCCCAAAGACCGGAGATCTGTTGGAGCGGAATAGGGGACAACCGGGCAACACTAGCGATAACGTTTGACGGTGAGTTTCAGCCAATAGTCGCCACTGTCAACCGTGGATCGACGAGATTTATACCAGCCCGGAAGCTGCAAATCTCTTTGGTATCGACGCCAACGTGGGATGGTCTTGCCCAGCAACGAGCGACGCACTGTCGACGATAGGCCATGGTGATTCAGCAAATTCGACGGTTTGCCGTCTCGAATTATGGTAAAGATAAGGTACCGCAGTGTGTTTCCCTATCGAAGCTCCATAGACATCGTCATCCGTGAGCATCCTCATCAAGCCAAGGCGATGTGAAATGACGATACAACGAGCACCTGCAGTAGCTTGAGGTCTCAAGTATGTGTACAGAAGAGACTCGGTGGATGCAGGTAAACATTTACCAGGGCGAATGTACCCGATTGTCCAGATTGATAGACAGCGGGCAGATGCGGCAAGACAGCCATTATCCTACAATCATTTCCTCGACAACCGTCAAGGCCGCTGGCTCATCTAGGTACGCTCTCGCAGGTCTTGTCGATGCTGGCGAGCCCACTGGACCGACGCGTCCAGGCGCCTTACCGTAGCCGAGTCTGCTCCCACAGTAGAGGATAAACTTTTGCTGGTCCCTAGGAATGACTCGAAGAGCTCCCGGCTGACGAGGCTGCTTGCCACGATGGTGCGCAGAAACACCCATACTGATTCATTTGTCCAGCGGAAGGACTTTGCCATGCCGAGTGTATCGGTAAGCATAGAAGAGCACTGGCGTGCCCTAGAGCCAGCGTCTTGGATATTTTGGATGACAAAGGTGAGGCACATCCAGCCAGATATATCGTTGTGATGCTTGAGACACCATTCTTTAACATCGTCTCCAATGTTCATGATAGCTTCTGGCTGTTCAACAGCCAGATTTTGAAGCAACCACCGGGCATGCTGCCACGCGTAGTAGTTTCGAGGATGCCGTTCGGCCGCCACCATGACGACAGTTGCAATGTCGTGCCGGGCATCAGAGACGGCACCGAGTTTCCGGAAGTGCTGGATTAACCACCGTCGATGGCTCCACAAGGTTGGTGATTTGGTGTGGCGGTGGAGGCGCGCCGTGAGTAAGCTGTCTATAAACTGCTTCTCTTTCCCGAGGGCCGAGTCCCGTTCGCTAAGATTATTGCTCACGACTGCTCTCTTTCTGATGTTTGCCGCTGTGAGATGCTCAGGGTCCATCAGCAAGACTACCGCCGTGGCGGTGACAGTCTCGTTCGATGGATGCTCGGGACGTGTGATAAGATATTTCTGTATGATCTGGCGGGCCACGAAGAATGCTTGGGCAAGTCTGAGCTTCGGGACGGCTATAGCGTTGCCGTCTTGAAGATAGTTGACACCTGGTTCCAAGGGATGAGCCTTGCCGAGCAGCTCGATCTCCAGCAGGCTGCCATCTTCAGGGAGGCAAGTGAGAGCGCTGCAAATGTCCTTGTAGATCGGTGTGGGATCTTCCGACTTGAGATTTCTCAGAACGTCGCTGTCCAGAGACCGAGACATGATGTTGAGGAACTATACGATGGCGAGATTTGTGACAATATATCCAATCGTGCAATCGAGCTGGGAATGCCTCCCCGGCTGACTGGCGACAGGCTTGGTACTTGCTCGCGTGAGGTAACGAGTGACTAGTTTCTGACCGACATAGCTCGCTCGGTCAACGTCTCGAGACGGCCATGTCTGTCAAGATGTGGCAGGCTGTAGTGCGATATATATAGAGTTATATCGGTCTGAAACAAGAAGCACGGGAGGTGGGTGTAAGACATGAGATAGACCCCTCCATACGCTACCCACGTTTCCATCAGGCTTCTGGCAACTTAGGTAGGGCGGAGAGGGCAGAGGGCTGAGAGCTGGGAGCTGGGAGCTGAGAACCGAGAACTGAGCACTGAGAGCTTTTTGGCGGGGTAGCTTGCAGGATCGGCGAAAATGACAGCACAAGCTCCGATGCTGGGCCTCCATCCCACAGGCCACGATTTGATGGTTTGGCCCGTGGCTTCACCACTAGCAGAAGCCCGCCAAGGCCAGCTGCTTGCCGGCGCTCTCTCTTGCAACATCTCAACCTCCCGAAGCTGCCGCAGAAGCAGAGATCGCCCCCCGAGATGCCAGCCCTGCTCCTCGTGGTGTTCCTCGTGGAACTCGCCGTCCACCTCGTCAACACGATCGGCGCCTCGTCCATCAACAACCTGGTATGAAAGCACTGCACCCTGCCCAAAGCCTTGTTGCCCGTCGTGTGGTGGCAACACGTCATAGTCTTCCCGCATACTCTCACATACACGCACCCGAGCTGACCGTGCCGTCTCTTCCTCGCCCTCTGTAGCTATGGACCCTCTACCTCATGCTCCCGACCGAGACGTCGAAAAACTCTAGACAGCGGCAGAAGCTGCAGAGCGAATACCTCAAGGTGCGGCGCGACCTCAATGCAACGAGCAGCCAGGACGAGTTCGCCAAATGGGCCAAGCTCAGGCGCCAACACGACAAGCTCATGGAGCAGCTGGAAAAGATGAGTACGTCGGGGGGGGGGGAGAAGCAAAGAGCTCGTGTTTGTGCACGAGGAGGGACGAGACGCCAGGTTTGCTGACCAAGTTCCGACAGAGACGTCCCACGATGCGACCAAGACAAAGTTTGACAGCACGGTCGGGGTGGTGCGCTGGTCCCTCACGCGGGGCCTCAAGATCGTACTGCCGCTCTGGTACTCGAGGCAGCCCATGTTCTGGCTGCCCAAGGGCTGGTTCCCCTACTACGTCGAGTGGATCCTGTCGTTCCCGCGTGCACCACTGGGCAGCATCAGCATCGTGTCGTGGCAGATGGCGTGCACGGGGGTCATCATGCTGGTGAGCGACACCATCACGGCCGTCCTGGGACTGATACTGGGCGCGCGGCTGCAGGCACGCGAGAAGCCGGTCAAGGCCGCGGCGCCCAAGGAAGAAGGAAAAGCGCAGGCCAAGAAGGACTCATGATCACGGGACATTGGGAACGTCTTGGTCGACGTTGATACGAGAGCGAGACGCCGTGTAGGATTTTGGTAACTTGGTGTCATTTATCACGCATCGGCTACGTCAAGTCACACGAGAACTGAATACGAAAGGGTGATATGTCTCTCATCTTATTTGACGCAGAGTCAGTCATGGCTTGATGCTGAAGACTCTGTAACACGATTGAGATGACTCTTGGCAGAGTACTTGGGCTCGTTCTAGGCATGCTTTTTGACTCTGGTGACCATTGGGAAGAGAGATCGCCAAAGCTTCGAAAGTGCCAAACATATCACGGTGTCTAATCCTACGCGGAGCCCTACCTTGTGGTGCTGTTGTCTTGGGGTCTCGTGCAGCATGGAGAGGCCTCGTTTTCGCGGGACGTTGGATGCAACGGCAAGCTACTCGCAGGATCCTCGAGACCAACAAGACCATAGCCAACCGCACGCACAACGCGAGCACACGACCTGTCGGTGGTGGCTTGCGTGCGCGTGTTGGGCACCAAAACCTGGCGCTGATGCTCTAGCCGTGCATCCCGAAGGAGTAAAAAAAAAAAAGTGAGTGCGGAAATGTAGGAGAGATGGCAGACTCACAGAAGAATTAGGTGAAAAAATAAGGACATGTAAAGAGTGGACCAATCACGCGCGGGTGGGTCTCAGCCGCTAAGTCGCCAGGTGGCTTTGGACGCTGGTACGCCGAGGTCTGAGGTCTGAGGTCTGAGGTCCCTGGTCCCTGGGTCCCTGGGTCCCTGGAAACGGGCGCCGCCAGCGATGACATCTGTCAGCCTCGTCGCCGGGGCCCCTGGAATCGACAAGACGGCCACATGCCAGTCCTGCCTCCACCACCGACCTCTCTTTCTCTCTGATACCCTGCCTGTTCGAACGAGTACCGCTGCACACTCTTCAGTGTGCCAGAGCATGAGGACGGCAAGATGGCCATCTCTTGGGGAACGTAAGCACTGCCAAACCCGCCGCCCTCACCCTCGCTCCCTCTCCATCGCCAGCGCATAGTATACTATGATATGGTGTAGTACTGACCAGCGGCCCCAACCTGCAGCATCAAGTCCCTCCTGCTCTTCTTCGGGCCCATCCTCCTGCCCAAGGCCATAGGCTACTACCGCAGCATCCGCGCCGGCCCGGCCGCCCAGGGCCTCGCCATCAAGCCGCTGCCGCCGCGGGTCCTGCGCGGCCTGTCGCTGCTCGCCGCCACCGCCCTCGTCTACCTCGTGCTGTCGCTGCCGCCCTTCGCCCCCGAGAACCTCTTCGCCCGCACCCAGTCGCGCCTACAGATCCCCACCGACGTGCTCTTCACCCGCCTGACCGCCCTGCGTCCAGGCGGCGCGCTCACGCCCACCGACACGGCCCTGCGCGCCAAGTTCGTCAACCTCGAGTCCCGCCTGCTGTACTTGCAGTTCGGCCCCGCCGTCCTGGCCGACTGCCCCTTCTGCAACGCCGACGACCCGCGCTCGTACTTCTACTACGCCCTGCCCGCCCTGCTGGGCGCCCACCTGCGCAACCTCGTCGTGCTCTCGGTCGCCACCTCGGGCCTGCTGACCGGCCACGACGGCAGCAAGTGGCGCACGCCGGCCGTGCTGGTCAGCGCCCTGGCCGCCGCCCTCGACGTCTACCTGGTCAACAGCTACAATCACCAGGCCAACTCGCGCGCCACGCGCCTGGCCGAGCTGGACCTGTTCTTCTGGAGCGCGCGCCTGTACCGCCTGGCCGGCCTGGCCCTGCTCAACAGCGCCTTCGCCGTGCTGCTGTACCTGTCGAGCACGAACCGGGCCTTCGCCAGCCCGCCGGGCCCCGCCGAGCGCGTCGAGGGCGTCACGCGCCAGCTGCTGGTGGCCAAGAGCAAGATGAACGCCCTGGGCATCGTCAAGAACACGGCCATCCGCGACGAGGACCTGCGCGAGCGCGTGCTGGCCTACTGGCGCCACGAGGGCCGCCTCATGCGCGAGGTCATGGAGGAGCGCGAGGTCGTCGAGGGCGTCCAGGACGCCCTGGCCAACCGCATCAACATCGCCGGCATCTCCAAGGACGCCGAGAACTACGCCCTCAACATCCTCCCCCGCCCGCAGGTCACGGACACGGTGGACTGACGGGGCTCCAAGGGGGGTCCCGCGCCGTGGGTTTGTTGTACTTAGACCTGTTTTGTTAGCCTAGATAACTTGCCATTGTCTTATGACATCGCTTGGTGTTGTGCGTCCGTGAGAAATGCGTTGCCGGGTTGCAATGATTCGTAAATGGTATGGTTGTCACCCCTGAGACCAGACCGGCAAATTGAGACAAGATGATGATTTTACCCGATCTGCCGACAGCTTGCCAGCACAACATTGAGCCCATCATCCATCGCGTTTAAGTACTTGGTGGGTTGAAGAGACACAACCATGTCCGGGTGCACCTGCGTCTAGCCGCGATCCAGGCGTGTATATACACATAGACTAGGCAACTCTACGTAATGACACAGCTCACCCTTATACAAGACACCGGCGGAGAAGGGCGTCGAAGAAGTGCTACAGAAAACGCTCATTTTCAACCTCAAGTTCAACAGTAGGCGGTCTTTGGGGGTTGATATCTCATTTCACATCTCACAATAAGCCTCCTTTTAGTTTTCTCTAAACCTAGACACCTCCCTCACAAACCGGGTTTCCGCCCCTTGATATGCATATGCAACCAGAACCCACAACCCACAAACTCACATATGCTCCGTCGTGCTTCGCTATCAGCTGCCGAGCAAGCTGAGCCTCTCCATGGCCGTCACCGCAGGCGGCGCCTGCGTCCTCCACTTCTGCTCGAGGTTGGCGGCGAGCACGGCGTCCGCGCCGACGGGCCGCCAGTCCTCTCCGTCGCCATGGCCCTCACCCTCGGGCACCACCGAGTCGTTGGCGGCAGCGGCTTCTTGGCCGGCGGCAGGGAAGACCTCGCCGACGGCTTTGCGGCAGCCGTCGAGGACCTCGGCCATGAGGGCCTCGACGGAGCGGGCGCGCTCGAACATGGCGCGGCGCACGAGGCCGAAGACGAGGCGCTCGAGCTCGGCCTTGGTGGCCTCGACGCGCTCGACGAGGCGGCGCACCGAGTTGACCAGGTACTCCTCCTCGTAGACGGTGCCCTTGCGGCCGCGGGCGCGCTTCTTCTCCTCGCGCTTGCGGTTCTTGCTGGTCGCGCGGCTGACGCCCGTGCCGGCGGTGCCGACGCTGCCGGCCTTGCCCGTGTAGCGCGTGAAGAGCGAGGCCGACGTGCTGACGCGCGAGCTGGCCGCGACCGAGACGTCGTCCGGCAGGTCGGCCAGCGCTCCGCTCCGCTCGCCCTCGTAGAAGGCCAGGGGGTCCTCGGCGGCCTTGCGGCGGAGCTCGAGGATCCGCGGTACTTGGGCGCGCAGCTGGGCCTTGCAGTCCGCGAGGAACTCGGTAGATGACCCGAGTGCATCGGCAAGCCCGGGGTCGATGGTGCTCTCCAATAGATCCGGTCTCTTGTGCAAGATCGACAGACGGAGTGCGTCAGCGAACTGGTAGCCCTTGCACAGATAACGAACGGCAGTCTCGAGGGATGAAAGGTGATCTAGCTGAACAGTAGCAGCGGCTGCGTAGTCCTTGGCTTCGTATAAGGCATCTGCGAGGGCGGTTGCGAGGTCTGCAAGCGCTTCAGGGGCAAGAGCCGGCTGCTGCAGTGAAGCCGTAAACAGAGCCTCGCGCCAGCAGGCGGCCCCAGCAGCGCGGTAAGATCGAGTTGCACCAGCGTAGTCTTGAAGAGACTCGTAGGTCAAGCCAGCCTCCCGGTAACGTGAGCGTGATTCCAGGAACTCGGCATAGAGCCGGGTGATGACCGTCAGGTTAGGCGCATCGTACCGGTAGAGCTTCAACGCTTCGGCGTAGAGAGTGTGCTTTACGGTGTAGTCTTGGGCTTCTTGATGGGCATTGAGAGTCTGGAGGTGGGCAAGGGCCTTGGTGTAACGACCCAGGTGGTCGTCCGTAGCAAACTTGCGGCGAAGCTCTGGGAGCTGGTGAAGGCTTTGCACGAATGGAAGGTATTCTCGTGGATCGCGCTGGGACTGCTGTGCTACGAGTAGCGCCAGATCAAGATTGTACAAGCCAAGCGCCTCGTCGTATAGGGTGTTGACGTCTGCGAGGAAACAGATGTGCTCAACAGCTCTCTCAGCTAGTTGCTCATCCTCCTGCATCAGTTTGGCTACGACGAGTAAACCATCCTCCAAAGCCGGCGGGTTCTTGCACACGTTGGCTGTGATGATGTTCTGCAACGTCTCGTGATCTGCAGTCTTGCGAGACTGCAGGCTCTCAAGAACAGCACCGCATATGGTGTTGACCTTGGAAGTATCTGATGATGAGGCTACCGGTACGTCTGACATACTCTGAAAGGGGTTTGCCTCGTTCTTCGAGGGCTTTGTGTTGACATACATTGTCTGTGTGACATCTTCTTCGCGCAAGGAAGATAGGAAGAGATCGACATACGTGCAGTCGCTTAGCTGTTCGAGGAAAAGAGAAACGTTGTCCAGGAACTGCTGCGGCTTGTGGTCATAAAGGATGTTCATATCCACGCGTTGAGTCCTGCAATAGGAGAAAGCCCTAGTATAGTTCTTCTCTTCGATCAGTTGTCGAATGCCTGCAACTACCATGGCTCTAGGGTAGATGGTTTCCAAATTACCTCTTGGCATCTGAAGTATTAAGCTCATGTTCGTGGGAACGGCTGTCACCAGCCTGGCACCACGTTCGATGCTCCGGCATCTCTCATCCTTTTCAGGATCATCTGCAGGAACTTCTAAATCTGATTGCGGTGTTAGCATGGAGAATGCAAGCATGACTAGGGGTAGACGTACCGTCAACTTCCTCAGTCCTATGAATGAACTTGAGGAGGTGATTGGTCGTAGTAAATATTATGTGGTCCTCAGTTACGAGGTAGGAAGTGCAGTTCTTGACCAACTGGCGCTGATTGGCATACAAGTGGCCATTTCTAGACAACCCGACAACACCCAGTCTCCCCTGCCCAGCTTCCAGACCGACAGGAGTGAACCACGGCAATTGAACAGGCACTTGATACATAAGCGCACTGCCCGTGCTTTCGCAGCTCTGAAGCTTCTGGTAGCGCCTGTGCGTATCCTGCGTGACGAGGTAACTCCCAGCTTCGGACTGGTGGCTCGCGAAGCCGAAGATGAACCGTGCTGCTTCCCTCACGGCGGGTAAGAATTGCTTGGAATCGGGTTGGAAAGGGTAAACGTAGAGTTCGGGTTGGTTTTCATAGCCCAATACCGCAACACTCCCGTCATTTTGAGAGGCGATAGAAAGCGGTGCCACATCAGCTGATGCTCCATCGAACTCGACTGACGCTTGGTAAGACGGCCGAAGCGATCGCTGTGCTTTGGTATGCCATTGATAGAGATCAAACCCAGTCTGGTGCAATACGGCCATATACGCGTGATCTGGAGAGAATGCAACATCTACAATGCTGGATTTCACCTCTATCTCGTACATAGCCATCGGCGGTGGCACATTGGCTGTGCGGAAAGGGGTAATCTTGAGGGTTTGACCATCGATGACGGCAACAGCTCCATGGTCATTTGGAGGCAGTAGAGATCCCCTCGAGATGGCGAAAGCATACTCTGCTAGTAACGCGTGGCCTAGAACAAATGGGTTAGCTTGGCTCGAATCTCTTGAATTGGTCAGAGTGGGTGTCATACTTGGAACGATAACCGTAAAGCGCAAAGGCTTTTCCGGATGCCACCTCGAGCCTCTGGGCTTTTCCTTTAAGAGTATCTCCTGCTTCAAATACCAGTGGTAATTACCCATGGTCCAGAACTGAACCCGATCATCCAGCGTCACAGAAAGCACAGTAGAGTCGGAGTTCCACTCAAGCCCGATTTGATCGGCCGAAAGATCTCGACGCCCAGGAACCCGCAGAGAGAATTCACCATGTCTCAGGCCGTTCCTTTCGAAAAAGATCACATCCACAGACTCGCCCTTCCGCTGAATACTGGCAATCAGGTTACCCGCGGGACGCCAACTCAAGGCGCCTTCCATGCCGTCAACGGCCTCGCTGACACTGTCGAGAACACCTTCGCGGGAGTACACCCGGATGACTCGTCTTATACCGGGCTCGATCGAGTTTATGGCAACATATGCGCCGTCACCGCGCCAGCTGATAGTAACCCGGCTGTCATCCTGGGAGCTGAGAACACCCTGATCTACCTTCTCGGGAATGGTAGGGTCCCTCAGCGCCTTTGCGCCTTTGCCCTGAAACTGGGTCTCCTTCTTACCCCAGCCGACGGATACCTGCTTGGACAGCTGCAGGTCCTCCGGGGTCATGGCGGCGTCCGCAATGCCCTCGAAGCTGCGGCTCATGAAGACGACAGTCTGGGCCTTGGTGGCGATGGCCAGGAGCTCCTCGTCGGGCGACCAGCCTGCGGCCGTGATGCCCTCGTCGATGGAGCCCATGATCTCGATGTGCACGCCATCTTGCGGGTTGTCATACTCCCGGACGATGACGATGTCTCCGCCCTCCAGGACCAGGACGGTCGTCAGCGTGTCACTGAAGTGATGCAGACTGACGACCCGGTCGACGGGCAAGTCCGGGTTCGGGCTCAGCGCCTCCCATGATGCAACCTGGTGATGCTCGCTGTGGGCGAGAACGGCCTTCCAATCAGCTCACGCACGCGAGCGAATGCAACAATAGATTACAACATGGACGGGCGGGCACTTACACCTTGGGCCGGGCGGCGCCGGCGGTGGCGGGATCGGTCACATGCTCCGAGACCCTGACCAGGCGGATGTAGCCATCCCTCTCGGAGGGGCCAAAGGTGCACAGGAGCTCGTCCTTGGCCGGGTCCCAGCAGCAGGAGGAGAGCGGTTCGCCGTGGAAGTCGTCAGCCGGGGGCTGCCAGGCGTCGTAGTGGATGTTCCTCAGGTTGCGCATGATCGAGGTGAGGGCGCCGTGACCATCGGCGAATCACTATGTGAACCTTGGCGTCTAAGCACCAAGCACCAGGAGGTATGTATGAGTCTGATAGTGGCTGCTGAGATTTTGTAAGTGCGAGCAATCGCCGTTTGGCACTGTAATGTGTCGCCCAACAGCACGCGAACTGCACAGTCCGAGGTGATTCTCGGCTCGTCCCCTCTGGTGCCTGTGCCCGGTCGGCAGAGATCGGGAGCCAGAAAAATTGTGACCCTGGCAGTGGCCAAAGCTTCCTCCTACTGACACCTCCAGTTGGTCAGCCCTTGTAGCCCTTGTAGCCCTTCCTCCAGCCCGCCTGCCCGCCTGCCCGCCTGCCCCGGGGAAGTTGGAGCTTAGTGACCCCTGTCGCCGATCTGCAGCGCCTTTCCCCATCACACCCCATCAAATTGGCGTCCTGCCCCAGATCTTTCGACCTCGTTCGACCTCTGCCGTAGCTTTCTCCTTTCTTAACCCCTCGAGCCGCCGGACCGAGACCCAGTATATTCGCGCTGGCTCCCCTCTGAGCCTCCCGCGTTCCACTAGACTCGTCTACGCTACGATACAGTAAAGCACAGCACAGCTCGTCACGTCACAGACAGCACGGCACGGCACAGCACCATGGACGTCGCCTACAAGCAGCATGCCAGCCCGGCCAGGCGAAAGAACCGCTCCTCGACCAACCTCAACCATTTGACTTTGGCGCCCCTCACCTCCAAGCTTCCTCTCGCTGACCCGGACGACCTGCCCGAGTTTGTAGCTTCACCACTCCAGCACAACGTGTCCTACCTGCAGGGCAAGTCAGCCCCCACCACCCCAAGGCTGCTTGCACGGTCGCCCGCCAGGGGCAACTCGCGGAGCCGCCAACCCTCGGCCCACGAGCCGAGGACGGACACGCTGCCCAAGAGCAAGTCCGCTTCTCACTTGGCCGGCATAAGCAATGGCCAGCACAAGGGCGCCGGCTCGTTCACGCCCACAAGCCGCCGGCGCAAGGAGGACCACTCGTCCTTCTCCATAGACGACCGCAACGACAGTGACTGGATGCTACGAGCCGGGGCGCTGATCAGCACAGAGGCCCGGGAGTTCAAGGGCCAGGCGTGGCTGGTCTCCAAGCAGAGCTCCACGAGCCTGACCGGGCTGCGTGATGCCGAGGAAGAAGCCTTCGAGCGCGAGCTGGCCAGGGAAAAGGAGCTCGCCAGCAGACGGGGCAGCCGCCGTGGAAGCCTGGCCGCCGAGGACATGATGACCGCGCCCAGCAGTCGGCTCGGCAGCCGCCACCACAGCAGAAGGGGCAGCCGGACTCTACCAAGGACACCGCTGGACCGCCAGACGGACGAAGGCTATTTCAATCAGGTCGTGGTCTCAGAAGAGTACATTCAAGGCCCTGATTTCGTGGGCCTAGATGAGAAACTCGAGGCTATAGAGATCGACACGAGCCAAGCAGACGAGGCAACGGTCAGGAGGCTCGTGAAGCGCGAGAGCGTGGGCAAGGGCTCCTGGATGGGCAACTTGATCGGCTGGTCTCTGTTCTCGGTTGAGGAGAACGAAGAGGAATCGGACAGCGAGGACAGTGTTTCCGACAGCGAAGAGAGCGGTCACTTGGAGCGGAGTGCGAGCACGAGGCATCTCGAAGGCATATCGAGTGTCCCGGAACCACGTATACCCCCGCCAAAGTCAGACGATGGCGGCTGGCAAGATGCTGCCTGGCTGCTGAGCGTGGCAAGCAAAGTAATGTTTTAGGAGGTCGTGTCAATATCACAATATCCAAGTGACCCCAAAACATAAGGGCCCTGCCACTTGTGCATTTACCTTTTAATATGCGTACAGAAGCGGATGTCCATGAAGAAACCCGAGGGTTTGATGATAATTTTGTACCTGAAGTTTGCAAATCGTACGTGAGGCGAATTGCACGACCATGAAAAGTGTAGCCAGCCCCTATAGATCCATACTCGCAAACCATGGCGACACGAATTGACGATACAAGACATCGACCGATCACAAAATATCCGGTCCGTAAGCAGAAAAAGGCCTAGTCGAATGCAGATAGTTCTTCTACTTACACAACGTATATTGTGATGCTTATCATTCTAGCATCCTAGTGGGAAGACGCGTGCGGTTGAAGTAGACAGACGCTTGCGATCCTCGGTAGTAACTCCCGGGCATTGCGTGCTCGCTGAAGCACACACTACCCGAGATCATCACCGCCACCCACGTAGAAGATGTTATAGCTTCCTGTGGCTTGGCAAAAGTTCAGTGATACGCAGCAGTACCGAAAACGCCATGTGGATACTCGGTGCTTCGGTCCAGAGCAGTCCTGACCTACTACTGGGCGCTTGGGGGTGCCGAAAACAGGTTTTTGGGTACGTGACTCTGCATACGCATGCGGACTCTGAGATGCTTCGTACGGCCGGAGATAGACGGTAACCAGACCGTCGCCATCCCGTCAGTCACCGTCCATGCCCACCGTGAGATTCTCCCGTCGCGGAGCCAATGTACTTTGGCCCTTTGGTTTTCCACATCTTTGAGGCTTGCTGAGCAAGCTTCGAGGTTAGATCAGAGGATGTCAAGGCTGGCAGCTGTTCCTATCGCATCCACTTGGCGCCTGCTAGAGTTTGGGACCATGCCGTTCCCGCTCTGTTCACCCCAAGTATGGGTTCGGCATGAGTTTGCGAATTTCAAAAGAGATTAGAGCCCAAAAACGTAAGGAAAACGAGAGACTCAGCATGCCGTGGTAAAATCAACAGCGTAGTTAGAAGACAAAGACGCCGATGTTTCGTCCAAATGCCATCACGGCGATGCCGGCCGTATGCCGTTTGAACAAGTCTTTTACCGAGAGACAGGTTGGAAACTTGTTAGAATCCACGGTGCTGGATCTACTCCGCCGTGGAGTCTGTTGCATGAGATAGCCGGGCGCCAACGCGAATGGTATGGATTCTCGCCTATCATGGAGACGTCCCCATCTGTAATGGCTGACCTCACCTCAAGGACATGCTGGTAAAGAACGGCGACTGCACCTTCATGACGGTGGACACGTGGGCTGTGATCGTACCTAAGTCGGTACTGATTGTGATCAATCCCGCCCAAGTATGTGACAGGATGGGGAAAAGTGTGCGGGTATAGGCCTATAGTCTAGCTATACCGTTCTCAAAAGCTATCCCAAGTACCCTATAAGAAGTTAATACGACGTAATCCCGGGTCTTGAAATTTCTTGGCCAATCCGTTAGAGAAAACCCGGCAGTCTGTGAAGCACTGAAGCGGTCAGAGATGAATCAGTGTTTCTTCTCAGCGTCAACATGAAAGAAAGTCTGATTGTAAATAAAAACGTGTTAACATGATACTTCATCATCATGCTTCCAGAAGATGCAGCAGCGGGCCTAAAGATAGAACAGTTCTCATCATCTTCGGTCACGACCCCTGTTGCTCACCTCTCAGCCCTTTCAAACCCATAACAGCCTTCAGTAGAGTGGAAGTTAAGTGTACAGTGTGAGTAAACACAGTAGACTTGCAGAACGGCTCAAAGGGTCCCAGACCCCTGACGTGGCTCGGGGCACCGAATGAGACGTGCTGCAGGGTGACACCTATGACGATGGCCCTTCCTAGAGCGGTATGACGTCGGCAAGCCTGCAGATTTGGTGCATGGCGCCCCACAGCGACGCCTGAACTGAAAGCCCTGGGAGCGACGACGGCTGGACGGCCGACAAAAACTGTGGATGACAGGCTTCGAGAAGGAGTCTGGCGCAGGTGGTTACGGAGCAGAGCTCGGACGAGGAATTGGGAGGCCGGGAGGTCCTCAGGATCCGTCCGACTAGGGTGACTCCTGTAGCGTACCTAATCTGTTAGTCACGGTTGCTTCCATCTCCAGTTGTCGGATCGCGTGCCCCTGGGCGGCCCACTTGGGAAGACGAGGTAGTATGGCACCCATCAAATACGTGTAGGCCGGCAACCGGGGCGCTTTCTTCAGCATCATGTTCTACATTGGCCTGTCCTTGAGAGGTGGTGTTCCGCTGGATAAGAAGGACCCTGCATGACGATACATGACTCGCTCGTTCAGCCGTCTTCATGGGTTGGCATGCGCTGGCATGTCAATATATCATTGTGAAAGGCGCGTCGGTAATTATTGAAGCTTGTCTCCAAGAAAATAGGTATCGCAATAGCCCAATCGTTTCAACCGCGAAGACGCTTCCATAAAGCGACATCCTGGTTCCGGCGCCCTTGCAAAACGAGCCAGGTATGATGCAGTCAGACGTCAGCCATGAGAACAACGCGCTGGGGAGCAGTGGTCTAGAAGCGGGTCGATGCTGCTGAGGGGGGCCAAGAGAACCGGAGATGGGGTGTTGGACAGCTCAGGGTGGACGCGCCTGACGAAAATGAAGCTGGCGATGAAATCATGAGAAGTACAAGGCAAACGATCCCCAGGCGCTACTGGGCTGCCGGGTCGAGAGGCTTGTGCGTCGTAGGTGAACTGGCCAGGGTTGGATATATGATATCCGTATCCAGGGTCCAGAGGGAGGCCAGGACCGGGAGTCGGGGGGGACAGTAGAGGGGAATTCGAGTGTCGATCCCCAAAGCCTCGCATGCGTTTATATAGACTTTGCGCGAGGAATGGCGTAGGTAGCGGTGCCTCTGGCTGCCCCGCCCGGTCAGCAATCTTGTGCGTGATCCAAGAGGAGCATGGGACTGGCGTGAATCGCAGGGTCGAAACCGGAAGGTGAGGCAGCACGGGCGGCGCGACGATGGGTTTGATGGGTGTTGACGGGTCGACACGACCAGACTGCAGGATGCAATCGTCCCGGGCCCAGGGTGTTTTCTTCCCTTCTGTCAAAGGAATGGAAAGGCAGGCTCCACGAGGACCCGGTGCCGCTTCGCGCTCACGGGGGGTCCAATAGTGCGGGTTCTTAAGACAGTTTGTACCGGGATGGTTGTCTACGGAGTACAAGGCGACGCGGATCTATCGTCAGGCGTTGTTAGATCCGGCTCAAGTTTGTGTTCTAGTTTGAACCCCACAACACTTGTCGAGGCTGATCCATTTCGTCAACCGTCGCGACACACAAGGCACACGCTTCCCCTTCCTTCCCTCGGGTCCCTTTTTTAAGTTCGCTTTTCGGATTTTCCCAGCAAAATCGAAGCTCGTCCGTCCTGTCAGCGGCCCCAAGTCCCCGGGCGCAAATCGGTCTGCTACTATTGATAATCCAGGGTCTCTCGCTAGTGAACGAGCCCGTCCAAGCCAGCCCTCCCCCGGAGAGGATCTCTTCTAACAAGGTAAGGTAGCCAGGCCACAGGCCACTTGCGTGAGAGCTGCAGGCCGACGGAGCAGCCCAGTCCCAGGTCCTCAGCTTCGCGACCCCTTCCCGGCGCTCCCATGCCAATCCAATGAACCACCCCGTACAGTACTGTACTGTACCGACTGCCCAGGTGGCCGTGGCGGACGAGACGGCCTTCTTCCACCTGATATTTCCCCCCCATGATCCCTCCAACCACACCACCTTCCCTGCCTGAATCCAGCATAGCTGGCACCGCAAAGCCGGTTCCTTCGCTGACCCACGACACGACCCCCGACCGCACACACTTTCTGTCTATTCACCCTCGCCCTCGACCCCACTCCCAAAAGCCTTCTCGCCCTGGACTCCGGTGCGTGTTGTCTGTGTGTGCCGCCCTTTTAACCACGCCTGCCGACGTGACGCTTGATTCCTTCTGGCGAAGCAACGTCCTGCGGCTCCCCTAACCTAAACACTCCCAGACCGCCCCCCCTTTCGCTTCGCTACTCCTGAGTCTAGGGTCGATCCCTGAGCCCACTGCTGACTGCCCGCCGTCTTGGTTGAACACTTTTTTTCTGACGCCCGACCTTAGCGCCCAAAAGGAATAGCACCCGAGGAGAGGGGCCATCGTGCTGCTTGCGCATTCTTAGATCAACATGGCTAGCGACAATGTGAGTTTGGAACGGGCATCGTGTGGTGCCAGGCTTTCGACAGCAACCCCGAGTACTGACGCGGCTCGTCACAGCTTGATGGAGGGGACCCCAATCTCCCTGACCTGGGGGATGCCATCGACACCGTCACCTTCGGCCAGATCCTGGAGATGGACGATGACGAGAGTGATCGCGAGTTCAGCCAATCTATCGTCCAGGGCTTCTTCGAGCAAGCCGAGGAGACCTTCGAGAAGATGGACAAGGCACTGTGAGTAGTCCTCGAGCCCACGGCCTTGGCCACCAAAATGACAGCAGCCGTGCCCCCCTTTTTCTGGTTCCCGCAACGTTGCCTGGGAGGGTGCCTGGGAATGCCGTTAGCTTTTTTGAACAATTGCTGACTGTTTGTGTTCTGTCTTCCAGAGAGGAAAAGGACCTTGAGGAGTTGTCCAGGTTGGGCCACTTCCTGAAGGGTTCGTCTGCCACCCTTGGGCTTACCAAGGTCAAGGACAGCTGTGAGAAGATTCAACGATACGGCAAGAAGGAAAATGAGAACGGATCGCCGTTGACTGATGAGAAAGTGTGCCTGGAGAAGATTACCACAACCCTTGAGGCTTGCAAGAAAGAGTACCACGAGGCCGAAACGATCTTGAACAAGTTCTTCGGCAATGCCTAGACGGCCAGGGCAACACGGACAAGAAGACTTGGTACGGACTCATGTTCGACTCCTGGCCGTTCAGGTCCTTCAAGCATTTTCCTTCGCAGGCTCCTTCACCGAGGAGAGGAAGTTGTGCTTCAGAACTCGACTTGGGGCGACCCCGGCGGTGGACACTGTCCGGCCGCCCATCTCAAGTTGACTTCAACGATACCCATCTCTGCACGGGCCGCCTTCGTTCGTAGTTTTCAGGATAGACCGGATGCTTGTTTTCAGGAGATGATACGATGCAAGCTTTGGTGTTATAGAATCTCGCGCGCCAGAGTCTAGGTCAAGAATGCACGTAACTTAGGTATCAGGGGTTTCGACTCCTTTTATATCAGTCAGAGCATCTGCCGGAACGCGTGACATGCAGAGTTGCGAGCAAGGCTGTTTATTTATTCATTCCAATGGCTATGTACTTTCTCTACATTGCGGCTTGCCTACCTATAACTCCACCATCAAGCATGTGTCTTGTCATCGCACGACGTTGAGGCCAGGGTTGTTGTGCATAGGCAGAGAAAGCCTCAGACTAGTTCGCCAGTGACGACATACCCTCCCCCAGGGGACCACACCCCTACGTCATCCGTGCAGCTCTGCCAGTGACGTAATGTTGTGGGCGAAGCCACTCGAGAAATATTCTGCTCTGTTGCAGACAATGGAACGCGATGAAGTCGGGCCTTGGACACAGAGTTGGGATTTGAAGATTCTGCTTCGTAGCAGACGTGGTGTCGGAGGCGCCTTGGCTTCTGCTTTGAAGCAGATCCCTACTCTGCTGAGGGGCACTTCTAGTTAGTACACAAATTTCTAAGGGTCCAGAAGAGGAGGGGTTGTTCCCCCCTGACCCATTGGGATCACCGGAGCCGGATTCATATTCGGCCAGTCTACTCCGTGCTCAGCCACAGCCAAACTCGGCCCTGCACTTTCGAGGGTCTTGTGAGCCTCGTTCCATCCATATTGTTAGTCAATGTCCAACGGCAAACCGAGCTTGGACCCAGGTCAGATCACAGTCGGAAACAGCCTTCCATCCAACTGACGCAGAAATTCACTTGAATTTTTCTTTTCTCCAACGCAATTCAGGTTTTGTATTGAGAAGCTCTCCCAATCGGTTGGCGCGCAAATCCAGTTTGAGTCCCTCTTGAAAACCCCCGCCTTGAACGTGACAGTCCCTGGCAAAGACAACCAAACGGGACATTTACATTCTCGCCGGAAGTACGTGCTATATGGGAGAGGGAAAAGAAAAAAAAAACCCAGGTCGCATCTCAACAACTAGTTGGATCCAATTGAACTTCGAGTTGATCCTGCGAAGAGAATAGTAGTCAGACTGCCAGCTTCGCCCAGGGCGCCAGCAGATCATTCTGAGTCGGGCGGAACACAACAGACTATACAATCACATCATTAGCCAACTGCCCACTCTTCGCCTTGTACTGCAGTCGACCACTGCCCAAAACCGGCTTGCACGGGGCAGCTGATTGGAGCTTGTGCATTTGTACTCGGCATCCCCTCACAGCTAACGACGATCAAAACTCACAACCAACGCTTTTGAGTCTGTCATCAAGGGCCTCCTCAACCCACTCCCGGCTGGCCAACGACATTCTCACGGGCTCAATCAGAATTCAAACCAGCCTCGCCCCAAAAACAAGCGGGATAGAAGAGCAGCCGCAATGCCCCCCAAAACCCCTAAGCGATTTCCCACTCATTTCCTGTGTATTCCACTTGTTACGACATCGTCACGGCCCCAACTAGCCTCTAGCCTCGAGTCTTTCAGCGCAGATGTCACCAGTGCGGATAGTTTTGCCATACCTGCCGGTGCGATCCGGCCCGTTGGGACATTGCATCTCACGCTGGGAGTGATGAGCTTCCCGAAGAACGAGGGCCTAGAAAAGGCAGTAGAATTGCTCAAAACGATTGTCCCAAGGCGCATAATAGCCAACATCAAAGCCGCGGCGCCCGCCAAGGATGGACAAGAAGCAGACGGCACACCTCCACCATTGCTGTCCGTCACACTCAAAGGCATACATTCGATGCAATCTGCTTCAAAAGCCACCACACTCTACTCGGCTCCAGAGGACCCTGATGGGATACTCCAGAAATTCTGCGAGGAAGTCAAGAAGACGTTCGAGGAGGCTGACGTCATGGAGAACGATAAGAGACCTCTCCTCTTGCACGCCACCATCATCAACACCATTTATGTCAAGGGCAGGCGCCAGGGCAAGAAGCACGAGAAGATAACCATAGATGCCCGGGGTATCCTGGATCGTTACGATGACTACGAGTGGATGCGGGATGTGCCTGTCGAGAAGATAGCCATCTGCCGAATGGGTGCCAAGGATGTAGAGGACAGTGACGACAAGGCCTATGAAGTCGAAGCAGAGATTGACGTAGAAGGGACGGAATGAAGGGGTCCAGCGCCTGCAATCTGAACATTGGTCTACTGCTTTGAGTATACGGCGAAAAACAGTGTCTTACATGGGGCCCCTTCAGATATACTCGAGGCCACCAGGAGGTTCGTTTCAACCATTCGGACCCAAAAAGTAAAGAGAACTCGGGCGATGGACCTCCGGGGCAGTATCGCCGTGTCTGGCGTGGTCAATAATACGTTTACATACATGTCTGGACATGGATGACTGCTTAGTCAAGGTACCTTGACCTGCCTATTTGTGCATCTATGGTTGATTCGCTAGCTGGGTACCTTGCGCACCAGGGATGGAGGCTTATATCAGCCCTAGGCTGGTCCCCTAAGCACGCCGGATATAGCGTTGGTCTCACCCCTCTCCAGCCGTCGGGTGTCTTTTGGAGCTTGCCCCCATGTCTCCCCACTGCTGAGGGGCAGCCTAACAATAGACCTCCCGTGTTACATTATCAGCCTTGCCTCACTAAAACACCAGCCTGTTACCAGGCAGCTGCCAAATCGACCACAACTCGCCATCAGCGTCGCGTGCTTAGCTATAAAGACGAGGTCGGGTCGGCGGATCATGTAGCAACATCATCATTGAAGAGACCGAGGTCAATCGCATCCTGCCTGCCAACCCAACGCCCAAGATGGCGAGCTCCGACAAGCGCCGCGCCGCCACGTCGTCTCACGCCGCCCGCTCATCCGCCTCTTCTCGGAGTAGCAGCATCATAGCGCCGCCGCCGCGCGCCCAATTGGGAAACCCGCCACCCTCCTCGTCTTCCCCGGGGCCGGAGAACGACGGCAACGACGCGGGCAGCATCAAGGAGGGCAGCATCAAGGAGAAGGAGTCGGCCGCCGCGCTGCTCAAGGAGAAGGACGACAAGATCGCCGAGCTCAAGCGCGGGCTGCTGGAGGTCGAGGCCGAGTTCGCCCGCCAGGTAGAGCGCCTGAGCCAGAACGAGAGCGAGACGGCCGCCTTCTGGCAGGCCAAGCACTCGAACCTCAACCAGCAGTTCCTGCGCACCGACACGGAGCTGCGCCTGCTGAGGGCCGAGATCGACGTCCGCGAGGGCGAGCGCGAGGAGCTCAAGGAGGGCTGGGACCTGCTCAAGCGCGAGATCAAGGCGCGCGACGACGAGATCCGCAGGCTCAGGGGCGACCTCGTCGGCTTGAAGAAGTGGCTGAGCACCAACACCCGCTCCGACGAGCAGGAGAGCGATGACCTGTTTGGGAGCGACATGACCAGGCTTGGGAACGGGCTGCAGGAGTGGGCTATCAAGCACTTCAGGAGGGCTAAACTTGGTGAGTCCTATGGATCATCTTGGCTTTCATGCTGCGCCCTTGGGCCATCTCACCTTGCCGTGGTACTGACCTTGAACACAGATCTATCAAAGGCAAGCCAACCTGTTGTTCACGAACTCTCGCAATTAGTGCCAATGTACCAGGAGCTAGCATCCACTGCCAAGCTGCCATTGCTACAGTCAATCATCTCGGCCATCCTTGTGGAGATGATATTCAGTGCCTACTTTGTAGGCCTGTCGAAAGATCAAGCAACACAGTTTCAACGGACAGAGGAGTGTTTGGCCTCTCTGAGTGAGTTTCATCCCGATGGCAACTCGTAGCGATGACTGACAATAGGATAGGCGGGGATGAAAACGCAAACCAGTGGCGCGCTACTACATTGACCATGATTAGAAAGGAGGCCACGCAAAAGCTGCAAGGCGAGACGAATGCCATCACCGAAGATGTCATCTCGAAAGGCAATCGAATTTTAGGCTCCATCACAGATGCCAACACGACAGACGCGCGAGATCAAGCACTGCGCGTGCTTGTGACTAGTTCGATCGACTTGGCTCGGAGGTTAGCGGTGCAGAAAGCCGTGTTTCAGGTAACGATGCCACAGATCTTACCTCATCAGAAGATTATATTCGATTCCACAGAGATGGAAGATATTGGTGGCGAGGACGAGGATAGCCTCACAGCAAGAGAAATATGTTGTGTAACGTTTCCCGGCATCGTGAAATCTGGGGACGAACATGGGAGCCATCCACAATTCCGAAATATAGTGGCGAAAGCCAGGGTGCTTTGTAGCCCGGAATGACCCATCCAATCAAACAAGAAACTCTTGCTAAAGAAGCGGTGGGCTTAACAATTAAGCTATGCGGCTAGCACTTATTGGCGTTTGTTTGCATCCATTACGCGTCCATGAGGCTCCGGCTCTTGGTATTTCACTGCAATCTCGTCTAGAATGGGAATCGGCACAAGCAGCTCCTGCGTCCCAGGTTAACGGGAGCAATACTTTGCGACAAGGCCGGCAGTCGCCGCCTCTAGAAAATTGGAAGCCAGCCAGAATGCGTTGATCCGGGTTCACCGGTTGACTGAGCTTGCCGTACGGAGGTTGACGTGATGACTAATCCTAGTTTGATGGTGCCGGCTATACGAGGGTGGGCGGACCTCAAACGAAAAATTAAACGGGGGGCCGTCCAAAGAACCCCGACACTTGAGGCTCTGCGGCCAACTCTCACACGGATACAGTAGGAAAGAACCGGGCAAAGGTCGCAAGCCTGGCAAGGGCCCAATGGCGTTGGGTAGCGACGTGCGCATGCATAACACCCCGCTACGAGCCCACCATAGCCGCCCGGCCAGCATCTCAGACCTGCACCCCAACAGCGGGACTTGACGCCAACGTAGCAGCGTGAATTTGCGGGAAAGTGGCACACTGTCATGATTCACAAACACATTCATCTGAGAAGTCACTATCATGGGACTCGGTGTACGCGAGATTGTCCTGTCGTACGATTGCTGCCCAACGTACAAGCCGCTCTGGCCGTGCTTTATGCAACCTCTTAATGCTTCCCTGTCGAGTCAGCATTTGTACCGAGGATAACCTATTCGTACAAGTCCGCCCACAGGAGGAGCGGTCCGGTGAATGTGGCAGGTGTTATAGCCGGTATTATAGCCTCCATCTCAACGCAGTTTGTCTGGGTAGAGCTGGCTTTTTGGCCAGTGAGCATTGCAACATTCGCAGGGGTTGTTGTGTGACTAGAGAGTCGTTACAGTGCAACCCTATAGGCTTACGATGAGTCGACTATGAAGCCACGGGTGTGAAGGAGGCCCTTACTCTATACCAGAGCCATCAAACTCACCTAGTACAAGCCAGCGCTGAGTTACAACAGCAGATCGGAGCGCCGCATAGTTGTTGGTTGATTGCCATGTGACTCACGACATTCTACAAGACGCATGATGCTATACTGCAGTCTCCACCCTCTAGCAGCAGCAAGCAAGGATCAAACAACCACAATTGGATTCCGGCGCCCCGAGCTCTCTGACAATGCACAGGCGCAGGAAATCAGCGCTGTAATGGTTCGCTCCCCAAGACTGAGTACAGCGACTCGGCTCGAGGTGATCCCCAGATCACGAGTATCTTGACTCATGCCACCTGTTGCAGGCTTCCGGGACAAGGGAAAGGAACGAAGCTGTCCAACACCTGTGTCACTCCCATCATGCACGCGAGGCGAGTCGTCACAAAACGGCAACAACTCGTCTGACAGCCTTGGTTGCGACCCGACCTAACCCCACGCTGCGCTCGGGTCTGAGACATACATGACAAGTCGTCGTGTCCCGAGTTTCTGTAGGGCTGGCTGTTTCGTCGTCTTTGTCATGCCAGCCAGTCTTCAGACAGACTAACTAGAACTGATCCATCCGACGGCGCGTTTGCCAATCCTAGCACTTCCGCTGCTGCAGTGTCGATCGTCGGGTAGAGCTTTGGCTAGCGGCGCAAGCCCGTGTGCCAAGTGCGGGCGAGACGCGGATGGGATCGTCTGCAATATGCCAGTTAGCGAGCCAACACTACTAAACGTATGAGTATGAGTTGGCACAAGCCCCTCTGATATTGATACTTACTCGAGCTGCAAATATGACAGCTAAAGCGGCCGTGTCCGTCAAGGATGCAAATGCGGTGGAGCGCGGGAAGCACCCGAGGAGCCAATAGAGCGGCCCTGTAAAGGCACCTCTAATCCTCCCACTCTTGTAAACCCCGGAATCCCCCCTGGGTGCTTTATAAACGGCCAGCAACTTCCCCGGGCCCGGGACGGATCTCATCAGGACGACAGAGCAACCAAAAAGGCGATCATTCCCTGCTGCCCTTCCCTCTCTTTTCTTCATCGCAACCCACCTGACGCGTCGGACGAACCAAACGCTGCGCTCTATTTTGCGTCTCGAGTGAGAAGACGTCCGTGATACCATCAGGGCAGTGCCGCCCATCAAATTAGAAGCTTGTGCGGTCGCAGACACACTCTCGTCGTCAACCAGGAAGCTCCCCACCTTCCCCAATCTCTACTCTCTGCCACGTCGTCCGCCCCCGGTGCGAGTTCGCTGTCGAGAATCGGATGACTCTGGGATTCTCCCACGCCGCTTCTGGTTCGGACCCCTCCCCCATATTTCCTGCCCGCGTCACCGTCGCGAGCCGATCCACGACTGTCCCGCGGCATCCAGAGCTGGCTCGACAGGCGCAACCAACCAGCAAAGCACGGTGAACAATCGTCTCTTGGCTCTGTCCAGCAGTACCAGGCCTAACCCTCCCGCGTCAACACCTCTCTCACAACTCACCGCCCACCCAAGCGCATCGGTGTCATCATGGCGGCGGCATTCAACATGGACGAAATCTATCGTCTCGTAGACGATCTGGCGCAAACAACCGACCGCTTCTCCCAACTGAACGCAACAGGATACGCACCTCCCACTCCATCCCATGCCGAAATCAACATCCCCGACTATCGCATGCTGCCCGAGCTGATGCGTAGCTCGGCCGGACCCAGACAGTCTCGACATCGCCGGCCAACAAGTCAGACGACATCCTCTACCAGGTACAGCAGCACCTGGGACCGTTCCTCATACCAGGGGTCGGCAGGGTCGTATCCGTCGACATCACCCTCCACCAGACCGTCGAGACGATCTCTACCCGAGAGTGTCGTTGGTCGTATCGCTGCCAGACTCCCGAACCAAGGCATATATGTACTACCATGCGAATTTGCCGCGTATACTGGCTGCGACGCCAGCTTCGACCTGGAAGATATCGACAACTGGATAGAGCACACCATCTCCCATCTCCACGATAGACCGCCTCCGAAGTCCATGTGTTGGTTCTGCGACGAAGTCGACTATCATGCAGATAAGCATAGGTTCGATGCGAGAACTATTTTCGAGTATCGAATGCACCATATTCGCGATCACATCAGAGATGAGCGCTATACAGTCTGGGACATGCGCCCTGACTACCACTTTATCGACCACTTGGATAAGTACGACATCATCGGGAAAGATGTTATCGATACGGCTCGGAGCTGGTGCGAGGGCCCCAGTAGAACCATGGAGGGTATTTATAACCATGACTTTATTCCTCCTTCGCAACCCCGCTCAGAGTACGTCCCCTACGACACAAGAGCAGAGGACAGGGAAAGGCAGCGACAGCAACGGAGACAGCGGCAGTCAGCCCGTGGACACCGCTAGTCGCTCGCCAGCTCGACGTGTGCTGGCCTCCGTCTTTCTCCATCGGTCTCGGAAATAGCGCTGGTTGCATGATACCCCATGAGTCGTTTAGAGAAGGGTCAAGGCTTGCATGAACACATTTCAAGCAATGATGAGGTTGGTTAGCGGTGAAACTCGGGGATTTTGACTTACGATTGTCATTACCGAGCTGAAGAGAAGCATACAGGTTCGTTGGTATATATGCCGGGCAAAGTCAGACTCGGATGTCTTTTCGGTGTTTCTTTTCTATTCGATGGTCTTTTCCTTAAGCTCTGCAGCCATCCGCGAATCGGGGTTTGCCTTGATGAGTCAGTTGCCGACACAGCCTGCGGATTAGTGCGGTAGGGCTGCGTGCATTTCTTAATTGGTCATGAGGCGGTGTATTGTTGCATTGGGCAGCGCTGGCAATGGTGCCTCTTGCCAATGGGACCGGTTTGCCTCGTTGGACAAGCTGTATGCAGACCTGCTGAACGAGTCTGTCGGGAATGGTGGAATTTTTGAGGTTTTGTCATTCCCTTTTCACTGGAAGAAGGATGATGGTGTTGGTCAGCCCAACGCGGAGTGCCGGCCACCGTGGCGCATGTTGCGTGTGTTGCGCGAGATCACATGTTGACAGACCACCAGTGAGCCCGTGTCCTAGTCAAGGCAGGAGGTCACCTGCTCCTTGTGAAGGGCTCATCAGGTGGCGTCAACATCAACAAGCAAGGCTGCCGGTACGAGAATGATTGACATTGGTCATGTCCAACCAGCAAATCGGAGTTGTCATAGGGTATAACTCGGTGGATTTCTTTCTTTGATATCACGGGATGATGCGACCCTCCAAATTGATACGACGAACAATGGGATCAATGATGATACGTGCAACGTGGAGAACACCACTCAATCAAGAATGAGAGATATGAATGAAAGAAGATTTCCCTTCTCAATGACCGCGTGTGCCCTTTTCAATTCCTGTTGGAGTGCAACAGGGTTAGCCATCAGGCCGCCGCATGGCCCGTCCCAACTAATAGCAAACCTTGTCACCCCCCAAGAACCTTGCTGCTGCACGGCCATAGCAACCTGATACAGACACCTATGGCCACTCGATATAGCAAGTTTGTGCTTTTTCTCGACAGGCAAGGGGGCGAGTTTTTTTTTTTTTTTTTCGTAATCGCTGGATGTCGCGGCAACAAAATGCTCAGCCTCAATCTGTGGCAAAAAATTATCGCAGCCAATCCCTTGCCGAGGAGCCTTGCCCTGAGAGCGTGTCATGCAGTCACACTCTGAGGACTTTTCGAAGTTTCACATGTTGGGGGACAGGTCAACAAAAGGAGACGAATGTACGTGGGAGGGCGTTCGGGCCTTTTTATCTTCAAGGGGGGTTGGGGAGCTCCTCGGGCCCTTCGCCCGTCCACCGCAGCCTGCTCTATGCAGGTGGTCCCCTCTCCTGCGCCGCTTTTATACTCTGAACATGGTTCGCCTTCGCCCGACTGCATAGTAGTATTACGGGGTCTTGGCACTCGGTCTCCGAAGCCTTTTCTATATGCCCTGATAGGACCTCTTCCTGCCATTACTCCGTAAGCCGGGGCCATTCCTAACCCCGTGGGGAGATGCTCGGTCCTGGGAGCTAACACGATACCCTACAACCCGACCGCGACGGCTGAGCAAGCTTACACAAGGATCAAACAGTCGCAATATAGACGTAAGTAGAGCTGCGTTGGGGATAGAGTTTCGTAAATCCGTAACCAGCTCTCTTGGCGCAGCTATGTTGTGCCAATCGGCGTTCGGGACTGCTGCCTAACCAAAATATGTAGATCCGGTCAAACCGGAGTTGGGAGATAGATGGATATGGAGAAGGAGGAGGATGACCTCCCCCCTCACGGGGGCTAGGCTAGATGCGGAGGGTTTCCCATAATCAATTTTCTTCTTCTTGTATCTTTGACACCTGAAAGTGTATTGCTTTGCTCAGTGGTCTCTAAGCGTTAGCCCCCCAAGGTGGAGCCCCTAATGATCGAAGGGCGTGTGCCCTTCCATGACAAGGGGCGTACGAAGTGCCTCTAGGCCGGCTTCGTGTCTTGTTCTTGCACTGTGCTGACGAGTTGTGTGATGTTTCACGGAGGGAGACCTAGAACCTCTCGTGTGTCCTTGGATCCTCCCCCTTGATGTTGTTTGCCCAACTACCTTGGGTCATATTCAGGTATACATGCCACTTACACCGCACCACAACATCACACGCAGTGCCAGCTAACACGATCCGCTGCTCAGGTGTTTATGATAGTTCCTGTCCATCGACACAGATGCACAGATGGTCGATTGATTCACCAAATCTACGATGCCCGTCCATTACCTCTTCCGCGACCGAGCCCTACCACCCTAATCATCCACACTCACCTGTCTGAAGCTCCCTGGTCATATCTACGGACGAGACGTCGCCATTCTCCTCGATTTTGTATACATATATATGCCGAGGTTATGGCTTGGAGGCAACGCACGCGCCCTCGGGCATCCAATATACCATAGTCACGATCCGCTCTGAACCGCTGCCTAACAAAGAACAAGGAATCTGTGAACCTTCACGGGTATACTTTGTGCTCTCGCAAGAAACACTAAAGCCTTTCTGTTTTAATCTTGCCTATTCACGTCGTTGACATGCCATACCCTCCGTGGTCTCTTCAACGTGGAGCCAAAAGGGAGAGATGCTTCCAACCAAGTTGCACTTGACTGATCGAAGAGCCGTGTCTGCCTTGGCACGTCTCGGAGAATAGTGATGGCACACTATGTCCGTCTCCAATAGTGAATCTTGCAGACGCACCAAATTCATCAATCCGACTTGTGCTAAGTACTAGTCGGCCATCTCCTAGCTCAAGCATATGTGTCTGAGGGTCAACACCAAACAATGTAGCCTTTGATGGATGGGTTTCCCAAACCTACCCGCCCTCAATCCGATTGTGTGGTGAAACGTACCACGTCTGTATAAAAAGGTGGAACATATCAAAGACGATAATATCACACTGTTCGGGTGAACCTAACGGCTGCTCTGGATTTATGGAGTTAGGTACTATATTGGGTACCCCTAAGTTCTGTATTTATATATGGATGGGCGTGATCCCTCGACGTCGGCCCAAACCCAACAATTATATCATAGCTCCACCAAGCGTGGCATCAAGTGCTATCCAAAAGCGTGGCACGTATGCTGCCATCCTTCTGATATCCCAACGGAAGCGCTCAGTGGAATTCGGCTTCCACACGCCCGTACCGCACCCCGTCCACCTTCAGCTCGAAGCCAAGCCCGGCACTGTCGACAATCATCTCGAGCGTGAAGTCCAGGTTGTCGAACTCGACGCCTCTCGTCGTCGTGAGCCGGGTGAACAGGCTTCTGGGGACGGCGCTGAGGTCGGTCGTCAGGGTGCAGACATGGACGAGCTCGCGTCCGTACGCCGCGGGAGGCTCGTCTGCCTCGCAGGCTATCAGGTCGTCCGTCACGATGAGAGACTGGCCGGGACGGAAATTCCGCGTATAATGAAACGCTATCGGAGACAAGGGCGAAATGGCCTCACCCTATCATGCACAGATTAGTAACCATCCAATCGCTCAGAGTTGCTTGGAAAATTGAGAGGCGTCGCGGAAAGAAGTAGAATCGATCCATCCCCTGTGCATGTTTCAAAAGAAAGGAAATCATTGTTCATGCCAGCGGGGCGTAGGGGTTTGAGACGAAAAGCTAACACGGAGGCAGCTCACCTTAGCAATGTGCCACTGCATGCGATCCGACACCATCCATCGCTCCCATAGGGGAGACCAGTAGCGTTCGCTGACGCTGTGCTTCTCCTCGTCGTACACGGTAGCGTACGATGTGCCGTAGTGCATGCGCGCCTTGCGCGAGATGACCATGTTTCCCTCGAGGCCGCGGAGCACCGCGCCGCGCACCACGGCCGTCCAGGCGTACACCGGCTGCATCACCTCGATCGAGCCGTACTCGGCCACGGTACTACCGCTGGCGTGGGTCGGACGCTCGGTGTATGGTGGCGGTGCTGCGCTCGTGAAGTGTGCCTTCATGCGTCGATATAGGTAGTCACTTTGCCCAAAACCGCCAACAAGAACGATCCCTGATACTATGCCGCCTTTGCTGCGGACCGTGTTGACTTGGCCTTGGACGAGGTCGCAAACCTCCTTGACCACGGGTTCGAAGATCTCCTTGATTTGGGCCGCTGTGAGGACCAAGAAGCCGGAGTCCAAGCCGGCTTCCTCATCATCCGGCAACCCTGGGAAACTGATCGGTGTCAGCATGTTCGTGCTTGGTGTTATCAGGTCGGACTACTTACGGCACGTTGACTTCTTGGTACTCATCCTCATTGAAGTTCCTTTTTACGAACTCCTCAAAGTATCGCAGTCCCATCTGCCAAGTCTTACCCTTCTTCATCTTCATTTCGTCGAAACGGCCGTGGCCAAGGCGACTCCGGACATGCTCCTCGAACCTGTAATTGAGAAAGGCACTACCACATAGACCTCCGGTACCAACGGCAGATTCTTCTACGCGCAGAGGCTTCAGTGAAATAATTTTATAAGCAATCAAACTAGAACCGGTCAGTCAGAACTTGCGAATACGACTATTGTTGTGACTCACTCTACGGTGCCACCACCGGCGTCACAGACGATGAAGTTGTCTCCAACGTTGAGGTGGTTCGGCTGGATCGCCTTGAGAGTGTAGACAGCCGCAGCCTCGGGCTCGCTGATCATCTGGATGTCAGACTTGGCACCCATGCCGGCCCTTTCGGCTGCCTGAAGTGTTGTGTTCTTAGCAGCATCAGACCAGACAGCGGGACACGTGAGCACGAAGTCCACCTTGGTCGAGGCCATGAACGACTCGCCATATCTCCTCGTCAGAGTGTCCATGGTATGCTTGTAGATCTGGGTGAGGTAGTCGCTGACGGCGTCGACGACATTCTTCTCGTATTTCCTCAGCTGGGTCGCAGTCTCCTGTGGGCTGACGTAGAACGGGAGTTTCTGCGACCGGTCGAGGAAGAGCTTGATACATCGTAGCCGTGACTCTTCAGGTTTGAACTGGAACCCCCATTTCACGGTCGGGCCTGTCCCTGCCGGGGCGTTTGGAGGTGTGTCATACGAAATCTCAGTCGGGACCTTATCCGACGTGATGCCGTTGCCGCCAGGCCATGTCTTGATGATCTCAATGTCATCTGGTGTAGATGTATATACCGCTGCAACACTGTTCGGACGCGTTAGTTTCAGTTGGCCATGGCATAAAGCACACATAGCGAGCGTGGAATGGAGTAAACTCGAAGTTGCGCGGGATCTCTCAGAGAACCACCTTCGCCATCCATGTCCTCAACCTCAAGATGAGTAGAACAGCCGAGGCTGAGCACGAGCTCCATATTCCTCCGAGCGCAATGGATGGGAAGGAGGGCGCATACTCACCCGGAAAAAGTTGTACCAAAATCAACACCGACTATAAGCCGGTCGTTGATAGGGGCCAGCTCGCGCACCGGGCCATTGATGGCCTCTGCCGACGATGGCGGGGTGTAGCTCGTGAAGTACCGGTCCCGGCTATCCTGGTTCCTCTGGCTGCGACTTGAGCGGACTGGGAGGTTGAAGCTCATGGTGGCAGCGCCCGCGTGGCCAGCCTCGAGGCTCTTCTTATTGACTCAAGACTTTCTTCAATGAGAGGAGGGGAACCAGTCATACCCGAGAAGACTAGGCCACGGTCCCAAATTGCGCCCCTTCTCTGAGAAGAATACCCAGGCCACAAATGATGGCGAGACTCTGCTAGATAAAACCAATTGATTGCGACAAACCAAGAACCCAGGTTCAGGCGCAAAGATTTCTCAGCTCCAGCAGGCGTTCTCAAGGTAGGTGGCACGACACCAAATAACCGGAGGCACATACAGTAAGTCGAATGGGTACAGCGGGGCAGTGTTCCTGTCTCCGTCTGACTCGGGAGCCAATCGAGCGGCACAGCTTACGCTCAAATAACAGAGGCGAAAAGTCCTGATCTGGGCAGCAATTTCCAAAAGGCTCCGATTTGTATACAACAGACGTCACAGAAAATGCAGAGCTACCAGGCTGCCATATTCTTTTCCCTGAAAGGATCGCGGCCGATACGAGGGGCTGGCGAAAGCGCCCATCGTGTACATAATGCTGCAGTGCATTTTGTTGCTGCCTGGCCGGGGGGAAAGAGACGGCGGCTCCAGCTGGCCGCCGGCCGGTGGGCTGTGTGAATGCTGATTGTCAGCGTGAGACAGGAGTTGAACTAATAAGTTCACCCAAATAAGTTACCTCGTGCCTCCTCCGCAAGGCTCCGGACGATGTGGTGGCGCTATTTGTGACTTTGTGTGCTTCCTGCGAACCACTTCAGACGACCCCGTGCGATGGGATGCTGGCTTAGTGTTATGTAGCATTGGTCATGCTGCCCCGGAGAACTCTAAGTTTGCCCAAGCCCATCGTCCCTGCATAACGGGCTGTAGCCCGCCCGGTGCCTGGGGACAACCAAAGACTAGATGAACTCTGCCGATCTCGATTGGCATATGAGCCTTGATAGGACGGGGAATATAAGCTCTGGGTCGTAGCTTGGCGACTGGACCGTCAAGTTGCGCTTTCGAAGCGAGACACGCTCTTTTCCACCAGGACCGTTTACTGTACATGCCAAATGCCGGACTCATTCAAGGAGCCTCGACCAGCTTAAGTCACTGAGGATCAGGAAACGGAAGTGGAGGATTTGTTATATGCGATGCCGCAATGCGGGACCATTATGCCCGTGCGAAAAGGATCGTGTTCGTGTATATATATGCTTCTAAGGCCCGGGATAACAAATTATGTGCTGGCCTAGCCATTCAAAATCTCTTGCTCTTAGTTCCTGCTCGCGCTATAGGGAGACACTTCTTTGAAACAGAACCCTGCTAACCATCGCACCCAGTCGCTTCCCCTTTGTACAATATGTTTTACGAATGTTTCCAAACTGCCTTCCGCAGCGACCTTCACCCTCGCCTGAACGGAGTCAAATTCAAGTCTGCCCGTAGATGACCACGAACAGCATGCTCGTCTTCACTGAGCTCTAACAAAGGAAAATGCGCTGATAATGGGACCTTATGCCCTTTTGCAACCTCAATGTCTATACCGGGGTATTTGGTGAATGAAACAAGATAAAAACAACTAGCTTGAGTTGATAATACCAACTCTTCGGGTATTGAAATTGGCATCGGTCAAGTTGTCTTGAACCCGAACATGGTCTTCAAACGAGACCGATGCCGAATGATCAAGGCGAGGGAGCGTTGCGAAAACAATGATGCCGGCCGTGTAAATTCTCCAAAGAAAAACAAAGGCGCCCCCGAACACCGTGCCATGAGAACTGATACAACTCACGTCGCCACCACATAAGCTGAAGAACGACAACATCTCAAAATCTATTGCCCGCGGCCCAGATGCTAGCCGCTGCCGATGACGCCCACTCACTCTCCTCATACGGTGGCGTCGGCCACTTCTGGGCATCTCGGGCGGCATTCCGCTTCAGGTCCAGGGGTTTGGGCGTGATCGCCTCATGTCCGTCGCCGAATAGGACCTGGTTGCCGCTCGCGGAGGGCGAAGGTGTTGGATACGGGTTGGAGAGCACAACGTTGCTTGCCGATTGCCGAAGCCCAGGCTTTCCATCCTTCTCCATGCGCTTCATGGCACGGTGAGTCGAGTTGAGGACCTCATCAAGGAGCTCATCCTCTTCATCAGGCGCATCGTATTGATGGACACCGTGAGTTGCCTGTGCCCTTCGCGTGCGACTGGAAATAGGCCCAGTGCCTCGTGCCGCACCGATCAGATTATCAACTGATCGTGGTTGCTGGTGGGGCAGGGAATGGTGTCGCTTCAGGTTGCTGGTCGGAGTCACCATATGGCTGGGCGGAAGTGGAGCCTGGGACGCTTGTACGCCGTGTTGAGCCTCCCGAATCGCTCGATCTAGCGACTCGTAGTTCTCAATCTTTGCCGGAGCAGGCGCTGGCTGATCTATAACCATTGATGACCGGTTGCTTGCCCATGGACCACAGCCAGCTTGAGCTTCAATGTCATCGTACGCCGGAGATACTGGTGTCTGATGTCTGCCTGAGAAGCGTCTGGCGCGTTTCCGCAAATGAGAGAAGAAGCTCTCCTTGTGGCCATTCGGGGGAGAAGCGAGTCCACTGTTGCCGTTGAGTGCCCTTTCGGCTTGCTGGCGGTGGATTTCGGCGTAGTGATTCGTGCTCGACGCCACAGACAATTGCCGTCCGATTTTCTTGGCCGTTTTCTCCTCCATCGGAGCCACTCGGTGACCATTCGCATACGAGTCGTTGTATGAAGGTGTCCTATTGGAAGCTTGCGCGTGGACAGCGTCAGACAAGGGAGATATGGGTCGGATGGTTGGAAGGATGGGCATCGGTGCGACGTTTGAGGGGCCGTTAGTCCAGGTTGTGCGCTTACCATTCGGTGGGCGTGTTTTAGCTGCTTGAATCTCATCGACAGTTGACGCGTGAACAGGCGAGGGTCGTGATGCCGTCATTTCTTTGGCCGCGGCTTGTGCCGGCGTCAGCTCGGCACTCTCAGAGCGACCGATGAGTGACTTCCGGAACCATGAAGGCTTGGACGAAGTGGGAGTTGAGGAACCGTCTTTACGGCCAATCTCGGACGGCTTCCTGCCCAAAATTCTCGAGGCGGACGACTTCGGTCGTAGAGGGTCCACAGCGTCAGCAAAGTACTCATGAGCTAAAGCTTGAGTCGATGTAGGCCTGTTCTTAGGGTCCCACATCAAGCACCACGTAACAAAGTGGCTCAGAGATGCAGGCCATTGAGGTGTCTGCAGGATGGTGTCCATAGCATGGGGTGCCATCTTGGGGAACGAGAATCCAAGCTTGCCTGCTAATCTCGTTCCTTCTCTCCAATCTCCGCCACCTACACGGGCACCGGCCTTGTTGTACCAGTTCCCTGGGCTTCCCATGATTTCGCATACCCTCCATACCTGATCGACTTCGTTACCTCCCGGGAAGAGAGGCTTCAGGGTCGCAACCTCCACTGCCATGGCACCAACAGCCCAAATGTCGACGGGTGCAGAGTATTCTCCGGCACGCAACAAAACCTCAGGTGCTCGATACCATCTGGTGGATACATAAGTTGTGTAAGGTAATTTGGAGTGAGTTTCACGGGCAAGGCCGAAATCCGCAATCTTAACTGTGTACGTCGGGGGAGTCGAGGGTGGTGTAACCAATGCCGAGTAACGTCTAAAGGAGTTGGTCGAGTCTTGGTGAGACGAGGTTGAAACCAAAATGTTTTCTGGCTTTATGTCGCGATGAAAAAAATGGTGAGCGTGAATATGCTCCAATCCTTGCATAATCTGGAATAAGATGCTCTTGACGCTGCCGTTATCAAGGGCCTTGTGATCGCGCGCCTTCATGAGCTGATACAGATTGCCTTCCATATATTCCATAGCGATGTGAAGCTTCTTGCTGAAGGGGTCCAGAAATATATCAAGGGCCGGGACCAGGTGAGCGTGTGGTGGTAGCGTTCGCAGGAAAACTACCTCACGGAGTTCCAAACAGGGAGAGAATGCCTCAAAGGTCTTCTTCATAGTTTTGATGGCCACCTGTGTTCCGTTAGTTGAATGGCCCCAAATCAATACAGGCTCGCAGCAAAACTCACCACCGTGCCTCTCCGGGCCACACTGGCGCCGGCACTCCTGACTCTCGCCAATACCACACTGCCAAAGCTACCATCTCCTATCTCCTTCAATACTTCAAATCGGTCCTCAAGAGCCATTCCTGCTGAGCTATGAGGCGTAAAGGACCCCCGGTGGGTCAGGTCGTGCGCTACCGTCATTTTGGATCACGGTAGGTATTATACGGGGATAAACGGGCAAGTCAAGACGCGTGGCATGAAATAGGTCATAGACCAAAAGCAAGACCCGTGTCTGCTATCAGCGAGGCTTCCACCACGCGGTGTGCTGTCAACAAGCTCTATGGGAGAGCTTCGTTCATTTACTGGTTCATCCAAGGTAATGATGTCAAGGCTGGACGGAAACAGCGGGTGCCGAGAGAGAGAGGATATAGCGGACGAGTCGTAGTAAGTAGTCGATAGTCGGTAGTGCCGTCTTGGTTGTATTCGAGATAAGATGGAAGGAGAGGAAGGTTCAAGATACAAGCAAGTGATAGAGGGGAATGGACAGGAGGCCCTTGGATTAATAGGATGGATTAGGGGACCAGGGGAGTATGGAACCAGAATGTCGGGGTGCGGGTCTGTCAAGGCGGATTGATGTTCGAATAGCTGGGTTGAGCTTCTCGAAATATGCAGACCTTGCTAGCGCCCAAGATGCTGGTCTGTGTAATGAGCAAATGAATGAATGAAGGAACTGATTTAGATTGACCGGGCTGGTCTGGGAGGGAAAAGGAATAACTGCAGAGAGCTGGAAAAGAGCGAATAATGAGTGGGCGGGATTGTTCCGGTGCGAGTTGCCGTTGGAAGGGGATGTATATCGTCGCGATTGATGCTTTGGTGTAGCTACAGCGTAACTACCGGTCGCAGAATACTCGAGTCGCTAGATTGAGAAAACGGGCACGGAAGAGGAAGCGGTTCAGACAGGGAACAAGCAAGCGTGAGCATGACAGTTGACATCAGAAAGCTGAAGCTGCTCACTAGCCAGGCCCGGACGTTGCCATGAACTTGCCTCTGCCGTTTCGAGTTTCGAGCGAGCGAGGGTGGTGATTGTAATGAGAGGAGAAAGTGAGATGAGCAATGCTCCAACGAAGGCGCCCGGTGCCCGTCTTGCGATCACAGACAGTCCACTTCGGGGCAGGCAGCGTGCGTCCCGTCAGAGGTGTTTGGGTCGCTGGCCCATCGATAGCATGAACAGAAAGGGACCGGGGGGGAGAAGGGGTGGCCCCCCATTCGACCCCAATTTCGCTAGTGATTCGGGGACAGGACGCTGGTTCGAGCCAATCTGCCAATTTGCTATGAGACCCAGAGGAGACAGGGGTGTCGTCAAAGGGCCAGAAAACTCGGAGCGTTACAACTCGAGCGGGTTCCTGGTTATTTTAGTTTGATTATCACTTGCTCTAAATTTCTTTTTCCCCCGGCTGATGCCCAGGCGATAGGAGTGCAGCAGACCTCTGGCCCTGTGACTGTGCGTGGGATCGCTGTATTACTCGTGTTCCTGCTGGAGAGAATGCCCCGAATGCCTCCTGGGGGATGGGACGGGTGGACGGGAGGGATTTCAGGGAGACTGGCACTGGCTGGTGCGGGCCTGACCTGCCACGGGTTAGGCCATGGCGGGCAAGCGGGAGGTACGGTAAGGCAGCATGACAAAAGCCAGGAACCGTCATCCACTCGAACCGTTTGGCATTGAAGACAGTGGGGATCGGACGAAATGACGAAGGCTAAAGCGCTGATTTTCCACAATCCCAACCTAAAGTCTCCCCGTGCTCAACCACCGAGTCGCACTGTGACGACGATCCTTGGAGGCACAAGCATCTGGAACGTTTACCATGCTTGTCCATGACCGAAGACGCGGATCGCGTCGAGTCGCTTTTGGAATACTGTGGAGGTGCGTAGTCTAGTATTGTGGGCACGACGGGATAGATGCCTGTCTACGGCGGCGCGCTCCCTACAGTACGGTGCCTCGGTTCCTCTGGCAGAGAGTATGTAGTTCAAAAACACTGTTGTCTTATTAGTCGATAAGGTTTGGGTGTCGCTGAGTGCAGCTGATACTGCAACGAGTACCGTACATGCACAGCTTCGGCCCTCGAGTTTGAGGATGATGACTGTATCAATCAATCAAGGCCAACCCTAAAGCGGCGCAGACGACAACTCCCGTCGTCAGCGGGCGAAAGCGTGTTCTCGGCAGTCAATTCTGATGTGACGACGCAAATAAACGCGCAGCACGCTCTGCAACCGGGTGCAGTCAAACTGCGATTCCCCAGCAACCGGTCCTTGATGTGGTCCCCGTTGCCCAAAGGTCCAGAAAATGGATGGAGAGCGCCCAATTGGGAGCTTGCGTGTTGCGTGGATCAGGATGCGCAGCTTGTTTTGGTCAATGCCAGCGCAACAGACAGCTCTCATCTGCATGCGATTCTACGCTGAATCAGACCTAGCTGCGCAGCCGCGGCACTCGACAGATCCAGCAGCTTGCAGATCTCACATGAGAAGCTGTCTCTGTTGGCATAGGCGATTTGCAGTATGACCAGTGGCTTCAAATGACAGACGACGGGCCATGGGCTGGCGGGCCTGACACGCAGAGGAAATGGACTGCGCAGGGTATTTTTGGATCGCGTATTTGGCAATCCGCCCCTTGGTGAAACGTAGCCACAGAATCGCTATAACCCGACCCGTCTCTGCCACAGCTCACTAGTGCAATCCGCAGTCCATCTGAGGATCGCAACTTTCCACCCTAAAGGGCTTGAGAGGGCCAAACGATCGCTCAACTTCTGTGATCCGACAGCAACGATCAGCATGTTACGCAGCAAGTAACGTCCGTCATCTTTGCACAAGAAATTGACCGTGCGGCAGGACTGGTAACAATATTGGAATGCGTCAATTGCCGTGCTCTTCTGGAGAAGCTAACCACTTCACTAATGAAGTGCCTATTCCCGAAGAAGGTGGAAAAGGGGGAGGCCCGTGGGCGTGTGACCAGGCCCAATCAAGACCATCAAAATTCCCAAGGTGACGAGTCGACGGACATGTGGTTTCATGAATGCCCGGATGCTCCGTCCCCTGTCCGCCACTGGCCAGAAATGCTCAGTCACCAGCCAAGTAAATAGATCAGCAACCGAACCGGTCAAACCAGAGCCGGCTGGACAACATCTAGGATGGACAAGAGTCATTGCTGTTTTAATCAGTAGACCAGGAGTCACGGTCTTTCGAACTCCAGTCCTGAGCAGACCTAGCCGTAACTTGTAAGGGATGGGCTGGTTTTAAGGGGGCCGTCGAGAAACGGCGGTACTCCGACTCGCCGTTTCGGTACTCGTCAGTCGTAGCGGTCAGCCGGGGCCTTCCAGGTATTCCTGAACAGCAGCAAAGTAGCTAGTCAGCTATGCCGATCTAATCCTCTCTTGGGCCATAGAGCGGACCTGCAGGTACATTGGTGCCCGTGCTTCCGTGCTATGGACGAATGCCCTGACAGAAGAGTTCCATCCCACCATCTTCTTCCCGCAGCCGTACCTGAACCTTCCAAACAGCCGGGTCGCCTTGGGATCTGCCTTGCGACGAGGTACCTGTACCCTAGTGGCACCATGACAGCCGATGCGCAGGTGACAGAACGCGTGCAGTCTTGTTGGAGCGAGGAACGCGTGCAGCATATGAGCAGGGGGTTTGGCTTGATGTGGTGTCATCATCATCGAGTCACACTGCCAACTTCTGGGCATCAGCATCCCTAGCGACTCTTTGACCCTTCTGCCACTTGTAGACTGGCGGCGGGATTGGACCTGACGGTGCGATGCCCTTTGAGACGATAGCAGCGCTAAGCCGCGCGGAAGGGCAGCCTAGCAGTGAAGCATGAAAGTTTCGTCGAGCTTGAAACGCGGTGGTGGCATCAGATGGCTGCCCGGCCGGTAGGGACAGGCAAGCCTGACTTCCCACTAAAAAGTCCCTTGCCCTCATGGGAACCGCCAAATTCATCGCGCGGCGCGCGCCTTTCCTAGAGGGGATAATAGAGCAGCCGGAAAGGGAGCCCGCTGGCCGCCATTGCGCTTGATACCTGGTGTTTGCTCAATTTCACGAAAATCATGCCTCTGCGGTACTGGACCGGGATCCACGAGAGCTTGAACCCTTTGCACCGTGCAGCCCTTGTGGGATGAAAAGCATTGAGTCAATCATGCTTGCGGCAGGGAGGCCCCTTTCGTTGCTGCTCAAGGGCTGGCCGCTGTTGGACAGTGCTGTGCCCGCATAAAGACGCATACAAGCAGACTCCGGCTCATTCACCAGTCCGCCATGGACCTGATGCCGCTAAGCCGTCCGACGGATATGCCTCTCATGGTACCACGAAGCTGCTGAGAACAACAACAACAAAATATAGGAACCCGCCCGCATCGGCATGGTAAAGGTGCCTGTATCGATGATAATTCAGGCTCTTGTTGCTGGGCAGCCGGGTCAACTTTCCATATGCCGGGGTAAAAGTTCCATGTCGTCTTCCAGAAGCTCTCCGGCGGCCCCACGGCATTGACACATCCCTGAACAGCGACCTACACAGTAAGCCCCTTTGTTGGCCTGCAAAGGTAAGGGATCCTGCCATAGTGATCAGAAAGTGTATCACCACTATGAGGCCCCAGAATGTGTCGATCATAAAGGAGATCATAGCAACCATTTCTTCTCCCCTTCAACGTGCCAGTACCGTGCAAGTTCAACTTCGGACCAGTCGACTAGGTTTCGTGGACTTTGAACGCAGCGATCTGCCTCAGGGTCAGGCTCTGTGCGGCGGCGGCCTCCTCGTACTGTAGCACCGTAGGACCCCTCATGGTCTGTTCGCTTTGTGACCGTGCGAGGCATCGCAATAACGCATAGGCCCCCTCAAGAACTTCCTATGTATGCTAGTATAATGGATGGGTGGCATGATCCAACCTATGCAGGATGGACTGTCTAGCGCCCCATTCTCTTCCGGGTTTCTGTTGATGTTTTTCGTTGCTATGCTATTGATCGGATAGAAGAGGCCGATTCTATCGAGCAAGGCAAGCCTCTGCTAAACTTAGAAGGACAGCTATCGTGATACCGGGTAGTGGTGAACCCTTGTAGCCCGGGCATGCCTTACGATTGGCAAGATTGGGGTTCCTTGACGAGACACAAGTCAGTGCCATGCCTGACTCGGAACGAAGCAGGGAGCTAAAGAGCAGGCGCCAAAGGCATATATTCAAAATGTTATAATATTCAGCTGGACACTATGTGCTCCTAGTGTTTTCTTCTGCTGAATCATCATCCAATGTGAAACTAGCACTAGCTGTAGATCGGACTTGGGAGTTGGAGAATCACTGGATATCTCTTTGATACGTGAGACGTTGGTGTTGTCGGCGACCAAGCAAGGACGTCCTTTGTCCTTGGTGTCTAGCAGGTACTCAGTTGCTCTTTTCTAACTCATGGCTTCCAGTGTGGCGGCAACCACAGCCTTACGACGGAGTAGATGTGACTGTTGGACCTCGACTTTGGAACTCTGATGCTACAAGCATGACTACAGCTACGGTTCAAACTCGGGCTGCCTGGTACCGTCGATGCGTCCGTGGACTGCCGATTCTTGGTTTTCTGTAGATGTCGTTATAACGTATATGGAATCCGCCCTGTTTGCAGCCGAGTTCCAGACAAGGACTGCGGAGCTGGTGGTCCAATATTCTCATTCAACTGCTATCTATGGAGGTTATGTTGGGAAAAGGAGGTTTGACATCATACGCAATTACTACTTGTTCCTCTGGATGAAAGCGTTGCATGTACGTTCATCCAACGGAAGGCTGAGATAACCGTTTTGAACTTATGATCTCAAGAACTTGGGCGAATGTTTATTTTGATTCTCACCTACTGCGTGCAACGTCCTGAGATTGTCAGATTATCAGGTAGCTTGACGTGTGCCTTGCAACTGATGATGTCTCATTGAGTCCAACAACAGCCATTTACCCCCTCGAAATAATATTTGAGGTCCAAGTTCCGTATTCCGTTTGCTGAGGACAACACAGTTCACATGGTAAGGTTAAAGGAGGTCAGACAGCAGATCCTACGATAAAGAACTGCACCTTCTTTGAGAGCGACTGTCCCCGCGAGCGACTGTCGCTCCTACGTGGGTAGTCGCCCAGAAGCACAACCAAATAACGTTACCTCACCGAAAAATAATCGACTGCTCCGTTTACAAATACAGCTCTGGAGGTGCTGCCGTCGAAGGCACGAAAATTTTACCAACTTACCCAGGCAACCACCAGGTCAGTTCATCAGAGATATCCTACATTCACCCCACACAACAGCTTCAACCATCCCGTCACACAGAAATACCAATAATTCCTGCTGATTCGGCTGCAGTCCACTGACCATTCCCCCAGTCCCGTCAGTGAGTTATCTCACGATACGCCAGTGCCTTGAGCCTTCTCTTCTCAGACTCAGACGGGAAAGTCGTCTTCGACAGCCACATCACCGTCGCGTAGCGACGACCACAGGCGTTTGTACTTTGCCTTGCCTGTTCCGTCCTCCTTCCACGGGACAAACCCATCCATCCACCTGCGCCGAGTTGTCACCTCACTTCGACCGGAGCAAAGTCTTCTGTTCGCCAGATCAACCCAAGCCTGGGACACTTGATCCAAACCAAAATCCAAGTCAAGGTACGTGCATCCTCTGATCCACCTCGACCACTACAAGAAGTTTCCTTCCCTTGAGATCCATGAACCTCACAGTTCGCTACAACCTGCACTCCTCCACCTCAGCTAAGTCTTTGACCCTTGGGTACATTTGTTCCGAAGAGTGCTAGCAAGCTTGGATCCCATACACGCCTTGTGCTTGCCTGAGCAAAACCTCCTCGACTGACGCAACTCACTTCAAGGACCGTTCCGTTCCTTCCTAGTCACCACCGCCGAAACCAGTAGTCAAATCTGGTCATTCATCTACGCCACCATCACTGAGAATTCTGGCATTGAAGACAATCAATACTTCGATCAAGATGTCATCACGCAAGGCCCCTACCTGGACTGGTAACTCGTAAGCGCCAAAATGCATTATTTCGGCGACTAATCTGCTAATATCTCGTACCAGCAATTACAGGGAGTACCCTTTGCCCGAAGGGTATGTACACTACATAGGTGTCACGTTCAGGGACAGTCACTCACTATGCAGTAGGTTTGTGTGCCATATGGATGGGAAGTGGCGCCCCGTCACGAAGTTTAGTAAGAACCAGCTAAAGAAATGGCACAACAAGAAGCGATCTCCCAACGCCCATGTAACTCCCTCCAACGCAGGCCTCATTTGCCGCGATCATTCTGGAGAGCCGGCCTTGCAACTTCAGTGCAATGGACCCTGTGGCCAGCAGAAGATCCGTGACAAGTTCTCACGTTCACAGCGTCGCAATAAGCTCCGCGTAAGACAGAAACCATTCCTAGATGTCCTGGCACCTGGCTAACCTACATTGTAGTGGTGCTCCGCATGTGTCCGCTGGCAGCTACTCCAGGGCACTGAAGATATCCCCAGCGCTACTCCTGGAGGCATCAATGACTCTTCTAGTGAGATCGAGGGTGCTACTAACGCTGCCCACACTGTATCGTACGTACTCGATGACGAAGCGGTCGCCGATTACGGTGCGTATAACGACGGCGACAACGATTCAACGGCAACCGACAATGAAGATGATGATGCTGCTTCTGGCACGGGTCATTACTTCGACGGGGACAGTGACGGCTTCGATGGATCATACGACGATGACGATGACGATGACGATGATGAGGTAGGCATAACGCAGAGTTTCAGGATATGTCACTAACAGAATGCAAAGATCGTGCGAGTATCCAATCTGGACAATGGCGATGATGGGCTGGCTAAGGGCATGGTTTCTATGACCTTGTCGTCTCACCAGCCTGTTTCGCAACCAGCCCAGGCCGCTACGCATGCGACTGCAACAGCATCTGGCATGTACCACGAGCAACGCCCTGCTCAGACTCAGCCGAGATCCTTTGCGAATGTTGCTGCGGGCCGTTCGCAAACCTCCCCCGGCACTTTGACCACACAAGCTTCTACGGAGCCTTCCCGCGCGCCTTCTGTTGCAGATCGGGCTGCTGACTGGGTTCCTCCTCATCTGCTAGCCAGCGAGAACATCAACACTCTGAGAGATGCCGGACTGAGCAACCGACATTTCCCTGGCGCTGCTCAAGTTATGACGTCTGCTGGTGGTGACAAGCCGATTCCTCCTCATCTGAGAGGTTTGAACGGTGTACCGCCTCATCTCAGGGCCGCGACCCCTTTGTCGTCGAGCTCCAACCAGTCGAGAATTCCAAGTCACACAGATGGCTCGGTGTCAGGCCATTCCAGTATTACAGCACATACCCGGGCGAATGTTTCCGACTTTCTCACAGGAAGCACGCCCACAGCATCCGCCCCATCTACGGACTCTCGGGCGGGCGTGCCAACGATGTCGATGAACTCCGTCGTGAGCCAATCACGTCAGGGTCCTACCGCGCAGAGTTTCAACGCCTTTGACCCGCAGGGTAACGCCCATCCCCGTATTGCAAACCGTGGAACGTCTACCGCAGGATCAACTCCGGCGTCTGCGAGGGCTACCCAGGGAATGCCAGGCAAGCGATCTGACAAGAACGGATGGGCTCGACCTGTAAGTAGCGCTCCCACTTTTCATCCGATTCAGTTAACTAACCGAGGTTGCAGTCGCGACGTAAACAATTCGACCAGCTCTACAGGGAGCAAGCTCGAGAGGGTGTCGAACACCATGAAACGTATTACTCTGGATCAGATGACGAGATGTAGTTATTACTGCGTCATCGAAGCTGTTTGCTTCCTCGGGAAGATACAGCATGAATGTTCATACACTCGCCCTATCTTTCTCTCTCTCTCTCTCTCATATTTCTTCTCTTTCATTTCTGTTCTCTCCTTTTCGAGCTGTCTCGCCCTGGTCTTTGTTGTGCCCCGGCATTCGTTTGCGCATTGAGGGCGAGGTTGCGAAATATGAAGATTTCTGGACGACAGACTTTCTTCAAGTGGTTTTCACTCAGGGAAGAAAATTTGCGATGCATCTGAGCCAACTTTGCAGAAACCCTCCCCTGACGTCTTTTGCAAGGCATGGAATAGATAGGCGTCCATTTACCTCCACGGTAGGCAGCAGTACATCTTGCGACAGTTCTAGAGGGGCAAAAAGCAGCTATGCTAGATAGAGCGTCTGCTAGATCTAGATATATCCCTTTGCGGCAGATATTTGGCTCGAGGTCCGCAAGTTCCGACTTGCCATGAAGCCCGCGCTAGCTAGTCAATCAACACTAGGTAACCTCCCGCATCTGCTGGACTCCGCATTTGTTCCTGCCCAATGCCGAAAGCCGTCTCACCACCCACTCAGTTCTTCGGAGAGCCTCACTAACCGCATACAGCCCTGATTGATCCCGCAAACGTAACACAGACGGCTGTCGTGCTGAGGGTTTTTTTTCCCGCTGAACCCCAAAGCCTGATGAGCAGGGGTTGCCCACCTTAGGAGGATTTGACCGCATACTAAGTTGCCCGGCTTATGTGAAGACCCAGGACGCAACGAGAACCCATTTTTCAGGCTGCGCCCGTGTCGCCGCAATCAAGACAAGTGTTGTCATTATATATACACCATGCAGATATGCGTTGTGGGTGTGAGGCTCTGTAGACCTCAGAACCCCCCGAAATGTGATCTCGTACATCTTCTTTCTTGATTACGTTTCATTGATAGTTGAACTGCTTGATTCTGATAACGACCCTTCACCGCAAGATTGGTTCTCTAAACACGAACCAGCGCTCAGAAAATGACTGACGAAACCCGTCGCATTGTAGAAAGAGAGGGCAACTCAAAGCTCAACAATATAGGATGGTCCACATCGTCTGCTGGAGTGATACATGATGACGAGTCCGGCAATGTTTCTCCTAGATCCAAAAAGCTGAATCCTTCAGCAACAGGATGGCCACAATCTACAGCTGACTCTTTTTCCAAGCCGAAACATTTCGACAGCACTGATTCAACTTTAACAACATCGGGTGGGGAGGCAAACACCGGATCTTTCGATGCTCCCTTGAGTCTCTCCTGGCTCCATGAAATCCGAAAAGTTATTCGAGAGGAAGGTAAATTTGATTACCGAGTACCGGATGGAGAAACAAAGCTGCTAAAAGGTCGTGTAGTCGCTGAAGGGTTCCAAAGGCTCGTGTCTGCCACCGAGTCTCCCGTGTCTAGTACCACTGGCTCAGTCCTGTCCCCGCCGACTCCGAGTCTCGATAGTCCGCCGCCGTTTCCAGTACTATCACAAGGTGAAGTGGTCACAGCTATCACAGTATCTCAGAGGCCGGGCGTGCGTTTCAGTGATCGCCGCACTTTCGCCAAACGTCCGGCCGGAGTGCCAAGAAGTGCTTCCAGTTCCCAGCCTCCAGCGGAATGGGGAGATCTGTTCGATACTGATGGATTTGCCACTCCGAGGCTGGGACAAGTACTCCGTGGCCTTGCCAAGTATATTGTACGTCTGGTCATCTAGTCGATGTAGGCATCCATCTGATCAAAGGTCACTAGATCGACGAGTGTACGCCGAAGAATAGTCTGGTCATAACCCCGGAAAAGCTCGCCTCATTTTACTTGAGTTACCGCCTCGACGCTGAAATTCTTCCATTCCTGGGTCAGTAATTATGATTTTTGGTGATGAATTTCATCGTAGAAGCTAACCACTATGCATCATCAGACATCTTCACATCGAACGCTCACGATGCCAACGACAGCCTAGTTGACTTCTACATCGACCTGGAAGTTCAGCATCATCTAGTACAGAAAGACGTGCACTCACGTCCAAAAGTGCCCGCTCTGACGCCACTTGGCTTTGCGCAGTTCCTTACCATATGCATCCTCGCCTACCCTGACCAAGAATTCCGCCGGCTTGAGAAGATATCCACAGAAATTCCACTTACAACAGACACAATATTGCCCGACGGACACGCTGAGAAACTTCCCAGAACCATCATACGATCATGCTTGCCTGCCAAGCATGATGTAAAGAACCGCAAGCTTCTCGACGGCGCTGTCGAGGATCTAGTTTACGATCTGAGCTTGTCGCCTTCCAGATCGGGTAGTTCGTCATCCGCGTTGACCGCCTCTGGGAAAGGAGTTGGTGCGACCACGGCTCGTACCGGCCCTGATCGCGCCAGGGGTATGCAGCTCCCCGATGATTATGAGCTTAAGGGATGCCGTAAGAGATTCATGCCCGGCGCCCTGCAGACTATTGGCGATGAATCTGTGGGTGAAGGTTACGAGTCTATGCACGGCGGAGGCGGACACCACCACCAAGTACATGGAACCGACGCCACCCCTCTAAGAGAAGGTGGCGCGATGCTTCACAATATGGAACATGTTGCCAGCAATCCCACTTACAACCAGCCAGATGGCCGTGTGCAAAGGCTGAGCCTAGCCGCCAATACTGGCCGCTCCCACTCGTTCGGACACCCGTCGTACTTCCAGCCAATGACACCGTCCCGAACCATCTCACCGCCTCCGGTAGGCCACCGAGCCTCAATGTCCTCAACAGGCTCGTCGGCGTCCCAAAGACCAAGGAGCCCGCAGATGAGAGGATACAGTGCCTCGGTCCCAGACGTCAGCACAAGCAGCGCCTCGTCCTCCACCCTCATTTGCACACCGTCCTCATTCTCGTCTACCTCTGTCTCACCGACCATGGAACACGGAATGCTAGGCACCATGGTGCTCCGTAGCGACTCGGGCGACCATGGGGCTGCCACTGGTGGCAGAGACCATTATCGCCAGGAGGAGCAACAGCGGCAGCTGGTCTTGGCTGAGGTGCCTGAGGCACACCGGGCCAACTCTGGAGCTGGCGGCAACGGAGGGGTAATGAAACCTCACCCTGAGAGGAATCTTGAGAGGTCGACCTCGCATAGACACCGCCGACACACGCACAGCTCGGAGGGCCGCGCGGCAACGGCCACTGCGGACGAGATGGGACTGACGTGGGGCGAGTTTCTGAATCCCCAGAAGGCATCCCAGAAGGGAGACCGGGGAGGGAATGGATCTGGTTATCGCGGGAGCTATTGACTCTGCGGAACCCATACGTTGAAGACATGGTATCACTCGTGTTCCCCCAGCAAGTGGGAGTAATTGGAAGGTGGGACGAATTTGGGAAGATTGCCTCTGAGAGGACACGACTTAACGAAATCACGACCTTTGAAGTTTACGAATCATGACTGTTTAGCACAATTTTATGTTTGAAGTTCACTTGATACTTGCAATCACTAATTATTGTTTGTCTTAATCAAGGGGTTTCGTGTTCACCCGAGTCCAAACCAAATTGTCACTAATTTCAACATGGGTGTGGCATATTTCTAACATGATCAAAAGGTGATGAGTACGGTCTGATATCAATAATCAAGAAATTTCTTCATATAAGAAGGACATTGACCCAAAAATTTTCGTTCAATTCATAGTCATGATCTCCTGGGCATTGACCTAGGCTAAAATTCAGAACACCCCAGCCAGCGATGCGCTGACCTTATCATTACCCCCTTTTTCCCCATCGGGAGATGTTCATATAGAAGTAGCGGATCTCTCTTTAAATCCCTGACACTTCACCCGAACACACACTGAAAAAGGACAAGAGTGAACCGCGATCCTAGACACGAGCGCTAGGGTCGTGGTGCTTCTCCTTGGAAAACTGCTTTTCTGTATACTCGACCGTGTCACGGGCCGAGGGCACCTTGGGCGGGGCGATATCCCGGCGCAGGATGTAGTGGCCCCAGAAGTAGAAAACCTGTTTCATGCCGTACGCCATTAGACTGCGTGACGGCACATTGAATACAGCGTCAAGCTCTTCCAGGGTCTTTTCTTTCGTTTCCGGTACGAAGAGAAGAACCAAAACCCAGCCCACTAGATTCCAGGCCGCATACCAACTAAAAGCGCCTTGGCTGGTCCACGCCTGGACGAGCGAGGGCCACGTAATTGAGAGTACGGCATTGAAGAACCACGTAGTCGCCGTGGCGAGAGACATACCAACAGGGCGGATATATAGTGGATATGCCTCAGCTGAATATGTGAATGGTACGGGCTGATTTAGAGTCAATTCTCTGTCCGCACTCGATTGGAATCATAGTACTTACACCTTCACCAGGCGAATATACCACGCCAAACAAGTAAATACCAAGGGCAATGCAAGCAATATGCGCCGTGCTGGTCTCCGGGATCCAGAAACTGAAGCCGGTGAAGAACAAGAACAGGGACATCAGCGGAAGTGTTGTAAGTAGCAGGTTACGTCGGCCAAAGGTATCAATGGTATAGAAGCCCGGTATGGCGAACAGCCAATTAATGATACCAAAGCCGAGCGAGGCAGCCAACGCCGAAGTCTTTGGGAAGCTGGCTTCGATGAAGATCTCGGTTGAATAGTAGGCGATGGCGTTCACACCACTATATCATTGAAAGTTAGTAGCCTTCTCTTGAAATCTGCTTATATGACATGGGGCTGGAAGGACGTTGCTCCTTATAAGCCCGAACTTGCCATAACGGGGATAAAAATAACACAGGAGTGCTCACCAGAATTGCTGCATAAACATGACAATCTCCGAGGCAATCATCGCGTTGCGGTTACGACGGACGGTTAGCAACTCCTTGATCTTGCTCCTGCCGATGTTCATGGCCTCCTTCTCGACCTGTAGAAGAGTATCCATGTAGAAGAGATCTCGGGCCGCTTGGACCTTCTCGTAACGTAGTTGGCAGATGGCCTTGTACGCGTCCCGATGGCGGCCCTTGGTGAGGTACCAACGGGGAGATTCGGGCGTGAAATAGACCACAGCGCACACGCATACAGCCGGAAGCATCGCGGAACCCATCATTAGACGCCAATTTAACCCTACGATGCCAGACATATCCGGGACGTAGTAGAAAGCCAGGTCGGCTACGTAACCGACCATGATTCCAAAGGCCGTCCACATCTGTTGTCTGTGAGCGTCTATGTATGACACGATGACCACGGGAATGGTGGCGCGTGTCACTTTTCCCGGAGGTAGTTTCTACTCACCTGCCACTGCATGACTAGAGCGCCGCGAAGCTTGGGTGGTGAGCATTCAGCTGCGAAGATGGCTGTGGAGCAATGTAAGCAAGAAAGTTGGTTGTATAAGCCTCTGCTGGTGACTCACGAGTGGTCGCCGACTTGGGTCCAATTCCAAAGCCTAGGGCGAAACGGGCAATGAACATGTGCCACCATGTGTTGGTGAATGCCTGCCAGAAACAACTGGAGGCCCAACAGAGTTAGCTTCCTTCACGTCATGACAATTTGTACATGGAAGATTGTCAAAGATCCCTCAGCTCATTAAGGATGGGCTCGTTGTAGGTGAGGAATCGACAATGGTAGATAACAGGACAAGAAGACTGCAGAGATGATTACTTACGCGATTGCCGAGATCAGACACGAGATGAAGACGGTTCCCCGACGACCAAAGACCTTGTTCATGGGCTCTGTGAGCCAGCAGCCGATAAAGGCACAGCAAATATAGGGTGCAGCTGCGATGCGATTAGCTTATAATTATGGACCCGTTTTTTATAGCATGGGGCTGACCAACCATTAGTTACGCCGATGAGCCAGGAGTCTGGTAAAGCGCTTGCATTAGCTCCGCCATTACAATGCGTAGGTGGGGGCCGACAATGTGGATATACCATTGTCGACCACATTGCACTTACTCGTCTTTGCATTGGGGTTTGTATCGCTATCGTCAATACCAAACTGCACTTTGTAAAAGATCTGAGCGCCGTTGACAACGGTCTCGTCCATTCCTTGGACAGCAGCGCAAAGCGAACAGATTCTGGATACAAATCAGCGACTGCCAACCTCGAGAGTGGAAAAAACCCAGGGGAGCTGGCCTCTCCAGGCGAAGCAGGGCTCATAGTGTTGGACTTACACAATGACAGCGTAGAGCATTGTTGGGTTGGACCACTTGTGCGTGATCTCCCTCTCGAGAACTTCCCTCTCGCGTTCTGTGAGGTCCTCCACCGTGTCATACTTGTTCATGTTCCCGGCAATCATGGCGCCGAGTCTGAACGCTCGAATGTCTTCCTCTTCCGTGAGGCCATGCTTGGCGCAGAACTCCTCACCCCGGCGGGCGAGGTCAGCCTGACTGAGACCGGCCAGAGGGTTCTCTAGCTTCGCTGATGCCTCCAGACGCTTTCGGTCCTCGGGGCTGAGCTGATCGTTCACGTTGGAGGGGCGGGCCCCGTCCACGGTGTTGTCTCTGCTGAGTGTGTCTTCGACCTCAGTGCGTGAGACCTCACTGTGGTCCGAGTCCTTTCGAGTTGGCGTCAACTTCTTCTCACCCCCATTGGGGCCGGTGTCTGGGTTAGAAGCCATGGGTGAGTACAAACGCTTGCTAATGTGTAGCTTGGCCTGGTCTAGTTGCCCGTCTAGACCTGTCTACCCTGAGGGATTGAGAGGGACCACCCAGAAGAATCAGGAATGAAAGGGAAATTAGAATGTCAACAAGCACGAGGCTAGGAGAGGGCCAACGGCTTTTCTATGTTTCTCTCATCTTTGAGTGACCACCAAATCCTGGGGAAGCCGTGCGCTAAACCCCAGATTCGGGCAACTGGTGGAGTCGGGTAGCCTTTGCAAGGAAGCCCTGCTGATCATCCGGGATAAGTCAAGGTGGTGTAACTCCAATATGTCGGGCAGGAGTCCGGAACGCCATCGAGATAGGCAAGACAACCAGTCTGACGGGTAGGGTGTAAGGAAGCGAAGGATTGTTGCGACGTCATTGCACGAGGCTCGCAAGGATGGATGCGGTACGATAGCTGTTCCCATGGCGAATGATGTTCGCGGTTGATATGGTGCTGTCTCGGGATGGAGGGTAGGTATGACGTTACCTCTGCACGGCGACAAGGGTTCGGCAAGCACTTACTATACCGCCTCTGCGTCTGGGGTGCGCGCTGGAGCTATGGGACCACAACTCGCGAATCTCGACATTCAGAGCGCCACTTGGCCAGCATATGACTTCGCTATTCTTTGAGGTTAGGAAATGTCCGTTTCGGCGAAGTGAGGTTTGGAAGAGAGTGCGACGACCAAGACGTTGAGCCAAGTACCCAAGCATTTGCGAAGCAACGCGCTAGGAGCTCCAAGATCAGCCAAGCTGTTCACAAGCCGGCACGGCTTGTAGGCGTCCTGGGGCATGTTGCGGTTGGCGCTCCATCGGTTGGGCAAGCCGAGAGTCTCCCCAAGTTAGGTCTGCGCCGGCCTGGTCGTCCCACGGAGCCTCCCCCGCGTCAGCCTTGGCGAGACCAAGAAGGCTGGGCGATGGAGGCCAAGAATAAACAACCTTGTTCTCCCTGTAAGATGACGATACGCTGGACATGTCGCGCTCGATGAACAGCGATCTGTTAAATCCGAAGTGAAGCCTCCCCTCTGTAGTGTCGTGATTTTGGGATCTCGCAAGAATGATGCCAGTTAGATTTAATCCAGCAGTCTAACGCAAACGGGTGCGAAGCACTTTGTGCATACTAGAAAGTGGGCCCGGCTGGTATTTCACCACATCCTCCGGCCCAGTACTCACTACCATGTATTCACTTGGCAAATCTGCACCTGACGACTCATTGTCACTTGTAACAGCATGTGAATATTGCAAATTTGTGTCCATCCCCAATTCCAATTCCAATTCCAGGTACTCCTGAACAGAAAAAGTATGGAAAATCATCTGCAAAATGTTTTGTATCGCTCTCGCAGACTACGGTGGATAAAACTCGATGTAGTTAACACTCGGGGTTGTTAAATGGGTAATGAACTAGCTCCTCTGGTTCGGTATAAACATCATCGGCTGTTCGGCCGTCACATTGACGCAGAGATCATGTTGTAGAGTAACTAGTGAAGAAGTGGCAGAGCATGCATATCCTGTCGCATTGCAGATCGCTGAATAAGGAGGTCGATCTCCGCGTGTTCTGTTTCGCATGTTGGCATGGTAGCATGGTAGGATCGTATGAGCACCGAAACGTTGGGAACCGACGTGCTGATCGACACTGATGTCAGGCACGTCGGTGCTCAGAGAATGTGTTTCATTCGTCGGCCGCATCTTGTGCTCTGGTCCTGATGTGCTCCCCATCTCAGGACGGTAAACATACGATTCTTGATAATTGCTTGCGGAGGTGCAGTTGATCATCGTCCTCCAATCTGCATCGTAAGTTTCAAGCATCAGAGCACAATGGTGTAGCTAGCATGGAAATTCCTGAATACGCACTTTAAGCCCATACCCGTTCAATGTAGTCAATGCATGTATTGTCCTCTTGTGATCGCAACTTGGCGATGAAGCTGTGCAACTCTCTAAAGCCATTTCCCCCTCCGCAAGCGCATGGGTATCTCAAACACATGATGCAAAACTCGGCGCTTAGCAGATAAATCCGTATCTCCATCGTTACCCTCCGTATGTGCCTACCCGCACATCACAGCGACATGCGGCCGCGTAAGATGCCCACTTCCATCAGCCTGCTGTGTGACTTCTTAGTACGGTATGGCGAGAGCTTCGGGGAGTCGGTGAGCTCAAAGCCGCGAGTTCCTCCCCTTTCTTGCGCGCTCTCTTGCGTTTGACAGCAGACCACTCTGCCTTCCACGTTTCGATGCTGTCGAGCAACTCCGGATCGGCATCCTTGGGCAGATGGCCGAGGCATTGGACCTCGATTGCCTTCATCTGGATTTGTAAATTCAGGATATCCATTTCGCCTTCATTTCGCTCATTTTCACTTTTGTTTATCTTATCAGCTATTGCGTCCCCATATGAAGACCGAATAAGGGGAGTAGCGAACTTACAGTTCTTGGACGCGCCCTTCGAGGTAGATGATCCTCTGAGCAGCTCGCTCAGCCCGTGTGATGAGCAAGTCATGAATGTGCTGCCGATGGTCAGATATGCAGGGAGAGGGTGCTGGAAGGTTGGTCCACATTACCTCCTGTTCTTCCTGCCGTGCCTTGAGACTGCCAACAACGGACTCCAAAGTTTCCTGCAGGTTCTTGGCTTCGTTCAGAATATGCTCCACACGCCGCGAGTCGGGCACGGCTGAACCCTGAGAGTCCGCCTTCGTAGATTGAGATATTTCTTCAGGCCGCAAAGGCGCCGCGGATGTGGTGTTCGGCGATATCTTGTTGGGTGGATGCAAGTTAAGCCATGTATGACCTAGAGTGGCCGAGAATACATCATGATCATGCCCGTCTTGGCTAATGAAAGAGTGGTTCCTCCTGTGGCGCCCTGTGCTGCTTCTCGAATCCCGGCTCAACACTGCCTCCAAGTCGTCCACCTGAGCATGCATGGCGTTAAGACTGTTTCCCTGTACTTCATCATCCGAGTTGAGCCTGACTGCGAGGTCGCTGAGTCTTTGAACGAGAACATCCCTGCTGTCGGCATCTATCTCACGATGGTTCACACCATCAGCGTCTGAGCGTGGGGACTGAGAAGACCTTGCGTAAGATGCCGAGAAGCGCCGCTGCAGCGGCGAGAGCGGAAACATCCGCAACGAGCGAAGGCTCACCGATGGGGACGCAGGCGGCGACGAGAACGTAGGTGTAGCAAGTCCATCTTCATCTTCGTCGTGCCTGCTCTGAGTCCTTGGAGGAGTATGTGGTTCCGTTTCTTGGATATGGCTATCCGACATCAGGGCCGATGACAGCAGCTGCTTGCCTCTCAGGAAGTGAGGAGGATCATCCGATTCTTCAGATTGCACGGCAGACAAGCCAGGGTCGCCGATAGTGTTGGATGATCCAGCGATGAAACCGCACGCACGTCGCGACTACGAGAAACACGGCGCGGGCCAGGGAATTCCCCGATACAGACTCCGTCGGTGGTGGTGGTGAGTGTTGAGGCTGGAATCACAAATTGGGTGGTTGGCCGTGCGACAAATGGTTTCAAGCGTAGGTTGTGGACCGCCTCACACTGTAGCCGTGCAGCTATCCCTGCCTCAGTGAAGGTGTGGGCGGGCTACAACGGCGAGTAGCGCAACGGATACTGTCCATCCAACTTGCCTGAAGCACTCAAAACCCTGGGCCACGGAAATTGCGGACTGTCAGAGAAGGGGAGAAGGGGCATTGGAGAAAGAGCCGGCATGATCCAATCGCCAGACTCCTATCTATTCCCAAAATTGCGCCGGAATGTTGGCTTTTGGTCGACAGTGGAGGAGATTGAACACAGATCGAACACGATGCGGGCGGTGGTGCAACAGAGTCAAGCTACAGAGTGGAGTGTGTTGTAATACGGAATTTCAAACATTCAGCACACTGGTGGACACCGAGTAGACCATTACTGTTCCGGGCTGTTTGACTATGCCTGTTCGTGGGTCTCCTGGGTTGCTTGAGCTAGCCATGGACTTGTGTCGCTTTCTATTCGCCAACTGATCAGCAGGTCATTCATATAGTCCCCAAGCCCAATATGTTGGGTACTTGAGACAACGCCAGTCGCCTTTTGCTCATCTTTGATTCGAACTTGTTAGTCAGTCACAGCAAGGAACACCCCACGCCCCCCCGCAGCAGCGGTGACCATGCACAAGAGGATGGATGCCAACCCCCCGAGAGCCATAGACCCTGTGAGCGCCGCTATGCTCGCCTCGAGTGACTCTGCTCTGCACCGTGTTTGACCGGGCCTTGCTCAGAGCTACAGTATACGCCGACGACGCAGACACTCGGACAGACGGGGACACAGCTGAATCGAGTATCGAGTGTGGGGAACCCCTGTCCAAGTTGAAGTGTTCCCATGGGCGGCCGGCAATAGTAGGAGCGTCTGCTCGACTGCCATTCGCCGCACGCTGTTGGCCAAGTACCGTTAAGCCGACGTGACTGGGCCGGGAGCACTCACTTACATACGCTGGTGTACATAGGTAAAACATGCTTGGAAAAGCAAGCTCAAAAAAACCAATTGCTGGCAAGCGGGAAGCCGGTCAACTATAGAAATTCCAAGCGTGCTGCACATCTTTTGCGTCGAGTTGTAACAAACCTTGGGCACAGCAACGGTGGCAGAATTCGGCAGCAGTAAATTGCCCGGCGGCCATGGACCAGGAGCATCCTCGGCATTGGATGGCCCCCGTGGCTCTCCGTCATAGTTCAGGCCGCGGGGTTCCATCGAGGCCATGACAGGGGTCTGGGCCCGTTAGCTCACAGCTATTCTCGCTATCCGTCTTCCTTGTCGCCGAAACATCACACGACTCACGAGACCCAATTCCTGTCCCGTCCCATGGAGAGTCGACGTCTCTTGTCCCCGGCCAACGCACATCCCTAGGACTGGCCTCGACGACGCATACCCGTCCCGTCCGTGTTTTGCTGCTCTGCTCGTCCGCACGAGCCCGCCGCCCAGCATGTCGTGGAAGGCCTCGGAGCGCCTGATGGACACCATCAGGCACTATGCCAATTTCCCGGCCACCGGAGTGAGTCTGCGACAGATGGTACAATTCGGCGAGAGGCCCTCTACCGGTATGTGCACCTCCAATTGTCCGCCGCCGTCGCCGCCGTCCCGGCGACGAGCCCCTTTCACGGCCTGCTTGTCGCTCTTGGCCGACCGAGCTTCGCTGACGTCTGCTCTGCCCATCCTCCAGGAACTCTATTCCGCGCCTCCCAATTCCTCGCCGAAGAGCTGCCAATCCGGCTGGCGCATCGAGTGCAGGAGCTGCACACCCTCCCAGATGGGCTGAACGAGATGCCGTCGGTCAAGAAGGTCGCCGACTGGTACGCGCAGTCGTTCGAGGTCCGTACCCGTCTCCGGACCACCCCTAGACCTGATGAGTCATCTGACATGTGACAATAGGAGATCACCACTCTGCCACGACCCAACCTGCAGAAGGAGATCAAAGAGAGACTCCTTCGGCCATCGTCACACAACGGCCGAGGAGGTGCAGCCATGCTGTCCGAGGCCATACCTAATCCCAGCATAGAGGAAGGACAGTACTCATCGCTGCAGAACGGCAACGGCAAGAAGCAGCAAGCCGCGAGGAGATACTTCGCCATGGTGGACGACACAGCCGACTGGCCGCCGGACCTACAATCATATAACCACAGGTTCTCACAGACCTTGAAGACCATCAAGAGGAGGCATGACGGGGTCGTCACGACCATGGCGCAGGGTATCCTGGAGTATAAACGGAAGAGGCAACGCATGCAGATCGACCACAACATCCAATCCTTCCTGGACCGCTTCTACATGTCACGCATAGGTATCCGTATGCTCATCGGGCAGCACATCGCCCTGACCGACCAGAGCCATCACCGGGATCCGACGTATGTTGGTATCATCTGCACCAAGACAAACGTCCGGGAGTTGGCAGAGGAGGCCATTGAGAACGCACGCTTTGTCTGCGAGGACCACTACGGACTATTCGAAGCCCCCAAGATCCAGCTCGTCTGCAACCCCAACCTTAACTTCATGTACGTCCCGGGCCATCTGTCGCACATGCTCTTCGAGACCTTGAAGAACTCCCTGCGCGCTGTGGTCGAGAGACACGGCCAAGACAAGCAGGAGTTCCCGGTGACGAAAGTCATCGTCGCTGAGGGCAGAGAGGACATCACCATCAAGATCTCGGACGAAGGCGGCGGCATCCCCCGAAGCGCCATACCTCTGGTCTGGACGTATATGTACACTACAGTCGATCGGACCCCGAACCTGGATCCGGACTTTGACAAGAGTGACTTCAAAGCTCCCATGGCTGGGTTCGGTTATGGGTTACCCATATCGAGACTGTATGCTCGCTACTTTGGTGGCGACTTGAAACTCATCTCCATGGAAGGGTAAGTTATCATCAACTGGAGAATTTAGAATGAATGCTGGCTAACCGCACCATCTCCCCAGTTATGGCACGGATGTCTACCTCCATCTGAATCGTCTCTCCAGCTCATCGGAACCTCTGCAATAGCAATCAGCAGTCATGAGGGATTGGCTATCCCGAGGATTGGCGTCAAGGGTATACGGAAAAGGAAAGCGGCTGAAGGCGTTCCAAGAAGTCTCGGAACGGAAGCAGGTGGGCGACACGGCGTCGATGATCAATGAGAGCAGCTCGAAATACAGTCGCGATGACAGCGGCGGGGAGTTGTAGTGATGTTGTTCCCTCCGTGTATGGCACGAGGCACACAGAACAACAGAATCTCCATCCTGGCAATGATATACATAAGATGATATAGAGGGATGATTGTCCCAGCGGCGGCGGGGATGAGATGAAGAGTCAGAGAGCCATCCAACCTGTTGGACAAGGCAAAGGTACAGTATTGCAACTTTGAGAGATTTCCTCGGGATCTGTCGAGGACAGACTTTCATGATTTGGCATCAAGGCGTTACGGACACAATGGGTTTAGGTAGCATATCATACCTAGGTATTGTGTAAGAAAAAGAGGGACTGCTCAGCGACACTTGCTCTCAAACTTTAACTGCAAGGCCACCACCCTGGCTGTGCAGGGCCTTGCGTGATTTCCTAAACCAGGGCGTGGAGTCGCAGGATGACCGTATAAAAAAGGGCAGGGGAAACCACTGCGGAAGACAGGACTGTTCTTAGAACTCTTTCTACCCGGCTGCTATGAATAATACGCCCTACAACAGTACTGCGGCGATCATGCAACCAACTAATTCTACTGAGCACAAGAGATGTCCTATACAACCGTCCTTGCGTGACGAGGTGAGAAGCGGCAACCAATTGCAGCACATTACGGAGCACTCGTGTAACAGGAAAAGAATGAGATAAACGTCATGATCTTGAGCGGCTCTGTTGTGACGCCTTGATAAGACAACAACAATTCCATGCAAGCAATGGAATGGGCGTCTTAGTGGGCGATGCTGGCTCGCCAGCCAGTCAGATTGGATCGTTTGTCAGCCATGGCGACGGTCGCAGAACCTCGGATCAGATAAGATCAGATAACTCGCACTCGGCAAGACGGCCACCCCCAGTCCTTGCTCGGCAGGTTGCGGATAGTAAGCTAGCAGCTCGCTGCAACACTGCTTGTTGCTTTGGGGGGCAGCAATTGCCACGCTAATACGACGTGACAGGCCAGACCCCGGACGGCCACAAGAGCGCCCACGCCAAAGGGCTCCTCGGACGCCGTGAGATGGCCAGCGGCCGCGACGTCAATTGGCCGCGAGCAGACTCGCAGCGGATAGCGGCCCTCTCACACGTGAAAAAAAAGTAGGCCTCGAATGGGGTTCTGGGGGGGGCGACCAACGGGCGACGGGCACCCGGGGGGCGGCGGGCAGCCAACAGGGGGGTCGTCTGAGCGATTCCCAAGATGGATGCTGGAGTGGGCAATCGCCTGGCCGGTGTCCTTGCTGCGCGTGAACCCCGAAACAGGCGTGAGCTCTCGCCCGTCTGGTCTGCATATAATACAACGGCCCTGGAGCTCGCTAATGGGCGAAGAGGCACTCTGGACATTCTCCAAATAATTGCGTGAAGGTGACCTAAGCGTGACCTAATTGTCTGTCATTGCCTGTTCTCTGTCCTCCTCTCCATCTCCGTTCCCGCGATACCTCTGCACCACCACCGCCCCCGGACCTACTCAAGTTTTGCGTGCGATAGGTTGCCGTCCACAGACGAGAAACGCCAACCATGCCGGGCTCCTCGCGCATGCCCATCAGCCTGAGGGAGAGCTTCGACAGCATCAAGAAGAGCCGGCCCAGTGACCCCTTCGCCCTGGTGAACTTGGACTTGTAAGTTAGCTTGTCCATGACCCCCGAGACGCCGCCTTGACCTCGGCATGCACCGTGATGGCTACCCGCGCGAGCGAGACAGCAGTCTTCGCCTGCTCTTGAACCAGAAAAGGGGGATAGGAGAGGAGACAACAGAAGAGAGAAATGCTAACCATGTCCAACCTGCCTTGCACAGACTCCGAAATGTCGTCTTCTTCTTCTTCGTCGTCCGCGTCCTCCGGCGCACCTACTGGAAGCTCAAGGGCCGCGGCCTGATCGGCACCGCCGTCGAGCTCTACACAGACATCCGCCGCGTGCTCTACGGCTACTTCCTGCGCGCCCCCGGCGTGCGCACCCAGGTGCGGAAGCAGGTCAACGATGCCCTGACCAAGATGTCGGGCAAGATCGTGCCCACGGGCGGCGCCCGCTACCTCTCGCTCCCCAAGGAGCCCTGGACCGACGACGCCGTGCGCTCCGAGCTCGAGACCCTGGCCAACATGGACCACACCCGCTGGGAGGACGGCTTCGTCTCGGGCGCCGTCTACCACGGCGAGGACGAGCTGCTGAAGCTGCAGACCGAGGCCTACGGCAAGTTCACCGTCGCCAACCCCATCCACCCGGACGTCTTCCCCGGCGTGCGCAAGATGGAGGCCGAGGTCGTGGCCATGGTGCTGTCCATGTTCAACGGCCCGCCCACCGCCGCCGGCGTGTCGACGAGCGGAGGCACCGAGAGTATCCTCATGGCCTGCCTGAGCGCCAGGAATAAGGCCTACGTGGAGAGGGGTGTCACGGAACCCGAGATGTACGTGATTTGGTCGTCAATCAGCTATATGTCTGCTGCAGCTGTAAGCTAACACGAGGTCTAGGATTCTCCCCGAGACAGCACACACGGCCTTCCGCAAGGCAGGCGAATACTTCAAGATCAAGGTGCATCTGGTTGCGTGCCCAGCGCCCTCCCACCAGGTCGACGTGCGCCGGGTGGCCCGCCTCATCAACACCAACACCGTGCTCCTGGTCGGCTCTGCGCCCAACTTCCCCCACGGTATCATAGACGACATCTCGGCGCTGTCCAAGCTCGCCCTGCGCCGCCGCATCCCGCTGCACGTCGACTGCTGTCTGGGCTCCTTCCTGGTCCCCTTCCTCGAGAAGGCCGGCTTCGAGACCGAGCTCTTCGACTTCCGCCTCAAGGGCGTGACCTCCATCTCCTGCGACACCCACAAGTACGGCTTCGCCCCCAAGGGCAACTCGACCGTCCTCTACCGCACGCAGGAGCTGCGGACGTACCAGTACTTCGTGTCGCCCGACTGGAGCGGCGGCGTCTACGCCTCCCCCGGCATTGCCGGGTCCCGCCCCGGCGCCCTCATCGCCGGCTGCTGGGCCAGCATGATGCGCGTGGGCGAGCCGGGCTACATCGACTCGTGCGTGCAGATCGTCGGGTGCGCCAAGAAGATCGCGGAGCACATCGCGTCGGCGCCGCCGCTGTCGGCGGAGCTGCAGATCATCGGGCGGCCCCTGGTCTCGGTCGTGGCCTTCACGGCGCTCAACCTCAACATCTACGACATCGCCGACGGCATGTCCTCCAAGGGCTGGCACCTCAACGCCCTGCAGAACCCGCCCGCCATCCACGTCGCCGTCACCATGCCCATCACCCGCGTCTGGGAGCGCCTCGTCGCCGACCTCGAGGCCGTCGTCGAGGCCGAGCGCGAGAAGGAGCGCGTCCTCGCCGTCGAGGGCAAGAAGACCCGCGGCCAGGCCATGGGCGACTCGGCCGCCCTCTACGGCGTCGCCGGCAGCCTGCCCAACAAGAAGATCGTCGTCGACCTCGCCAACGGCTTCCTGGACCTGCTCTACAAGGCCTAAGCAGGCTGGCGTCCGGGGGGTAGGCGGGGGAGGAGGTGAGAAATCCTTGGATGGTTCGTAGGGGAGCCCTCCCAAGTGTGCCGTGGGTTCGGCCAGGGGGCACACATCGCATCAAGTTGTATGTATGAATAGGGGGAGATGCTGCATGCCCTCGCCCCCGGCGTGTCGTTGGGATATATATGTAAGGTGTTGAAGCGTGTGTATTACTGGGCCCGGCTTTATTACAGGCTGGCTATGCACGCAAAGAAACCATACCCTCGTGTCTATTATGAGACATGCAATCGAGTCATCAATCAATACAGAAAAAAACAGGATAATCAAAACCATGATTGACAGCACAGTGACGGGCAATGTCTTGAACGTGTGAACAGCCTCTCGTCTTCTTCTACCTCCCCATAATGATACATACATGCATAAATTCTAGCCACGTGCTCCCCAAAAATAAAAACCCTTGATCTCGAGCGCGTGGAGCAGAACCAACGCCTCCCCCCAATCCGTTGTCCATGCCACCATGGCGAGCCCACTGCCTCCGTATCTTCTGCTGCGCTGTTGTCACGGGGGAGGGTGGGGTCGCTGCCGGCAAAGACCCTGTTTGTATATGCTGTATCGTGAGGCGGGAGAAACAAAGCGGGCCCCATGGCCCCCTGGATGGGGGCTTCCCTTTAGATGGCGAATGTTGGCTTGCGCAGTTGGGTTGGGTGTCATGAATAAATATTCCCCCCTTTTGCACGCGGGAAAATAGACCTCGGCTTGATTTCCGGGATACTGTGATCTCCTAGCTTCCGTGTCAACTGCTCCTGCTCCCCTGCCCCAGACATGGCCGCCGCCCGTTTTGTCGTCGTGGCATGTGCAACACAGCAGTCGGCGGATAGAGCCACTAAAACTTCTCCAAAGTCTCTCCTAGATAATTTCAACCCTCCTTATACTGGTCCTCCGTACAGTGATTGCTGGATAGGCACAGCGGGCTATCGAGCCCAGAGGGAGAGAGGGGACGAAACAAAGCTGATCGGCGTGCCGTTGGGTGTCCATGTCCCGTTTGCGTAATGAGGTTATATGTACAAAGCGGTGGGAGATAGAGAGCGGGAGGGACACAGGAGAGCAGGCTGTAGGGTTTGGCTCGCTCACGCGTAGGCAAAGGCCTTCCTCCACTGGGACGAGAAGCGCTTGGCCTCGTCGACGCAGTTGTTCTCGCCGGCGCCCTTGGTGCAGCCGGCGAAGCGCACGGCCAGGTCGCCGGCCTCGAAGACGCGGCCGTGCTTGGGCTTGTTGTACGAGTTGAACAGGCGCTGTGGCAGGATGGCCAGCTTGGAGAGCACCGTGGGGTGCCACTGGACGATGTGCTCCTGTTTATTTGGTTAGTCTTCCTCAGACTGGCATCTTCTGGATGGGTTTCGCTCGCTACAAGCTCGCACACCAATGAAAGGGGTGGCATGGGAGAAGAGAGAGAGGGGGAGAGGAGTCCCTACCAGTGCATGCGTCTCTGCCTTCTGGAAGTTGTAGCTCCGGTACAGCGGGTCGAGCCAGGTGTCAAGAAAGAACTTGGCCCACTCGCCGTTACGGATGATGAAGCTGCCGGCCGAGATGCCATCTTTGTCCTGGGTGAGGACGAGGTCGACGTCGTCTCCCTTGAGGTGGGAGAAGGTCTTGATGATGCTGTCGGGCGGGACGACGGGCAGGTCCTTGATCATGTTGGCCTCGAGCTTCTTGGAGCCCATGACGAAGTCCTCCACCTTGATGTCCGGGTTCATGATGTACGAGTGCTGGTCCAGGAACCAGATGTACTTGCAGTCGGGGAACTTGGCCATGGCGTGCCGGGTTGCCGTCACCTTGGACCACGAGGCCGGCGCGCCATTGAGCTCGTAGCCGCCTGCTGATACCAGCAGGGTGCCATATCCTTTATAGAGTGTCAGCTCACGAGATCATCTCGATCCCTCGTCCGCACGGACACCACGACAAAATCTTACCATGTTTTGAGGCATACTGTTCCCTGTTGTCTTTGATGCTCTCCAAGTATTCTGGGCTGCCGCCCCAGGTCTTCTCATCGAAGACGGTGACTATTACCACGGGCGGCTTCCCCGAGATGGTGCGCTGTGGGCTGTGCTTCGAGCTGCTGCCGGAGAACAGCCATATTATGAACAAGATGGCCAGGCCGGCGACGGCAATGGTCTTGGGGCGGAGGAACCTCCTGAACGTAGGTATCCGCGTCGACCTCGGCCGGAACGGCGGCGGGTTCGAGTTCTTGCGTGGCGGGTATGCGAAATGCATTGCTGTAGGCGACACACCTCGAGGGCGGAGGTTTGCTACAGGGGGGCGTGCAGAGAGAGATTCGCCGGCGAGAAATTGGCTCCTGAAGGCCGTCGCGCGCCCGGTGCTGCGACGTCAGGATGAGGAGGACACGAGGCCCAATGCCGCCGTGTGTTCGGTGTAGCGACCGTGTCCCGTCGGGACTGGCCTTGTTCTCGTATCGCAGCTCAGGTTCAGGTCGCTGCAACTCCTTTCTTGGCTGGCGCGCAAGATTGCGCCGCGGTCGCGCAGCAGACTGACTTGGGACGGACGGTTTGTCGTCGATGTCGTCGGCGGCCAATGCACAACCACCTCGGCGGCGATGAGCCCCCTTCGAGAGCGCTGGAAGGGTGTGTCGAGACGGCGTGCTGCTCCTCTGCAATTGCGGGTGCCTTTTATTTGGCCACGGCGGATGAGTGGCCACGGAATTTATCACGACAAAGGGACAGAGGTGACGGGGTACGGAGTACAAGGCTTAAGCGTTCGAGGCTAGGCTCATGTCAGGCAGGGAAGAGTAAGCCCACTTCGCCAACGACTAACTAAACTGATAATGATGGCACTTTCAGCTCGGGGCCGGTACATGAGCAATCCGTCTGGGTTTCCCTCTTGTAGATAAGAGGACTGACTCTGGCTGAGAAACCACCGTGTTGTTGCACGTCATCTCAATTTCACGTCTCACATCGGGTTAGCGAGATGCATTCCATCCACGACCGTTGCTGCGCCATGTTGTTCGACAACAGATTTTAAGTCTTTCAGAGGATGCAGCTAGCGGTCGGGCAAAAAAAGGGCACCCCTGGGCGTCTGGCCAGCCTTGGCAGCCGCATCTACAGTACGTGCACTCAAGGCTCAAGCCCTTGCTGACTTAACTTAAGTAGTCTGCTAATAAGTCGCCAAAAGATAGGGGTCTACCTATTAGTGCGTGCAGGCAATCAGTACTAACGTGGGGGGTCTTGTGCAAATGAGTGACATTTTGAAGCTCGTCGTCCACAGGTGAGCCTTGGCCAGTGAGTATATCTCGAACAGGCCATACGAGCCACTTGTACAGCTGAGAAAACTTGTCTCTATTCGATCTATGCTGCCCTTGTTCTTGTTCTTGCTCTTGTTCTTACACGTGCTGCGTCATGCGGGAACGTTACGTGGTCACTACATCCGTAGCCTCTTGGATGATGCAAGGCTCACTCAGCCATGATCCTCCGGAAGAATCCCGATGAGGGACCCCCAAACACAGGACCCACGCCGAAGCCAAGTCTGCGGTTGCAGAATGTATCAATCTCGCCGGACTGCATCTCTACTGGGTTTCCACGAAGGAGTGATAGCAGTCAGCCAACTATGCCCCGAGGAGCTGTTGACGTGGGTCAGAGTCTTGACAAGTCTTGGACCGAGTCTGTATAAGCGAGGACAAGACGCCCATGCTTGAAGACAGTCGCAAGACCTTGATCTCTGCACACAGACTAGTTGACGCGATATGGAAGAGAAACTTCGCGGCAACTTAAGAGTGTGCAGGTCGTGGTCACCATAAACGTTGGAACATGTCAAATGGCTGTGATACGAACGGAACCGCGGCCAACTGCTTCAAAACATACTTTTGATAGATGAGAGCAATGTGTACACCGTTATAGATCCTTATCAAGCTTCTCAGCACCTGTAGGGCCTGTACTTGGTTCTGTGGGTTCTGCCGCATCAGGACCACTGCCCTCAGCGTTTGCACCCACGTGTTCATCATCAACATCATCATCGTCGTCGTCGTCATCAGGCTGAGCATTTGACAAGCGCTCGCTAGCCTTGTCGAGTGCTTGTTTGGTCCACTTTCGTGTCGCGGTCCAAACCATCTTGAAGCGGGTTAGCTAGTCCCCACGGGTTGGTGCAAGTGAAGAGACCTACCCAGAAGAAGGTAATGGTTCCAATGAGAACCATGCTCAAGTTGATGTTCTCCAAGCGGTCGCGTCCAGTGCCACCCCGGCGGCGGCCACCTGAGAGCATGCCTGTCGCCCGTATATTCCACCACTGGAACGGGCTTAGGAAAATTACCTTGACCATTCCCACCAAACCAAGTGAGAAGAGACCTTTCAAGAAATGGAGACTCCAGCCGTCATCATCGAGAGCATCGAGCCCCAGCTCCGATGCATCAAGGTCCAGGTCCAGTTCCCAGTCGTCTACCTCACCACCAAGAGCTCCGTAGATAGTGCCCGCCGGGTCAAGCCATAGGCCCAGCACCTGGTCACCTATGAAGCCTAGTAGGAAAATGAGGAGGGCAACGATCATGACAGCCAAGGCGAAGGCCAGGATAGGGCTCCGTAACCGCTGGGCCCAGTCCATGCGCTGGAACCGGTACTCGTAGTGGCAACGTTCGCACCTCCGGTAATTCGTCGAGCCAATGTTGGTGTATCGCCATTGCTGTATGCAACCTTCATGTACCCATTTGGTCGAGCCCGAGCACTTGCACGGGCAGATCAGGCGGCCGTCCTCGTCCTCGTAAGCCCTCGTCGGTGGTCTGCCCAGCATCTGGCCCAGCCCAGTCGGCTCTACATAGGTAGGATACACGAGGGTGCGACAAATATAGCATTCTCGGGGTTTTCCCCGAGGCCGCGGCCCGCCATCGCCTTCGCCGTCGGTCCCCATGTGAGGGGTCGAGTCGTCGTGCGCTTCGCGCTCTGGGGTGTAAGTGTCCATGGTAGGCACACTCGAGCTTGGGGAGGTGGCGGGACTCGAGGGTTGGGTCAGCTTTCAGGAAAGAGAGGCTAGAGAATCCTCGACGAAGACATGGAAGTGATGAGCAGAATGACGAAAAGGGCCATTGAGGAAACCCGACGGCGAGTTTCCGTGGTTTCCGGCAGGCCAAGAAGTGAATCAGCGGTCGTAGCGGACGGGCTTTGTGATGCGCTGTCCACATGACAAAGGCCGAGCTGGCTGGCTGGAGCTCCCAAGTCAAGCAAGACCCAGCACGAGGGACAAGGCCGAATGCGATGGAAGGGCGTACCTCGACCCCAACATCCAATCCCATCTGGCACTAGCCACATGGGTACCTACCGGCTGCTGCAGGTCTCTCTCTGGAGCATGGCGCTCGGCAGGCCGATCCGGCCCAGAAAAAGAGCACGGCTGTCTCGTAGAGTGCTGAGGCCGTTCAGAGGCTCGTTTGTTCTCTCGACTGCGGGTGTATTGGGGTTGGGAATAAATTTGTCTGCTGGGAAGAGTTTTGAAGCTGTGGTTTAATGCGGACCCACCGCCCTGCATTCCACCCGCCCTGCCCGTTCTCAGCCAGGCGGGCGCCTGGGCCAGTTGGAAGCTCGGAGTGTACACGATACAGGTGTGCTGCTGGATACCTTGCGGGTGTGGTGCGTGATCATAGGGCTTCCAGTTGAAGTATCATCCTATAATATTACTATTGGTAGAGTAGCAGTTTCCTGGCGGTTGTGCACGCATGTTTCATCGCTTCTGTTGAGTACGGACTGCTTCGTCGTTCGCTGTTCCCTGAGGTCTCTCCCTCAGGTCGCATGGGATCGCGGAGGTTGGGCCACCCCCAAGCTCCGGCTTAGTCACTGATTGGAGCTCGGGGCCGCGCTAGGCCAGGCTGAAGGTCCAGCGCGGCAGGTACCTAAGTTAGCTGGCTAATGAGGTACAGCCGTCTGGTACAGCAGGAACACGCAAACTCGCGATGCCTGGCTGGTGAACCTGGTCCAAACAGCTCGACATCATCCAGCCTCACCATCCGCCTCGGAAACCACCTCCCCTCCATCTACAACCCGCACCTCCACACGCCATCGTCTCCGATTCCCACCGCACCCGCCGACCTGAACCCGAATCCGAGGCAAATAGAACAAGATGGCTGACCGATACTCGTTCTCGTTGACGACATTCTCCCCGAGGTGAGCTTGCCCGCACCCACCCGTTGTGCTGCTCGCTCCATGAGCTTCTGGCTAACCATCGTCACAGCGGGAAACTCGTACAAATCGGTATGCAACGCCGTTCCAGCTCCCACACCGTCCTTTCTCGCGGGAATGCCAAACTGACTTCGCTGTGTCAATAGAGTATGCCTTGAATGCTGTCAACCAGGGTGTCACGGCGCTTGGAATCAAGGGTGAGAAGCTCTCCAATCACCATCCAATAGCTATGACGGCGACACACGTTCGGTCCTCGCTAACTCCATGAAGCCACCAACGGAATCGTCCTAGCGACCGAGAAGAAGTCGTCATCGCCGCTCGCCGACCCCTCGTCTCTCTCCAAGATCAGCCTCATCACCCCCAACATCGGCATGGTATACTCGGGCATGGGCCCCGACTACAGAGTGCTCGTAGACAAGGCACGCAAGGTCTCCCACTCCGGCTACAAGCGAATCTACAACGAGTACCCGCCCACCAGGATATTAGTGCAGGATGTCGCCCGAGAGATGCAGGAGGCCACACAGTCCGGTGGTGTGCGACCGTACGGCGTGAGCTTGCTGATCGCAGGCTGGGACGAGGGCATCCTGCCGGATGAGGAGGGGCTGGCTCAGAACGAGGTCATCGACGCAGAGGGCAACAAGAAGAAGGTCTCTGGCAAGACCGGTGGTGTGCTGAAGGGTGGCCCCATGCTGTACCAGGTCGACCCCTCGGGCAGTTATTTCCCCTGGAAGGCCACAGCCATCGGCAAGAGTGCGACGTCGGCCAAGACCTTCCTGGAGAAGCGATACACAGATGGTCTGGAGCTCGAGGACGCTGTGCACATCGCGCTGCTTACACTGAAGGAGACCATCGAAGGCGAGATGAACGGAGAGACGATTGAGATTGGTAAGTGGCCTATCCTTCCGGTGGCCGGTTTCCTGCCTGCTAACCATGACACAGGTATTGTCGGCCCCCCCGCCGATCACCTTCTCGGTGTCGAGGGCGTTGCCGGCGCTGTTGGCCCGCGCTTCAGAAAGCTGACTCCTCAGGAGATTGAGGACTACCTGACGAACCTATAAATGATGGCGTTTATTACGATTTTTGCAGATGGCAGTCACTTGTACCATAGAACAGAATAGAGGGTCCAGAAGGCACACTGTTCGTCATGATGCATTGAAATCCTTGCGGGCTAATACAAATGTGTTTCGCGGACCGCAGAAGACGGCTGATGCAGCTAGACCAGCTTCGGCGTCGAATGGCAACTTGGTCCATGAAGTACGGGTCTCACCAGGTAAACCCAACTGGCCGTTTGTATTAACACCAATCGCGAAGATATCCCCCTCGACAGTGAGAAGAACAGCATGGGATTCGCCCACTGCACAGTCCGCGATGTCACTGTCTTCAACCACCACAGGCGCCGGGCTTCGTGACACTTCCTCGAGGATGGCAGGTTGCCCTGGATGGCCGCCCCAAGCATAAACGTCATTTCCCTCCGTCAGTGCCATGAGTAGGTAGCCGCCAGCAGCAATCTTCACTATCTTGCCAGTGGGCAGATCGTCTAGCTCCATGACACGACATGGCCTCCCAGCAGGGCTATAACCCCCATCAGCTCGCACATACACAGCGTGACCAGACTGTAGCAAGAAGCTTACCTATCCTCTGTTACTTCTCTCCCCAGGCATGCGCCGTAGCGCTCGTCACCCCAGGTCCATACTTGGCCTTCGGCAGTCAAGGCTGCAAAACCTGCCTCGTACGCGACCGTTTGAACCACACGTAGGCCCGGGAAGTGCCATTGCGCCTTACCATCTCGGAAGTGATCCGCCGATTGGAACTGCGAGATGTATCCTTCTGTGTCGGAGGCTGTACTTGCGTCAGTTTGAGTCTTTGACATGCGCCCCAGCCGGGGTCTTGCCTGCAACTATGCCATTCCCAGCGATGGCTGCCGTCGACAAGATGATCTTCTCTCTGAGATCTTCAACCTCCATCCACTCATCGGGATAGCCAGCCGATACATCGCCTTTCTCAGTTTTTACTGTTGTTCAATATCAGCTCATCGATGCGAGTCAAGCCTCGTCAGAAGGGTCTCGGGGGAAAGGTAGCCGAACCTACGGTGCAAGAAAGGGAGGCGTACAGGTGTTCTATTGCATCGCGCGAGAGTATTCTCGTCAGCTGTTCGACGTCGGCGGGATATCCAGATTGATTGCTTTCCATGTCTTTTTCGAAAGAGAGCTGATTCCAGGCATTAAAGCCGGTCGCGAAAAGCTCCATGCCTCGACTGCAGGCCTGCCAAGGTTTGGTGGTGTAGTGGTGTTGGTGCACGTAGATGTGTGTGCTGCTTGATCCACTCGGCCCATCTCACACTCAGTCAGTAGCGAAGTACACTTTGCTATCAAATCGCCGACCACCACCACTCAGAGCATCTGCGACAACCAGCCCATGCGACACACAAAATGATCTGTCGTTTCTGAGCGCAGGTGCTACTCAGATGACGCGTTGGCCAAATGAAATTTTCCCTTTCCTTTTATTGGATTGCTTTTCGTGGTTCTTCAACCTTGTTTCGTTGATCCATTGGAATGCGCAATACCTGTGGTCGGCCTCCCGCATGTATACGCGGCATCCTCAAAGGCTGCCGCCGAGCAGTATTTGTCCATAAATAGGCTGGGTTGGCGACTCGATGCTTACACTGCCAGCTCAAACACTTCATCAAGAGCATCATCCGGCATCCAAACTTCGCCTTTGTCCTTCTCGTGTAACGCACTGTTGATGCCTAATCACAATCAGTCCTGCTCATCCGAAACTCTCGCTCAAGATGGCATCTGACTCCAACGATGACATGTCAATGAGATCGGGCGGGGAGGACATCAGGAGCGCCTCTGATCTCTCCGAGGGGATTGCCTCGCCAGGCTCGCGGGTAGAGTCTCCAGTTAGTGAGGAGATAACCGGGCCTGCTTCACCACCACCCGCGGGAGACCAAGTCGTGCAGGAGGAGAATATCATACACGCCCGCGCTTATCAGTTGGAAATGCTTGAGGAGAGCCTCAAACGCAACGTCATCGTTGTCGTAAGTCTTCCCTTCAGATGCCAAGGCCGCACCCTTACTGAAGCATCCGTAGATGGATACCGGCAGTGGAAAGACCCAGGTGGCCATCCTCCGTATGCGCGCTGCTCTTGAAAACTCACCCTCGGGGAAGATTGTCTGGTTTCTTGTTCCAACTGTCGCGCTCTGCTACCAGCAGTTGCAAGTCATCCAGTCGCAGATCCCGGGTGTGCAATCCAAGCCCCTGACCGGCAACGACGGGATCGATACCTGGTCGAATACCTCCATATGGAATGCATTCTTAGAGAATGTCAGTATAGTTGTCTCAACATATCAAGTACTGTCTCAGGCTCTGGATCATGCTTTTGTCCAAACGGATTCTCTATCTCTACTCGTCTTTGACGAAGGTAAGCGAGTATCAGCTTTACTTCGTGATGATGTGCCAACTAACACATCCAGCACACAATTGTGTGGGAGACAGCCCTGGTCGGAAGATCATGACCAGATATCAAGAGAACAAGCAGGCAGGCATCCCCGTGCCAGCTATCTTAGGTCTGACTGCAAGTCCGACTATTAATGCTTCAACCAGTGGATTGGAAATTATCGAGAGAACTCTTGATGCAGTCTGTCGGACACCAACCAGGCATAGAGCTGAATTGCTTCGTCAGGTCAAGCGTCCTGTTATGTTTCCAGTGCCCTACGGGCCGGGATTGAATCAAAACGACCCTGGTATTGAGACTCAAACCATGAGGAGCCTCATGCAAGCTTATCTGGACCTTGACATCAACAACGATCCTTACATAGTTCGAAAGCTTGCCGAGAACACAGAGCGAAGCTATTTGGAGCTCCAAAGAGCATGGATGAAGCAAGACACCTATGTCTTCAAGCAGATGGCATCATTCTGCCGCAAAAGCACCGAGATACGCTGCGAACTCGGACCGTGGGCTGCAGACTACTACATCAGGAGTGCCATCACACAGTATCTTGACTATGCTAACAAGAGCAGCCAAAACAATTCGGCCTGGGAGCTTGCGGAGAAGAGATATCTAGCTGGCGTACTACAGAAAGTGGAACTGGCGCAAGCCGATCATCGCGATAATCTACAAGTGTCCAGTAAGGTCACGAAGCTCATAGAGCAGCTTGTTTCATGTCCAGCAAACGTCCAGGGTATCGTTTTTGTCAAAGAAACAGCTACTACACATGTACTTCAAAGGCTTCTCTCGATGCACAAGTTGACTCGTACTCGATTTCGAACTGGCTCGATGGTGGGTGCTTCACGATACGAGGCCCGAAAAAGGGATGTGGGCGAGCTCAATCGGAATGATGGCCTTGTCGACTTGGAGCTTTTCCGTTCTGGCAAGCTCGACATCCTCATTGCTACCAGTGTACTCGAAGAAGGCATAGATGTGCCGGCCTGCAACTTGGTTGTTTGTTTCGACAGGCCGACTCACTTGAAGTCGTTCATACAGCGCCGCGGGCGGGCCAGAATGAGGGAGTCCAAGCTGATTCTCATGTACGACATCAGCTCAGACAGCCATATGGCCTGGGAGAAGCACGAGGAGGAGATGAGGCAACATTATGAAGATCAATCACGGGAATTGAAGAAACTGAAAGCCATTGAAGACGCTGAGATTCCCTCGGTTGCCCCTTTCTACACCAAGCATGCCCGTGCTCGACTGGAGCTGGACGACGCCAAAGGACATCTAGACCACTTCTGTGGAGTCATTGCATCACGGGAGTTCGTTGAATGGAGACCTTACTACATCATAACAAAGGTTCCCTATACCAGGGCAAAGTTCGAGCCGCCTCAGGTTAAAGCGACGGTCGTTCTACCGAATTCGCTGCCAGCTCACCTTCGACGAATCGACGGCAATGATGTCTGGTACTCCGAGAAGAACGCGTGTAAGGATGCTGCATTCGAGGCGTACAAGAGACTTTACGAGGCCGGCCTCGTGAATGAGAATTTGATGCCGTTGAAGGGCAATGACCTCGTCGAGGGGTTGGAGAGTCGCCTTTCCGAGATCGAGGTGGATGAGAGATGGAATCCTTGGCCTCACGTGGCCAGAGCCTGGTCTGGATCGCAATATCATCGCTATCCAGTTCAACTCCTAGATCGCTCCAATGCAGTACTGGCCGAGTTCAGCATGGTTTCCCCAGTGCAACTTCCAAGTATCCCGATGTTCGATGTTTTCTGGGGCAATAAATCCTGGAAGGTAAAAATTAGCCAGAGAATGGCGACTGTTGTGGACCTATCACGGAGCGCCGAGGAGACTATGGCACTTATAACCTTGGCATATGGACATCGCTTTGAGGTCGAAGATGGAAGACAACATGTCATTCAGTTTCATTCACACGGAAAGCCCATCTCCAGGAAAGATCTTGGGAGCCAGACCATAACTTCCGGCTTCTTGGCCCAAGAAAGCGGTGAACTACAGTACCTCATTCGGAAGACTATGAACAACAGTCCCTATTTCTATGGGGAATGCTTACCATCAGAGCCTTCGTATGATCTGGTTCGAAAGAAACGGAGCAACTATGAAGAAGCTTTCCTCCAAGAGAACCCATTCGATGGCCCTTGGCTAGCATTGAAACGCTGGCCTCGGAGGCGAGATTTCTTACACGAAATACGCCAGGATGCGAAACCAGAACAGAGATCAGCTAAGCCATATGAATACATTTGGCCGGCAGCTCATTGTCGTATGGACTCGACTCCAATCGTCAATGTCCAATTTGCCTCGCTAATACCATCCATTACACACATCCTAGAGATATACTTGTTGGGCCAAGAGTTGTCTACCAACACCGACTTCAAAGAGCTGGCCTTCAATGACTTGCGACTACTCGTCACTGCGATCAGCGCCTCGTCGGCGCGAGAGGCAGATGACTACCAGAGACTCGAGTTTCTTGGCGATGTCTTGTTGAAGCTGCTCTCAACAATAAGTGTTGCTGTCAATCGTAAGCCTAAGATACCTGCGACTCACCATGAATCTAACACTCTAACTCATTCCAGGTCCCCATTTTCCTGAAGGATATCTCTCCAAGATGAGAGTCAGAATGCTGTCCAACTCCAGACTTTGTAAGTCGAGTCGTGATTTTGGGCTAGCCAGGTTCATTCACACCAAAGAGTTCACTGGACACAAGTGGAGGCCGTTCTATGTAGACGAGCTGGCCTCCAAAGAAGAAGTTTCTGGGAAGAGGACCATGTCTACGAAGATCCTGGCGGATGTAGTTGAATCGCTCACGGGGGCTGCATATGTCGATGGCGGTTTGGGATACAATGGATTGGACAAGGCTTTGCGCTGCCTCCGCCTACTCATCCCTGGCGATGTATGGCGTGGCCTTGATGAAGGGCGGACAGCGCTTCTGTCTCTGAGGGAGTCCAAATCAAAACTCCCTCCTACGCTGGCACCTCTTGAGAGCCTGCTGGGCTATTCTTTTAGCTGCAAATCTCTGCTGGTCGAGTCCATGACACACTCGTCATTCAATCTGGCATCGTCCAACGAACAGTCTCTCGAGCGCCTCGAGTTTATCGGCGACGCCATCCTGGACTACCTCATCGTCATGGAGCTCTGGGAGAGGAACCTTCCCGAGAGCCGCATGTCGCCCCTCAGGGCTGCGTGCGTGAACGCTGACCTGGTCGGCTTCTTAGGCATGGAGTGGAGCATATCTCAGCACACCGCAAATATCGAGAATGCGGTGGCCGTCCCCGCCGAGTTCAAGATCCCGTTCTGGAAGTTCATGCGCCATTCATCCGAGGCCGTCGGCGCCGTGCAGAAAGCTGCGGAGGAGCGGCACGCCCTCGAGCGGGACGCCATCCTCCAGGCCATCAGCAGCTCCAGGGTATACCCCTGGGTTCTCCTGTCGCACATTCATATCCCCAAGTTCTTCTCAGACATCTTCGAGTCCGTCCTTGCCGCTGTGTGGCTGGACTCGGGCGATATGAGCGTGTGTAGGAGCCTCCTGGAGCGTATTGGAATCTTACCGTTCCTTCGCAGGATCCTGGAGGACAATGTCGACGTGACCCATCCCAAGAACAAGCTCGGCGAGATAGCAGGACAACGCCTAGTGGAGTATAAAGTTGGCTTGGTCACGGCAGAGGAGGCCGCCTATGTATGCAAGGTCTTCGTGGGTGATGAGTTGGTGGTTGAGGTCGGTGGCGGTAATCATAAGGATGAAGTCATCACGAAGGCCGCTGAAAAGGCTTATGAGGTCTTAAGAGCAAAGTCGGATGCTGAAGCAGATGCAATGGAGGTAGATGTGTAGATTGACTGCAAGGAGTTATCCAGAGGGAGAGGGAGAACGCCTTATCACAATGAGCAATGAGATACGAAAGGAAAACGACCAGCAACGTAGCGTATGGGATGCAGTAGCAGGAGGACAAATCCAATGGAAGAAAACACTCACTACCGGGCAACAGGAGGACCACATCTTTGAGGTGGAAAAAAAAGGGGGGCGGTTCCCAAACTCGCACCCAAAATTACATGACCCTGCTCCCAACATTCTCGCATGTCACAGCGGGGCCTCCGGTCGTCTCTTGGGATGGTACCTGCTATTTTTTTTGGGGGATGCCCCGGCTTCCTGAATCTGGTATGGATGTGAGAGAGTACCTCGTTTTATTACCTTCAGGTGGGAATGTTCGTTTGCCCTGTCTCCTTTATTGCAATGGTAGGTGCATACTGTACGTAACGTATTTTTTTGCACACAATTCAAAGACATACCGCAAGTCAGTTTGTAAATCTACAATTGTTGGGAAGAAATATGAAAGGAACTATCTATCATCTTGTGAAACTTTCTTTTGTCATCCCATTTGTGCAACTAACCATCCCATGCATCCAGGATTAGAACGACTGGTGCATATATATCTGGGCAACATCGTGAAAAGTCCGGTCTTGCGGGCAGAGACTGCCTGTATCGTGTGTCTTCTCCAACCAAGTTTCTCCCAAGCACAATTCCGGTTAACGTGCAACATCACCGTGCAGTGGACCAGGCAATCACCCACCAGCTAATCACTCGTCGTCATCGTCGAGCAGGGAGACGACCTCTCGAATCTTGCCATCGATGAGAATGCGCTTCGCAGGCCGAGCAGCCGGTCGCAGGACATTCAGGTCTCCAGTGTCATCGTACTCGCGCTTGACCACAGAGCCGCGCTCCGGCTTCATCGAGCCCCGGTCTAGATCGTCCTGAGATTGCGACTGAGATCGGGACTGCAGCGGCGGCGTCAACGGCATCAGCGGCAGCTGGTACACGTGGGTCAGGTCAGGGGGTCTCTCGATGCTCTGCATAATTCGGGGCGTCTCAGTCTGCACGCGAGGGTGGGTGGAGCGGTAATCCCCTCCTGAGACCTTACGTGCCTGGGATGCTGCTCGTGAAAGATCTATGTGAACGGGCATTCGAGGCGGGGCCTGTATGTATCATCAGTCATTGACTCGATTCACGGGCGGACATTGGCTGAATCAGAGATGTGACTCACAGTTCCGGGTCGGTCCATGAACCGACTGATAGAGGCTCCTAGACCGTCGCGATTGGTTATGGGAGTCTGGAGTCGCGACAAGTCCGGGGACGACAACGCTGCGGACTGGGAGACGTGCTAAGAGAGACTATATGAGAACAACACCACTAGTTGCACGAATCCAAGTTTCACTTACGGCGGTGCTAACTTTTTTCAGTCTCTCCAAGAGCAGACGCAGCTGGTCCTCAGACAGTTCCTCGATTCGCTGCAGCTCTAAGGCTGCCGCGCGTGGGTTGGGCGGTCGGGAAACAATGCCCTCTTTGATCAAAGCATCTGGAATCATGCTGTCAGCAATGGTAGCCCTGTAACCGTGTCCTATTCATTGCAGGTACCTTTCGACCGATAGATCAACTTGATCGTAGCGAAGGGACCGTTGTCACCATATATCAGAGCGCACTTGGACGACAAGAGCGGTTTCGGTTTATCGAGCCTGTATTCATGATCAGACAGGAATTCCATCACCTCCAGAGCCCGAAAGGCTAGTAGGAATGTGTCAACAGGCTCCAGGGAGAAGGGTCATCTTACTCGACGAAATCCGAGAACGTGGTTCCATGCGAGACAGTACGACCTTTGAGTGCCTTCTCGGCCAGCTCCAAGTTCTTAGCACCCAGCAGATTGTTCATGTACTTCTCGCTCGAGCCATTCACCTGCACGCGAAAGAACTTGATGTCGACGGTGCCCATGTTCACAGCTGCGCGGCAGTCTGAGTCAACGCGAATCGAGTCGTCGTCGTCCACTATTGAGCAAGGCAATCTGTGGTCAGCTTTTTGTCCGAAAGATGTCAGGGCGGAGGATTTTGGGGATGAAATATGGGCAAGAACGATAGTATTTAGTGGACTCACCCGTCTTGATCGACTTGAACTTGAAGGTCTGAATTCCTTGCTTGCCCTGGCCTCTTCCCTTGCCCTTTCCCTTGATGAGCGAGCGACCATGGACGATCGCCTTCCACGGCTGGAGCTCAGTCTGGTCCATGCGACACATCTCGCCTGTGACCCAGTTGCCGTCGACATAGATTGCGATGTTGAGCATGTGAGGGACTGGAGCGTCAAACCCATAGTGGTTTGACACGCTGAGCGCAACGCTGAACTCGGCGTCGTTGAAGCACTCGATGTACTTGGTGACCGACAGCGGCTTTAGTATCTGAGGTGATTTGGCTGCTGCGTTCTCCGAAGGGGCGTCGTACTCTGTGGCGGCCTTGCCACCGACGTGAACCTGTGCCTGCAGGCCAAGGTTATGGAGTCTCACCATCGTGTCTTACTCTGTGAGAGGAAGAACGGAAGAGAGAAAACGACTGGGCGCCGGCGATCTTTGGATAGCAGTGAGGTGTCAGCCACGATCACCTCAAGGAAGGGATGAAAAGGAAGGGAGAGAAGAGAAAATTGCCCTTGTCGAGATGAGGTGGGTGATTTGTATGGTGTGAAGTTTGAGGTCGACGACGTGCCGTTGAGGTCAACAATGTGCAGGAGGAGTAAGAGAAAGAGGAAGAGGAAGAGAAGGAGCAGGAGGAGAAGGAGAAAGACGAGCGAAGGGAGGAAATACAAGGCTATGTCTCGTTGATCCTTGTTTGGTGTTGTGTTAGGTATGGCCTGTGATGTTCAAGATGTACATCTCAGATCGACAACGGCGGCCTGATATCTGGCAGGAGGAGGACGAGGTTGGCTGACTGGAGAACAGAGTGATGTTGAGTGATCCAGATCAACGCTTGGACTCGTCAAGTAAAAGGAGCGGGTTGAGTAGTGAATTCAGCAGATGAGATCACAAGAAGGCAGGCACGTTGTGCTCGATTTGGTTGCAAAAGGGGAAGTATGAAGGAGGAGGAGGAGGATGTAAACGAGAAAAAGAAGGGGATGACGGAGAAGCTGCCATAGAAGCTGGCGAACAAACCGTGCATCGAACGACTTTGTGATGATATTGCTTCAGTAGCAAGTCGGAAGGGTGCAGTAGGAATCACAGGTCTAGGAATCTGAAGAAGAAACTAGTTTGGGGGTGTGGGATGATACGGAGAATTGAGGTTGATCGCCGGGGACGATGGTTGTCGCCATGTACACTGGAGGTACTTTTCTTCAACTAGGAAGAGCGACTATCGAAGCACATACTTGCATTCCCATCGAACCTGCTAAGTTGGTAGAAAAAGATTATATATTTCACAAAAAAACGTCTTCCGTTAACACGGGTGGAAAAATCAGGTGGAAATCACCTTGTTCGGCTGAGAAGACAGCTTAACCAAGCCCCCTTCCCCCCTAGAAGAGCTTCTTATCAGAATAACGAATATTGACAAACAATGAATGCGAAGCTGTCCCGATTTTGCATTGAAACATCCTACTACTGCAGCCCTTGTTGCTATCAATAAGGCCGTGAAATGGTAGGACACTATAAGCGTATAACGTCAAGGACCCCGAGACCCAAAAGGTATAAGGTGAACACAACAACTCAGTTTACTGTCAATGTACAATTTCCAATCCCAAGAGCCATCTATTGCCCCAAAGCTGTCTATCTATCCAGCTAGCTTTCAAGTGTGCCGTGACTTCTCGTCTTATCTGCAGCTTATATTTACACGTGGTCTGACCAAGAGATTGGTCTTTACGAATAACTACTACTTTGTAAGGTAATAATCTGTAATGTTTTTACACGACCAGGCCCTCCTCGGCCTCGTCTCGCTCTAGCCTCTCGAGTCCATTGCAAACCGCGCCGTAGACCCGCAAGGGAACCGCGACCTCAAAGCTCTCGCACTCCAGGTTCTCAGCCGCCACCATGACGAGCCCACCCCGATCGTCGCGAGAGATCTCCTCGAGCAGCGGGTGCGGTCCTTCAGCGCGTCTCTCAGCTTCGGTGTCCTCGGCCGTGGAGCTTGGCACCACAAACTCGACTCTGATTTTCCACTCCAGACTGAGGCCACTGGTAACGAATTCCGGTGTGGCATTGATGGGGATAGTTGGGCTGAACACTATGCGTCGGGCAAATAATGTGGCCTCGCTGGAGCTACCATACACCTTTCTGGTGACCCGATGGACGCTGGCCTCACTCCTCAAGGCAAAGGCGGGCTCGATGCGCTCGGCAGTCTCCAGAGCCGCGTGGACGGCATAGCAGGGTATCTCGGCATCTGTGAAGTCGATAGCCATGCTGACAGCCTCGCCAAGTCTGTAGGCTGGTCGGGCAAGCATAACAACGCCGACCCGCTGACCATTTCTAGCAATCTCAAAGCGGTTTGTGCTCTGGCCTGAGTCCGAGGATGAGAGATTAGAACGCATGATGGCCAAGTCAATGGCTTCCCGAGCAGTGGCGGCTTCTTCGAAAGCAGAAGGGCGCCGCGAAGATGGCCCGTGAGCTGTAGGCGAAAGAAGACCAGATCCATTCCTTGGCCGATCCAGTAATTCCTCCACATAGCCCAGGAATCCGTGGAGGGTAGAATTTGGCAGTGGTTTGACCTTCGTCTTCTCCGCGCTGCTGGCATTCTTGTCGAGCTGCTGAACCTTCGCTAGATCGCGGAGAATGATATACGGCGACATGAGGTCATGACCGAGGATCTCGCCATGACTATTGACGCTGCCCAGTACCCGAAATGGTATATCGACTGATTTGACCTGCTGTTCCTTTGTCCCCCCTGGTCTCTGTGTTCCGATGACGAGACTGTAAGTGATCTTCATGGCTTTGCCTTTGTGCGTCGGAGGTAAACCCTTGGGCAATTTAAATGAGTATTCGTATGTCTTGCTCTCCCCCGGAGCGAGTTGCAGGTCCACGAAAAGGATGGACTGGGGCGTTGAGAGCAAGGGTATCGACTTGGAGCCTGCTACGCCGCGCATCTCCTTGATACTACTCAACTCCCCTCCACCGAGCAGCTCTCCTATGGAGTTTCCCCAGGAGCCCCATCCGAAGCTCTTGAGCAGTCCACTGTCCCTTTTTGAGTTCTCAAGTCCGATGACGCCGCCGCCTTGCCCTCCCAATACAGCCTTCCTCTTGACCGTCTCAAAGGGCCCCAAATTTATGAGGGATCCGTCCAGCGTGAATGACCCTTGAATCTGTGCGTAGCCCATCATCAAGGCTTCCGGCAACTTCGCTTGGCCTGGTCCGGACATGCCCGAGATTCTTCTTAAATGTGGCGGTCTCAAGCCATTCCGCAGCGGCTGTGTCACGTATTCCGAGGCCAGAGTTTCGCTCGAGTTGTTACTCAAGGAGTAGAACTCCCCACTGCTCCTGGGCGTCCCGCCCGCTATGCTCGTCGTTGACAAGATCCGTGCCGCCGGGGCCGGGTGCTCCACGACGGAGGGCACCGAGTCCCGCGAGCGCACCGGGAGCTGCACCGAGCCCCCGCCTGCCGAGACCGGCGTCGTCAGGTAGTCTTCGTCCTGGCCACCCGGCGACCTGTCCTCACTTTCGGAGAGCGGTGATCGCACAGCGGGAAACGTCCACTCAGGCATCTGCAGGGGGCTTCTCCTCGGCGTGTGTCCGACTGCAGGGGTGTTGGGCATGGTCGAAACGCCCGGCTGACGGCCATGTCCGTACCGAGAGGGCGGGAAAGAGTTGTTGTTGAAGACGGGCGAGCCCTGCGAGCTGCCTCCATATGGCCGCTGTGGCAGCGCGGCAGACTGCGGGCCGTTGAAGACGGCGCTTGCTCTTGGGGATATTTGCAGACTGGAGGAGCGGCCATGGCCACGACCAGGACGCTGGGGTGGCCCTCTAGTCCCATTGCTATGTGCCTGGTCCTCCACGGTGGTCGCGGAGCCTATTGAAACGATGGAAACGGAGCGCTTGTGACTGTGGCCCGGCCGGGTCGGCGGCGGCTGGGCGGGAATCCACGACGTGGTGCCGCTGCTCTTGGAGCGCGAATGGCCCGTCGGCACGTTCAGGGAGAGGGTGGCTCGATGGCCCCTGCCTCTGGCAGAGGCGGGCGGCGTGAGGCCATTGTTGAGGTTGGGCTTGCGAGGCGTGCCCAGCAGAGGGGAGGGCTGTCTCGAGCGCTCGGGGTTGGGTTGGTTCGGCCGCGCGACGTTCTTGAAGGTGATGCGGCACTTGATCTCCTCGCCGGCGAACACGGTCTGGTCGCTCCAGTGCACGAAAACGCGGATGTTGCTGGCCATGTCGGGAGCCATTGTCGGCGGACGGGCGAGCGCTGGGCGAGGGACGGGGACGGGGAGACCACGACGGTGGATTGCAGCAGAGAGCCGGCCACTGGGCTATTAGTCCCGTGGAAGAATACCCCGTCAATCACGCACGTCGCAACCACATTGTAGTCGTACGCAGTCAATTGAGCCTCGGCTTCAGGGACCCTATCGCTGAAGCATTGGCCCGTCAACTGTCGGCCGGCAACTTCAATGAACGGGACGCGTCGAGAGATGGCTGGATTTCTAGATGCTGGGAATCTCGAGTGACCTGCGACACTATTGCGTCTAAGGTAGGGATGATGTATATTGGACCAGGATATCGATGGGGCAGGATGGGGGCTGTTGGCCTAAGGCACTCACCCGCCGCCGCCCATCACCCCACTCACTAAGTTAGCACGGGCTGGCGGGTGTCGGTCGCCCGCCGCCTGCAACTATAATTCTTTGTGAGAGATGTTGCAACACTTATTCTCGCTTATATTCTGTCTCTTGGTTATGCCTGAACCATTGGCGAGAGATAGGAGATCACGCAAACCACTTGAACTCCTATTGATGAAAAGTTCCAACAATGACACAGCTCCCTGCACGTCTTCCCGGATAAAGTCTGATATAATCAGCAGTGTAACACATTCGTATAACTAAAAAGACTATCTACAGCCCGCTAACAAGGCTATGTCATGAATGTATCGAATCTGTGACACTATTCGAGCCCGTCTCTGCATCGTCCTTCAAAGTCGCAACAGCTCTGGGGTGGAATGATAAACTACCTAGGGACCTAGGTGTGTAACTACGCTGATGGGAGTGACGCTCTCAGGCAACTTATGAGTTTCGACAAGGCAGCTTTAAATATGTACCCAACACGGGTCTCTTTCAGATAAAAACATTCGTTCTCAACGCTGTAAACCCAGACTATGCTTTCATGTCTCGTAACAGTCCTATAAAAGGCGCCGCCGCGCTGTCCCAACCCCAGCGAGGAGATGCCAACCAACCTAGGTTGTTTGCTAGGCGAAGACTAGCCCAGCCCGTAAGACCTACAACCGTGCCGACAACGACGAGAGTTATCAGTGCGGTTCTTTCGACCCCAGAATGATAGAAAGCCCCCGACTTCTGCGCCTGCCCGGGCACTGGGTCGCCAAGCGGCGTGGTCGTGTTCTTCAGGTCCGGGATCCACTTGAAGTTATACTTTGTGATATAGCCCAGCGCACCTTTGGACTTCTTGTGTACCAGGATCTGATACAGCACCTTCCGGGTAAGCTAAATTATCCGTCAGCATGAGCACATAAAAGTCCGATAGTCACTGCGTCTTGCTCTGTCGTGACTATCATACACACTACAAGACGGGGTTACGGAAAGTTTGGGAATATACTCACCTTGATGTTCGCTTCGTCCAGGAATGGTATACTCCGAGCGATGTAGCCAGAGATCATGAAGTAGATGCATTGTCCAAATGCCAAGGCTCTGTAGTAGATATTTGGCTTCTCAATGCCCAGTTCTTGAGCCAACTCGCTGCCGTTAAGCCACCAGGTCTCGGCGTTGAGGAAACCCCGCGAGGCATAGGTTGGCGGTTGGCCCTCAAAGCCGGTGATGATGTTGTTCGCTAGCGTTCCCGACTTCTTGGTTGGCTTGATCTCCGATACGAGCAGAGACTCCATCATCGCTTTTGCGGTCTCCGGAGTTGCGAGCCAGTCGTGTGGAGTGCCCATGAGGTACGCAACGTAGCGCCAGAGCGCGAGGTAATCCTCAATCTCCTGCTGCCGCAGCCAGATACCCTGTCGTGGGAACCCCATCCATACTACTGTCGAGCTGAACGTTCCGATGGTCCCAATACAGTCGAGGTCATTGACCGGAACACCATATTTCTTCAGGTCGTAGTATTCGGGTTTCGCCTTTGCCAATTGCGTCACTCGCCGGCGAACTGATGCGTGCAGTAGACGGACCCGTACTGAAGACTCGAAACCTTCTCCGCCAGGCTGAATTGCAGCCAAGTCTTTGTGGACGCCGAGGGTGTGTTGGGTAGTCTCCAGAAGGCGCCGGCGCACGACCTGAGCACCAAACCCACCCGTGCGATCTAGAGTCTCTACCGTCCTCCCTCCACCCATACCGCCGAGTAATGACAGAAAAGTGAGCTGTCGTTCATCAGCGTATGATTTCCCAAGAAGGGGACTGAACTTACGGCCGTGATAGCTGGGCCACCATAACGCCAGAATACCTTCTGGCCCCTGTCGATTTGCTCCCAGTCAACCCATTCCGGTACCGCGTTGATCTCATCCCATAACTTGCCCACTCTCTCGTCGACCTTGGCATGCTTCTGGACGAGTGCGTAAAGGTCCCGATGCCTCTTCGTATCCTGGGGCTCAACTGCCTCCTGGATATCCTTCCTAGGGCCAGTTGGTGCTGGTGGCACCAGTTCGTCCAATGCTTCGACGGCGTCTGATGCAACAGTATCGTAGGTATATATTAAGGGATGAAGTTCTTCTGGCGATTGATGCAACGAGCCCCACCTGAACTTGTATCCGTAGACCTTCATATCATTGGGTTCTCTGGAGAACAGCCCCATCTTGCGGACCGTGAGTGTTATTATGGTTAGATGTATAGGAGTATGCGTTGCCCAGAGTATAAGATGTAGTTGCAAGAGAATGAAGCGAGGCTACAAGTTGGATGTGACAATAATCCAAGGGAAGAGAAGATACGTAATAATACAGTTATAGCAAATCTAAAGGGGAATAAAAGACGTATAACAGTCACTGGGCCATATTGAGGCTCCAAAAACGCCGCTCATTGAATATAGACATTCAGGTTTCGCCCATCATACGATAGAAAGGCTCAGGATCTGACAGAATTGGCAACCATATCGTCGGCCGAGTCTGAAGTAATAAGAGGGGGTTGCCGAGGCACACCATGTTGGACTCGTTGGAGACAGATGCTTCGAAACTGGCTGCCCCTCGGCATCCCCTCACTCTGATGAATGAATCATCGACCACCAAATACAGGACCAGGAAAACTGGCGCGCCTGATTGAGATGGGGACCCCTTGACGTCTGCCTGTCATGGAGAGAGCGACTTATCGCCTCCCCACGCGTCTCGGCTGTTCCAGATGACGTGGGGTCGAGTGGAGGGTTTCGATCTAGCCTGTGAAGTGAGCCCTGCAACCTGGACCGACTGCACTTGACGGCTGGCCATGGCCCCTGTCCGCCCGTACCACTCACTGTACACTGGGCAGCATGGGCCAGGGACGTGGAATACCGTACAGGCCCGCGGTAGGTAGCACAGACCCACCAACGGTCTAATGCAGCCACTTCCGCGCTTTCTCGGCGCGTGTCGCCCAGCGCCGGGTGCCACACCCCAGAACAAAAAACTTCATACACATGCCAGCTCTCAGGCGAGCTTTCGCATCCGTATCTTGTCTTACACCACGGCCCTTTTCTTGCTAAATCAGGGTTGCAATGACCTGCACTTGCCGCGCATCATCCTTGCGGATCTTTGTACAGAGCCTTACTCGGATCCCGCTGTCCCATTCGCTCCCAAGAAGCACACCTCGCCCTGACCCCAGACTCCCCGGCGCATCCACACAGCTCGGCCGTGCGAGGCCTTTCACTGCTGCCTCGGCAGTCTACTACCCAAGGCAGACATGGCGGGCTCCTGGAGCAGGCAGGGCAGCCCCGAGTGGCCTGCATGAGCAGTCGGGCCCTGTCGTGGCGGCCGACGCCGACGCCGGGCAGTTAGAGAAAGCGAAGACCGACAAAGCTGTATTCGAATTTTCCCCAGATGCGATCGATGCCCTCGCAGCGGAGCTTGGTCAGACTCCGAAACAACAAGCTGATCCCTCCGGCCAGCATGGCGGACCTCGCCACAAACCCGATGGTTCGGCTCGTAGGAAACCTGAACTGCCAGCCTCGAGCAAGCTGAGGAGAAGCAAGATTATGCCCCCAAATATCAAAAGGACTTGGGAGCAATCCGATCTCCCTGCCCCGAAGAAAGAGCCGTGGATGATACAGAAGGAGGCATTGCGGACCAAGTTTCCAGACGGTTGGAACCCGCGAAAACGGCTGTCGCCCGACGCATTGGAAGGTATCAGGGCTCTGCATACACAGTACCCCGAAGAGTACACAACGGAAAAGCTGTCTCAGAAGTTCGAGGTCTCGCCAGAAGTCATACGGCGCATACTGAGAGCCAAATGGAGGCCCACCGCGGACCAGGAAGAGAAGCGCATGGAACGATGGTTCAACCGCGGCAAGAACATCTGGTCGCAAATGGCAGAGCTGGGCACAAAACCCCCCAAGAAGTGGCGCGAGGAAGGCATTGTGCGTGACCCGTCCTGGAATGTCAAGAGGGGCCCCCGGACTGAATATCCATATGCTCCCCGGAAGAAGGCCCCGGAACCTGAAGACGAAGAGAGCACGCAGCGGAAACTGGGCGAAGGTCTCTTGTGAGGACTTTAGTCTTATGCCTGAGCTGATCTGACATGCTGCTCGTTTGGTGACAATGATGCAGTTTGCGCTGCAATGTAAAAAATGTATATATATACTGCCTGAAATGTAAAATTATGTATAGTAAATAGAAAGATAACGACGCTCTAATCACGCCGCCTCTGGGCCGTTCACACGCTCCTGGCTCCCCATGGTGTGGCCAGACGAAGAGACAAGAGGAACAATATCCCGCTTGTAAAGCACTAAATGCCTAGGCTCCCTCTGAGGGGGTAAAATAGGTACAAATGTCTGTCGTAGGCAAGGAGCAATACGATGGAGATCCACTGGCGGTGGTGATATTGAGATGTACTCATTAGCTTCTACTTAACGAGCTGGTCTGCTGGATTTCCGAGGCCGCAAGTGGCCCCCGCTGCATCGTGTCCACGCTGTAGCCGGCCCGTACGGTTGCATACTTGGGTTCAGTTCGAAAACCCGGAAACAGGGTTTTAACTGATCGGAAGCAATTGAGACAGGCAATGCTTGCTGAGGAACTTCAGTCCCCAAACGTGTACGCGCAGGCCCTGAAGACAAAGGACGTGAAGGGCAGAAGCGTTCCGGATGGCCTAGCCGAGAGCCAATCTGGGCTGGATCCAGGGTCTGGTGATCTGAAGTGTGATGACCCTGAAGCTGCCGACGATTAGGGAAAGCTATCACGCCGAAAGCAGTCAAGATGGACCAGGATGCAAAGTGTGGAACCAATAGAGTGACACAGAGAATATTGCACAGCAGGGGTCCCGCAAACTCTCGCCCCCATTCGGCAGACGGGCTGCGGCCTCTCAGTGGCCCAGTCGTCCCCCCGGTTTCCCAGGACGGGCCCAAGCGACAACAAAAACAATCGAACTAACGAGCTGAAGATCCACTAACTGACCTGACGGGGTTCGCGGGTGCTCATCCCATCCTGATCCCTATCTGCGCCGACGAGCTGGGGCCATTGCCGCACGCAAACCACCACTCCAGTCCTTCTCCCGGGCCTTCTCTACGGGATTCCAAGCTTCACTGTGCATGGCCGAAGCTGTCTGCTTGCGCCTGCGTTCTAATTGGGTCCTGCGTCTGGTTCCTCCCTGACCGGCCCTGACGCTCCCTTACCTACCCAACGACAACCCAACTTTAGTCACTGGGCAATCTATTCTTGCGTCCTATCTGAGCCCAGGAATTTTCCCTTCGCGTCACTGTAAGTCATCCAGGACAAAGACTCACCCATGTGCCTTTCGATTGACTGTCACAAGCGTTTAATCACCTAATAAAAGCCTACGCACATTCTCTTTCCGCTTCTCTCGACTTCAACCACAACCCCCACGTCACCAGGCCCATCTCCTACACTAATTAGGTGCCGGCTGGAAATAGTAAACTTCACCGAAAAGCTCGAACGCATGCGTCGGGTCAACTGCAACGATTCCTCGCGCCTTCCCATGCCCTGCAGGTGCACAATCCAGAACCCCTCGATATACATCAATATTACGTGAAGCTCACACCTCGGCGCCCACCTTGCGCTGCAGTACCAGCCTCCTTCCACAGGTCAATGGCTAGAAGATGGCTTCTACTCCCTCCAACCGGCTGAGGGTTACGCCATCCAATTCGCCATTTCTCCCGCGGCCGCCAAGATCTGCGCACCGTGGCCGAGCCCTCCCGGAGCCGCGCCTGTCCTTGAAGAGAGTGATCGGCACTACCTGCGCCTCGCCTACGGGGTTCGATGTCGCACAGTCGTCCTTCGCCTACGTCGCCGGAGGAGCTGTGGTGGTCGTAGATGTGGAGGGCGAGAACTATAACCAACGATTCTTCAGGGCCCGACCAACTGCCGTCCCGCTCTACAGTACATCGAACCTGGCGCATTCCCAGTCCACTCCTACCACCACGCCGAAAGCCAATGATGGCAGAAATAGGATCAGGGAATCTCCTCACGGCGCCGGAGACTGGGCGGACTCGCCCTCGTCCAAGACATGGACAAGCCGGGAACGCATCAAGGCCGCAACGTGCCTGGCATTGAGTCGTGAAGGGCGCTTTCTTGCAGTTGGCGAGACGGGCTATGCACCGCGTGTTCTCATCTTTAGTCTGGAGGACACTTCATCCGAGAGACCGCTTGTCTCCATCAGCGAACATCTGTATGGTGTCAAGGCGGTAGCTTGGTCACCCGACTCCAAGTTCATGGCATCGCTAGGTTCGGCCAACGACGGATTTCTCTACGTATGGAGAATCGACTCTAGGACGGGTGCCGCGAAGCTGTTTCAGCAAAATCGTTGTACGTCATTCATACGGGGCATGATCTGGATGGGCAACAACCTCATCACGCTAGGTGTCCGGCATGTCAAGGTGTGGAAAGTGGAGGAAGAAAAAGCTCCGTCTCCCACAAAGCAGCGATTTGGGGCAGATGTGGGTTCACCGGCTCAGCCGCAGAAGACACTGCCAGGTCGGAACACTCTGCTCGGAGAACTGATAGAGGCAACCTTTTCGTGCGCGGCTGCGATCGACGACAACAAAGCTGTCTTGTGTACCGAAGCTGGCGAGATTTGTCTGCTGGACGACACAGGGAAGCAGTCCAAGTTGACCAAGATCCTAGAAATAGGCTTTGTGACGACTTGCGTCACCATCAGGGATCAAGTGATTCAAGTTGGAGGCAAGACAGGCGACTTTTCAACTCTCGATCTGAAGTTGTTTCTAGAGGGCACTGCGTCATGTATTTTGACAACCTCGAAATCTTCAGTGGGACTCCTGGGCTTGGGATTTTTACAGAACAATCTGGTGACAGTTGACTCCGAGCACTCCATTGATATATGGAACACTTCCTACGTCCCTGGAGTGAAAGGTCAAAGTACTACTCGGGTTCAGATCCCGGGCCACGGACATGCAATGCATGGAGTCGGAGCATTACCCCAGCCGAATGCACCCAATGCTGCATTCTATACGTGGTCTCGTTCCGGGAACATTGTTCTCTGGGATACCAATGGTAACACTAAGGAGTCGTTTAAAATACCTCTCGAAGATGCTTATTTCGAAAACGAGAGCGATCCCGGCAACCAGATGTCCGTTGTCAAAACAACCGAAGGCGCCAAATATTTCATTACAGGCGACAAGCTGGGTATCCTCAAGATCACCGACTACGAAACAAAAGAGTGTGTTTTGGAGACGAAAGCCCATTCCTCCTTTTGCCAGAATATCACGGTCTATGAGGACAAATCGAGATTTCTCATTGCTACTAGTGGCCGCGACCGGACTGCACAGTTATTCCAAAGAACTTCAACAGGGCAATTTGAACTTTTCCAGACGCTAGAGTTCCAGGCCAAAGTGATACAAGTTTTGATCCCATCTGTGGACAAGGTAATCACTTGTTCACTTGACAGATCCCTGCAAATCCACGAGGTGGTTTCGAAAGATGGGAGCACACACGAGTTGGCGGTCATTCCTATTCGATCACTACCCCTGAAGGCATCCCCGACATCCATGACCACAACTGCAGACGGGAAGTCGATCATCGTGTCGCTGCTCGACCGTTCCGTTTGCGTCTTCGACATCGAGACTGGAAAGCTGCTGAACTCTTTCAAGTGCACCGATGAATCTGGCGTTGAGTCTGTTGTACTTGACTCTCTTATCCAACGACCTGCTACGGAAAAGGAGTCAGCCTTTCTGTTGGGTCTTTCAAACACAGACAAATCAATCAGAATATACGATGCCGGCACTGGCAGTTTCCTAGACCGCGAATGGGGTCATACTGAAGCCATCAGCGGCGTTACATTGGTCCAAGAGACCGAAGGCGACAATAAGGTCATCAGCGTGGGTTCCGACGGAACTATCATGATCTGGAAGCTCGATTTACAAGATCAGATACCCAGCTCAGCTGATCGCGATCCATCACCTGTCAAGGATGGATTAGCCGCTGTTAAAGCTCCCTTGAGGCGTGTTTTGTCAAAAGCTGAGCTGGCAGAGTTCCCTAGACCTTCATCTGCATCTTCTGGGCGCCGGTCACCACCCCGGACCATATCGAAACGGCGCTCTCTCTACAATCTTAATAATTCCAACCTAATCAGGACACCGGTGGCCCCTGCCCAGCTGAGCCCATCTACTATTGCTGAGGATACACCATCCAGGAGACCGTCTGCCAGCAGTCGCTCTGGAAGCCCACCTGTTAGTCCCAAGTCGCGGACGTCAAGGCGACCGTCGCTACCGGCTCTCAGGAAACCGAAGAGCAGCACAAATCTTAGGGGATTCGGGACCCTCAATATGGCTACTGAGCAGGTCTGCCGCACATTGCGGTCGTACCGGAAGAAACTGGACTCGGGTGATGCCGTCAGCGAGGACGTTTTGGCAGAGCTAGATCAAGAGCTGCGGCTCACCTCCCTTGCCTTGGGCGACAGGGCCAAGCAAAGCCGGGAGATGAGCAGCTCGTTGCTCGATGGCCTCCTTGACCAGTATTCGTCTCGTCTGATGTCTATGCTGGATGACAAATTGCGCCTGAACAGCCAGTCTTCGGGGCGAGAGGACACGGAATCACCCGAGAACCTGAACCGACCCAGCTCCTCAGGTGCTGGATCTACGTCGACAACGAGCTCCAACTAAAGTCAATGACACGTCTATTTCACTATGTTGTATTATAATCCTATGTAGCGGGGAGCGGCAACGAAGGGTCCAAAGGGGACCAGGTCAAAGCTGTAAAAATAAGCTAAAGGAGCAATGGCGTCTGGATATGCTTTACACTATAGAGGCTCGGAAAGCCAGGAGGCGTTTTTCTTAGCTCATGGGATAGCAAGGGGATTTTGAGGATCTCGTCCGCGGTTTGGGGAAACCGATTATTGATACCACTTGGGAGGGAAGGCAGGGAGTTTGGATGCGCTCCGCGTGTGCCGGCTTGGGAGCACGGACCTATAACTTCCACTTTGGTTCGCCAGAAAGGTCTATATCATAGATATGAACACTCTGGAACAAATAGCAAGCACATCATCGTATCGAGCACCCTGTTGCAAAGGCATCGTGAAACCTGTAGCAATACAGTATCTCGGCTGTACCCCTTTCTGGCTTGTCATCTCACGCTATGTTTTTGGCAAGAAACTTTCATATTGATGGACAACTTTAGAGAGTTGTGGCTACCTCAAGATGAAGACTGAACGATCTTCACAGGCTCACAATCTCTCGGCACCCGTATATTCCACCTGCCCCTTTTCCCGTGTTTCTCTCTGTCTTTCTGAGCCCCCCACGCAGGAAAGCCTCTTCTTCCTGGCAGATGAGTCTCAAGGAGAGTCATGTTGACATACATGAGCTTGACAGGTGCAAACCCGCCCGCACGGTTTGTTTGTACGGATATATTGATCGGACAACGGTGCCGTTGTCTCAACTGTAAAGTCTATCTCGAGGACTGAGCGCCGCTGCCGCCACCATATTATCAGACGCTTAGGTTGTTGCTATTGACAACTCGGCCAGCGAGGCTTCGGCACGTTGCTTGCCCGAGCATTTCATTGGAGTACAACTTGTAAGTGTGCCGAAGTCTCATTTGTTGTGTTCAACCCGGACCGAAGCAGATTCAAGTCGGTCCGGTCTATTGCTCGACTTCGCCCACCTCGGCTATACTTGATGGTCATGATCATATTCTCGACGAGGAAGTGGCTGTGAAAACCCACTGCAAGCACGCAGGTGGATACCGTTGTTGGTCGTTCCTCGATGGATTATATCATCAAAACATTACCGGGAGGTAGCTTCAAGCGGACCTGCTTACGTAGGTGATGTCCCGGATAGATGGTCTCATACGGCCCTAGGAAGTGGTGTCAGAGCTCGGGCATTGCTAAGACACCCTCGAGCAAAACAGAGTTTGCGCGAGGAAGACGAAACCAGCTTAGGCCGGGTCGAGAGAGTTCAATGTTGTTGCGGCATCGTACACAAACATGAAAGCGAATACAGGGACCGAGCGAGTTCGGGGGGGGCCATGCAAGCTTTGGCGGCTTGCGTCCAAGGCGCATCTTGGGTTTCCAGGTGGCGGGAACGTTGATGAAAGGCGATAGCGAATTGGCGCCCGTATTTAGGGAAAGTGCCTCGTTAGCCGGGGGGAGCGTTTCCATTATCAATATATTTCTCTCGCCCTTGGCGCAAACAGCATTTCTGCGATAGCTGGGCTTGCATACCGTGGTGTAGTGAGAGAAATATAGCGAGCTCCCCTATACCCACCTCCAACAGGGATGGCGCATCTGAGGCTGGTGCGTAGGCGAGAACCGGATGCACGACATAAACGGCCGAACGGCCAATCTCTCGCTTGTTCCTGCGTAGGTAACAGCCAGAGAGAGAAAAAATGGCTCTCTCACACCACACCATCACTGCTTACACGATGCACACTGCAGATAACAACATGCTGCAGGTAGTAGCCAATGGCAGGTAGGTTTGATCTGCCAATGGCCCTGAGACACTTTCTTAGTCGATGAGGGCCGACTTAGGACCCGCAAGATGGCGCAGGCAGCTAGATAATGTTGCAGTGATGTGTTTACCCAATTGATCTGGTAAGACAGTGATAGATAGTGAATGACGTGCGGCAGTTGGAAGTTGATGACTATCGAGACGGTATCATCGAGGCGTGGTGATGACGATATCCGCACTGTCAATAATGGAACGATGGACGGGAAATGTGTGCGAGGTGGTTTTCGTTTGGGACGGGGTGCTAGTGTGCGGTCTATTGTATCACAGTACCAACCAGTCCACGAGAAACCCCATGAGCTACCTAGGTAACCACCTATGTAGCTTGTTTACCTGGAGTGAGTGTATTGCTGCTTTGGACCGCCCGCTCCGCCCGCGTGTGTCTGCCCTATTCGGTGGTGGGAACCCGGCCTCGTCCCGGCCTCGTCCCAGCGGGAAGCAAAGGCGCATCAAATCCCCCATCGTGGATTGGTCTCCGTGGATAGGTCTCCGTGGATAGGGCCTCCATGAAGCTGCAGCGTCCGTCCCCATCTCCGGAGGGTGCACTGGACATCGGGGAACCTGACGGAGACACGGCAGGGCGGGTGATCACCCAAGAGGACCCTGTCTAGCCCTGTTCTGCCCTCGCTGGGCCTGGGTGGGTTAGAACCTAGGGGTAGCGCGGGCTCTCGCCGTCTCTTCTAGAAGAAGAGGAGAGCGCAGGCAAGCCTTGCAAGCCTGGCAAGCAAGTACCGCCCAACAGCAGTCCCCTAATCTTGGGCACGCGGGACGCCCTAGTCGCCCCCGGGTTAGGCACGGTACAGTACAGTAGGTAACTTTCAGAGGGCCAGAGGTGAGTGCGCCAATTGAGCCACCAGAGCGACCCAGTGCCAACTGTGGCACATCGCAATTTCCAAGTTGCAAAATACTTGCACGACCCGGTTTTCCGTCCAGACAGGGTTCATCTGGCTACCGCCTTTTAGTGCGCCTGTCTGCGTGGTGCTCTGCCTGCTAGGGCGGGCTTGGTGCGCTGCTTGGCTCCTCTTCTTCCTTCTCGCCTCCGCTTTCGTGTGGGTTGCGTTGCGTCCCTGGTCCACTGGTCCACTGGTCCCCTCGACTGCTTGTCCCTCTTGCTCGCCAAGTCGCCGCGTTTCTGTGTGTGGCCCTTGGTTTGGCGTCTGGTGTCTGGCGGGTGCTTTTTTGGGTGTTGCCTCGAATTCGCACTACAGCCTACCACTTATCCACTGCCACTCCTCCTGACCACCACCCACGACGATCGAACCCCGTCCTTTAGCCTCGTGCCTCTCCTCCGGCCAGACAACAAACACAACTCCGGGAGGCCGTCGCCATCTCCGTTCAAGTGCCCCTTCGCATCGCACGCATCTGGCCTCTTGACGACCCAAGGACGGCGGACTCGACGACCGGGAGAAACCCCCCACGACAGCGGAGCCTAACCCGATAACGGAAAGTCAAGTCGACAATTCACCCATACCCATACCCATACCCATACCGCAATTTGGCCCGCCAAAAACTCTACTACGCACGCGTCCCAAACCTGCTCCCTGGCGGAGAGCCCTCTTCATCGCCCATTGAAAGTCCCAGCGCGGGAGCACAATTCCATCGCAGCCAGGTCATCTCACCCGGGCCATTACATCAGCAGCGGTCAGCTGTTCGAAAATTTACGTTGACCCGAAAGCAAGTACGACGCTCACTCGTAGGGCGGCGGTGCAGCTTCGGGTCTAGGACTCCGCTCGTCTCACGACAACGGCCACCATTACGTTCACGACCAGCGCGCTGTTGCTCTGCCTTCCGCTGGTTCCTCGAGACCCGATCGACAGGAATCCCCCGAGGCTCCGGTATACTCTGACGTAGTGAAGAAGGAGAAAAAGAAACCCGGTTGCATGAACATCCGATTCGTGCGGGACCCAACATTTCCATCACCATCATACGCAATCTCGACGACGCAACTGCTCAGCAAGAGAGAAGGGAGGAAGGAGTAGGTCACTGCAAAGGTCATGCCGGCGACTGGGTTCTCAGGGTTCGGTGGGACATTCGAGCCTGACTCGGGCATGCCATCAGCGACCTATGGCGGTGAATTCATGATCGATGCCGACGACAACTTGTTCGGATTAGGGACAGCCGACTCGGATGCCCTCCAGGCTCTCGACCCCTCTGCCTGCGGAGACACCAAAGCTCTTCTGACCACGACTGGTGGTTCAGGCCACAGCGCCAAGCCAGGCGTGCCTGGCTTTTCCCCCGCCTCGCACCGAGACTCTTCGTCATCAGCGTCGACTTCGTCGAGAGGCGCCGACTCGACCTCGCCCAAGACGGGCAGTCAGACATCGACAGATATGATGATGACAGACGATGCCGCGCTCGGCGACTGGAAACCACTCGACGGCCTTCCAGATGGCCTTCTACATGGCGACGAGGGCAACTTTTCCATGATGGATGAATCAATGGATTCCTCCATCGCCGCGGATCACCACAACCACTTTGACAACAACTACTTCGATTTCGAGAGTGCATCAAGTAGTCCCAGTCCACCGACAGCAGATGGACAAAACTCGTTATCTCCAGAAAGTCATATAAGCACTGCCCAGGTACCGATAAAGAGCCCAAGTGCCAAGAGAACGAAGACCCATGTCAAGGCGCAATCTGTAGGTAACCCACTTGCGACGTGTATTAAGACAAATGCTAACATCGGTGCAGCAACAGTCTGTTACACAGTCGATGCAAACCCTACGCACGAATGGCTCAAGAGAGGTCTCGCCAATGTATGCGAGCCATGAGTCGTCACCAGCCGCGATGTTCCACGCCCAATCTCCTGACACCAAATTCGACTTCATGAACCCGACGCCTACGAATGGCTTCGGAGGAAACCAGGCTTGGCCACAGGGCTTTCCGCAGCACCCTAACGGATCGTTCCAAGGCTATCCTTCAGCGTCTTGCCATGGCTTGCCTCAATACCACCAACCACCGGTGTTTCCGAATCAAGCCCCGAAGCTGGTAATTCAATCGACACCGCTCAAGTCCCGCGTGGAGACTCAGATCCCAATAAAGATGACGGTATACAACATGCCGCCAATGTACAAGCGACTTCACCTGCCGATGCATACTATATCGAAGGCCAAGCTGCTCGCAAAGCAGAACGCAGAACGTTCTCCTGACCTGCTCGAGCTGTACACCATGTTGGTATGTAGTAGCGCCATGCAAGACGACGAGAAGCGCAAGAAGGCCTTCGCTCGCGCTGCTGCAATAGGCCACCCAACATCCCCAGACGTTGGCCCCTTGGAGGACGACGACAAGCCACAAAACGGTGGAGAGGTACGCATTTGTTCAGGCTGCATCACGCGAGAACGGAAACGAGCTGGTCGCAAGAAGAACAAGAAGCCGGAAGAGGACGAGCTGTGGGACAGATTCCAGAACCATCGGGCTATTGTCTTCAATACCAACGAGGTGAAGGAGTGGCAGGCGGTTGCTGATCCTGCAGGTGTTGGTATTCGCTTTCCTCCTGGTACCATGCAAGTAGATGCGCCTATGCGCATAGCTTGTTACTGCAGGCACCATGGCGAAAAGGTTGGTTTCAGGGTCATTTTCACCATCAAGGACTTCAAGGATCGGGTGGTTGCTCAGGAGATCTCATCCTCCATCATGATCACAGACGATCACAAGGCTCATGTGCCTGCCAACCCCCCTATGCAGTCCTCGGCGTCCAGCAGCACGGAAAATGCAGTAGCCACACAGGCCACTGAGTCGTCACACGATGGCAGACCGCTCGAAGCACCCCTGCCGTTCCGGCAAACCCATTCCACCTCGGATCTCCAGAGCCTCCAGCAACATCCATCCGCTCTTCCCACGTATCAACCCGCAATGCCGAAGCCGACGAACTCCCAAGGCACGTCCGTCACAGCTACTCCGAGGAACCAATCGCGGCAAGCATCACCTGCAAGCCCCTCTGGGCCAGTCTCCAAGAAGAGAAAAGCCAGCGGTTCAGCCAAGGTACCGACTGAACTGGCTATGACACGTCTTGAGACATCCCAACCCCCTCTGATACCGCCCCCCACAAGCAACCAAGGCGACTCAGGAAGCATTTCAGGTGCACCTTCGCCGTTCTCACCCCAGTTGCATAACTTCCCTCCTGTCGCCAACAGTTCGCTATTTGCCCAAGGCCCTCAACCTGGCTTGAACAGTCTACAGCAGCCTTTCACGACCGGACCGCCGACCCCGAATAGCAACAGCAATGATCAGATACTGTTCTCAGGAGCAAACAGGAATATGAGCATGGATAACATGGCTTTGTCTCAACCCATGTTCTCCGCCCCTGCATCAGCTCATCCCAGCCGTGCTCCCAGCCCAAGTCAACTAAGAAACGAGGTGAATGCTATTCAGCAGAACCAGATGACCCAGGCTTTATACACACAGCCAATGAACATGAACACTCCCCGACCCGCCAACCCTATGATCCACAAGATCATCCCGGGCGAAGGGCCGAAATCAGGAGGTATCGAGGTCACTATCCTCGGCAGTGGTTTCATCAATGGCGGCTTGGAGGTCATGTTCGGAGATCAGAGGGCCACAACGACTACCTACTGGGGCGAGACTTCGTTAGTCTGCCTCCTCCCGCCTTCACCTGTGACTGGTCCCGTCATCGTTACCATCAAGCAGCCACAGGTGCCAGACCAACCAGCCTTTGGAAAGAACCCGCCGATCTTCCGCTACGTTGACGATAATGAAGAGCAATTGATGAGAACCGCCCTTGCTGTACTGGGTCAAAAGATTGGTGGAAATATCTCAGATGTTGCCGATATTGCCCGGAGTATTATCAACACGAGAGCGGGTGGCCAGGGAGGCTGGGGAAGTTCTGGGGCGGGACCCGGAGCTCAAGCACCCGGTGGCTACAACTTTGAGCACGCCCATTCCCTCGAGAGCGGACTGCTTCGTGTGCTGGAGATGATCGACCTGGATGACAGCGTTAACAAGGCGCGGATCAACCTGAGACGATCAACTGGGCAGACGATGCTCCACCTGGCCTGTTCTCTGGGCATGATTCGTTTCGTCGCAGGGCTTCTGTCACGCGGAGCGAACCCTGGAGCTCGCGATAAGGGTGGCTTCACGCCGTTGCACTTTGCTGCAATGCACAATCACCCCGAGATCGTCCGTCGACTGATGATTGCCGGTGCGGACCCGACCATGCGAAGTCTGTCCGGCCTAGCTCCTGCTGATGTGTCTCGGTCTCGTGATGTGTTGCGGGTGCTTCGCCAAGTTGCGAGACACTCACGCTCCCGCAGCGGTGGATCAGTCCACAGCAGAGTCAGCAGTGCCACGTCCTTGAGATCCTTATGGGACCCGCCCTCTGCCGCTGCGCAACAGCAAGAGTTCCTGTCTGACTCGTCTGACCAGGCCGAACCTACCGACAGCAGCTACGAGGACTCATCAGAGGACGATGCTGAGGACGGCAATGAAGATTGGCTGGATATGAGACGCCCGAGTCTCCCACGATCCCCTCATAACTTGTCTGACATTTCCTCACCGCCAGCTGCCAACATTCCGGCCGGCATGGCATCACCAAGTGCTGCTATGACCGCGTTCAGAGACCAGTTCTCAGCGCAGATCCAGCAGCTGCAGCAAAGTATGGCGATGCATCTCCAGAACTGGCCACAATTCCAGATGCCTCAAATGCCCCAGATGCCACACATGCCCATGCTTCCGGATTACCATAACTACCTGAACAATGCACCTGCCATGCAACGAATCGCCTCTTTACTGCCCAATATCGGCGGCTCCCGGCCCGGCTCTGCTGGTGACCAAACGCCGCGAGAAGGCGACAAGCAATGGTGGGAGATGCCATCGTTCTTCAGCGGCGGAAAGGAAGTGCCGCCTCCTGCATATGAGGACATATTCCCTCAACAGGACCTCGATACCAAGCAGGCCACGGCAGCAGCCGCAGCTGCAGAGTATGAGGCAGATGCTAAGTGCTCGGCGCTCTATGATCAGGATCAAGCAACTGCCGAGTCTTCTAAGACTCACGAGGTTCCTGCTCTCCTACAGATCGGGCGCAAGAATGCCATCACGAAGGAACAGCAAGAGAACCTGCAGCGTGCACACGCTCAAAGACTTAAGACTGGCAGCAGTGACAAAATGCTGTGGTTCGTCTGGGTATGTTGATCGCACCATTTTCTACACTGAGTTGACGCTAACTATGAACAGGTCCCTATGCTGGTTCTGATTCTAGGCTTCATGCTGTTCAACGGTGCCCCAAGCTTCGTTTCCGGAACTGCAAGCTTTGTCAAGTCGGTGACCTCGTTCGCACTTGCGCCCAGAGAGGCAATGCAGCTTTTGCGCGACCAAGCCGCCGGCCTTCCCATAGCGGGCGAAGCTTAGGCGCCTACAATTCACAAGGGCAATACTCGTTCGAGTAAATTATAGGGCATCGTTGATGGGCACTCCATGACTTGTCCTCATTTCATTAACAATAACTGCCACCATTAATGACCAGGAGTGGCTTCTTTTTTTAAACACTTTCGTTTACTGATTCGATCATATATACCTTGGGCGGCGACCCTTGACACAGCGAGCAACTCCATAATCATTCTTCCAGCCACCACTTTTCGAAAGGTCTATCGAGTGGTGACTATGTTGAGTCTTGACTACAGAACGCTCCGACCTTGAGTTTTTGGTGGCATGGCCATATTTGACGGTTTCATCTGCAAGATCCGGCCTGCATGAACCAACAGCATTCGTACTTTTATTTATCGTGTGCTTATACGTCGCGTCGGCAGTCCAGAGACGAAGGGTAAAGGGGCCAGCAACGCAACCACACGTTGGCGAAGATGCTTTTGGGTACGGGAAGCAGTCATCGGGGGGCATCTACAGCTGTCTTTCATGATGACCCGAGTGGCAATGGGTAGCCAAGGCGTCAAGGTTTCATGGGCACTGTCGGATGGGGATAAATATGTACATAGCTAAGGGCTAGAATGTCTCTCACGAGAGCCTAGAGAAGCCTGCCTCCTTTTTCGGGAAAGAGATGAGTCTTGAAACTTTTCTGTGTGTGTCCAGCTTCGGTATCTGGTGAATGAACTTGCTGAGTGTGCGTGCAATCTGGACAAGACCTACCAACGGAGGTCGGCAGACTGCCTCTGTAAAGTGTCTTTTAGGTGCACTTGCCTATAAAACCTCGCTAATCGTGAGCTATGTGAATGAATTTTAGCTTGCAACGGGTCGTTCATTCAATTCGTCAGGTAGGCAGATAATCCGGGGTAAGTGCATAGATAGGCGATGCTTACATCTCGACGAGCTGTGAGTGGGAAAGCGGACGTCGGCTCTGGACCGGCGGTGGACGGCTGCGGTAAAAACTATGACCACCCGATTGGGGAACGACCTCGACCGCCCAACGGCCAAGACTCCGCTATCGCAGCTCGCCGCTCCCTCGCCGAACGCTCACCCTAAAATTTTGGCCCTGAGTCAAAGATCAAGGGGCTTTCCCCAGCCATTGAACCGCATCCAACCCATCACACACACTCGAGGCCTGCCAATTCGGATCAGAGAGCTCTCGGGTTCTCATTGACGATCGGGGCAACATGGCGTCCCGCGCCGCATTCAAGTCCGGCACCGCCTCGTACAGGGCCGTCGCTGGCGCCGCCCGCTCCCCAGCAGCACCGCGCGCCTCCGCACGATGGAGCTCGAGCAGCAGCTCGACCTCGGCCATGGCCTACAAGGCCCTCCGCCGCCGCTCGGCGCCTCTGCCCACCAGCGACGCGCCCTCGGCCTGGTCGGCCCAGGCCGCCGTGTCCAACATCCTCTACGAGACCCCGACGCCGTCCAGCGCGCCCCCCAAGCGCCACATCCTCAACTGCCTCGTCCAGAACGAGCCCGGCGTCCTGTCGCGCGTCTCGGGCATCCTGGCCGCCCGCGGCTTCAACATCGACTCGCTCGTCGTCTGCAGCACCGAGGTCGAGGACCTGTCCCGCATGACCATCGTGCTCACGGGCCAGGACGGCGTCGTCGAGCAGGCCCGCCGCCAGCTCGAGGACCTGGTCCCCGTCTGGGCCGTCCTGGACTACACCAACTCGGCCCTCGTCCAGCGTGAGCTCCTGCTCGCCAAGATCAACATCCTGGGGCCCGAGTACTTCGAGGAGCTCCTGGCCCACCACCGCGAGATCACCCAGGAGCCCGACGCCGACGCCGCCCAGGAGTCCCACGAGCCCCGGCTGTCGGACCTCGCCGAGGACTTCCACCCCAGCAAGCTCGTGGCCTCCGAGGCCCTCCGCCACAAGCACGAGCACCTGAAGTCCATCACCTACTTTGCCCACCAGTTTGGCGGCAAGGTCTTGGATATCAGCACCAGCAGCTGTATTGTCGAAGTGTGAGTCTCCCCAGTGGATTGAGCCCCCCTCCCATCCCCCCAAACCCCTATCTTTATCCGACGAACAATTCGGACGCTAACGTTCCTCAGATCTGCGAAACCTGTCAGGATTGATTCATTCCTCAAGCTCATCTCGCCCTTCGGTATCCTGGAGTCGACCCGAACCGGTCTGATGGCTCTGCCCCGATCTCCGCTCTACGGAGCCGACGAGGAGGCGCACCTGAAGGAGGCCGATGATATTGTCGACGCCACCCAGCTGCCTCCTGGTTAAGATGGATGTTTCTGTAATTCAAGGGTCTGTCTGGGAGTTAAATTTGGGCCGGTTTCACAACCATCTGGCTGGGGCAAAATCTGCTTGTAAATTTTGATTGACTTCTTTTGAGCCACATTATTTAATGCGGTACTTCGCTCGAATTATTATCTTCCTCGTAGTTCTACGTGTTCTCCTGTGTCCAGCCTGGCCGTTTTGAAATATCTAGTTTCCCGCCACTTGCATATCATACCAAGGTCTCGGCTCGCCCAACCTTGATATCTATAGTATTCTACCGCCGTTGACTACAAAGGCCTCCAGAGCCGCTATAACCACCATTCATTAATAAGACGGTCGGAAAGACGCAAGAGTGTGATGTACTTACCAACGGCAGCCCACAACCGGTTCTCAGCCTCCTCGAAGACCAAGGATCGGTCCGAGTAAAAGACCTCATCGGCAACTTCCTCCGGGTGTCGAGGGAGGCAGTGCATAAACTTCCAGTCCTTGGCGGCGTTGCCCCTCTCTGCCATATCGTTGGTGATCTGGTAGCCCTCAAAGTCCGCCAGGCGCTTCTTCGTCTCGGCCTCCTGGCCCATGGAGACCCAGGTGTCCGTCACGATGTAGTCGGCGTCCTGGATTGCCTTCGCGGGCTGGCTAGACTGGGTCAGCGTCCCCGGGTTCTTGACCCCGTCGGCCTGCGCCTCGATCAGCCGGGCCATCTGGTGCGGGATGTCGTAGCCCTTGGGGGTCGCGACCGAGATATCGACGCCCAGCTTGACGCAGCCCATGGCGAGGTCGAACAGCACGTTGTTAGCGTCGCCGACCCAGGCCACCTTGACGCCCGCGGGGATCAGGTCGACCCCGCTGCCCGCGGCCCGCTTGGCCGCCGGGATGCTCTCGTAGATGGTGAGGAAGTCCGCGATGGTCTGCAGCGGGTGGAAGTCATCCGAGAGCGCGTTGATGACGGGCACGGCCGAGTCCGCCGCCAGGCCCGCCACGTCGGAATGCGGCCCGACTCGGGCGACCATGCACGAGGTCATGGACGAGATGACCTTGGACGTGTCGTACAGAGACTCGTTGACCTTTTTGCCCTCCTTCGTCAGTAACCATTTGCCAAGACCGTGGGGAAAATCCCGAACGGGAGGGTGAAGGTCTGTCATACACCTAGCTGGATATCGTCCTTGCCCAGGAACATGGGGTGGCCGCCCATGAGGGCGACGGCGGCCTCGGTGGAGACGCGGGTCCTGGTGCTGCGCTTGTTGAACATCATGGCCACGGTCTTGCCGCGGAGGGCAGTGCGCAGCGGCTTGGGGAGGCTGCCGCCGGTCTTGACGGCCTGCTTGTGGGCGGCGGCGTTGCGGACCAGCTGCGAGAGCTCGTCCCGGCTGACGTCGGCCATGGACATGAGGTGCCGGGACCTGGTGCTCGCGGGCCTCCCTTCCACCGCCGAGGTGAGGGTCCGGGTTTGCTGGGCCTGGCCGAAGACGCCCCGGGCGAGGCGGAGAGCTGGCGACCGCATGTTGATGTTGGGCCGGCGCGATTGACAGCCCGGAGACAGTTTCAGTGGTGGTTTTGGTCTCTCGTGTCCCCAATTGGATCCTGCGGGCGGCGACACAGAACTTGTAAGAGGCGGTGGCCGTGTTCGATTGTGGCTCACTTCGCCTGACCGCCGTATGAGTCCAGAACTTCAAGTACGGTGGGAATCTACAAGCGATCAGTTATGAATGAGCCCAGCGATGATATTGAGCTGAGGTGATAAGTTGATATATATGAGTCTACTTGGGTATTACTCACTAGCTATCACCTATCGTCTGAGTCAACGAAAGATCCACTCATTAGTTTGCTATCATATCCTGTCTCCGGTTGTTGTTGAGAACCCCAAGATAGTGGAAAGATTTCCGTTGCAGCTGGCGTGGCCCCGAAATCGGACTGCACAGGTGTCATGCTCACCCACCCCCCTGTCGCATACGGGGTTTTCTTATTCTCGATGCTGGCTCGCTTGACTTATTGCGTTCAAATGTGAAATGCAGTCCCGTGCATGATATATGTGTCCAAATCATAGCCCTCATCGCGGCATCTTCATCGAGGGGGTTTCCTCTCGGTCTGGCGCAGCAGAGACGCCTTCACCGTCAAGAGACTCATCGCCTGGAGCAGCTGGTCCACCATTGACGAAGGTGACTGAAGGCTTCCCCAGATTCGACTAGGCCCGCAACAGACTAGCTGCGGACCTATGCCCGCCTTGTCGTCGCAGGCCCCGGCTCCCCATTGCCCATTGCCCCCCAGCCCGCCAAGTAGCCAGGCACCTCTTCGCCCCAGCTGACCAAGTTGATGACGACAAGCATCAGACAGGTTTCCTGGTTCCGCCTCACCATCACTCACCACCCAGGAGCCGCGACACGCGGACCTGACATGTTCGAACCCCGTCGCCAGTCCCCCTAAGACGCACATCCTCACGCGCAAACCATCTCACAACGTTTACTGCTTCTTTCGGTCTTTCGCCATGTCCGACGACGAGTCATCGCCGCTGTTGTCGGCGGCGACCAAGAAGAGCAAGGCCGCCGCCAACGAAAGCCACGCATCCGGCGAGACCACGCCTCTACTCTCCAGCACCGCCGAAACTCCCAGATACGATGGCGAGCAGAGTGAACCCGACCGCGACACTGCGGCGTCAATCAGGTCGCGCCACAGCGACGCCGCACAGCAGCAGCAGCAGAAGAAGAAGAAGGCGCGGCGGTGGCCATCTTTCATTGCCATGGGAATCTTGGGCATCATCGTGGTGGCCATCATTGCCCTTGCCTTCATAGTCCCCGATGCAGTGCAAGAGTACGCCAAACAGGCCGCCGTCTTGGAGCCCACGAACCTGTCGCTCGACTCTATTACGACGGACGGCGTCAAGGCAAGAATACAGGCCAACTTCCGCCTCGACGGGTCGCGGGTCCAGAATGACCATGTAAGGAGAGTCGGCCGGGCCGCCACCTGGGTGGCCAATCAACTGGGCACCGAGGAGACGAGACTCGCCGTGACCCTGCCCGATTACGACAACGTACTACTTGGTAGTGCTGTTGTTCCCCCTCTGATCATTAATCTGCGGGATGGGTACACCACCAGCTTTGACTTTGTCACCGAGATCGCCCCCGGCGACCTAGATGGCATCCGGGCAATTGCAAATGAGTGGTTGGACGGACAGTTGGGCTCCTTACGTCTGAGAGGAGTTACTGATCTCACTCTCCATTCTGGCTTAATACCCCTCGGAACTCATAATATTGCCGAGTCCTTGGTTTTTGAAGGTCAATCTCTCTACCGCTCCTTTGCGTCTCTTTACTTTGGGGAGAAGGCCTTCTTCTAGAGAAATGAAACGTTTTGAAGTTGTCTTTATTTCTGCTAAAAACATATTACTGATCTTCATGCAGCTGATAAAATCCCGTCGATGCCCGCTTACAATATAACTCGTCTCAACGTAAAGGATGTCCCAGCCCCCGGGGACAAGAAATCCATGATGGCTGAGGTGTCCCTAAGCGCGTTCAACGAGTACCCGGTGGAGCTGAATATCCCCGAGCTAGCGTTCGAGATCCTGGTGCCCGGCTGCAATGATGAGACATACATTGTTGTGGCTGATGCGGTGACTAGCGAGGTACTTGTGAAGCCCCGCGCTGATGTCGACGTGGACGTACACGGTCTCATTAACGAGCTGCCGGAGTCGCTTACGCGCGCATGTCCCAACACCAACTCATCACCACTCGATCTCTTACTCAAACAGTACATGCATGGCGAGCCGGCGACATTGTATGTTCGCGGTAGCAGCATTCCAGATGGAAATACCCCACGTTGGATTGCGGAAATCTTGTCAAGTGTTACCCTACCCGTCCCGTTCCCGGGCAGATCGCTTGACGGTCTCATTCGGAACTTCTCCTTGACGGATGTTCACTTTTCGCTGCCGGATCCGTTCGCCGAACCAGGTGACCCTGCTGCCAATCCGAGGGTGTCTGGCAATGCTCTCGTGACAGCTGGCCTGCCCTCGGAGATGAACTTTGCTGTGAACGTGACTCGGGTCAGGGCCACTGCCGACGTGTCGTACAAATCCAAGAAGATGGGAGAGCTCAACCTCAAGAAGTGGCAGGCCGCGAATTCTACCAGGGTCGAGGCGAAAAAGGGCAACGAGGCAACTCTTAAGATCGAGTCTCGAATTGAGGAGGCGCCATTGAACATCACTGATGAGGATGTGTTCAGCGACGTTATCCAGACGCTGATGTTTGGCGGCAAACCGGTTCAACTCGATATCAAGGCTGTGGTTGACATCAAGGTGGTCACAGCCTTGGGTCAACTGATCCTCAAAGATGTTCCAGCTGAGGGCAAGATCCCCGTAAAACGTCCGTATTAACCGTTCTGTCACTGTTAGTCGCTCTTATCTGGCGGCCGGTCTGTTAGGGCGGGCTGGCTATCTACACTCCGTGCCGTTGCTTGCTGCCGCCTACATCGATCGCGAGCTGACCGGTTCTCAGCATTCTCCAGGGGCAAGGGGTCACTCGCAGATTTGGCTCCCAAAGTTGGCTCCCTACGAATCTTGGACACGAGTTCGACGTCCATCACGCTTCAGGCATTGGTTAACGTTACCAATCCCACACTCTACACTGCCCACGTGCCGTTTGTCAATGTCCACGTCTTGAATAACGGATCGGTACTTGGGGAAGCAACTGTGGAGAATGTTGACATCGTCAAGGGCTCCAACCCCGGAATACTTGTGACGGCAAAATGGGAGCCTTCCATGAGTGGCCAACCCGGTCAGCACATCGGAAGGGAACTCATCTCTCAGTACCTTTCCGGCTTCAACACCAGTATTACTGTCAAGGCGCATCACGAGAGTATCCCAGGGCAGCCAATCTTGTGTGACGCCTTATCGAGATTCAATTTGACTTTCCCAGCACCCAAATTAGACCTCCCTGGCGATACGCCCGAAGAAAGATCCCACTTCATTAGAGATGCGACCTTTCACTTCTTCTCGTCGACGGCAACTTTCACCCTAGTCTCGCCGTTACACTACAATACATTATATGTAGACTATGTCAACGCCACGGCATTATACAACCATAGCCACCCTGTTGGTAGGATTCTTCATCACTACCCCTTCCAAGCACCACCAGGAAAGTCGCAGACGCCGAGGTTGCCAGTGGAGTGGTCTGTCGGCTCTGTTGGATACGATGCCGTCAGAAAGGCAATCGGCGGCAAGCTAAAGCTTGACGCCCGGGCCGAGGTAGATATCCGGTTGGGTAATTGGAAAGAAAGGCTTTGGTATGAGGGAAAGGGCATCGGTGCTTCGATACAACTTTGACCAAACTGGGACATGGTTGGCAGGCGTTCGGGATAGATTATTTGAGTTTTATCATCAATGATAATGGCGCACAAAGCGCTTGATACATCTGCACAATCCTAATGACTTCATGTTGGATTTGAACAGGATATATTAGAGATTGTGTCCTAAGCCGTGTCCTCAGGTCACGCAAATAACTAGATGGCCGGCTGTCTCATTGAGTGGGACAAGTGATGATCAAGGTCTCATCCCAACTTAATGGTAGTTTGACTTTTGCTATGCTAATTCACGACTGAAATAAGCAAACACAATAAGAACTTGTCTCAGCTATCCTATGCTAGAATTTCAAGAATACGTTTCGCGCTGCGATATATTGAGTGTATACCTAGGTAGTCTATCCACTTATATTGGTATACCGTGGAACGACTGGAAGACATGGTATGACGTCAACTGCTAGCGCGCAGCCGGTCCCCGTTCTGCCCCAGTAAAACAGAGCGACCTGAATGAGACCTGTGTGCGGCCGGGTAAGGGATGGAGGGAGATAGCAAGCCATGCAGAACAAATCATCCGCCTAGACTTGTACAACTCTTGTTTCGAAGGGAGGTTGAAAGAAGCAGAAGCATGGCCTTCAACATCGCCTCCCCGTACGGCCCGCGGGCCCGGCGCTCGCAGCGCTTCGTCCTCCTCTGGCTGGCCGCCTTCCTGCTCGTCGGCTTCATGACTTACTACCTCGCGACCAGGCACCGCGATGCCTCCTCCACGTACGCCAAGATGATCATCCACGGCGAGCATGTGGACGTCGGGCGCTCGTCGCCCAAGATGGAGGTCATTGATTGAGCGGGGATATCTACCACACCTTAAAGGACGGTCTGGTGCGGTTACGGCATGGGATTCTTGGGGAGCTTTCCTCGGGCAATGTGTAACTTTCAACGGGTCCCGTTTCGACAATCTGACGGACCAGTACCGATCATTGGGTTCAGAGACGACGCAAGCGACTGTTATTGTTCAGAGCGGAAGAGGCTGAACGAGTCGCCATGGGCATCGACGCTTGTGTTGGCTTCGTTGCCAAACAAAAGCTGATCTTGAGCTGCCGAGTGGGCATACTCAGAGCAAAATGATTCTTGATGCAACATAAACGTTCTGTCTTCGTTGCTGCATATGAGACCCGAAGACGCTAGGTCTCGTGGATCAAGTATAGAAGCTACAATACTGATTTGGACTTACAGATAATCTGCCAAATACGTCTTTCCAAAGCCCTATTTTAGAATGTACATTATTTATTCAAGTCATATTTGTGTGCACGAAACTCTGTGGGGTTTCAACGAAAGAGTTGCATGGTCCACGACAGCTTTTACAGAGACATGATACGGCTGCAAATCTATTCCTTGCCGAAGACGTGTCTTGGGTTTGATTGAACAAAGACCGTTTTTTACCAAAGAGAGTACCTTACAAAATGATGTTCTGACTTCTCATAGAAGTGCGTTGGTCCTTGTACCGCTTAGAGCTTGTTGATCAATCACAATGGGCCACAATGGGCAGAGAACGATATTGCTCACAAAATGCTCAATGCCTTGTCAACATTTGACAAAAGAAGAACCAATTGTTGTCTGAAAAAACGGCCGGACAAGGACATGCAAAACACCCAGAGGATTTTAAAAACTATATAATACATTGTTCTACTCTCGAAATGCTGCAAGGTTGTGACCCCCAAACTCCAGATCTGGTACCCAGGATTATCCACTTTCTCTCTGTCTCTACATCTACCACTCGGATAAACAGCTCAAGAATGTCTGGTAGAGATAGCACTATGCGTACCTGCGCTCAGTCCAGTGGCTGTGGGTTTTCCTACGGCGTCGAGACAGATCCTCAGTCAATATGCCCGCAGGGCTGCAAGACACAGCGTCGGCCAACTCCCATTCCGCGCGCTGTCTGTCGCCGCAAGACTGTTTTCACCGGTGACAGCAGAGTCTCGCTTCGACAGCGCATGGCAGAGATGAGGGCCAAGGCTACGGGTTCTCCTGTGCGTACGAGCACACGCCCTGTAAGTCCACCGCCGACTGCAGATCAGCCCGATTGTCCACCTGCGCCTCGTAAAGCCCGGCAGTCCCAGTTCGTACGCGGGTTTCCTAGAACCGAGGGCATCGACGGTGTAGTCTGCGACGACGAAGATATAGCGCTTGATCGCCGAGCCACTCGGCTGGAGCAGCCGCCGCGAGGTACGCAAGCCTCTCTGGAACCTTGTAGGAAACTTGACCTAAAGCCCAGCTCGTCTCCGTTGCGCAATAGTACGACGTTCGAGGAGATCTGTGACATGCTAGAGAGCATAAACGTGAGTAAAAGCAGTGTACCCGGCGGCAACGACAGCGAGCAGGGAAACCCTGTGGCCAACGATATCGAGTATCTCCGCGGTTTCGTGGACGGTGCCGCTGTCGACTACGCCCCAGGGGCAATGGCCTTTATCCAAAAAGAGCAGGCAGAAGACACCAGTAAGTCTGCTAGTGAGACCATGGCTTACTTGATGGGTGCCATCGACCAGGAGGTTGGGGCCTGGTCGAGCTCTTCGAAGTTGCCTTCCCTGGAAGAGGAGTGACGCGGTAGACGGAGTAGGATGCAGGTAAGTTGGTGAGCAAGTGGGACCAAACTTGGATGTCGCCTATATAATTAGATATTTCCCTTCCGAATTCTACTCGCATGATTATTTGAGTGACTATCAGGTGCTTAGCTTCTACTCAAGGTATAGTGAAACAACCTATGATCTAAATTTGCTAGGAACCAGGCTGGTATCACTGTATGGTCTAGTCGTGTGCACATCCGATGGACAGCACCGTGAAAAATATCAACGACTCCAAGGCTTGTCCTGGGCTGACTCTTGTTTCGTCGTCCCTCAAACGCCCTAGCCAGCCCCTGGCTCGACCGAGCCGCCAGTCGCCGCGCTCTGCAAGCTCGACTCGTTGATCATCTCCCAGATGCGCAGCGCCGTGGCGACGGCCATGACGCTGAAGCGGTCGCCGAGCTCGCCCGTGGCGCCGCTGCCCAGGAACTGGAAGCCGCCAGCCTTGTTGCCGCTCCACTTGGGGTTGTCGGCCCACGCGGCGACGACCTCGCGCCCGTCGCTCGAGGAGCCCTGGTCGCGCACCGCGCGCGTGCCGCCCACGCCGTCGGCCTCGGTGCTCAGCCGCACCAGCTTGCGGCCCGGCGACCCCTTGCTCGAGCCCAGGCTCTTGACCTCGCTGCCCTTGGACGACCGCCACTCGAACTTCTCGCGCCGCGCCGACGCGCCCTCGCCCACCTCGACGCTGAAGCCGTACGCCACCGACGTGATGCTGACGTGTGCGTGCACCTCCTCCGTGACGCTCTCGGCCTCGGACCCGGGCCCCGGCGGTGCCGGTAGCGTCACCACGGAGCGGTGGCCGAGCCGGCCCGTTCGCTCGGCGATTGCCAGTGGTGCGGACCCCGGGTCCGCGGTGGAATGCAACACCAGCTGAGGACTGCTCGAGTGGCTGACGGTATGGAAGGTCACTGCGAACGCGGGCTGGTCCTCCTCCGCCCCCAGGTTGAAGGTGGGGATCCGCACGGCTTTCTGGTAGTACATGCCGAAAGCGGGCGGAAACTTGCGAGGCAGATTCACCAGCTGCGGCGGTTCCTTGGAAGAGGACGCTCTGGGCTCCCGCTGGGCTGCGAGGAACGGGTTGTTCTTGGTGTCCCTGGGTGGCAGCGGCGGCGCCTTGCCATCATCTTCTGTATACGGCGGCGGGGGATCGTCCTCATGAGGTTGATGCGCTGCCGCTGCCGCTGCCGCCTCTTCCGGATTACCCATGGTGATAATGTTAGGTATACGAGTCCGGTAGCTGCAAAATTCACACAAAACCTTGGAGCCTGAAGGACAAGATGTTATATGCTGAAGAATTCCGCAATGCCGTCTTTCTAGTTTGGTTGCTCAGGAGTTTAGGAAATAAATGAGTTTCAATCCCAGCGAAGCCGAATGTTTTCTATCACTTAGTCAATACAATGGCGCCTGAAGCTTGGCCACTGTCGAGGCTCAGCTGATTGCGGCCGGCAGATTGCGTCACCCATTCTTGGCACAAACAATACAACCAGCCAAGCAAAAGTTGTAAATCTATTGCTTTGAAAGAATAGTTCGGAACTTCGAGCATTTTTCTAGCTTATACTACTTTTCACCGCCTGAAGTGGATGGACAGGGGTTGAATCTGTACCCAAGATCAGTGAGTCTTGTCTGACTGCTATATAAATGTGGGTCCTTTGGTCACTAGCCGTATGCCAAATATTGTCTCTCTTGTTGTACAGTGGTGAATGGTTATAATTTGGTACTCTCTTAGAGGAGGGAAAAACGGACTATGTTCATAGTGTAGCCCTAGGGAGAATTAGATGTCACCGAAAGTTAAGTCGAGTGCACATGAAATTCTATTTCAAAACAATTAATTTTAGGTGTTATCCTTTTACAGAAAGGAGCTCTGGTGTATTACAACTACTGCTTGTCAATGAACAAGATCATACTCTCGTAATCCGCACTCGGCCACTGCAGGCTCAACCCAACATTCATGAGCGTCGATCCTGACCACGTGTCACTGGTGGTTCCGTTGCCAACGGAGTACTTGGCGGCCGGGTCCAGGCCCTTGAGTTTCAGAGGCCCGGGCAGAGGCTTGAGTTTCGAGCGAATCTGGAACGCGAAAAGAACCGCAGAACTAGCGTCCGGGTACGCGAACAGAGCGGCCGGCCAGTTGGACTGGTCGGGCAGCGCCAGTCTGTAGAAGTCCCCGTTGATGACAATGGGGTTGATCTGCTGCTGCCGCGCGATGATGCCCGGAATGGCCGCTGTTTCCTCTTGGTCGAGTTCCGAAGGGTTGAGCTCGAAGCCGAAAGAGCCGCACATCGACGCTACCGCTGCACGGAAGGCTAGGGGAGTCGTGCGACCGGTCTGTCCGTTGGGGACGGCACTCACGTGGCAGCCCATCGCCGAAGGGGGATACGGTAACGAGGTTCCAAACTGGATGTACAAACGCTCAAGGCCATCCGTGTCGTCGCTAGTCCACGTCTGCGGCCAGTAATGGAACAGACCTGGATCAAATCTGCCTCCGCCCGACGCGCAGCCTTCCCACAAGACCTCGGGATGCGCAGTGGTCAGGTTGTCGATGACGCGGTACAGGCCCAACATGTATGCGTGGTCCGCGGCCGGAGAAGGGAGCTCGTGCATGCCTCTGTTATTATCCCATTTGACGTATGATATTGGCGCCGAATCGAGGATTTTCTCAACAGTCTCGATGATGTAGTCCTGGACCTCGGGTAGCCCGACGTTGAGAACCAGTTGGTCCCGGACAAGCGTGCGGTTATGACTTCCCGAGTGCAAGCACCAATCTGGATGTTCCAGGTAAAGATCCGACTCGGGATTGACCATTTCAGGTTCAACCCAGATGCCGAACGTCATCTTACCGCTGCCTCCGCTGTTAGAAGTCTCGTTAACAGTAATGTTGGTGACCTCAGCAACGAAGGGTCCCAGTCCGTCGGGAAACTTCCTAGGGTCTGGCGTCCAGTCGCCCAGTCCAAGGGTATCATTGTCTCGGGGATAGTTCGTGCCAAACCACCCATCATCCATGACCATCAGAGTACATCCTAGCCCGGCAGCCTCAGAGGCTAGCTTGACTACAGCTGACTCGTTGATGTTTGCACCGAGTCCCTCCCAGGAATTGAGCAGCGGAGGGCGGGTCTCAAACGTGTGATTCGATCGAGATAAATGGTTTCGGTAAAGCGAGTGGAATGACCTTGACATGCCGCCAAGTCCCTGCTCGGAATGCACAGAAACAACTTCTGGCGATGTGAAGGTCTCTCCTGGGGCGAGTGGCCACGAGAGGTGCAAAGGGTTCAGCCCTAGTAGAACCCGAACCCATCCTGTAGACCAGCGCTCGACATTGGCCGCGAAGGAGCCTGTATAAACGAGAGAATACCCAGTAGCCGGTCCAAGAGACTCGGTGGTTGTGGGTGCAGCGAGGGCAAAGAAAGGATTGTGGAAATGTGACGAGTAACCGGCCGAAGAGCGAAAGCCTTGCTCCCCGCTGATCACAGCTCGCCTATTAATATGATTTTCCCAGGCCCAGTCTCCAGAGAGGTCTATCAGGTCCAATTCTTCGTTTGGCGTGTCAATACTCCAACTACTGGCCCTGAGTATGGTCACGCTTTGGTTACCCTGATTAGATATCTGGAAGCTGCGAGCTATCGCGTTGTACTGGGGGAAGATGGAATAATGCAGATCTGCAGCAATGGCTGAGTAGTTGTCGTACAGGTGCACCGTGAGCGTGGACACATCCTCATCTCCACCGAAAGTTGCGGGTAGCCCAGGCAGTGAAGGTTTTCCGGCACTGATGTCGTGTCCAGTATAAGAGAAGGCCGAGACGGTGTTTCCGTCGGCGTGCTGTATGTGAATAGCTGGAACGCGAAAGTCACCACGACCGAGGTCGGGAAACTCTCGCCGGCGGTAGGTATATGGACCGCTCCAGCCGCCTGACTTGCCGTTGAAGTCTGGAACAGTTTCGGCAGCATATGCGCCCCAATGATCATGGATGAGATCCAGGGTCAATGGATCAACATGGAACTGGTATGAGATGTTGGTGGACGAGAGGGAGAAGGACGGTCCTTCGCCAACACTGATCCCTTTTCATCTAGTCAGAATTTGGGATTGAACAACAGGAGAATGACGCTTACACTGGCTTGCACCATCTTGATCGCGTTCCAGCACTCGGCCTAGAACCGGATTCGCGAGGCCCAACGCCGCGAGAGCTGGAATGACGGGGAGTGAAATCATGTCTACTTCGCCCCTGCAGTCAATTGAACTACGCAGCAAACTTTATGTTCTTTCCTCAAAGATGGAATGCCAAACGGGTTTTATAATCCCCGCCAAAGACTAAAGGACTTAAAAGACGGGTAGGTGAACCCCGCAGAGTCGGTGCCAAGAGTCTCCAACGCACCCCAACTGCACGGAAACAACGCCGATAGCACTGCCAGTCTCCGGCCATGGAACAGTACGGGGATCAAGGGATCAATGCGTCCTGTTGCCCACAGATCGTCTTGCATGCAGTAGCTTGGTCGTATCCCCCACACATTTGCAGGGAAGAGGTTGGGGACCGTCCCACGAGTTTTCCTATATCCCGCCGCGGAGAAGTTGCAGAGAAGAGCGATCGTTACATCTGATTTAGATCCGCATGTTGCAGCAGATTACGGCACTAAAAGGCAGATTACACCGAACATTACGTAGAGTTCCGCCGAAAATTCCCTCTTTTCGGTACGCTGTCAAAAGGGTGGCTGTCTCTAGCCAAGGGGTTTGAACTGTCCGGTTGGGAGAGTTTGTAACCTATTGCACTCACAGTGAACAAATAAACCAATTGTGCGCGGTCAAAGTAACCCGTGGCCTACAACAGACCCTCTGCAAGGGTGCCGACACATGCAATCAGGTAGAGTATGGGTATGAGGTATTGCAAACATCGAACTTCACAAGAAAGCGACACCAGAATGGAGCGCTTGGTGCTTCCATCGTCTTATGGGACAAGGCTTTGGAGAGTCACACTTTTCAGACCCCACACAGGAATAATGAGTGGAGTAGTAGCGGTTCAACACACATGAACAAAAGGAGTATGACTTCATACACGATTTGGGTAAACGGGAAGAGAGTGTGCTGCATGCTAGATGCACCGGAACACATGGTACGCATAAACTTGGCGTTTCGTGTCAGCACAGATTGTTTGTATACATGTTATTGTCAGATTAAGGGATGGGCACCTTTTATACACACTGGTGTCCTCTCAAGCCAACCGCACGCCAGCTTCCTTTCTCTTCTTCGTCTGTTGAGCAGTCGCAGAACTCATACCAACGTTTTGGCTTGAGTCCAAAATGCTCTGCGACTCGCGCCGCTTCTCGTCTTCGATCTTCTTTAGTCGCTTGTCCAGCTTGCCCTTCGAACTCCCCTTTCCGTGGAACTGGTGTGACAATGCGCGGAATGCATCCTTCTGATCCAACGAGCGGCCATGTTCGTCGACGTACTTGAGTTGGACGTTCGGCTTGTATTCTCTGTTGAAAAGGTCGGCCATTTGACGGGAGCTCTGCTGGTCACGCATCTCATTCTGCCGACGAGCCCAGTCTTCTCTCTCACGCACCGACATTCTATCCAGCTTGCCACTGGTGCGGTCGCGCTCTCGCTGCTCTCGTGCAGTTCGCTCAATGGCGGCCTCCCTCTTCTTCTTCTCAGCCAAAAAGGATTGTTGATGACGGTAGCTTTCGTTCAACTCGGCAGAACCACTGTCTTTGAGAACATTGCGCTCACGAAGCAACTGCAACGCTGAGCCAATGCCCACGCCAATAGTCTTTTCCTCTTCAACACCAGCAGCGCCGATGTCTGCCGAAGTCGAAGTCTCTCGGAAGTCGTGTTGAACTTCGTCCGCGTCTTTCATTCGCTCATCCTCGTCAGAGTCATCTTCCATGGCGGTAATAACGTCGGGATTTGGTGTCTTCGAAGCTCGGGGCTTGCGGTCTTCCACATCCTCCTTCTTCAGACCCGATACAAATTCGGATATCTCGTCAATAACTAAGCCACCTTCTTGGGAATCTGAGGTGCCGTTGTCAGGGTCTGGTGTTTGCGCCTCCTCCTTAAGCTGGCGAGCGATATCCTCAGGGCGGTTCCTCTTTCGCTTCTTCAAGGCGTCTCGTCTTTGGATCGCGAGCGTGGCCTGCAGATCATCATCATCCGCAAATGCAGTGTCCTCCACCTTTCTCTTCTTACTGACGAAATTCGGGCCCGAGTCTACGTCCATGAACTGGTCATCAGTGGTAGGGTTGAACTGTAGACCATCCTCATCATCGACGGGGCGTTGTCTGGTTGATTTGGACTTCTTCTTCTTGGGTTTCTTGACCTTGATCTCTGATATGTCAAGATAGTCCGAAGATGGTTGCTCATCCTTGAAGATATCGAGGTTGATCTTTTGCAGTTTCTGATCCCGTGATAGACCCCCGAGGTCGACAGTCTGTGCGCTTGTGCTCGTACCTTGAGCATCCAAGGTGAATCGTCTGGCCTTCTTTCCGTTAATTTCATCATCGTACTGTGCTAGAATGCTGCGCTCGCCAGTCTCGTCAACGGCGTGGGGGTCGTAGACCGGCTTCTTTTTCTTGACGTCAAGCCGTTCCTGTAACTTCTCGCGGTCTCGCAGGTCAATGTTCTCCAACTCGTCGCCTTCGTCTTCTTCTCCGAGGACGTTCGAATCCTTCAGGGTCAATATTTGCTCGTCATTGTCGTCGAAAGCCGAAACCTCGTGGGCAACCTTCACACCAGCAAGATCCTTGGACGTGTACTGGATAGCGGCGGCAGCCTCAGCCTCGGCAGCAGCAAGCTCCTCCTCGAGCTTCCGCGCCTTCTCTATCCGTTTCTGGCGTTTCTTTTGGTTGATTAACCACGCCTTTGCATCAAGATCGCCTCCGTCATCAGCCTCGCCGAGGCCCTTGCCCTCCAAGTTCTCAAGACGCTTTGCGGCATCACGCGCCTTTCGAATGGCGGCGCTCTTCTCTTCTCGTCGCTTCTTGGCCTCCTCGGCATCCCGAATGCTCTTGTAGTTGTCGTAGGCCGCAGCTTCTCGCGTCTCCAAGGTGCTTGCTGGCTCTTCGCCGTCGTCGGAGTCGGCTTTTTCCTTGAACTGAGGACCGCTCTCGCCCGGCACGGGCAGAGGCTGCATGCCCGCGGCAATGCGGGTCTTGTTGATCTCTGCAATAGTAGCCGCGTCCATGGTGCTCCTGTGGGCGATTATGGATCCTGAATGAAGTACCGAGGGGATGCGGCGGTTGCTGTCATCGACAGACTCGGGAGCAGGCTGCAGATTGGGCTGATGTTGGCTCCAGGAACTTGGCAGCCTTGCCGAGTCAACATGGGCAGCTGGCAGAAAATCGCCCTGTGGGTCTGGCGCGTGTTGGTCCAGTGGGTTAGTCAGCGCGCGTCCCCCACCGCCCCACAGCTGCCATGCCAAAAACAATTTCTGCCTGCCAGAAAATTGGCTTTCTCTTCTCCCTTCTTCTTCACACAAACACGGATCTGTGCCTGGTCGTCCTCTGCTTGCTCACGCGAGTTCAGAGTTGATGGCCACGGCAGCTGAATAACTTATGGAACCGTTGCTCTTTCGTGGCGTCCGTCCTATTCACAGAATCCCAGACAAAGCCGCTGTAACCATGCATCTTCGGTCGTAAAAAGCCTTGAGAATGGTGGCCAAGGCGCGGGTGTTATATTCCACCTCTGTCTGCCGAGATCATTGATCGTTGAGGCTCAGAAAAACCATAACAACCTACATAACTTCCTGCGGGCTATCCTATTTGCACTTCCGTAGATACTTCCGTAGATATCTTGGGCCTGACTGTCTGCAGTAACACGCGTGCGCAGCCGACCTTGGGTCGACGATTCCTGCTTGCTTCTCCAGCAGCAAAACTGGCGCGACCCCACCTGCGCAACCCGCCGTTTGCACGCATCTACCTGCAGATAGTAGGTAGCTGGCGACTATGCGCACCATGTCTGCTTCCTCACATGTGACTGTGACTGGTGGATTTATGTCTGCGACCTCGTGACGCTGTCGACGGGACGACACCTAGCCGCGCTGCGGGTTGAGAATTGAGGCTCCCACGTGCAGAAGGACCGAAGTGCCCGGTGTCCGTCCGAGTGCAACGCCATCACCAGGCACCCGGAAGCGTGGCCACAAAGTTCATTCCTTGAATTCGGCCTTTGGTCAGGCGCTGGTCGGGCGAGATTGGTGAGCTCATGACGCGCTGGACTGTCAGCAAGAATATTGATCTATCTGCATCATGCATGATCCTTCTTTTTCTTATCTTTCTATTTTCCCAGTATTTTGTATGCTGCGTATCCACTGCCTTTTTGTTTACTAAATGTTGTTCGGTAGTGAGCAGCAAAAGTCGGAAAGCTAGTAATACAAAGTTTTTGGGAGACATTATAGTACTTGATGTATTCCGTCGGGAGGTCGGCTATCCGCTCCCTTGCTTGCTTCGCCGCTCGTCCTTACGTCGGGCCGCGCAACCACGGGTACCTCAATTCTTGTTTGAATATCCCCTTACCTGGGAAATCGGACTTACCAGCGAACTTCTCGAGTGCTGGTGCAGCTCAATACTCAGATAGTTATCTTAACGCTGTTCTGATTTCAACTGTTTTATTCTTCTCGCTCGATCCTCTTGTTATAGGTAACAGAAGATGGCACCAACCACCAGAATCATTGAGCTATCTTCCATCATCGCAAGAGAAACGGCTGTGATCAATGATTTTCTAGTCAGTAACAAATTGCCAGGTCCATCACTGGACTGGGACGCAACCCCAACCATGCCCATACCGGATGACGCCACAGATATCAAGGCGGCAAGAAGCGCAGTGATTGAAGCCTCCACAGAGCTCAAGGCATTGCTAACTGGGCCGAAAGAACTTCTCACATTTCAAGTTAGACCAACCAATCCAAGTCCTCAGAGATTATCTCTAATGATTGATGTTTAGTGGACTGACTTTGTCAGTGTTAAAGCGGTTCTTCGCTTCAATCTTGACAAGTCTTTCCCGCTCAAGGAGTCAACGTCATTTGAAGCGATGTCCAGGTTCTCCGGGCTCAGTGCGAGAAATGTGCGGCGCGTCGTTCGGCACGCCATCATTAATCATTACTTCTTTCAAGAGAATACACCCGGTATCATTACGCATTCGGCTTTGACAGCCATTCTAGCGAGTGACGAGGTGATGCGGAACTCGCTCCGTGTAGAGCTGGATGAATTTTGGCCGGCTGGAGTTATGGTAATACCATGAGATTTTATCATTGGCGGGGGTCTAACCGGAACTGCTAGATGGCCGATGCCATGGAGAGATGGCCGAACTCAGAAGAGAGCAACGAAACGGTACGTTTCTTTGATCTAGACGCTCGTGTGGAACGGAGGCTTATTTCTCAGGGGTTTGCGCTTGCCAATAACTCCAACAAGGGCATGTTCGATATCTTTGTGGACAATCCAGAGCGAGCCGCCAGATTTGGCCTGTACTTCTCTAAGCCCGACCAGACAGCCGACGGCCTTCTGGATGACTATCCATGGGCAGGACTGAATACTATGGTAGATGTCGGAGGATCACACGGTAGCGTTGCTATTGGAATCGCCGAGCGGTTCCCGAACATGAAATGCGTCGTGCAGGACCTCCCAGACACAGTGGCGGAAGGGGCATCGCGTCTTCCCGCTGCACTTCATGGCCAGGTCTCGTTTATGGCACAGTAGGTCACGTCAGGCCGGCACTTGAACCTGTGCTTAGGTGGACTTGCTGATCACGACGGCTATCAGTGACTTTTTCACGGAGCAGACGGTCAGCGCAGATGTATATTACTTCAAGTCCATCTTCCACAACTGGGCTGACAAGTACTGCATCAAAATCCTGCAAAGCCTTGTCCCAGCGCTGCGTCCGGGTGCTAAAATCGTCATCCACGAGCGAATACTCCCGGGCCTCGAAAGTCTGAATACCGTCGACGCGCGAAGAGCCATGTAAGCCCCCACACCCACCTCGGCGATACTGTGACTGACAAAAGAATGGTCTACAGAAACCTGGATGTTGGCATGCAGCAACTTCTGAATGCACACCAACGCGAGATGCACGAGTGGCGCGAGCTGTTCGCCCGGGCCGATGCGAGGTTCAGATATCTTGGTGCACGTCAGCCCACCGGCGCAATACGTTGGATTATTGAAGCCGAGTGGCAAGGGTAGGAGAATGGGCGCACGTAATTTTGCAGCATCTTGCGAAGCCCAAGGTCCGGTCGAGGGGGTGTATCACATGCCTGAGTACTTTTGTATGTACTATACTGAGAACATCTTCCTGTTCTGCTGTTCCACTGGACAATGTGGCCTGCAAATGTTTCCCCACGCGCAGCAAACAACATGCCATCCCTCGAATGTCCGTACTTTGCTCTCTTTCTTCTCAGCTCACCATCCGCTGAACTCCATAGGCTGGGCTCCCGCCATCCCGGCGCAACGTGCGCCAAGATCTACCAGGATGCACGGAATGACAGCGGATTGCTCCCACAAAGGCACCATGGCATAACATCGCCTGACGGACGCGTTGAGAATTCCGCTCGCTTGGGCTCGGCAGGTGCCGGTCTCCAATGAAACACCTACTACGAGTAGCCTAGGCGGACCGAAAAGTGCTCTTACACCCTGGTAGAATCGATCCACATCTATACATGCACTGGTATATCTGTCGGAGTTTATTTTGTCAAGTACTAGGCGTCGGAGTTGGCAGTAATACTACCTGTGGATTCCTTCTCTTCTATAGCTTCAGCTTATCTTTCTGCGAAAGCAGATCTGCCATATAGCATCACGACGTCCTTCATAAAGGGTTTACCTCGCCCGAGAGATGATTGGAAATAGCCATCACGTCACGAGACCCTGCCGCATATGATGGCTTTACGCAGTAATTATCTACCTACAGGTAGGTACACAGCATAGAGCTGTGTGGGGTTTTCTTCAGTGACGGATGCGGGGATGGCTTCCCCAACTAGTCTTCCCCGCAACCATAACTCGACTCACCTCTCACGACCCCAGACGATGCACTCCACATTCCGCGGGGCTGCTTTCCCATTTCTACACTGTCCGTCTGCATGTACTATACGTTTGATCTGGTGCCATTCACGCGGCCCGATTCTCGGTCGCCTAGTCTAAGCTGCCTCCCTAGACTGACCTGAGCTCCGGCCCTCATAGGCTTCGTTCCCTCTAGTTCACCTGTGCAAAGGGTTCTTGGCCGCATCCGTCAGGGCGCCAACGTCATCACACGGGAGACGACATCTCGCTTAGCACGTTTGCGAAGCCCAATGTGACGGTCTTAGGTTCCTGCTTTGACGCTTCAGAAAAACTAAAATTGCTTTTCTCCATCTAGAAACTTGGAGTCTGGGGTTCGATTCGGCCCTTTGGAGGCACCCACGCAGGCTCGTGCTTTGTTCTCATGACGCTAGCCATCGAGAGCCGAGGATAGTATAGGCGAAACTAGAGTATACACAGGCGGGCTTGTTGTATATAAGTCAAGATGGATATTGCACAAATTCCTACCAACTTGCTCGTAAGCAACAGCACGTCGATTATCCATCCCATCATGCATGCTCTGAGCTCTGTTCTCCTCCTAGGCAGTTGTGCCTTCCAAGCCGTGCTTGGTAGACCGGAATCGGACTTGTTCAAGGCCAGACGTCAGACCGAGCTCCTCAGAAGAGATGTCGACAGCTTCGTAGCCACCGAGGAACCCATTGCTTTGGAACAGATCCTCTGCAACATTGGTCCCAGTGGCTGCCACGCCTCCGGAGTTGGCTCTGGCCTTTTGATTGCCTCTCCGTCTCGTTCTGACCCGGACTGTAAGTAGTCTCCAAAATGTGGATCACAGCTTGGCTCATCATTCATATAGACTTCTTTCACTGGACGCGAGATGCTGCCTTGACGTTCAAGGCACTTGTCGACCGCTTCGTCAACCAGTATGACGCAGATCTCCAAACGGAGATTCAGAACTGTAAGTTGTTGTTGTTGTTGCTGTATCTCTGATTTTCCATTGCCTTTCCACGCAGTATGAATTCTGTCTACTCGTATGCTGGCCTTGGATATAGTATCTCTACACTTTTGTACAGAGCTAACACCAACACGACTAGATATTGCCGGACAAGCTCGCCTTCAGACCGTTTCCAACCCCTCGGGATCCTTGTCCGATGGCACTGGCCTGGCTGAGCCCAAGTATAACACTGATTTCAGTGCCTTCACTGGAGCTTGGGGGCGCCCACAACGTGACGGGCCAGCTCTACGTGCAACTACCTTGATCACTTACGCCAATTGGCTAGTCGATAACGGTTACGAATCTACTGCTACCAGTGTGGTCTGGCCCATTGTCCGCAACGACTTGGCCTACGTTGCCCAGTACTGGAACCAGACTGGATTTGACCTGTGGGAGGAGGTCCAGGGCAGCTCATTTTTTACAATCGCCGCCTCACACCGAGCCCTGGTTGATGGAAGCAACTTTGCGGCCAAAATTGGCCAGTCGTGCACTGCTTGCGATGCCATCGCCCCCCAGATTCTCTGCTTCCAGCAGTCCTTCTGGTCGTCAGGTGGCTACATCAACTCCAACATCAACGTGAACAACGGAAGATCCGGCAAGGATGCCAACTCCGTTCTCACCTCCATTTCTAACTTTGATCCTTCGCTTGGCTGTGACTCTGCTACTTTCCAGCCTTGCAGTGAGCGTGCTCTGGCAAATCACAAGGTCTATGTCGACGCCTTCCGTTCAATCTATACTCTCAACTCTGGAAAGCCATCTGGTGGTGCTGTTGCAGTTGGAAGATACCCAGAGGACAGCTACTACAACGGGAACCCGTAAGTATAGTCGGAAAATCAGAGAAAGACATATTGCTGATTACCATTAGATGGTACTTGAACACCTTGGCCGCAGCTGAGCAGCTCTATGATGCTTTGTATGTATGGGAACAGCAAGGCTCGATCACAGTAACCTCAACCTCCTTGGCTTTCTTCAAGGCATTGTACTCATCCGCCGCTGCTGGCACATACGCGTCCGGTTCCTCAACATACACCGCACTCCACGATGCCGTTCTCAACTATGCCGAAGGCTTTGTCAACAATGTCGCCACCTATGCCGCCAGCAACGGTTCGCTCGCGGAGCAGTACGATAGAAATAATGGTACACCCCTCTCGGCCAGGGACCTGACCTGGTCCTACGCTGCATTCCTTACGGCCGTTGCTCGCCGCTCTGGTGTCGTCCCCGAGGGCTGGGCTCAGGGCAACAAACTTGCCACTTCGGTGCCTGGAGGCTGTGCTGCCACGTCGATCGTCGGAAGCTACTCGGCCGCTACAGCTACGTCTTTCCCCGCCAACCAGACGCCTGGTACGGGTGTGCCTACCACGACGGTGAAGCCAACGACGACAAGGGCGACAACCACCGCCACTGCCTGTGCCACGCAGACTGCTGTCAGTGTCTCTTTCACTGTCCGAAAGGTGACTGTAAGTACTGCTTTGCTATCTAATTCATTTCACTGCATTTTTGGGAGGTTTTCGTTTTCAACACCGATGCCCAAACTCACGGAGAGTGAAATTGATCATGCTAACTCATGGCTCTGTAGAACTTCGGTCAAACTGTCAAGATTGTTGGCAGCATCCCGGCTCTTGGGAGCTGGGATACCAGCAAGGCTGTGGCCTTCTCGGCCTCTAGCTATACCTCCTCGAATCCTATCTGGACTGGAAGCGTCACGCTTCCGGCGGGTACAGCTATTCAGTACAAGTACATCGTCGTTAACACTGATGGAAGCGTCACCTGGGAGGCAGACCCTAACCGCAGCCTCACCATTGCGGCGTCCTGCTCATCCACCTCCTCACGATCCGACACCTGGCAGTAAGCAGTCCTGAGCGAGATTTGCAATTGTGTACAGTCAGTTGTCGATGATGAAGCTGAAAATACTATGGCCTTGGTTCTTTTATGAATCATCCAGTTAAATATTTCTCTGTTTATAATTTTGAAAGCATTGGCTGAAGGAGTTGGGCGGCATTGCATGATCCATCATACTAGATTATCTCCTTAAAATATGTCGTCTGCCACTGCCATTGACCGCTGAAAGAAGACTCATTTATTGACTTGACTTCACCGGGCTCGTCCCACGAAGGACGCTTGATAGTGAATAAATTAGTAGTGGACAACTGGTAGACAGCAGTTACTCACGGCATAATCGTTGATGCAGAAAAAATTGCTAATCAAGTATACTGCCTGTGATTCGTGCAGGTCCCACAGAGTATTCCGTCGTGATAATAAAGGAAGGTGAATTTCTCGAAGTAGTTACATCATGGGTATTCTCCTTGCTCGAAAATGTATAGAGCCCTGGTGTCCACCCGAACTCTCCTTTCGAATATTAGACCTTCAGTTGCAACTTCACGAACTCGGACACCACCACAGCGTATAAATTCGTCGACTAGCATACACCGATCTCATACTACCAGATACCATGAAGTCTCTCATGCTACTCCCACTTTCGTCTTTGGCAACCTCCATGCCACCAGTAACATTATCTCCAAATCAAGAGCCATATCTCTCAACGACATGTATAACTGAGCCCGCAACACTCTACCCGAACGTCAACTTCAGTGATACGTATATCTGTCTACCGCCACCGGTCACCATCAACATCACCATCAACGCCGACGAAGATGCCTCCTTGCAAAGACGTAAAGACGTTCCCGGAGACCGCAAACACGCCCAGTTCCGTAGCAACGAACTTCCTAGCTGCAAAGGTTGCGCCAGGAAGGGCTACTGTGTCAGAATGAGAAACCTGGCTGGTTTTCATGATCAAGCCCCGCCACTAAGCGAGTGCGACACTATCCGCAGATGGGCCGAGGACAGCACGAACCTGGGCCACTGGGAGGTGAAGTTCGAGCGGATGCGCCAGGTGCCCTGGATCCCGCTGATTACGGCCGGCTCTTGCACGGTCGTCATCAGCACGGATTTCCTGGAAAGCGAAGAGGAGGCTATCATCATCAGCACTAAAGACGTTGCGAGACTGATGGAGCAGGCCGTCAAGCGTGAGCAAGACGGCACGACGGGAGCCAGTGGGGAGTGGGAGTACTGCTCTGCTACGGCTTGGGGGACTGACATGCTCTTCAAGTGGCCAACGAAGTTTCAGGTCATGCTTAAGAGTGAGTTACCTTAGATTAAAGAATAACATGGGCTTGTCCCAGCTCGGCTTCATGGAAGAAACTCGTTGATGTTACGGCCAATAGCACAATCCAAGTCGTCATGATATCGAAGCCGCAGCAGTGCAATTGGACTGACAATGACGCCGGGGAGACGTTTGAGCTGTTGGGCTGCAAAAGGGCGCATTTCTCGGCTTAAGAGGAGTTGTCACTCCCAGGTCAAGGGAGAATAGCCAATGGAACTTGGTACCCAAGCCAACTTTGAGTGGCAACTGGAACTCTTAGATTTTGTAAATCCCCTTCTGCAGTTGAGTGAAGCGTTACAGGTCTATAGTAAAAACAGGATCCTAGATAACAGAGACATAGCAATGGCCACTGAAAACCGACAGAGATATCAGCCGGTCATTGACTGACCCATTATCATCAATGCAGCAGGCATAAAGCAGAAAGTTTTGAGGAACTACGTGGCTCAATCGAGCCATGACACTTTTGCATCGGAGTGTCCTGCACACACCCAGCTTGAAGGGCCAAGAGCCCAGCCATTGATATCGCAACAGTGAATCACATGCTGCTGGGATTATACACTAGACTAACAGCAGCATAGTGATCGCTAACGATTAAAAAAGGGGGCGCTTCTTTAGCTTCCAACGGCTGGACGGCGAAAGTTTGTTCCAGGCGGGTTTCGGTTTTTGGGGAGCCCTCCAGCAACAGGATCCACTCGGCGGGCACCTGCACCACCTGGGCATTACTGTGTGCAGCAGGTGTGTCTACTGGCAGGCGGCCGGGAAATCCCGCGGTGATTTGACCCGGGACGGAAACAGCTCAACCGCGGACAGCTGTGTTTTTTGCTGTGTATGATAGCATCGTGCAGCGCGCAACAAAACACCTCGTCGAGCTGCCAACGTCTCGACTCTCATCCCCCAGTCCCCGCCCCATCCATTGCCGTGTCGCCCACACGTCCCAGACCTCATCTCCGCTCATCATGTTCAAGCTTGCTCGCAGCCGGGCTGCGGCCACGGCCCTCCGTTCTGCTGCCAAGGTATGCGTGTGTTTGGCATCGTGTCGATGCCATCTCATCGGATCTCCTCTCCATTCTCCATTGCCGCGACCCCCAATGAGCCGCCCAGTGCTGACACGTCTGCTCAACTCTAGCCCCAGCTCTCCTCCAGACTCCCCAGCATTGCCCAGCAGCAACGCAGGAACCTGAGCATCCACGAGTACCTCTCCGCCGACCTCCTGAGACAGGTAATTCAGACCAGACCCTGACCGCATCGCACGAACGTTCCCCTAACCCACCGTGTCTAGTATGGCATCCAAGTTCCCAAGGGCTCGAATGCCGCGTCTGCCGCCGAGGCCGAGAAGATCGCCAAGGAGATCGGAACCGACGACATGGTCATCAAGGCCCAGGTTCTGGCCGGTGGACGTGGAAAGGGTACCTTCGACAACGGCCTGAAGGGCGGTGTCCGTGTCATCTACTCGCCCACCGAGGCCAAGATGTTCGCTGAGCAGATGATCGGCCACAAGCTCATCACCAAGCAGACTGGTGCGGCTGGCCGCCTCTGCAACTCCGTCTACATCTGCGAGCGCAAGTTCGCCCGCAGGGAGTTCTACCTGGCTGTCCTGATGGACCGTGCCTCCCAGGGCCCCGTCATTGTTTCCTCGTCGCAGGGCGGTATGGACATTGAGGGTGTCGCCAAGGAGAACCCCGACGCCATCAACACCACCTACATCGACATCAACGTCGGTGTCACCGATGAGATCGCCCGCGACATCGCTACCAAGCTCGGCTTCAGCGAGCAGTGCATCGAGGACGGCAAGGACGCCATCCAGAAGCTGTACAAGATCTTCCTCGAGAAGGACGCCACCCAGATCGAGATCAACCCCTTGTCCGAGACCTCGGACCACAAGGTCATGTGCATGGACGCCAAGTTCGGCTTCGACGACAACGCCGACTACCGCCAGAAGGAGGTCTTCTCGTGGCGCGACACCACTCAGGAGGACCCCGAGGAGGTTCGTGCTGCTGAGTCTGGCCTGAACTTCATCAAGCTCGATGGTGACATTGGCTGCTTGGTCAACGGAGCTGGTCTTGCCATGGCTACCATGGACATCATCAAGCTGAACGGCGGCACACCCGCCAACTTCCTCGACGTCGGTGGTGGTGCTACCCCTGCCGCCATTAAGGAGGCTTTCGAACTGATCACCAGCGACCCCAAGGTCACCGCCATCTTCGTCAACATCTTCGGTGGTATCGTTCGCTGCGATGCCATTGCCCACGGTTTGATCAACACTGTCAAGACCCTGGACCTCAAGATCCCCATCATCGCCCGTCTGCAAGGTACCAACATGGAGCAAGCCCACCAGCTCATCAACGACTCGGGCATGAAGATCTTCTCCATCGACGACCTCCAGAGCGCTGCCGAGCGATCAGTGCAGCTCTCCAAGGTTGTGAAAATGGGTAAGCTAGAGAGATCCGACAACAATTCGATTGGGCATTTACTAACACGCTTTGCAGCACGGGATATCGACGTCGGGGTCGAGTTTAGCTTGGGTATCTAAGGATGGGCATAGACTTGTTTCCACTGTACTAACTTTTTCAGACACGAATCACTGGGATGTTCGATAAGGAGGCTGTGAATAAGAAATGGGTGGTCCGCGGGTGGCTGCATGCATGCATTTTGTATTTCCTTGTTGCACCTAGGCATAATGACCACAACTGAATACCCTGAGGCTCTCTGTTCCCCCTTTTTTGGTCCGGTATTCATTGCGGTCCTTGCAACGGCCCACTGATTACTACAATGTGCTGGTTGAAGACTGTTGGTTGTTTTCCTTGGTCTTGATGTCACTTTTCATCCCAATTAAATTACCTCCCTTCACTGGATGCCCTCACCGCTCGCACTGCGGCAACACACATTCAAGCAACTGACCATGCCCTTAGGCATGGCATGGCCACGAAGGTTATTTCAACGGTCTCATCCAATGGCTCAAGGAGGCTGGCGCCACTGTACTTCGTCTTGCCCGTCCACCAGCACTGTATCAAGCAGCATGCCACGCTCACCACGAGCAACACCATAGCTGCCCAGACGTAAAGATGCCGTAGCCAAGCGAGAATGCTGCCGATTTTCTCGCCAAAGCCGTCGAAGGCCGTGTACAACGCGCTCACCAAGACACGGACCACGTGTTGGCGCACACCGTGGACCAGGGCCACGATCATCCGCCGGGCCTTGTTGGTCTTCTTCGCAGCCGCATCCTCGCCTGCCGTCTGCCGCGCCACGTGCTCGCTCCGCGACAGCTCCGCGAGCGTCTGGTCCAGGGCGTTGTACCAGAACGCCTGCTTGCTAGCCCACTCGTATTCCCGCGGCTGGTTCCTATCCCGTTCCTCTTGGTCATGTGTGCTTGACTTAACGACCGGCGCGATGGAAAAGGGCTGCGGTGACCCATGGTTTGCGGCCGCGGCCGTGACTGTGCTTTCCCAGAATGTCTGCACTGGGTACCGGGGCCAGTCGGCGTCCCAGGGAGGGCCCGTATAGCTGGGGTCGGTGAGGTACTTGTAGGCCATCGCGCATCAGAGGATTCGGTGAGCTGGAATATACAAGCACGATCCGCGACTCAAGAAAGCTTGGGTTGAGCTTCCGTACTTGCTGGAGCAGTGGCAGAAGGAGCCTTGAATCTAGGCAACATTGAGTTGATGCTATGACTGCATTTGTGCAAGCGATCTTCTGTTTCCTGCTCCAGAGGGGGAGTTTGTAACATGACAAGCCATTACATCTGCTTGGGGGAACTGAATGCACTTAAGCTATTACTCCAGACATCACCAAGCGCAGACTGTTTGTCGAAAAGGCTGCAAGGGGATAGCCGTAGAAAAGCCAAGATGACACTGCGAAGGCTTCCCAGTGTTGAATGACATTTCTGTCTCACCCTTTCTCAGCGTCATATATACCTCTGGGCGGGTGTGACTTGATGATGGTTCAGCCCACGAGACTGACTTACAGCTCTCCGCCGAGAAGGACGAGCCGACGGTTCGACAATTGAGCCAGGCTTCGCTTTCTTCTGACGTCTGGCCATGTCCGTTGTGCTCTACTTTTGAGAAAGAGGTAGACTATTCACTTGTCTTAGTAAGACAAACATTGAGACAACATGATCGAGTCACCTGGCTCCCAGCATCCAGTTCGTTCTTTACGCTGTTACTCCATTTCTTGGCCAGGCAAGACGTACCAGCAACAAAGAACTCTATCATGATTGGTCTGCTTGCCAACCTTTGTACATTCCGCTCGACAACTGTGTGCCGGTAAGTGGTACAAGCATCCTCTTCCGATCTCGTGAGGATTTGCTGGCCTACGGAACTCATCGCTCCGAGAGGAGTAACCTCGTCCCTGATCTAGTAGTTGACTGCCCACTTCATCGGCCAATTTTTCCAACTTCTATTCAATGACAATACCATCTTCTCATTCAAAAGGACTACAAGGTTTGAAAACTCTATACGCAGTTTGGTTACTCCCGTGCAATGCTGTTGCCGGGATAGTCCAAATTACTGGGCCGGTGATACATGGGGCATTACGAGCTGGGCGGGCAGAGCACAGCTGCCGATCCCCCTTCGAGTCCTATTGGAAAATCCCTGAAGATATAGCAACTGATTAGGGCTAGAACGTTGCCTGATTGACTGGGTAACCTCAAGCTTTTCGGTGAGTTGGGGGCATCGGAGCTGTCAATAATATTCCATCCAATCGCTGCCCCGGGTCTGGACGAGATGCGTTTGGATGGGAATCTCCCCCGCCCCTGCATTCGTCAACCAGAATGGTCTCTTGCGGATGGTCCCGCATGCGACCTCATGCAAATGATGATTGGGGGCGACTACTATACTTCGGCAAGTAAATGATCTGCATAATTCAATGACAAGGCTCTGACGAGTGCCTAGCTGATGTGATCCCGTATCACCTTGATCACTGCCCTGCTCAGTATCGACTTCTAGCAGCTATCAATCCAGATACATTAGCATGCGGATTGAAACGGTCAGTGGTTACTCTTGGCTGCAGCACTCGCATACTAACTAACAACGCACGTAAGATCACGAGACTCTCTCAGGCGCCATTATTTGCTTGGCATTGATCCCCCGAGCTTGTCTGTTATCAATAATCACGGAAGATACCAGCGTCTCGGCGAGTTGGCGGCGTGGAAAGGCTACAGCCACATATGTACAACCCTCCAATAGTGCAAGGCTGGGTTTTGACGATTTGCTGACCCTGACTAGTCGACGCCATCGCGTTGCAACGGAGCCGTCGAGTTCTGGAATGTACGTGTGCACAACGCAATCCCATGCAACCAACAACCCTACTTTCTGACGTGGTCAGCGTCTCTTTCATTTGGGTCGTCAAAGCCGCAACTTAAATTCACTGGGATCCCGCCGGGCTGCCACTGATCCCCTAGCGCGGCTCTCTATCTGACTTTGGTGATTCGTGTACTGAGTTCCACGAGCCGCCCGATTCATGTTACCGTGACGCGGCTTCAGTTATAGCGATTGCACCAAAGCTCCAGGTCGACAGTGGATAAATTTCGTCGGATTCCAGATAGCAGCCCTGTTTGATTTTCGGTCATATCCCATCTCATTCACCAAGATGTCCAGAGTTGAGCTGCAGACCTGGTGGCGGGCACAATTCACCCGGCCGGCATCAAAGCGCTCCTCTGCCGAAATATGCCCATGCGCGAGCTGTTTCAATGGTTTGGGACACCCAAAGGTGAGCAGTCTCATGGCACAAAACTGATATCTGCTAAACACTTTCATCAGAGGTCGACCGTAATGTCTTTCAGGCCGCGCTCCAAAGTGCCTGCTACTCGCCATCAACGCCGAAGCATGGAGTCAGACATCGTGCCACTCTGCTCTGCAGCACAACCAACCCCGCAAAGTAGCTACCAGATTTAGTATCGCTGGAAGGAGATGCGACGGCGTTTTGGGTTTCGTTCGGGTATTGGGTCATAGAGAGGAACCAGAGCAACATGTTGGTGTCCGGTGTTCAGGAGTCAGCTCGCCAGCCGTAATTTCTACTTTTGGCACTTAGAGAGGTTGAGATTTGGACCTCAGAAATACAGACCTGTGTTATTCTCAGACAATGCAAAGCTACTGCCGAGATCGAGCCCGCCGAGCCGGGCCAGCAGTAGGAGGTTGTAGCCGTGCTCCGGATTGCCCCACACCGGCCCTCATACGTAACGTCATCGGCGCACGGCTCAATCTTCTTCTGCCGTACATACAGAAATCCGAGTTTAGATCTGAGCAGAGTGGCTCCTGCTCTGGAACCATTCCCGGAGGTCGATCATATCGTTCATTTAGATCATTCCGCAAACGCTGTTTTTGCGTACACTTGCAGTCACTGAATTCGCCCATCAAGCGATATAACTGTCGTCGGATTTCCAGGCATCATTTCCAGGCATCGTCAGAGATCCGGCATTGATTTAGCAAAGCAGAACTCCCGGAAGATGGCGCCAAATGTAGACCCCGCCATCATCGAAGCGCTTGCTCTTGATCCGGCGGTAACGAAGATTAGATCTCATGGAGGCTCTGGTTTTGCATCAACGTTCAAGATCACGTCACAAGTTGATGGCCAGGACAGAAACTTCTTTGTGAAAACAGGCTCCGGGCCGGAGTCGGATCTGATGTTCAAGGGTACGGCTCAGATCTCTCAATGGCTTCGGGAATGACGGCTAAGACTGCGGCAGGCGAGCACGCGTCCCTCAACGCGATTCACAGTTCCGTACCGAATTTCTGCCCGAAGTCTCACGCCCATGGCTCCATGAGAGACTCTCGAGGCAAATTCTTCATGGTCACAGACTTCCTGGACCTTGGCTCATCAGCGCCCGGCGGGTCCGGCGACTCGTTGGCGAAAAAGCTGGCGAAGTTGCACACCACCCCAGCTCCCATTCCCGAAGGGTTCGATAAGCCAATGTTTGGATTCCCTGTCACCACTTGCTGTGGATCCACGCCTCAAGACAACTCGTGGAAGGACTCATGGGCGGACTTCTACGCCAACAACCGACTTCGCAGCATCTTAAATGCAGGCGTTAAGTCAAACGGGTCAGATGCAGAGCTTTCGAGTGCTGTCGAGAAGACGGCGAGTAAGGTGGTGCCACGCTTGCTTGGCGATGACCACCTGAAAGGCGTCACGCCTGTTGTGATCCATGGGGATCTATGGAGTGGAAATCAAGGGCGTGGGGTGATAGCAGGAAAGGGGGGTTCCGAAGAAGTGGTATACGACCCGTCTAGCGTGTACGGCCACTCAGAGTATGAGTTAGGTATTATGAGGATGTTTGGTGGTTTTGGAAGTAGCTTCTGGAAGGAGTACGAGATCTTGGTGCCCAAAGCCGAGCCTAAAGCTGAGTGGGATGACAGAGTTGCCCTCTATGAACTGTGAGTTATCTTCAAAGCAGCATGCCTAGGAGTTGTACTAACGCAACTGTAGTTATCATCACTTGAACCACTGGGCGATGTTTGGTGGTGGGTATCGTGGCGGAGCAATGTCTATCATGAAGAAGCTTATTTCGAAATATGGTTAAAACTCGCAGAGTGTATATATTCCATAGAATCAGTAGTGTCGCCAGTGAGGCACGGGATGATACTGCTTCTGAATATATGATATAACTTGGCCCTCAGTGAATGAACGACAGGCGTGACCAACTACCGGATGCGACTATTTGCCTCATATACCGAAGACCATTTGATTGCGTTTTATAGCCCGGCGAGACCGGACGCACTTTAGGCGGCTGAGGTGGCCGGTGACCGCCGCCGCTTCCGGCCGTTAGTGGATCCGGGATGCCTTGAATTTCCCGGTCACGCTAAGCGCCGGGTCCAACTTCAGCCGTGCTTGTCATTTTTCCACAGCTTCAGGCACAGCTTCAGGAAGACACTCATTCGAACGGCAAAAATAGTTGGCTCCACAACAGAGCCAAGCTGCGCCGCAAGTGACGACTCTGAATTAGAGAATGGGCGACAGGAAGGCCGTTATCGTGGGCATCAGCGGCGCGTCGTCAAGCGGGAAGACCACGCTTGCCCGCCTCCTCCGCGACATTCTCCCCAACACTTTCATCCTCCACGAAGATGACTTCTACAAAGCTGAGAGCGAGTATGTAGTGCGCCAGACGATTACTTGGCGACATCGCCGCTGACCGAAAACCCTTCAGGCTCCCGACCCGGGACGGGCTTCTAGACTGGGACTGTGCCGAGGCACTCTCGATTCCAGATATGACAAAAGCCCTAAGCCATATCCGTGGTAACGGGACTTTCCCAGTCAGTACCACGAGGACTCAATCCCGCACTGAGCATGGATGTAGCCCGGCAGCCATGCCAAAACCCCGAAAGGACAAGCTAACCGGACTAAACTCGCAGCCGTTCGTAGACTCCAAGGAGGATCAGAACTCCGTGGGCAAATGCCCTGTATCCGATGCCAAAATCGCGGCTATGAAAAGCAAAGTGGACGAATGGTTACAACCAGGGAGGAAAGGACACGAGATCCTGAAGGAAGGCGGCCTGAAGGTCTGCCTTCTGGACGGTTTCCTGCTCTATTCGAAGGACCTGCAGAGCGCTATGGACTTGCTGGATATCAAACTATTCCTTCTCGTCAGTCGAGCCAAAGCAACTCAGCGCAGGGAGGCAAGAGATGGCTACGTGACATTGGAAGGCTTTTGGGCGGACCCGCCGGGCTACGTGGATAAGATCGTGTGGCCAAACTACGCCGAATCCCACGCCTGGCTTTTCGAAGACGGTGATGTGGAAGGAACACTGAGTGAGCGCGCTTTGGCTGAGACGAAGATCTTGGCCCAGAAAGGGCTTGGATTAGACGTCGACATGGAGACAACTTTCGAGTGGACCGTGGACATGTTGATAGAACAGCTTGAAGCATTTTGGGAGCAGCGGCCAGCTGTTGATACATAGAGATGGTTGTCATAATCAAGTCTTCAGCAATCCTCTGCGAGAATCTGTAGTTTGGATGAGTGCCATAACTTCAACTTGCTGAACTGACTGTAACCTGTATTTGATTGAATATCTAATCCGTATAATGTAAGGTTCTCTTGAATAAGAGTAACCACGATGTATATACCTTGAAGAGTATATCTGGGTATGTCCAGCGGAAGTGCAACTTTTTACCCCTAATTCTTCAAGCTTGCCAGCTAGTGACATACTATCACTATGAAGGGAGTGGCTACTGGCTACTTGCCTGTCTCGGTGAGACGTCAGTAAGTCTGCCCTCCTGGCAATCGAGGCTGTGCTGACTCGTTGGTGTTCATTCCGAAATGGCCGCATGTGCTGCAGCCGTATGTATTGGCCAAACGTCTCCTGAACGGCTGGCCGACGGGTATGTGCGGCTGTCAGGTCATAGCTATTTCAAGGCCAGAGAATTCAGGTTTAACTTTAGCGAAGATGAAATAGTTCTCTTTCCATCACATCCCTGAACATATAGAAGGGAAAATTTTTACTTTGCCCACTTTTCTGTACGGCTTCCGTTGATATCAACATGCTTTTCGGTACAACACGCTGAGCCCTGGGCATGGGGAGAATCGGATTAACCCTGCTGCATAAAGCATACTCTGAAATGGGCTTGCAATGAGATGGTTCAGTAGCCTTTTTATGCCCTTAAATTGAAGCATACTAGTCGCTGGAGCAGAAATACATTTGAAAGTAGCTTTTTTGAGTTGCCCGTGGTATAACCAACTCATCAATATGGCACGATACTACGGTATCATGTAACGATGTCTGTACATCTATCTGTTCCTCTTGGCTTGGACCTCTTATCATGTTCTCCTCTTACCTTGACGGACTGGCAGTTTTCTTATGCCCTGCTGTTCAACCCCGGCATGGGATACTACGTTTCCAGAAATTATGTAACAGTCTGGGCGGCAACTGCACTAATAGTGATCACAGGTCTTGCGGGATTGGATTTCAGTGGGAAGTCAAGTGAACTACACGAGGCTCGATGAAAATAAACGCCTACTCTGGTTCTTTCTGTTTCTAGAGTGGCGATAGATCAAGAGACCTAAGCTTGGCCCAATAGCATATACAGGAGACGTGATCAGACCTTGGAAGGGTTACATCCATTGTTACCAGATGCATTTATTGCCTCTTCTGTCTGTGACTAACCTCGCTCATGCCGCGCGCCACGGACAAATTGCCTGAGTAGACAAAATAGACCAATCATAGTGGCGAAACCAATCTTGGATATATATATCAGTCATCGAGATGGTTACCTGAAGGAACCAATACCCGTTTTGTGACACGTAATTAAGCACCCGAAGGAGCATGCCGGACTCGCCCCTGACAGCGGTTGCGGACCGCAAAGGGACTATTGTGTGACCTGGGACAAGGCATCCGGTTCGGTGAGAGTATGTGAACAATCACCCGGGCCTGTATCGGACAAACTTTGGAGCTGGCAGCGTCGGCTTGTTGGGGGAATCCGCTTGCTCGCAGACTTCGACGACCCTTCTGGCCTCTTGCAGCTGGTCCAGATTGAGAAGCACGGGTGATTGCACGAAAGGCGGACAGATTACGCACACAGGTCCATGCTGAGCTGTGCCACCCTCATGCTGTTGAGGGCTATCATATCCCGACTTACAGGGCTGCCAGGATATATTGGGCTGGGGACTGGCTGACACTCGGCTCCGATTTTATTGATAGGTCCCTCTCAAATCATACCTTGCTTTCGAACGCCCATTGTCGAGGAGATACCTTGAGAGCTGCCACATTGCTGTGTAGGATCGGACTGCAGCCCGGCCGACACTTTGATGTTGAGGGATCGGCTTACCGTCGGGGGCTTTGTCCCCTGGTCTAGTCCCTCGTCAGCCCAGCGGCTCTGACTGTCGCATCTAGACCTAACCAATTGCCCATTGCAGTAATTCATCATATCCAGCCGAGCGCCACCTTGACATGGCCCGTGGAGGAGCCGACATCCAAAACAGACAAACACCAATCGTGTACTAACTGGCTTTGGTAAGACTGTCAGCATTCAAAGGACAGACCCAACGAGACGGCGCCTCATGCATCTTCATTCCGAAGCAGAATAGTGCGCGATCCTGTGAGAGGGACCGAAACGAGGCAACCGGGATCGAAGTGCAAGCCATCATCCAACAATCGCTGGACGTCTGGGCTGACACAAGCAAGGGTCTTCAAGAAGGACAGCCGCTTGTCTTTCGTGCTACCATTCCCCTGGGACGTTCTGCCTCCCAAAGCGCTGCAGGAGGCAGTGGCACAAGATGCGGGGTTAGCCAATAATGTTGGGTCTGAATACCTTGGCCTCATGTGGAAAATCCTTCGTGATGTGCTGGTGTTACCAGATAACGAGTGTCAAGCGCCACTGATGGTAGCGTGCTTGAGAGGGAAGAAGACAAAAAACAAAAGCGATGTACACGACCAGAATTGGCCTACACGTCCCTGCTTCCGCCACCACAAGTCTAGCCTTTCAGATCTGAAGCGAGAGGGTGTGATACTACTATTCTAACAGAAACCTTAATATGAAGCGTCTTCTGAGCAACTAGGGGCACTACCTCTTGCTGTTTCCATTCCAAGAGTTGCATGGTGTTGTCGGGTCTAAGTTGGGTCATGTGCACAAGAGCACGTCAACTTGCGTTATTCTACAGTGGCCATCCGCATCTATGAGTGCAGCAGCGCATGTTCTACTGGAGGGCTTGGAGTTACAAGCACGAATCACGGTCCTCGGTCTCAGATTGCGTGCAGCTCGGCCGACATTGTACATGCGCATGGGCTGTAAATGTCTGCATGCATACCTCATACCTACCTCCACACAGGCAATTGGGGGTTATCATGACGAACTATGTGAGGAATTACGACGACGCTCGAACCTGGCTTCTACGGCTGCAGTGTGACCCTGGTAGGATTTAGCTCAAGGCAAAGAGAAAACGTTGGCGATGGGGCGGATTCTCGCCCTGTCTGCTGATGCTGTGCAACATGACAGGTATCGTTTTTCTCCGAGGGGGGTGCCCGGCGAATGTTACCCTCTCAATGAGGTAAGGAGGTCGGGCCAGCTGCGTGTGGCGTAGAGGCGTCGTTGGCAGCGTGGCAGGCCCTTGGTCCGAAAAGCGACTCAAGCATACTGCAGATACTACTGTATTGTTCCAGTATGGTGGTACAACTTTAGTGCCATAGAAGCAGAAGCAAAAATTCGCGACACTGGGCTTGATTCATCTGGTGATGCCCCTATCAGAAGATTTCACGTGCTTGGCAACTGAAGACGGATGTTGTTTCAAGAGGAGACTTTGTCGCCCACGCATTGGTGGTGACGAATTCAATTCAAGGCACGTCCCCAATCCTTGGCAAACGTGGGCTGGCTGAGAAACTTGTGTGATCTGCCCCCATCTCTCACAAGCGAGGCCGATTTGTCCCAAGACAAGGCACATTCGGAGTCTCCGTCGTTCCAGCTCATTCCCATGTTCTGGAAACACATCTATCTATTTTCGAGGCAGCAAGAGGAAATTGTGCTCTTTGATTGCTAGCTTTACCAGTAGACGGAGGGGCGGTTATGATCACATTCCGGTACTTAAGTATTCCGATCCAGAAGATTGTGCAGTCACCCATGTGCTGCCTACTCTCCGAGAGAACCGGGCGACTCGAATCAACACCTGGGGTATCCTGACAGGCTAGGGTTGGGTGCTGTGGCCTTTTGAAAAAAGAAATACTCCGCATGCCACTAACTCAGTATAGTACTCCTACCAAGTAATCATAATGCGGGGGGTGAGATTAGCTGTTCATTCGTGAGCTACGGCTGGGCTAGTACCTGGCAGGCGCCAAGCGAAGTCATGATGAACGAGAGCAAAGGGGGCTTAGGTGTTAGCTTCAGCCAGACGACGATACTGACATCAACGATTCAATGTGCAGTTGAGATTCAACATGCACATCTGAGACAAGTCGGTGATATTTCTTCTTTTGTAGCCACGTGGACTCCACACCGGTTTTGCAAGATCTTTGCTTTTGCTACAGCGGACCTGTTTTCTCTCGACGAAGACATAGACCCTGGGCTGTATTGCCCGACTCCAAACTTTTCACCTGTTTTACACAGTAGACGGTTTATTGTCAACTATCAGCCTCTCCCGAAATAACGTGCTGGCCCGAGTGCCATGGAATTGGTTCCCACTGCGGATGATACAGTACTAGTGTTAGTGCTCGGCTGAATCGATCTGATATGGGGATATAGACCTGGTGTTAAGCCTGCAGGAACGTGGGGAAACTAACGTGCAGCTCAGCCTCTCATGAGTTGCTCCAAACGGTGGGCCTAACCAGACGGCACGCCTATTGGTTTTCGTACTCGCTTCGCCGATATGCAAGCTGCAGGACCCATTGTAAGCGCGCATGATAATCCCTGGAGCTGCCAGGCCTCGCTTCCAAATTCATGCCAGGGTCCGTCAAGCAAACACCATGAGAGCATCGTGTCTGAGTTTCAAGCTCGGGAATCCATACCGGTCTTGACTGTTCCGAAGACTGAGCCTCTTTGTTCCAAGGCACGCTCAGTCTGTTGCTTCCAAGACTCTCGGAGCGGGCCCATGATAAGCTAACACCATGCCCGATGACTCGGATAAGCAATCTCAATAGGTACATGTTCGACCGTCCGCTAGGTATTTCTTGGGATGATGACTTGGGAGTGATCAACGACAAGGGAGCGCAAGAAGCTAGCGCTGCCGGTACGGCAACTCACAAAGACCAAGTGGTTGCGCACGAACGTCAAGACTGCAACTGTAAGAAATTGGTGCCCTCATGTGACTCCCTCTAGATGCGCGATGGCGGCGCAAATGGAAACCCATCAGTACTGATCATATCACATCTACAGTAACAAAAACCTCTAGTAAGCAGCCGGACTCGCTTCGGAAAGTAAACCCCCAAATTGACACAGGCTGGACGTTGCAACGGCATATCCGTGATTCATATCTGTA